AACTTCTGAAGATTGGAATAAAAAATTGGGATTCAAGCAGATTCAACAAGGCAATGGTATGGACTGTTTGTACAACAGCTTTTGCAGGGTGTCTCAGAATTCATGAACTGCTGTGCAAGAAAGTTGAAACCTTTGATCCCGACTTCACTCTTCTTAAAGCCGACATCAAACTAAACAGAACTGAGTACAAAGGATCCTGTATCAAAGTAATCCAGCTCAGACTCAAATCTCCCAAGGAAGATAGAGTAGGAAGGGGGAAAATAATTGATGTTTACGAGAGTGAGGGGCCTCTGTGCCCGGTACGAGCAATGGAAAGATGGTACAGACTCCAAAATCAGACAGTGGAAGAGTTACCAGCGTTCAGATGGGAAAATGGGAAATGCTTCACTGGGAAACAGCTAAACAAACTTCTCAGGCTTTTTCTGGAACCTCATCTGGACTACACTGTGGAGAATGTGATTATGTTGCCACTAGAGCGATTGATCTGAAGAAGCATATTGAGTCTAAACATAAAGGAGTGAGATATCCGTGTTTAAAATGCGTGTATGCTGCAACTACAGCAGGTAGTCTAAAGAGACATGTTTAAATAAAACATGGAGAAGTAAGATATCCATGTTTACAATGCATGTATGCTGCAACTACAGCAGGTTATCTAAAGAAACATGTTGAAATAAAACATGAAGGAGTAAGATATCCCTGCGATCGATGTGATCACGTTGCCACTAGAGCAGGTAATCTGAAGAATTTTTTTAAATCTAAACATGAAGAAGTAACATATCCTTGTTCTCATTGTGAATACGCTGCCACTCAAGCAGGTGATTTGAAGAAACACATTAAATCTAAACATGAAGGAGTGAGATATCCCTGCGTTCAATGTGATCACGTTGTCACTAGAGCAGGTGATCTGAAGACCCATATTGAATCTAAACATGAAGGAGTTAGATATCCATGTTCTCATTGTGAATACGCTGCCACTCAAGCAGGTGATTTGAAGAAACACATTAAATCTAAACATGAAGGAGTGAGATATCCCTGCGATCAGTGTGATTATCTTGCTACTAAACCATATAATCTCAAAAGACACATTGTAAGTAGACATTGTGAATACGCTGCAACTCAAGCAGGTGATTTGAAGATACATATTGAAAATAAACATAAAGGAGTGAGATATCCATGCAACCAATGCGATCACACTGCAACTACAGCACAATGTCTGAAGAGACATATTGAATCTAAACACAAAGGAGTAAGATATCCATGCGACCAATGTGATCACACTGCAACGACAGCAGGTATTCTGAAGATACATATTGAAAATAAACATGAAGGAGTGAGATATCCCTGTAAAGAATGTAAATACATTGCCACCCAATCTAATCATTTAAAAACACATCAAAAAAAGAAACATTAAATAAAAAAGGCTTTGCACTGTAAACTTCATATTATCACTTCTCTTCTATCAAATAATTCTCTTAATGTAGAATTTAATATATTAATCTTTGTTCTAATTGTATATTTTCTATATCAAAACCCAACTGTGTTCCCCCGCTGCTCCCCTCATCATAAATCTTAAATAATATTTTTATCATTTTTTCCTTTTTGCATTTTATTCCCTGACAAAATACAACTTTGAACAAAATAGAAATTATGAACATATTTTTTAATTTTAAGAAATAACAATTATCATTCTAAACTTTTATGAAAGGATATTTGTCTCATAATATATAAACTTTAGTAAATATGTTTTTTTAATATTTGACCAAACTGTGTACAACAATTTTGTTTTCATTGGATATGCAATCTACATTTTTTTTTAGATAGAATAGAAAAAACTTAAAACAAAGAGTTAAATATATTAGAGCAGAGTAAATCTTTCCATCCTCTACTGTAGCACTTTCTAGTTAGACATTTTTTCAAGAGGACTAATTTTTTTTGAACATTTTAGTGCCAATTAACGTTAACCATAATGAACTTTTTCCACAAAAAATGTTCAAGTGGACTAAATTATTTCTTTGAAATTTTAGTGCAATTGAACAATAGTTCAAAAGATCTTTTTCAACAACAAAAAAATGTTCAAATGGATAAAAATTTTCTTGAAAATTTTAATGCAATTTAAAATTTTTAATAGGTTATTATTTTTTTCTTGGAAATTTTAGTATCATTGAACGTTAGTTCAAATGAACATATTCAACATGAAAATGAATTAAATGGACTAATTTTTTTGGGAAATTTTAATGCCATTGAACACTATAGTTGAAATGAACATTATCCTTAAAATTTTTTTCTTATGACTGAAATGATTGAAATTCAAGTGATAGGTCAATTGTTCATCTATTCTTAAATGTATTTTTTTGGACTAATTTTGAACATGTGGCAAAATTATCAAAATTAAGGATTTTGTTCAAATAAATATTTTATTATTCATTTATTTGTTTGCACTATTAAGGAATTTTTCAGTAGAGCAAAACATGAAATAAGCCAATTCTAGAAGGGAATTAATGTAAAAAGCTCTCCAGGTGGTTGAAATATTTCCTCATGGGTTTTAGTTAAATTAATTAAATATTTGTTCAGAAGGACTATAGTTCATTTTAAACATTAGTCCAATTGAACGTTGGTTAAACTAAACGTTAGCTCAATCAATCATTAGTCCGATCACTATGTCACCTAAATCCTTGTAGGCTGCATTCCTAATGCCAATCAGAGCTGAGTTTAATCAAACAATTTACTCTGGAGACATAGGAGCATAGGAGACACCAGATCTATGTTTAATCATTTAGTTTACTCTCTAGATATTGGAGCTTTAATTAATCAATTAAATTATTTTGTAGATACCAGAGCTGAGTTCAATTAACTAATCAATCCACTTTGGAGACATCGGAGCTGTGTTTAATCATTAAGTTTACTCTCTAGATATTGGAGCTTTATTCAATCAATTAAATTATTTTGTAGATACCAGAGCTGAGTTCAATCAACTAATCAATCCACTTTGGAGACATGGGAGCTGTGTTTAATCAATCAATCAATCTACTCTGTAGACATCGGAGTTATGTTTAATCAATCAATTTACTCTGGAGACATAGGAGCTGTGTTTAATTTACTCAGGAGACACCAAAGCTGTGCTTAATCAATTAATTAACCTACTCTGGAGACATTGGACCTGTACTAAATCAATTAATTTACTCAAGAGACATCGGATCTATGTTTAATCATTAAGTTTACTCTCTAGATATTGGAGCTTTATTCAATCAATTAAATTATTTTGTAAATACCAGAGCTAGTTCAATCAACTAATCAATCCACTTTGTAGACATCGGAGCTGTGTTTAATCAATCAATATATTCTTTTAGTCTAGATGTCGTCCTTATCATTTCAAAGATTTTTTTAAAAGTCGTCTTTTTTATGAAAAAGATCAGCTGTTTATGGCATATTAGACCAAATGAGTTGATCTGACAGTGACCCAGTATAGTATGTGTAAATTAGTGAAGAGAAGATTATAACCACCAAATATTTGTACGGGGTTATAAATTTGTTGTAATCAATGCAAAAATGCAAATTTTCCTCCGCCCCCCCCCTCTAGCTCTATCTAGGAGTCTGGGGGCTAAAGTATGAGGGATATGTTGCACAGTACGTCGGGGAAAGGAGTGGGGGGGGGGAGTATGTAGGACTGATCAATGGTCATCTAACTTTTTTCTCCCCTTATCTGGTTTGGTTCTGCCCAGCCCGGTATCTTTAAGTTGTCGCTGCCTGACCTAGCTTGCAATAAGCTGGTTTATTACTAGTATTCTTCTTTGTTTAATCACTCGGTTTTAATTACAAATATTCTGATTTCTCATTTTACCATACGATGCTTTAACCTCAACAACCCCTTCTTGACGTTTACCTCTTTATAATTAATCAGTGTAAATATTTGTTTGCAGATATATTATCCTTAAAAAGTATAACATGTTTTGTACATATTTCAGAGAGAATGGCAAAAATTATGGAAGAAGATATAGTAACCATCAAAGAAGAAATCTCTACTGTAGAGGATACATGTACTGTGTATGTAACGGAAGAAGATATAAAAGAGGAAAGTACAGAAGATCAAGGTATGGGTAAAGATTTTCTTTATATTTTTTTTTAAGATGATCGATTTTTGCCTTTTTTTAGAATTTCGGGCTCATAAATCTAAAAACTGGGTATGCATTTTCTTCAAATATTTTTTAGGATGATCGATTTTTGCCTTTTTTTAGAACTTCGGGCTCATCAATCTAAAAACTTTATCACAATTAACTTTATTTACAGATATTATTAAAAATTTTAAACCATGTGAGATACTTTAGGTTAGTTTAATATTTTATTAATTCTCTTTTTGAATTTTTCAGGTGAAATTGTTAAGATTGAAGAAGATCCCCTTTTCTCTGAACAAAAGAGACTTAAAAAGAGGAAGCTGACGGATAAAAGAGATAAATGTTATCCCTGTGGAAAATGTGATTATGTGGCAACTCAATTATGTCATTTGAAAACACATATTAAAAGTAAACATGAAGGAGTAAGATATCCTTGTTCTCATTGTGAATTCCCTGCCACTGAACCAAGTAGTCTGACAAGACATATTAAAAGTAAACATGAAGGAGTGAGATATCCCTGTTCTCATTGTGAATACGCTGCCACTGAAGCAAGTGCAGTGGTCTGAAGAGTGATATATCCCTGCGATCAGTGTGAATATGTTGCTACTAATGTACAGAGTCTGAAGTTACACATTAAATCTAAACATGAAGGAGTGAGATATCCTTGTTCTCATTGTGAATACGCTGCGATCAGTGTGAGTACTCTGCCACTACATTAGGAAATCTGAAGATACATATTGAATCTGAACACGAGGGAGTTAGATATCCATGCGATCAATGTGAATACTCTGCTACTCAAGCAGGTGATCTGAAGAAACATATTAAATTTAAACATGAAGGAGTGAGATATCCCTGCGATCAGTGTGATTATCTTGCTACTAAACCATATAATCTCAAAAGACACATTTTAAGGAGACATGAAAGAGTAAAATACCCATGTTAGCAGTGAGATTTTACCTCTACCGAGCAGTATCACATTTGAAGAAACATATTAAATCCAAAAATAAAGGTTTGAGATATTATTTTAATCAGTGTGAGCTCACTGCCACTACAGCAGGTAGTCTAAAGAAACACATTACAAATTAACATTGAGAAGTGAGATATCCAGTGTAAATATCATGTCATTTAAAAACACATCAAAAGAAGAAACATTAATTAATAAGTACATTGCACTGTAAACTGCAAATTGTCTATTCTCTCGTTTATTTTGGTTTTTCTTTGCTTATCTTTTATTTAAAGCAGAAAATGGAAAATTTCATTTGGGGTGTTACATTTTGTAAATATCAGTAAATAGTAATTAATATTAGAGATAAATTATGATTTACAGAAAAATAAACACTGCCTTGCAGTACAAATTCTGCAGTATGGATATTTTTCTACAACTTGGCTTCCAATTGTTTACAATAATAACATGTTTAATATTTGCCGCTAATATCAATCAATCAACATTTGGGATCGAATTGGATGAAATTATATGGACCCCTAATACACATCAATTTTTTCTGCATGCGTTAAACTAACCTTGAATTTGATAAAAACTGTCTAGTGGGATAGTTTATTCACTCATTTAAGAGACTGTTTGTAGTCATAATTTCTAGTGACCCTCAATTAATAGAGTGGAATTTAAGATTTTAAACGAAACCCTTAAAAGTTTTGTTTGACCAATTATGAATGAGATATCTATAATTTTGTTTTTAAATAACCAATTTTTTTATTTGTGATTTCTCTAGACTAAAATCAGGCATAGTGGGTCACTTTAAATTACAAGGACAGCCGACAGGCCTGTTAATTTTTAGATTTTATTAAAAATTCCAAATCATATTGATACTTGAGGTTTATATTTTATTAATTCTATTTTCACGCGAAATTGTCAAGATTGAAGAAGATCCTCTTTTCCCTCAACAAAAGAGACTAAAAAAGAGTAAAGTGAGAGAAAAAAAGAGAGAAAAAATATCCCTGTGGGAAATGTGATTATGTGACAACTAAATCCGGTAATTTGAAGAGACATAATAGAAGTAAACATGAAGGAGTGAGGTATTCCTGGGATCAGTTTGAATACACGTTCACTCAAGCAGGAGGTTTGACCCAGGGTCAAACGACAAATGGTTAAGAACGCGACAAAGGGCAAAACGACAAAGGTTCAAAATGGAAAAGAATATTTTATGTATTTTTTCAAGGTCAGGAGATAGATTCATGCAATTTCTGGGCCGAGCGCTGCGGATAGGACATGCTTAGGGGGCTGAGTGATGCGGCTAGTAGTTAAAATTAACATAAACATGGCATAAAAATATGTATTGTTTCTGGGCGTAGAGTGAGGCTACTAGTTTTAATAAACATAAAAATAGTTCAAATTAGCCAAAAATAGTCGAGATGAAATTTTGCCCGTTTATCGCTCTTTTTTGACCCTATGTAGAATGCCAACATTGGCTCTGGACTGACTTTTAGATTTAATATATGAGATGAAGGGTTTCTTGTTGTCAATTGTATCTATGCTTCTTTCAAATTTTTTCTTGGCGACTCTAACTGCTTTTTCGTAATCCTTCTCAGATTTTTTAAAATGCTTGAAATGCTCTTTAGTCCTTGTAAACATGTAAACCTTGTAGTGAGTTTGTTTAAGGTTAATACATTTTTTAACTGATTTCATTGTAGTTGACCCAGCTCATTTCCACGGATGTGGGTTTTAAAGTCATAATTATCGTCTTTGATACATTGGAGGTACCCTTAAACGCTTTGTTTGATCAATAATGGATTAGATATCAATATTTTTGTTTCAAAAAACTAATTATTTTCATTTGTGGGTTCTCTACAAACTTGCGCACTTTGTGGTTCAAAAACAATGCAGAAATGGAAAAGCTCGACATTATCTTCTATATTAAAGATCAGATGAAGGTTTCAAGGGTACCGATGTGAATCAGGCATGCCTCTAAGTTTAAATTTAGAGTCACTTGAAATTGCAACGACATTTTATTAATTCTCTTTTTTACTTTTTTAGGTGAAGTTGTCAATATTGAAGTAGATCTCCTTTTCTCTGAACAAAAGAGACTTAAAAAGAGGAAGCTGACAGATAAAAGAAATACAAGCTATCCCTGTGGAACATGTGATTATGCGGCAATAAAATCCAGTCATTTGAAGAAACATATTCAAAGTAAACATGAAGGAGTGAGATATCCTTGCGATCAATGTGAATACGCTGCCACTCAAGCAGGTAGTCTAAAGATACATATTGAAAGTAAACATGAAGGTGTGAGATATCCATGTTCTCATTGTGAATACGCTGCCACTCAAGCACGTGATCTGAAGTTACATATTGAATCTAAACATGAAGGAATAAGATATCCTTGTTCTCACTGTGAATACGCTGCTACTACAGCACGTAGTCTGAAGAAACATATTGAAAATAAACATGAAGGAGTGAGATATCCCTGTGATCAGTGTGAAAACGTTTATACTGATTCACAAATTCTGAAGCTACACATTGAATCTAAACATAAAGGAGTGAGATATTCCTGTGACCTGTGCAATTACGTGGCCAACAAAGCAAAAAATCTGAAGGTACACATGGAGACTAAGCATCAAGGGGTTAGATATCCCTGTGGCCAGTGTATGTATGCAGCAACTCATCCAAGTAATCTAAAGAAACACATTGAAAAAAAACATCAAGGTGTGAGATATCCTTGCGATCAGTGTGAATACGTTGCTGCTGAAGTAAATAGTCTGAAGTTGCACATTGAATCTAAACATGAAGGAATAAGATATCCTTGTTCTCACTGTGAATACGCGGCTACTAGAGTTAATAGTCTTAAAGAGACATATTGAAAATAAACATGAAGGAGTGAGATATCCCTGCGAACAATGTGAGTATGCTGCCATAACAGCAAGTAATCTGAAGTTGCACATTGAATCTAAACATGAAGGAATAAGATATCCTTGTTCTCACTGTGAATACGCGTCTATTAGAGTAGATAGTCTGAAGAGACATATTGAAAATAAACATGAAGAAGTGAGATATCCCTGCGAACAATGTGAGTATGCTGCCATAACAGCAAGTAATCTGAAGTTTCACATTGAATCTAAACATGAAGGAGTGAGATATCTGTGCGATCAATGTGAATTTTCTGCAACAAACCCATGTAGTCTGAGGAGACATACAAAAACTAAGCATGAAGGAGTGAGGTATCCCTGCGATCAGTGTGAATACCTTGCCACCCGATCTTGTTATTTAAAAGCACATCAAAAAAGGAATCATTAATGAAGAAGACGTTTGCATTTTAAACTTTAAAGTTTCTTTTTTCTCATTTATTTTGGTAATTTCAGAGGGGACGTCTCCAAATTTATACCAGGGAGATAGGGAATAAACGCATATTTTTGCAATCAATGTGATTAATATACAGCTAATACTCATGCTTCAAAGATTCTTATTCAGATATGGAAACTAATGTTAAAAGGAAGCATGAGAAAACCAAACAAATGGTCTGTGATACATAAAAATTTTATCATTTTAAAATCAACTTTTACTTTTGGTGTGCGAGCCAGTTCAGGGATATGCTTAAATATATTAGACAAGGCTTTCAGGGCACTTCATGCCCATCACCTTTTTTCAACGTTCAATTGTGGCTCTTTTGGTAAGCTTTTTCTCTTTAAAATATAAAACCATACCAAAATAAGTTCGCGGATTTCGTCAAATTTATTTTGTAGATTTTTAAAAAAATTTCAAAAATCAAAATTTTTTGGAGACAAATGTTTGAAATTCTAAGCATCTATACCATAACATTGGTATACCGGCCTCCGCGCTCAAGAACGGAAAACATGAATTGTGCAAACTTTTTAGAAATTCAGGGGATAATAGTATTCTAATTGGCGATTCTAAGCATCTATAACCCTTTCCTAAAAATTTGTAGCCGTTTTGTATTTTATTGGATACAAACAGACAAACGAACAAATAAACAGACATGCTAAATATATAGATAGATATTAGATAAAAAATTTATTTTATTCAGTGTAAACTGTAAATCATTGTTCGTAGTTCTAACTTTTTATTCATTTTAATTTAAAGCCTATTTAGAAATTTGTATAGTAACATGTATTGTACAGTGTAAACATTCCAGAAAGAATGGACGAAATTATGGAAGAAGATAAAGTTACCATCTCTACTGTAGAGGATCGCCCAGAAAACATTATAAATATAGAATCTCTAGGTAATCTGTCGAACAGTGACCACTCAATTTTATCTATCGACGTGATATTTAATCCGAAATTTAACTCATCGACTGAACTTATTGAAGATTGGAAAAATGGAGATGTCGAAGGTCTAAAAAATTTTCTACAAAGGGTTAATTGATATGAAGATCTGGATGGAAAGGATACCGAGGAGTGCTGGGATTTCTTTAAGGATAAAATTACTACAGGTATAAATTGTTTTATACCTAAAATAAGAAGACGCAAATCCAACAATCATCAGTGGATGACAAAACAGGTTAAACGTATTGTTAGGCAGAAACAAAGACACTACAATACATATCAAGCGGATAGGACTTGACAGAACTACGAAAATTATAAAAAAACAGAAAAGGCCTGTAAAAAAGCAGTTAGGTCGGCTAAAAGACGGTTTGAACAAAATATTGCAAAAAACGGAAACAAGAGACCCTTTAATTCATATATTAAGAGTAAAACAGCCTCCAGGGTTAATATTGGTCCTCTAAAAGTCGGTAATGAGATAGTTAGTGATAATCAAGGCATGGCGTCTATCCTGAATGACACTTTTAGCGGGGTTTTTACAGTTGAAGATCTCTCAAATATTCCCGTCTGTCCAACAGTATCACCACATTATAGTGTCTCAGATGTTTATTTTGATCCGGAAACAATAAAAAGAAAGATTCTTAATTTGAAAACCAGTTCCAGCTCAGGTCCCGATAAGATCTCGTCTCGTTTTCTACAAAACCATGTTGATAGTCTAATAGTCCCTCTCTCTATTATCTACACAAAATCACTGGAATCTGGAGTGGTCCCTCAGGATTGGCGGGATGCAAATGTCACACCTATTTTCAAAAAGGGTTCTAAGAATAGTCCCGAAAATTATCGTCCAGTGTCTCTTACCTCTATACCCTGCAAAATAATGGAGTCCTTAATGAAAGACGAAATACTGGATTTTCTGCTCCGCCAAAATTTGCTTAATAACACCCAACATGGGTTTCTGCCCAACAAATCTTGCACTACCAATCTTCTTCAATTTATGGAAAAGATGACAGATTTATTTGACAACAGCATCCCAGTAGATATTATATATTTGGATTTTAGTAAAGCATTTGATAAAGTACCTCATAAACGTCTGCTTGCAAAGATGAAATCTCTCGGAATTAAAGGCAGGTTACTTATTTGGATTGAGGCCTGGCTCACGAACAGAAAACAGAGAACAGTCCTAAATGGCACTTGTTCAAACTGGAGCAGTGTCATAAGTGGTGTCCCACAAGGATCAGTGCTTGGCCCTTTATTATTCGTAATATTTATAAATGACATTGATAATTGCACCAAAAATATATCGATTATGTTGAAGTTTGCTGACGATACTAAATTAGGGAATGTAGCCAGGGACTACGCAGATATTGAACATCTTCAGAAAACCATTGACGAACTTTTGGTTTGGGCTGATACATGGTGCATGTCATTTAATACTGCAAAATGTAAAGTACTTCATTTGGGCAGGAATAATAATAGACATGTCTATAATATGAATGGTATTGACCTACAGGCAGTTGAAACTGAACGCTATATTGGAGTCCTTATAAGCAGTAACTTGAAACCCTCACAACATTGTACTCAAGCAGCAATTAGGGCGTCTGCTATCTTGACACAAATCTCCAGAGCCTTTATGTACAGAGACAGAAAAACGTTTCTTAACCTATACAAGCGGTTTGTAAGATGCCATCTGGAATTTGCAGTCCCTGCCTGGTCCCCATGGCTAGCCCAAGACATTGAAGTTTTAGAGAAGGTCCAACGCAGAGCAGTGAATATGATTGTAGGATTGACCGGTAGGACATATGAGGACAAACTTTCCGAACTGAATTTGACCTCACTCTCTGACCGCAGGATAAAGTTTGACCTAGTGCAGACATACAAGATCCTAAATGGCATTGATCGAGTAAGCCCAGATATTTGGTTCAAAACTGTAGAACAAAACAATAGGCTCACAAGAATCACGTCCTACAGTAAGAATTTGGTTGCTGTACGTTCAAGGACAGATATCAGGAAAAATTTCTTCTCGAATAGAGTTGTCAACCTATGGAATAACCTACCGACAGATATAAAAGACTCAAGGACGGTTAAAATCTTCAAGAACAAATTAGAACCAATGAGATTCTAAATAATTTGCAATCAGGATCAGTGTTTTGGAAGCTGATTTTCGAGATGTAAGGACTGATGCTAACACTGTTCCGCGAGGACAAAACAGATATCTGCACTATGGACCAAGAGGCCCTCTGCAGATCAACATACAAGTACAAGTAAGTAAGTACAAAATACATATATATTATCTATACTAGAGTTATAGATCTACCCTTGGTTCCCAGTTTCTCTAGTCTACTAGATACCTCTCCTATACATATATATTATCTATACTAGAGTTATGCGTCTACCCTTGGTTCCCAGTTTCTCTTCTACAGTTCATAGGTTTCTTAAATGCTGGATTCATTTCATAACTTTTCTACATTGGTTTTTTTCTTAATAGTAAATCAATTATCTAAATATGTGAAATGATTTCAATTATAAAATTGTATGCACCTGCGAGCTGGTTTATAAACTGTTCAGTATCTGCCCAGGATGTAAACCTTATCCCATAGTTCACCTCAGCACTAACGGTCTTACGAACCTTAAAATAAAACAATGAAGAAGTGAAAGGAGGGGGGGGGGATATAATCAACTCTTTAAGTCATTTTTCAAATTTTTTGACAGCCTCGACTTTAAAGTGTTCCAACGCCTTTGGTTCTACTTCACCAACTAACTTAGGCATATAAACTTTAAAAACGCGCTTGTTTCTATAGTTTAAGCTTAAAAGCTCGATTTTTGCATTAGTGTGTGCACATCTTGGTTTGTAGTGGTGAGGGGGGGGGGGACATAATGGTTAGATTGGTTAGCCGGATTTGTTTTGACATGGCGAGTCTAAAAAAAAGATGAATCAAGAATATGCATTAATGCAGAGGTCAACATTTTTTGTTGTGAATCCCAGGATTAAGCAGTTTTTCGTATCTTTTGACTTCTGACAAAGACCTTTTTAATATCCAATGGTCCGGATACATTGACTAGAAAAACTAAAATTGAGGAATCAAGATCTAAAATCCGATCTTACACCGGATCAAAAATAAGTTGATATAGAATATGGATCCAGGATCTATTCGTGCAAGAACAGATCAAGGATAAGTTAATAAAGAATATGGATCCAGAATCTATTCCTGCAAGAACAGATCAAGAATAAGTTAATGAAGAATATGGATCCAGGGTCTATTCCTGCAAGAACAGATCAAGGATAAGTTAAGAAAGAATATGCATCCAGGATCTATTCCTGCAAGAACAGATCAAGGATAAGTTGATAAAGAATATGGATCCAGGATCTATTCCTCCAAGAAGAGATCAAGGGTAAGTTAATAAAGAATATGGATCCAGGATCTATTCCTGCAAGAACAGATCAAGGATAAGTTAATAAGGAGCGTATCAAGAGTAAGCAAACTTATTAAAGAGCCTTGTATAACACAAATATTTCTTGTTTACCTGATCCAGTTCAAGTTTTCTAGAGTCTATTCCTCGACAGAAGTTATAAAGTTGTGTTCCTGACTTGTTCCCTATCTCAGCCTTAAAAATAACAATAATGAAAACAGATTCTCCCGATCCGATTTACATTTTTATCCAAATACCAATAAATGTTCCCTAAAACTTTAAATTCAGTGATGAAAATAACAATGACTACAACATAATGTGTCTAAAAATTATGAACACCTATCATCCCCCTAAAAACAAAACAAAAACATAACATTTTTTTAACTTTGATATGAATAAAGTGTTTTTTAATCTCAGACCTGCAATTGTCCAAGAGTAAGTTTCTGAAGGTCTCCACAATTGTGAACTCCTAAACTAGAAAGTTTCTGCTCCATACTTCTTCCAACTCCAGGTAACTCAGTAACCTAGATATTGCTAAACATATAAAAAAAGGATTCCGGGGCTTCGTAAATTAAAAAAAAGAATTATCAATGAACTTTTTAGCGGTTTTTTTGTAATTGGAGGTCTTTAAAATTTTGAACATTCTTTAAAAAAATTTTTTTTTTAATTTTGACCGGCCATCCTTGGGCAAACATTTTAGCCGGATCGGTTCAGCTTACTTTTATGCTTATGTAAATACTATTTAGTTTAAGAATCTATGTTACGAGGTGTGTTTTATCCAACAAACAAACAAACACTTAATCATCATTCCGTAGAAGTCTAGTTGAGACCTCGTCAAAAATAGAATAGGAATTATAATGTAATTTCTTTATTTATTGGAGAATTTCCGTGATTAATAGCTAGTTGAGACCTCGTCAAAAATAGAATAAACTCTAAACTCTTGAACTTGTTTGACGGGGTACCTTGATTTGGTTCTGCTCAGTTACCGGCGGAAGACTGAGTTTTACCCAGCAGATTTTTTTATAATGCGATCAAACGCTAACAACGGGGTCAAAAATATGAACTTTCATTGTGTTTGGGGGAAAAAAATGAAGAAAAAAGGAAAAAGGGTGAAGGGAAGGGGGTACAGGAATGGGAAAAGGAAGAGAAAAAAGGAAAGAGGGATGGGAAAAGGGAAGGAGGGAAGGGAAAATGGTAGAGGGAAGAGAAAATGGGAAAGAGGGGAGGGAAAAGGGGAAAAAGGGAGGGAAGAGGGGCAAGAGGAAAGGGGGACGAGCAAAGGAGAAAGAGGAAAGAGCAAAGGAAAACGGGGGGAAGGGAAGTGAAAAGGAGAAAGAGAGAAAGGAAAAGAGGAAAGAGAGAAGGAAAAAGGGGGAAGAGAAATTTAACAAATAAACAGTATCAGAAATGCTTTAAAAAGAATCTAAGGGGAAACCTTGAAGCCTTTTTAAGGAATTAAAATGCTCCATTATACTACTAAAATTCAAAAATATTCTTTAAAGTTTGTGCGTGCTTCGGAAACTTGTAAAATACATCTGTTTATAAGTCTCGAAATTAAGGAAAATGTGATTCTGAAAAGGGAGGGGGGGGGGGCAAAAATATGAGTGTCACAAATAATGTACACTCCTGGTTTCCAACAATCACAGAAATTTTCCAATAAATAAATAAATTACATTATAATTCGGATTCTTGCTCAAACGCGCCTCTTGTATTTTCTTACTAACCTTGAGATCTGCAAGTAATTCTGTAACATTTTCCTCCTCCAGCAGATACTGACCGTCAGGTTTAGCTTTCTTTGTTGCCATCCTCGCCAGAAATATATTCTCTCCGAGTCCAACAGAACAGCAGCAACCTGTCCTCTCCTTGATCTCTTGACGTAGCTGTGACACAAACTGAACTGCGTCCATATTCAGGTTCTTGAGTAGCGGAGTCAGGTTTACAAACATCTCGTCACAGCTCACTGCCTGAATACATACAAATATAAAATGTATTCCTGCTAACCTCTAGAGGATTAAATAAGAATCAACCTCGCCCTTCCACTTCCTTAATATCAAGCTGAAACATGAACTAAACTAAGCATGGATTTACAAAACCGTCAATTGCTGTTCATTGGACTTTTTTTAAATCATGTGACTATTCTTCATCAACAACAAATGTTTGTAATATAATTACTACCTGGATATCCAGCGTATAACTAGATACAGTATCATATAGTATCCTGGATACAGACTCGTATCCTGGGAAATCGTAAGGAATAGTTTCTAGCTCAGGGCAAAGCTTCAAGGCAGGACCCAGAAACATACCGTTTCTACAGAAAAATAAAATTGACCAATAACAAGGGCTAATAGGGAAAAGGGGGAATAGAGGCCACCCCCCCCCCCCTCTCCTCTAGACACTGTTTTAAATTTAAAAATGTGAAATCTTACTTTATTCCTTTAAGTCTAGCTTCGTAGCTACAGCTGGCAATCTCTGAGAATGAACTTAGTCCGTCAACATTTTCGAGTTTTAAGGCCAGGGATCCAGGACTAGAATTATCTACTCCAGACCTCTTATTCAATTTCTCTTGGTACCTAAATGTACATGCAAATCAAATTTTAGCTTTTTAAAAATATAAAAATTATTATTAATGCGCTACTTTTCTGAATTAATCAAGGAGTAGTGTCAATATTTGACAAAGGACTTTAAAAATGTCAACAATAAAAAAGAAAACTTAACTTGGGGCAGTAGGTACGTCCTTCAGTACATAAATTTGACTTTTAACGTATCAAAGGACGTTTGAAAGGTAGAAACTCCGGGGCGGTTCATTCTATTGACATCTGTGCCATTAGTCATTACCTATATCAAAGTGCCTGTTTCAACTATACCTAGTTCTTAGGCCGCACCAATACACAAGATATTTATAAAACTCAAACACATTATTATGAAAAAACTATATTGTTTACCTTAAAAGTTCATTTCTCCTTGCTTCAGTAGCTATCCTATCCTCTTCTACTCCTCGGCTCGGCTTATTCCCTCTGAATTTATACAATATATCTTTCTTGAGGGACTGTCATTGTAATTTGAACGACTTTTAAGAGGGCCATGTCCGATTCACAACGGTACCCTTCAAAACTTTAAAACCCACTAACCTCTCCACCCTCCCAACACTAAAAACTTAACTATTACCTTGAATGTGTAACTGCAACTGGTTTCCCAACAAGATCTGGACGATTTCTCAAACCCACGGATACAAAGAAGCAATCCATATCAATATGCATTATTGTTTTCTTGATAGTTCCGGCGGAATCCCTCAGTCTATCCAGGTTAGCGCGGGCAGGGAAACTTCCAGAATGTTCCTCACGCAGACTAGTCACATACTCCTTAGCGTTGGACCCCATGCAGGAAATATGATGAAGTCGGGAGTTTTGGAAAAATTCTCCCAAAAACCTTGGATCTGAAGCGTCCTTAGCCAACCATCGGTCTTTTTCAGAACCTTTTTGAGGACTTGCCCTATTTTTTACAGGACTTGCCCCATTTTTTACAGGACTTGCCCCAGTTTTTACAGGACTAGGACCACTATTAGGATGACTGGTTGAGGTATTATGCAATCTTGGGGTGACAGGGTTATCAATTGTAGAATTGTGAAATTTATTTGAAGAATTTGAGTTTTCTTCATTAAAACTGTCCTCCGGTAGTTCATTATCAAACCTGAAGCTAGAAGAATCCCCAGTAGGTTCATGAGAGGAGTTTTCTTTACTGTCATTAACAACGGGCTTGAAGTTTATAATCTTCTGGTTCCTTTAAAATCAGCCAATGTCAATAAAAGGGAATTGTTTACTAATTCGTTTGGAAACAGGGGTGTATATTTTCCAGAATTTTCGATGAAAATTGGACATGAAAAAACAATTTTTTTAAAACATTCTTTTTGATACTTTTTACCCCAAAAATCATTTAATTTCGATTAAAAATCATTCTTTTCCCCAATTCAGAGAATAAAACACTTAAAAATAAAAATAACTTTAGCAGAAAAAAAATATTTTCTAAAGCGGGGGGGGGGAGGAAAGATTTTTCGAAAAAATATACCCCCTGTTTGGAGACTTAAAAAAAATGTGTGCCTGTAAGTATGATATTTTTTATAGAAAAAATGTTGCTAAAATATTTCTTGCCTGGACTGATGAGTAAATAAGAGGAATGGTTTGTAATCAAGGAGACGATTCTCTGATAAACAAGCAGTAATCCATTCAGGCTAAACAGGAAATAAAATAAGTTACTAAGATTGCTGATTCCTTGTCATTTATTCTTCACTTATGTTCTCGAACATCCAGAATAAAATAAAACCGAATATTAATCCGAATTTTTCTTGAAATGCTGGGGGGGGGGGGGGAATTGAACCATATGACTAAAGAAACAACAAATTAAATTATTACTGAATAAATATGAAATAAAATCTTTACTTTATTACATCTACTTACTTTGATAACTAGCTCATGACCTTTTAACTGCCGAATTTTCACGTCTGTTAAAGAATATCAATATAGATTTAGTTATTAACAATTTTGCTTTTTAATAAGTCTGAACATTAAAAAATGACAGACCATGACCATTGACCATCCATACAATTTAAATTCTTTTCCTTGCTAAAAGTAATGAAAACAATAATTGATCTTTTTATCCCTGGAAGATTTGAAGCTATGATATGAGTAGTTTTCTGTGAGTTGTAATAATGATGATAAACCCCTCCGTGCTTCATCATTATACGCTTTAACTCATCAGAACCAGGGGTAGTCCACCCATTCACAAATATACTCACACCTTACCAATACAATTAATTAATTAATTATTCTCCAGTATCAGGTTATATATACCCCTGAATTTGCATCCTTCGTATTTGTATCCTGTACCATACCTCTGAATATCCCGGCTTGTTTAGCAACCCCCTGGGCCTGCTCTGCAAACTGACCGACAAGCTTTGCCTTCTTTATCCCCATATAACCTCCGTGCCCGTTCCACACGTCCTCGGAACCCCGCTTCCGTTGGCCTCGCATCCTCACCGCCGGAATTTGAGGTTTTCTACATTACATCTGAAAGTATTAGAGGTACAAGTAGCTAGACAGTGTACGGGTTCCTCACCGTGATTGAAACCATGGATATGTCGTCGTACGGTTTGTCTGTTTTCGGGTGCGTCTTTGCATTCCCAATGTTTTGGACAACTTCCATCCCACGGACAACTCTGAACACAGCAGATCCCGTTGAAATAACATAAATTATTTTATTTATAGAAATTTTTGTCCAATTGTTTATAAAAAAATTTACTGACAGATTTTTAAGTTTTAGATTCTTCTAAAAGGGTCTTTTTTCTATTTTTTTCTATTGGCCATCAAGAAGAAATATCGTAGTTAAACAAAATTATAAGAGATGAATAAAATCAAGTTTGAGATCTACTGTTTCCTTCCAAAGACTGTGTGTTTATTATCTAACCAAGGTGTGGGACAGACTGTGATAAAGAACTGGGATCCGTTAGTATTAGGTCCAGCATTCGCCATACTCAGAGTATACGGTCTAAAAACAATAAAATTAGTTTATAGTGGATAAATGTAACAATTCCCCCCCTATTCCACTGTAAGGAACGTTATTATTATCATAATTATCATTACTATCATTACTATCATTACTATCATTATTGTCATTATTATCATTATTATCGTTATTTATCATTATAACAATCATTGACCTATCATGTCTAAGCTTGAGACTGAATTCATCCTCGAATTCTCCTCCCCAGATAGATTCTCCTCCAGTTCCTTAAAAACAAAACATTCATTTTATCATAAAAAAAATTAAAACTTGCTGCTTGTTTTTTTTTCTGTACAAAAACGTTCAATGAAAAAAATGAAATAATTCAAATGTTCGATTATCTGCGAGAAATATTTTTCACAAAATATCATTTATTTTTATAAACAGAATTAACAATTCAATGTTGCGCATTAATTATTTCAACTCTTTTGGTAGTTTTTGACCTCAAAATTAATTTTGTGTCGAAAATTACAGAACTAAAAATGCTCTAGAAAATCCAACATAGTTGGAGAGAAAACAAGTTTTAAAGTGAAGGAAGGGGGGGGGGGGAATTAGCCCCTGGATTACCTGTTCCGAGTGGGTCTCCTGTCTGTATCATGAACTGTTTTATAACTCTATGGAACACGTGACCGTTATAGTAACTATTCCGCGCGTGCACACAGAAATTTTCAATTGTCTTCGGACATTCCTGAACACGGGAGAATATTAATTAAATATTACTTAATTACTGTTAACCTTATTTCCATGCCTGTGCCCGCGATTTAAAAACTTCGGCTCGAGCCGTAATTCCTTAAACCCAACTTAAAGACCCAATCTTCGACCCAACTCTGACGACATAATGAGTAAGGCCCAATGAAAATAAATCCGACCTTGGTTGGTTTTAGTGGAGAATAAGGCTTAATGTTGCGTCTTGCTCTCATCAAAACTGGGAATGCGCCAATTCCTGCCATGAAAATCCGCCAAATAGAATATTAAACCGGTTTTTGAACTCCATTCCGTGGAAAATAAGATGCAGCTTGAATCCGAAAGCTCAAGCCGTAAATAAGGCCCAACGACAGCTTAGACTCGAGCCGTGTTTTCCCAATGTTTTTTAATCGCTGGCTCTGATTTACAACGGTACCTCTTAGTCCTATATCCGAATATCTATGAGGAAGTTATTGTCGTTTTTTATCTTGAACAGATTAAAATTCTCTCAATCCCTGTCTTTGTTAATATTTCATAAGTCACTTGAATAGAGACCACCAATTGAAAATTAACAATTTTTAAATAGAAAAACAAGGTTAACTTAATAACAGGATAACATGGATATCTCCCATTGTAGTGTGAATAGTCTACCTTAGGATATAGTTCTAGATGGATATCTCCCATTGTAGTGTGAATAGTCTACCTTAGGATATAGTTCTACATAGATATCTCCCATTGTAGTGTGAATAGTCTACCTTAGGATATAGTTCTACATGGATATCTCCCATTGTAGTACGAATAGTCTACCTTAGGATATAGTTCTACATGGATATCTCCCCTTGTAGTACGAATAGTCTACCTTAGGATATAGTTCTACATGGATATCTCCCATTGTAGTATGAATAGTCTACCTTAGGAAATAGTTCTACATGGATATCTCCTATTGTAGTATGAATAGTCTACCTTAGGATATAGTTCTACATGGAAATCTCCCATTGTAGTATGAATAGTCTACCTTAGGATATAGTTCTACATGGATATCTCCCATTGTAGTATACGAATAGTCTACCTTAGGATATAGTTCTACATGGATATCTCCCATTGTAGTATGAATAGTAGCACTGGTGTATAGTCTAGGAGTTCCCTTTTCTTCAGTAGCGGAGATAATATCCTCTTTACTTGGTTTCTCATTGAATACATCCCTTCACACCATAATCAATATTATTCTGGAGACGAACAATAGCGAGAATTTGTCACAATTTTTAGAATCAACAAAAAAAGACTTTTTCACTTAATGCTGCAAAATTTCAGCTATTTTCATTCTTCAATATACATAATTTTCTTGTCTTCGTATTTTTCTTGGTCATTTCAATAGAAGTCTACTTTTGTGGGAACTTGCGTGATTAGAAAAGGTCGAAAGTAAAGAATTTGGCCCGGAAAAAATGACGACATTTATCATTTTTAAAATAGTGTTTTACGAACACGGAGAACAAAAGAAACATTTAACTATAAAGACTATTTTCAACGATTGCCTAAAACTTTACTTTACACAACTTTAAACTTTCAATTAGACCTAGAATTCAATTACTAAAAAGTGGCAATCTATAAAAAAAAATCCAAAATCTGAAGATAAATGACATTTTGATTGTTCCTGTCGTTATCCACACTAGAGAGGTCACGAGGTGACCTGCAGCTGAACAGGTAGAATCTGTTCAGGTCAAACATTAAAAAAAAAATATTTTTTTTCCAAACTACCAGCTATTTTAAGTAATGACATTTTTTTTAAATAATCTTTTTTCAATGTATTCCTGTTTTTCTTGTAAGCTGCAACAACTAAAGTAGGATCCGTACCACGATCAACTGAAACAGGTATATATTATATTATAATATATATAGCTATTTTTAAAAAGCGTTGTGAAAATTCTTTGTTAAATAAAATGTGAAGTGGGTTTATAAAAAGAACGACGAAAGATAGATATGATTAGAGTAACAACAAAAGCGGATAACTTTAGGATTGATTAAAACCAGATAGATAAAATTAGGCTATACTAAACATGGGGTTAGCAAAAAAAGGACAAACTATTATCATTGATGAAGACAGAGCTGATCTCAAAGAATGCTTAAACCTAATATGTAACTGGGCCTCCAGATGGGGAATTCGTTTCAATGTTAATAAATGCAAGGTGATGAATATTGGAAAAAACCATCCAAAAGCAAATTATTACATGAATGGTGAAAAATTGGCAGACTCTGAGATGGAACGGGATATTAGTATGATAATAAGCAACAATTAAAAACCCTCTAAACAATGCTCTGAAGCAGATAGGAAAGCCAATGCTGTTCTTGGTATGATAACCAAAGCTTTTGAATGTAGGGACCAGCATGTTTCTATCAACCTCTGTAAGCAATAAGTTATACCCTAGCATGGTCACAACCACTTCAACATAATTCTCATGCTAGACTTGCATTGAGTTTCTGTTGGTATCAATGCTTATTTCCTCTTGCTGAATCGCAGATGAGCTGTTCTCTTCAGCAGCAACCAGATAATCTTCCCTGTATGTTTGTCTTCTAAGAGGAAGATAACCTCTCCTCCTCATACCTACTAATCTTGACACCACGAGTCTGGGACAATTCAGCATAAAGGTGAGGAGTAAAAGCTCTTAAACTTTGAGCTTCTGAACTTCGTCTGACAAATTTCATTAAGTCCTCTGTTGTGAGGACTTCGATGCCGACGGAAGCTGACTTGCTCCTTGATCTCCGGACAATCGGTTTGAGTTTTACACTACCTTTGAGGTGAGCCGAAGAAAGAGTTTATGCTTGCTCTTATGTTTGTAGCTAACTTGCCTGGACTCCTATGGTTAAATGAGCACACAGACGTTTATTCAATAGTTCATTGCCTGGTATATATTTTCATAATGGTCCCACCGTGACTGATGAGAATAAAGAAGTAAAAGATAGATAAAAAATATTAAACATTAGAGAAGAATATTTTTACCTAGGTTTGGATTATCACTGGCTTCCATCTCAACTGTTGTCGCTGTTCCAGTCAGGGACTTCGGTCGACCCTGTACATGACAATCAATCAATAAATGTCACACAATTAATCAAGCAAACTTTTGCCCTTCAATTACCATCAGAATAAAATGTTGTTTTCCTAATAATTTAGATATAATTTTAAAAAAGCATTTACTAAATCCTAACAACATAACAGAAAAATATAGAGAGTAAATAAAGGTTAAAACAGTTTTTTGATTTGTTAATTTTCTCAGCAGCACTTTTGTTGGTATTGTCAATATGAAAAACTTTGAAAACAGCGCATTTTTTTTATGAAATATTTTTAAGAATTAAAAATTTAGTTTTTGAAACACATTTGCCCATACCCAAAAATATTAATAATTCAATTAAATTATTGACCTGGAAGAGCGCTATGGCTAGAGGTCTGATGTGCTCCCTCTGCCCTAGAAGCCGAGACACTTTCTGTGTGGTGAGGTTAACAAACTTGATTCCCATCAGGGAGGAATATATGAGGAAATTTCCACTCTCATCATAGGCTAAACAAATCAAATCAATCAATGAATGTATTAATCAATCAATGCATGAAAAAATCAAGGGACACGTCTAGACTTAATTGTAAAAAAAACATCATTTCATCATCTTTTTTTAAACAGCTGAATAAGTAAGAACATACCCAGATTGTTGTACTTCATGCAAGGAAGTCTAGAGATTTCCTTTTCTATCGACATCTTTTTCCCAAACTCCATGGCAGGAAGGATTTGACTCACCTACAATAAATATGATTAGAAATTAGAATAAAATTTTTAAAAACCGGAACCCCGAATTGTTTTACTCTACAAAAATTCTTAGAAGAAGGACAAATGAACGTCTTCCACCCAATTTATCATTAGCATTTTTCATAACGACAATTTCTCTAGTGACCTCATGAAATGTCCAAAAACTTTCTGATCAAACCTAGCCTCTATAAATTATTTTCTGTTTCAGTCTACATTAGCATTCGTTTAAAAAGGCATTTTGGAAAATTTATTTAGAAAACTGCCAATTGTAAATATGTAAGTTTCGCAGCTTAGAAAATGTCCTCCTCGGAAAGTGGCTAACACAATTACAATATAAGAAACATGATTGCTGTGTCGAATGATAATACAACATCAGAATTAAACACTTCTAGAGCTAGAAAAACGACGGTATCTTCAACATTTTTGAGATTGTGCTTTCAAGGGTACAGTTGTAAATCGTGGATTGCCATCTTTGCATGAAGGGTCACTTGAAATTACGCTTACAGTCCCCTTTACCTGCTGTAGCTCGGAGTAGTTCTGTAAACTCTCATCGATAACACAGCTCAGCTTGCCGGTCAGAACTCTGAAACAATACAGTTCAGGTCAACAGAGCCAGAAACTTTTGATCTGAAGAAACGAGTTAAACTCGTTCGCATAGGGATCAAGTAACCCCACCGTCCATGACAGAGCGCATTAGTAATATGACCTCTTAGACATAATTGGGTCGAGTTCCCCAGAACTCGTTTAATAAAAGCAGTGCCTTAAACCCAATTTCTGGATATACTGAAAGATTTATGTATTAAAAAATCATTGAATTTCTTTATGAATAATTTCTACATGTTCTTTATAATACCCAGTTATATAAAATAAATTACCTAAATATTCGAATTTTTCTGTCTGCAGCAAATGTGGCGAAAACATCGTTACTCGGAGAAAGGGTCATGTTTAGAGGAACAGTTTTATTCTACACAAAATCGATTGAATTTTTTTTAGTACAAATATTATTTATTCCCATTGGGTATTCTTTGTAAGCTTAGAAAGACTAATTTGAGTGAAGATTTGCGCAACTGAAGCAATCTCTTAGTAGCACTAAATATATTTATTCACCAAGATGTTTGACTTTGATTACCTTGCCTTGGTCATTTTTCTCGGCTCAAAAGAAACTTTCAGCATCATAAAGCTGTTTTAGTCGTCGGAAATCATAAGATAAACCCTTTATAGTATCTTATTTTGATTATAAATTTATAAATAATTTTATAAATAATTTTTCAATCCAAATTTTCCTTGGCGAACTCATAAAGATCAGTTTCTACTTTCGACTCAAATCTAACATTACTCCCCCCACCCCTAATTAAAAAGCGATTTGTGCTCAGATCAAATTTCCACGATTCTTAAATTTAATCTCTCCCGCCAAAAAAATAATTGATTAGTAATGAGTTGAAAGGTGAACAAATTAAGTTTATCATTAACGATGCAGCCCTAAGAAAGTTTAGATCTTCGAACAGCCCTTGAAAGTTTAGATCTTCGAACAGCCTTTGAAAGTTTAAATCTTCGAACAGCCTTTGAAAGTAACAGCCTTTAGAAAGTTTAGATATTTCACTGAAGAATGATAAGGTTATTTTTGTCTGACAGTTATGGCCAAGGCAACAAAGAAGAAAGGTACTAAAATTGTTCTTCAGAGAAAAAAAATTTGAAATGAATTGAACTAATTCCAAAAAATTGACGAATTCTACTTCGTTTATAAGGAAAAGGTTGTGAATCATCGATATTAATCTTAAAATGTTCGCTCTATTAAAATAAGTTCAAGACTCAGTGTCTCCAACACGCTTTATCATCATTTGGTTTTGTCTTGTTCCTTCGTCCGCAGATATGACAATATCATGAATGTCTGAGTACAGGATTGTTCTGCACATTTGCAAATATCAAAATTGCACTAAATGACTTAATGAGAAAGGTTTACAATTGAAAACTTGAAAACTTAAAACAAATGTATATTTTTCTTGTCAATGATTTCTCAAATTCAGTTTTAGTAAAGTTATCTTTAATACTTACAAGTTACTATGGATGCATATAAAGATTAATAAATGAGAAATTCAATATTCAATATATAAATGTTGAAAATGGCAATGCAATGATTGATATTTGTTCCCTGACAGGTTTCATGTGAATACTTTCCAGACTCTTCAATGGAGTTGATCCTCCTTTTCCGTCGTACACGTGGATTCTAATCAATCAATCAATCAATCAATCAATCAATCAATCAATCAATCAACCTTTCTTTTCCGTCAAACACATGGATTTACTTAAAACAATCTATCAAGCAATCATCGTTTGCATTAGCACACATGAATGTAAATCAATTAATCATAGTTTTCCATAGTACACGCGAAATTTAATCAATCAATCAATACTCTATTTCCGTCGTGCACGAGGATTCTAATAAATTTATCAATCAATCTTCGTTTTCCGTAATAAACGATTTATCATAGTTTTCCGTAGTACACGTGGATTCTAATAAGTCAATCAAAAATGATTTCTCGTCAAACAAGTTAATCATGATCATTAAATCAACAAACCATCTATTCAAGTCTCTTATTTACCATCTTACATTCTTTACCTTCTATATTTTATTATTGATTCTCTTACATAACGATTCTAATCAATCAGACAATAACTACTCTTTACCATTGTGAAGGTGGATTCTAATCAACCAACCAACCAACCAACCAACCAACCAACCAACCAACCAACCAACCAACCAACCAACCAACCAACCAACCAACCAACCAACAAACCAACCAACCAACNCAACCAACCAACCAACCAACCCCCAATCTTACTTGTTTGATTCCATCTCAGCAACTGCTAGTTCAGGAATAGGATCACCAGCTCTAGTGCAGTACAGTGTTATGTTTTTAATTTCCTCAATTGTTTGGATATTGTTTAGTTTTAAACTTGATCTCTATTTCCAATGTGGGCATTTTAAAATATAAGGATCAATTTCAATTATCTGTGCTTGGTAAAACCATCACGGGGATATCTGGGAGGAAGTGAGTTTATCAGTAGATCTGTATAAGATGGAGATCAATGCTTGAACCTGAGATTCGGAACACTTCAGATTGAAGCTTCCAGAGAGGAGATAAAATTAACCAGCAAATTTTTCTCTTTCTTATTCTTTTCCTCAAAAATCTTAAATATCTTTTATTTTCCTCAATTTGAAAACTGTGGTCAAAAATCGAAAAACGGCCTGATCTATGTTCGAGACAAACTTGTAAATAATGCTAGAATCCTTATTATTAAATCATAGACAACACTGTCATCCCTGTGAATCCATGCAGCTGTCGAAGGAACGTAGCCCAGCTGGATTATATTGATCATATCAAAATTAACAATATCAAAAACCTAAAAGAAATAGTAAATATTACATCAAAAGGTTTAAGAAAGGGTCTAATAAAATTTTCATTATTTATGATATAGTTCAAAGACATAACTCACTTTTATTAAAACCAATTTCACAAAATTGTATATTCATATTTTGAAATAAAGAACGCTTCCATTACTTTGATGGGTTCACCGACATAGGGTCAAACGAAAAACGGGCAAAAATGCGACAAATGGTAAAACGACAAAGGGTCAAAATGAAAACCAATATTTTATGTATTATTTCAGGGTCAGGTTAGATTGAAACAATTTCTGGGCCAAACGCTGAGGCTAGGACAGGCTGGGGGGCCGAGCGCTGCGGCTACTTATTATAATGAACATGAAAATAGTTCGAATTAACCAAAAATAGTCAAAATGAAATTTTGCACGCTTGGCGCACTTTTTGATCCTTTGTCGTTTTACCCTTTGTCGCGTTTTTTACCATTTGTCGTTTACCCTATGTCGTTTGATCCTATGACATTTGATTCTAGGTCGTTGACCCTTTGTCGGTGAATCCTTTAATGTTTTCCCTACTTTATATTTATATTTTGAAGTAAAGAACGCTTCCATTACTTTAATGTTTTTCCTACTTTATATTTATATTTTGAAGTAATGAACGCTTCCATTACTTTAATGTTTTTCCTACTTCATATAAAATTTTGAAGAAAAGAACGCTTCCATTACTTTAATGTTTTTCCTACTTTATATTTATATTTTGAAGAAAAGAACGCTTCCATTACTTTAACGTTTTTCTTACTTATTATTTATATTTTAAAGTAAAGAACGCTTCCATTACTTTAATGTTTTTCCTACTTTATATAAAATTTTGAAATAAAGAACGCATCCATTACTATTATTTTTTTAACCTTGACAGCTTTATCTGCAGATACTGTACAGAGCAGGGTTCCCGTGGAGTTAACAGCAAGCTCCACAATTGGAGACAGATGGGCACGGAAATGTTTAACGAATTCTACTCCAACCTTAACAAATATATGTTAAACGAATTCACCTACCACATATTAATAGACAAATATATGTTTAACGAACTCTACTCCAACCTTAACAAATATATGTTAAACGAATTCACCTACCACATATTTATAGACAAATATATGTTTAACGCACTCTACTCAGGGGTGTTTATTCCTCTGTTATTACCTTTCATTGGGTTTGGAGGAAAAAATGAAGAAAAAAGGAAAAAGGAGGAAGGGAAGGGGAAAAGGGGTAAGAACGAAGGGAAAAGGGTTAACAGGGAAGTGAAAGTGGGGAACAGAGAGAGAAGGCAAAATAAAAATTAATTCTCTGCACTTAACTTTAAGTCGTGGATTTGAGGAAAAATATGATTCTAAAAAGGAAGAGGAGTATATGAGTTACAGATTAATATACACCCCTGAATCTCTAGTTCAACCTTAACAAATATGTGTTTAACAAACTCAACTACCATATTAACAATTATCTGTTTAACGACTTCTACTAACATCTTAACAAATATATGATTAACTAACTCTACTACCATCTTGACAAACATGTGATTAACTAACTCTACTACCATCTTGACAAACATGTGTTTAACGAACTCAACTACCATATTAACAAATATCTGTTTAACGATTTCTACTAACATCTTAACAAACATGTGATTAACTAACTCTACTACCATCTTGACAAACATGTGATTAACTAACTCTACTACCATCTTGACAAACATGTGTTTAACGAACTCTACTCCTATCAAACAATTATCTGTTTAACGATTTCTATTAACGTCTTAACAAATATATCTTTAACGAACTCCACTCAATTCCATATTAACAATTATATGCATAATTAAACTTAACTCCAATATATACGAAGATATAGCAAATAACTTCAAGTGAGAGGATTGACGCAGATTACCTCCAATTTCTTCCAGAACTTGATATGACCGTCCTGGCTGGCTGTGATGATAAAGTCTGTATGAGTGACTCTAACATGAGTAACTGTATCACGATGCATGAAACTCTTCTCATAGTTCTCACCACTCGGCAGGTTTTCTAAAAAAAATGAATAAAATATTATCGTTCAAAAGAGCTGAACTCGTTATTTCTCGTTGATAAAAAATTCAAACATTTAGTCAATGACACGATAAAAGAAACATGAGTGAAACAGTTTACATTTATCAAAAACAAAAATATATAAGAAAACTGCACAACGAAACGAAACTATACCAGAAACTAATAGCTCAAACTGTTCAAGTTTTTTCTCAGACGACTATATAAGGTTAGGAGGCCGGGCGCTGCGGCTACATGTCAAACTATACCCAATTTTACATCTTAAAAGCATGCACATAAATCATAGGAGAGGGGTCCTAATATCCTTTGATAGGAAATTAGCACCACAGAAAATATATTGAAAATAAATATTCCCACTTAATTTAATAAATTTAAGTCACTGGAGCGTAAATTTCAGTGTTTCGGATCCGGATCCGGTCGGATCCGTATCATTTGGTCGGATCCGGATCCGTATCAGTTCAGATCCAATATTTTTCAGATTAGAACTCCTAAATCTTGATGATACATATAAACTAGGTGTTCTATCTTTTATGCATAAATACTTTTATGAAAACCTTCCAGCTTCCTTCCAGGATATGTTTAATTCTTTAGCTGAACCAAATAGAACGAAATCATATAAACTTGAACGAGTTCTCTTTAAACCCCTAGAATGTTTTCCCTCTGATTTATTTCCAAAAATATGGAATTCGATTGAATTAGAGCTGAAAGAAACTAAATCTGCAAAATCGTTTAAAAGAAAAGTCGCCAAGATCTCTTTAGATAGTTATGCAAATTATATCTGTAAAAAAAAAACTGTGTATCATGTGGATAAACTTAGTCCTTACTATCTTCATCACCCTGTAGTTCATAAAAATGATTTTAATAACTTATGTTACCCTCTGTTCCAACCCTTACGCTGAGTATCCTCCCTTTCCCTTATACTCACTCACCTCCTCCTTACCATTTTCCTGATTTATCATCATTCTTATGTTTAAAATGTACAATGTACATTGTTTTTATCTGCAATTCTCATTCGTTTATAGTGGGCCAACCAATTAAAACAACCTACTCTGGTTAGGTGGGTCCAAACTATATAGTAAATTGTGATTTTTTTATTTGCATTATCTCGTGCTTTGTAGTTGAATAAAATATGAATATGAATGAACAGATAAATGAACAAAGAGATTTATTATATAGATTTAAATTGTACTTCTACTCCTCACACATTTTTCAATACAGAAACTTTTACGAGCCTTAAATTATTTTCTGGACCTTTGTCCTCTTTTTCATCTCATAGAATTTAAGTTTAAGTTGAATTTTTCATTTTCAAAAATGTCTTTTTCTATCTATTGTTTAAATACAAATTATTACTAACATAACAGTATAATAAAATGTCGATTTTTAGAAACAATGCTTTTTCCTGCTAGTTTTGTTTGAAGGATCGAGATAAAGTATAGTATAACATGCAAGGTAATTGGACTGTATGTGGTACCTTTAAAGCTTTTTATACTTAGACTACCTCATATTCCAGTACTCTTTTCTTCTTGAGGGGCGCTGCGTCCTGAATACTTGGTCCCACCATATCATCTTCACTCGACTCCTCTTCCTCCTCCTCAGCTTCACGCTTCTCACCTCGAGGACTCAACTCATCAGCTGAAGGCATCTTGATATCTTCAATAAAAATGGAAATCAGTAAAAATATCTAAATTAAATCCTACAGAAGCTTATTTCACATTTCAAACAGTACACTGCATTTCGTTCTAATTCTCTTAGCCCCTGGCCCTTAAAGACTATACAAACTTATTAAGGGGCTTGGTTTTTCTTGAATATTACAAAATCTAAAGAAATAATGCATAAATTGAATAATTTTGGAAAAGAAAATTTAATTGCGGAACAAAAACAACAAGCGCGCACCCGGGAAATAATGCCAGGTGGTGCTATTTAAATGCTGGCGCGTCCTCAGAGTCGTCTTTGTTTGAATGAGCGTTTGCCAGATTTGAAATAAAAAAAGGAGAAAGAGAAAAATTTGAAATAATTCGTTACCTGCGAAGTAGCGATAGTTTATCCATGGCTTATCCTCCCCCTGAAGTTTTAATCATTTCAACAAATTGATAGAAATAAAAAGCAAATTTTTAAATAATTAAACCATTGTCGTATTCGAGACATTGACACGTAATTTGCTTTTTTTTTCAAGATCAGAATACATTGAAAACATTGAACCATCGTCAAGAATAACATTGCTTTTTATGTGTGATGTCTAACATTTTGTTGAAATGGTTTGGTGGAGGGGAGCTAAAAAACTGTCGCTGGGGTGATGAACTATAAATGTACGACACCCACATAACCGAAAATCTGCGCGCTATTTAACGAGAAAATTGCAAAATATAATTTTTTTGAGGACAGATCTGTAACGCTCAAGTAATGACCAAATTTATCATTTAAACACGTAAACTCCAATGTTGTGGCATGGAAGACCGTGCGGCTGTGGAATATGGTTGCCGGAAGACAAAAAAAAAGCTAATATTTAGTATGGATCAAGGGGAAAATGCTGATGGCTTATGGCGTCTGCCTTCCCAGCTCGGTAATTCAAGCGACGAAGGCTTGAGTTTGGAGGCAATAGAGTCATTGCACCGCCGTTTTGTAATCTTTCTTGTTATTACAATCTTGATTCAGCCGTTTGATCAGCCATAGTAATTAAATACCGTTTAACACTAAATGTTTCCAAAACAAAGTTTATGATATTTAGGAATAAAAATATCCTAGATCTATCTCTGTATACGCCCTTGTCCCCCGTCTAAACAATTATATTCATTGTTTTAAAATTATCCTTCATCTAGAACTGTAGTATCCTGACATATGTAAAACAATAATTGCTTATGTTTAAATGTGTAACAACTACTTAAAGCTTCACAAAACTTATAATTATCCCAGAAAAAGAACCGTAAGGAAATATTATTGAATATATATATTTGAATTGCCAAATATTTTAATTTTTAAGTCTGTCTATTTATTAATGTTTGTTTTAACCAACTTTGGTTCCTAATATGAATGTTGTTAATTGGGTTACATAAAATTGAGATTAAAAAACTACAAAGATTATAGATTTTTATTTTTGTTTTACATTTTCTGTTTCTAATCATTCCAGGTTTTTTGTTTTGTTTTTAAGATGAATCTGAGAGGTGTATTATACAAAATCCGATCTTTGATAAGTTTGCTTTTATTACATTATGTACTCATTTTTCCTGACCGAAGCTATAATTGACCAAAACATTTTTTTTCAAAATTATTTAAATAGTTTTGATTGATTTGTTTTGTCAGAGTATATATTTCTCATAAACTAAACGTGCATACAATTTTGAAATAGGCTAAACATAAAAAAGTCTGTTATGTAAAAGTCTAAAACCTTAAATTGTCAAAAAATGCCAAAAAAAACTGACCATCAATCGCTGTAAAAAGAACAATATCATAAATTCTTGAAGATTGTGGACTGTTAACAAAGGAATTGAAGATTGCGTACAGTTAACAAAGGAATTCTTGAAGATTGTGTACTGTTAACAAAGGAATTCTTGAAGATTGTTTACTGTTAACAAAGGAATTCTTGAAGATTGTTTACTGTTAACAAAGGAATTCTTGAAGATTGTGTACTGTTAACAAAGGAATTGAAGATTGTGTACTGTTAACAAAGGAATTTAGTTTTTGCCACAAATTATGATTTTACAATTGCCATATCTTTTTAACCTGATCACATAGATTCAGCCTCCTTATAAATAGTCTCATCAATTTTTAAGACAGGGCTGACTTTGAAGTGTCGCAACTCCCTAAGCTTAGATTTTACCGCTCTAACTCACTTATGCTTTTCTGTAGCCCTTTACATGTACATTTTAGCACTGTAAAGCACTTCTTGTTAGATTTGGTTTTTTAGAAGTAATTGGCAAAATTCTCAACGATTTTTGCTTGAGAGCGTGAGACCATTAAATCGCAGTGGATGGAGTAAACCTTTGATATTTCAAATTATCATTATATAATCTAAAATGATTCATACTCTGAAATATCTAAGGTTTCCGACATTCAAATGCAAAGATATATGGATAAGAAAAACAGAGTTTGTGACAAAAACTCAATTCCTTTACTGGGTTTAAGAGTGATCATATGTATGTTATCCATGAAGAACTTATACCAAAAATGAAGTATATCCCTGTTACGATCTAAAATATCAGTTGGAAGTTGAGTATTTTATAAACAAATACCCCCTGCCATAGATCTTAAGTTATTACGACCAAGCTTTAAACAGTTTGCAGTTATTATATCATATCCTAGGTTTGTAGTTGATGAAGAATCCTCGAGCCATTAACAGATAATCCCTTTTTGAAATCTTGTAGTGGTAATACCCTGCAGTGATAACATTATTTGAGGGATCAAGCATTGATCATAAATTTTCATAAATGCCCACATTAAATATCTGGACCAAACATTCAAGATTAACCCTCCTCTACCCAGAAGTTCCGACCTAAGAACAAATAACCAAAGTAAAGTGCCTCCTGGCAGATTATTAGATGACAATGGTTCAGTTTTGTCACGAACACGAACTTTGAACCTGATTTTGTATATCTTTGATATGTAAAACTGCGAACTTTGTTAGATCAAATGTTAAAAATATCAAAGGTTGCAAAGATATAGGTTTTATACATTTTAAGCTTGCGGCACAGACTCATTTTATATGATACGAAAAAGTTGTGATATGGCGAAAGAGTACTAAACAATCTTTTAATATATTTATAGACAAGGAATTTAACGAAGGACATGGTTTAGCTTTTAGTGACCGTTAAAGGAAAAGCATGTATTAAAAATATTAATTTATATATATACTCCTATATATAGTATTTCTTATATTTTTTCAGTTTAAATAATGATTTTATATGTTTAAATATATTTTTTTCCAAGACAAAATGTGTCATGGGTCTAACCCAATTAATCATCAGTTGGAATAAAACTGATATTGGTGCATTTTTTACAATGATTTCACGGATTTTTACAGAATATGATTGAAATTGTTTTACATTTAAAGTGATAAATATTGTTTTACTTTTAAAAAATCTTATTGAAAATCTCCTATATATACTTTGCTTGTCTGGGTGTCTGTCTGTTTGTTTCCAATAAACGTAAAAACAACTGAACCGATTGAGTCCAAGTTTTGTGTGGGACCTCACATGACCCCAGGAAGTTTTATGGAATAGGGATTGATATTATACAATTCGTAGTTTGAAACATCAAAGGTCTACGACATTGGATTGCAAAGATATAGAAATTAGAAAATCAGAGTTAGTGACAAGAACTCAGTTCCTTTGTTTCAAAAACTTTTGAATTTTTGTAAAATTTTAAAATTCCATGAAAAAAATCATTAAGTCTACAAATTTTTGTTTCTTTTTGTTTTATATGTACAAAAGGGAAGATGCGATCGTCGTTAATTCCTCCTACAGATATTTAAAAGTTATAAACTTCATCTTTATTACGTCTTAAATACTTCATAAAAAAAACTTAGGCCTAGGCCTACAGGCAACGTTTAGTAGCTTAATTAAGTCAATTAGTTTTAACTCATTCATTGTTGCTCATGAACATCTGCAGTTTTATTGTTAATTTGAACCAGGTTGTTTACCTTAAAATTTCATTCTCTCCTCTCACCCCAACAAGAAAACATGGTCTCCATAATTCAGATTCATACTTTAGGTAAGACATTAAAGGGAATGTTTGCGAAAAATGAAAGCGGGTATAGGTTAACTTTAAAAAAAATTCTATCTGTTGCGTCTGTAAGGAGAAAATTGTTAAAAAAAACCAATACCGCGAAAAACGCATGACCCATACAAATTCAGATATTTGCATTATTTTTAACAATTTTCTTCTTATGGACGCCATAAACAGATACAAATAAAATTGTTAGCAATCGAAATCGAATTAAATTAGATATCAATGTTTTCAATCATAACTTCTTTAAGTGAAGAGTTGATGAGAAGAATAAAAATGTTTTAAATATCCCGAATGAATTGGCTTTTTTTTCATTCTTTTGCGAGGTTACAAAGTCGTTGCAGTAATGTTGCATACATTTTACCCTTCCCTTCTATATCTGTCTAGTCTGCACTTTGCATTGCCCCTATTAAAGAGGTTTAATATTCTGACCTAATGATGCTATTTAAGGGAAGCTGTTGCTAAGTTTCCTTCTACTCCCTGTTGGCCTTGTGTTAGGAGAAGACGAGTGCTGTGATGTCAAATTTGTCCAAGGTTAGTCACAGCAAAGCAGAACAGCTGGCTTGGGACCAATGTATCATTTACTCTCTGACAAATTAGAATCAATGGAAATTTAAACCCCCAAGGGATTCAATGATAAACCCGAGGGTGTAGCCCAAGGGTTTATCATTGAATCCCGAGGGGGTTTAAATTTCCATTCCTTTATAAAAGGCTGGTTTTTTGGTATGCAACAATTTTCATATAATACCGCCGGGATATTTTCATTGAAAGATACTTTGAAAATCTACAAAGGCAAAACAAAAATCCGCAAAATCCGCAAGCCCTCGGGTTTATCATTGAATCCCCTCTTTAAAAAGGAATGTCATTTACTCTCAGACAATTTAGAATCAATGGAAATTTGTCTGAGAGTAAATGATACATTGATTCTACTTTGTCTGAGAGTAAATGATACATTGATTCTAATTTGTCTGAGACTAAATGACATTCCTTTGTAAAAAATAACAAATTATTTTTAAGATTTATTATCATTTTTAAAAGAGGCGGGATTAAATGAAAATTGTTCCATAACAAAAACCGGCTTTTTATAAAGGAATGATAGTTTTTTCATTGATTGCGCGAGCAAAATTACAAAATTGCTCAGCATTCTGATGTGCTGTTCGTATTCTCTGCAATCTTCACTCGGATTGATTTAATTTTATATAGTTTCCTTGATACAAACTGAAAACTTTATTAATCTTGAGATTTATTAAAGAGGAGATCAAGCATTAAACTTGATATTCTAAGGTTTTCACATCAGGTCGTTTTTGAAATTGAAGTGCGGCAACGCCTTGGGGGTTGGTTATAATTTACTTACTTCAAAACACCTTTTAACCCGATTCTAAAACTATGACGGGATTGTTTTAGCTTCAGATTTTAAGATGTAATATAATTCTGTCAAAGTACTGATTGAATTTAATGTTAGAGCGTGGAAATTTTTAATGACTTGAGTTCAAATATCTCAAAAGAATTTCTCCACAACACTACAATCTCAGTTCAACTACCATTTTTTGCCGGTCACTCCCTTTAAACTACACTAAACTAACTACACTATCTTACTAATGGGAGCTGCCAATGCTAGTCTGAATAAACAATACTACCTACTAAACTATCTTGCTTATAGGAGCTGCCAATGCTAGTCTGAACGGACTATACTACCGACTAAACTATCTTGCTTATAGGAGCTGCCAATGCTAATTTGAACGGACTATACTACCTACTAAACGATCTTGCTTATAGCAGCTGCCAATGCTAGTCTAAATGGATTATACTAACTACTAAACTATCTTGCCTATAGGAGCTGACAATGCTAGTCTGAACGGACTATACTACATACTAAACTATCTTGCTTATAGGAGCTGTCAATGCTAGTTTGAACGGACTATACTACCTACTAAACGATCTTGCTTATAGGAGCTGACAATGCTAGTCTGAACGGACTATACTACCTACTATAAAGGAGCTGCCAATGCTAGTTTGAACGGACTATAATACCTACTATACTATCTTGCTTATAGGAGCTGACAATGCTAGTCTGAACGGACTATACTACCTACTATACTATCTTGCTTAAAGGAGCTGCCAATGCTAGTTTGAACGGACTATAATACCTACTATACTATCTTGCTTAAAGGAGCTGCCAATGCTAGTCTGAACGGACTATACTACCTACTATACTATCTTGCTTATAGGAGCTGCCAATGCTAGTCTAAATGGATTATACTAACTACTAAACTATCTTGCTTATAGGAGCTGACAATGCTAGTCTGAACGGACTATACTAACTACTAAAATATCTTGCTTATAGGAGCTGACAATGCTAGTCTAAAGGAACTATACTACCTTCTAAACTATCTTGCTTATAGGAGCTGCCAATGCTAGTCTGAACGGACTACACTACCTACTAAACTATCTTGCATATAGGAGCTGCCAATGCTAGTTTGAACGGACTATACTACCTACTAAACAATCTTGCCTATAGGAGTTCACAATGCTAGTTTGAACGGGCTATACTGCCTACTAAACTATCTTGCTTATAGGAGCTGACAATGCTAGTCTGAACGGACTATACTACATACTAAACTATCTTGCTTAAGGGAGCTGCCAATGCTAGTCTAAATGGATTATACTAACTACTAAACTATCTTGCTTATAGGAGCTGACAATGCTAGTCTAAACGGACTATACTAACTACTAAAATATCTTGCTTATAGGAGCTGACAATGCTAGTCTAAACGGAAGTACTACCTACTGAACTATCTTGCTTATAGGAGCTGACAATGCTAGTCTGAACGGACTATACTACCTACTGAACTATCTTGCTTATAGGAGCTGACAATGCTAGTCTGAACGGACTATACTACCTTCTAAACTATCTTGCTTATAGGAGCTGCCAATGCTAGTCTAAACGAAATATACTACCTACTAAACTATCTTGCTTAAAGGAGCTGACAATGCTAGTCTGAACGGACTATACTACCTACTAAACTATCTTGCATATAGGAGCTGCCAATGCTAGTTTGAACGGACTATACTACCTATTAAATGAAACTGATGCCCCAGTGAGAGAGGAGTGTAAAGATGGGTGTATTTATTTAAAGGTAAAAAATAAGATACGTTTATATGATTAGTTTAAAGATTTCATAAAGAGCCTGTAATTTGGGAGGGGTATTTTGTAATATCTTAGTTCAGTTTTAAACAACTTTTAAGGTTTTTTGAATTTTATAAAGTTCCACAAAAATCTTAAAAGTTTAACTAATTTTAAAATTGTTAATTCTGAATTCTGATCGTTTGCTTTCCTTACATTATCACAAATATTTTGACCCTGAGAAAAGATATATAAACAAAAAATCTTGAAACTTAATTGAAATTTATTTACAGTTTTTAATCTTCCTGATATTAAATACCCTTTTTTTATTCTTTTATTTTTGTTATTCAGATTATTGTCGGTAAGTTTTCACTTTTACACCCATTTTCACCAATTAAATGTACATAGACTTTATTGTGTATTTTTTCTAATGGTTATACGTTTTGATTATCAAAGTAGGTATTTAAGGTCCATTTCATATTCTTTGATGGTTTTGATTAAAAAAAATATCTTGAAAAACTTAGATTTTATTTAGTTTCGAGTGGCGTGATACATAATGAATTGTGGTTTGATTCAGGGGCGAACATGGGAGGGCCGGGGGGGGGGACACTGGGTGCACGTGCCCCCATACGGGAGCCCCTCCGGGGGGGGCATGCATATGGGGGTCTCATATATTAAATGATTTTATATGATGTGCGGGACAAATGAAAAATAAGAATGTTAAAAGTCAACTTAATTAATCCTTTTTTAATACTTTTTAAACAAAAAATTATTTTTGAAAGGGGGAAAGATTTTTCAAGAAAGGAACTAAGCTTTTGCCACAAACTCTAACTTCTAATCCCTATTTCATTGAAACCTGATGGTGTAAACCTTATTTCAAACCTAGGCTTTTTCATAGAATTCATAGTGTTTGAAATATCAAAGATTATACGACATCGGATTGCACGGTTTTTTAGAGATAAAAAACTAATCAGTAATTTTGTCAAGATAGGGGTTTTTAGGGGGACCAAAAAATATTCAAGTGGGTGCACAAAAAAAATTTTGCGCATAAAGTGCCATTCACTAGACAGCTCTCATACACCCCTGGTCGGATTCCACGATTTTCATTCATTGCACATAATTTGAAAAATCTGACAGAAAACAATATTAATTGGTTTTCTGCATGCCTTAATAACTTTTTAATGCATGAATAGCATGTAGACAGTTTTTAACAAATAGCAAGGCGCCTGTTTTAATAGCTCAAAACAATTTAATGACATACCATTTTTCTGCCAAAAAATTCATTACTTTTTTACCTTTTTGTCTTTCTCAAGCAAACCAGGATAAAAATTAAATCAAGTTTTTTAATATAAGCTTCAATGGAATAATATCTGTTCAATGGTTGATCGCTGGATAAGAAAAATATTCTAAAACATATCTTTGAAATATAAAAATTGTATTTTTGTAGGACAATGATGAATACTGTTTTAAAGCAGTTCCAATTGTGGAAGCCCCTGATGTGGATTGTAAGGTAATTAAACCAAATTACTTTTTTATTTTATTTTCCCCGTTAAAGGAACTGTAAGCGTATTTTCAAAAATGATAAAAAAGTGAAAGATCAAGTCGTTTTTTTGACTCGAAAAGTTTTGTTTCTGTAAGTTTCTCAATTGCTTCTCACAAAAAATGTGCAATTAACTTTCGCAGAGAAACCGTAAATGGAAATAAACTATTTGAAGATACAAAACATGCATATCTATTTTATACTTGATCAGACAAAGCTTTTAAAGGGAGTGTTCGCGAAAAATGATAGCTTAATGCGATAAAAAAGCGCTTTTGATCGCTACTAATCTTACTTCTATCTGTTGCGTCTATAAGGAGAAACTTGTTAAAGACGTCTCATACCGAATAACTTAGCGCCCATACAAATTCAGAAAATTGCAACATACAACTTAGACCGTGAAAAATCCATTTAATTTTAAACAAATCAGTCAGACAGTACAACCTATAGTAATCGATTATCTTTCGCCACATTTGTATATAGTTTATATTTTATAATATTTTATTTTTTTAGAAAACGTTTTATAACTGATTTCGAAAAATGTGAGTGTTCCGCGGCATTCTTAGTTGCGCAAGCCGCAAGAGAAATAATCAAATTCAAAACAAATTAATTAAAAAATATTATAAAATATAAACTATATACAAATGTGGCGAAAGATAATCGATGACTATAGGTTGTAATATCTGAATAATTTGTTTGAAATTAAATTGATTTTTATACGGTCTAAGTCGTATGTTGCAATTTTTTGAATTTGTATGGGCGCTAAGTTATTCGGCATAAGACGTCTTTAACAAGTTTCTCCTTATAGACGCAACAAATAGAAGTAAGATTAGTAGCGATCAAAAGCGCTTTTTTATCGCATTAAGCTTTGTATGGAAGGTCACTTGAAATTACGCTTACAGTCCCTTTCAAGAGACTGTAGAAGATATTCCAAGCGACCCTCCATTGAAAAAGCGGCATGGCTTCTGTAACATTATCCTTACAAATTTTGTCTAATCATGAAAGACTGAGATATCCATGTTCTTCTCGGCGAAAATTGATTGTTTTCAATTATTGTTTCTTTCCTAAAATTGACTTTACGATTTTTAAATAATCTCAAACCTATTAATTATTGGTAATCTGTGTTTTCTCAAATTGTTAACAATTAAATGAGTTTCCTTTTTTCAATTCCTAATCAGGATACTACTAAAACATGTTTTTCAATTCCTAATCAGGATACTACTAAAACATGTTTTTCAATTCCTAATCAGGATACTACTAAAACATGTTTTTCAATTCCTAATCAGGATGCTACTAAAACATCTTTTTCAATTCCTAATCAGGATACTACTAAAACATCTTTTTCAATTCCTAATCAGGATACTACTAAAACATCTTTTTCAATTCCTAATCAGGATGCTACTAAAAAATGTTTTTCAACTCCTAATCAGGATACTACTAAAACATGTTTTACTTGTACAAAAAGAATTTGACATTTTCGATAAATAGTTTCACTCTTTAAAAAAACTCGATATTCAAACTATCAATGTTGACATATTTGATAAGTTAAAAAAAAATAAGATTTACAGAACTCAACTCTGTTTATTATGATTATAAAACCAATAAATTATATAAAATCTGAGAATTATTATTTGAATCCAGGAACTAACGAAAGAAGAATTAGCCGCACTCCTACAGGAAGAGATTGAACTAGAAAGTTTATTAGAAGCATTATTAGATCTGGACCAAGATATTCCAGATTTAAGAAGAAGTCGCCGTGACCTAGCAACACCAACGACATGTGAACAAATGCTCAAGTACTTAGAGGATGTTATACCCTACATTGGAGACAGTAAACCCCCCAGCGGAGGAGTGAAATACGTTGTTGCTGTGGCTAAGGCTGTTCGCCAAGGTGGCATTCTGTGCAGTCCCCTCAAACGGATAATAAGACATCTAATTCATCTTATTCGAAATCGTATCAAAGCAATTCACAATCAAATAAAAGCAACTACTGCAGGAGAAACAACTACAGATCGAGTAACAACTACAGCAGAAGAAACTACTACTTCAGAAGAAACAACTACTGCTGGGGAAACAACTACTTCAGAAGAAACAACTACTGCTGGAGAAACAGCTACTTCAGGAGAAACAACTACTGCAGGAGAAACAACTACTTCTGGGGAAACAGCTACTTCAGAAGAAACGACTACTACAGGAGAAACAACTGTTGCAGAAGAAACAACTTCTGCAGGAGAAACAACTACTGCAGGAGAAACAACTACTTCACGAGAAACAACTAATGCAGGAGAAACAACTACTTCAGAAGAAACAACTACTGCAGCTGAAACAACTACTTCTGGAGAAACAGCTACTGGAGGTGAAACAACTACTTCTGGAGAAACAACTACTGCAGGAGAAACAACTACTGCTGGGGAAACAACAAATGCAGGAGAAAGAACTACTTCACAAGAAACAACTACTGGAGGAGAAACAACTACTATAGGAGAAACATCTACTGCAGGTGAAACAACTACTTCTGGACAAACAACTACTGCAGGTGAAACAACTACTTCTGGAGTAACAACTACTGCTGGGGAAACAACTACTTCAGGAGAAACAACTACTGCAGGAGAAACAACTACTGCTGGGGAAACAACTACTTCTGGAGAAACAACTACTTCAGGAGAAACAACTACTGCAGGAGAAACAACTACTGCAGGAGAAACAACTACTGCTGGGGAAACAACTACTTCTGGAGAAACAACTACTTCAGGAGAAACAACTACTTCAGGAGTAACAACTACTGCTGGAGAAACAACTACTGTAGGAGAAACAACTACTGCAGGGGTAACAACTTCTTCAGGAGAAACAGCTACTCCAGGAGAAACAACTACTACAGGAGAACCAACTACTGTAGGAGAAACAACTACTGCTGGGGAAACAACTACTGTAGGAGAAACAACTACTGCAGAGGAAACAACTACTGCAGGAGTAACAACTACTGCTGGGGAAACAACTACTGCTTGGGAAACAACTATTGTAGGAGAAACAACTACTGCTGGGGAAACAACTACTTCAGGAGAAACAACTACTGCAGGAGTAACAACTACTGCTGGGGAAACAACTACTTCTGGAGAAACAACTACTGTAGGAGAAACAACTACTGCTGGGGAAACAACTACTGTAGGAGAAACAACTACTGCAGGGGTAACATCTACTTCAGGAGAAACAACTACCTCAGGAGAAACAACTACTACAGGAGAAACAACTACTGTAGGAGAAACAACTACTGCTGGGGAAACAACTACTGTAGGAGAAACAACTACTGCAGGGGTAACAACTACTTCAGGAGAAACAACTACTGCAGGAGTAACAACTACTTCTTGGGAAATAACTACTTCTGGAGAAACAACTACTGTAGAATATGGAGAAGCTCCTCAAATATTGTCTTCATAATTTTATTTTACCTTATTTGATTTTACAGGTTATTCATGTAAAGTTTTGCACTAAGCATACTATTAAGAGGTTTTGTAATGATTTGTTGAAGATTAGTATGTATATTGGAATTTAATAAATTTTGAAAAATAAGTTTTTTTATTGAGTCATTTTCTGCATTTAAAAAGAAACTGAGTTTTTGCTACAAATTAGAATTCTCTAATTCTTATATTTGTGCAACCTAATGGTTCAAACCTTTGATATTGTAATTTGAAAATATTTTAGCTCACAGAAACTAAAGTTTTAAATAACTAAAGTCTTAAACATTGGGTTTGAAGGAAAAAGGATTAAAAGTCACAGTGTGTGTGTGTTAAAAACTTAATTACTTTCATAAAGTTAAAAATATAACTTTTAATTCCGGCCAGAGTTCTGTTTTTCATTTTCTGTAATATTTAAAAGTGTTTTAAAAATCTGCTTTATTTGCTCCTTGTATGAAATATTTATTAATGATCTGTAAATTATTTATTTTTAAAAACTTTAAAGTACTTTACGGAAAAATCTGAAGGTTATTTTAAACACGATATGAAAGGTTTATGAACAATGATACAAACATTTCAATTGTATAAAATAATAAATACTTTATTGTGCAGAAACTTGGCTTAATGTTCATTACCTTTGCATTTTTACTTTTGTGATGAAAGTAAAAAAAATCCACCAAAACTGAATTTTGAAATATCAAATTTCTTTCTTGCCTTGATTACAAAAGTTAATTTTTAAAATTCCATTATCACATGTTAGTTACTGGGAAGTGCTTTAGAAAACTTACTTTGAATATCAAATTTTAGTTTTCTTTGTTATGGAACTATTCCAGGAATTCGTCTTTGTATCAAAACAAAACTTGAATTCAGCCTTTGCTGACAACAATAGATAATAGAAGGTTACTTCATTGGTCTTTTATCTGATATAAGAATTAAAAATTAAAAGGTTTATGTTTCGATTTCATGCTTCACAATTTATAGTTGATGCAAAATCTTCTTTGCGGCAGGATAAAAAATTTTAAAATTAAATATGCTACTCCAAATTTTAGATAAAATATGCTACTCCAAATTTTAGATAAAATATGAATATTAAATATTCTTATCCAAATTTTAAAATTAAATATTCTACCCCAAATTTCAAAATTCAACACAATATTATAGCATCGTGGGCATCTTTTAGAGTAAAAACAGCAAGAACAGGCTATAGTGATTCGCAAAAGGAGGCAAAACAATGGCACAGCCATATATATATATATATATAATTTATATATATATATATATATATATATAATATCGACGCCCGAAATAGTGTAGAATTATAAATAATAATTACATATCAAAAAGTATAATAATGCTTTAATGTAATTTAATAAATATCTATTTTCCAATCTCCAAAAGTTCTATTTCTCTGATCCAATCTCTTGAAAAGCATTCAATTTCTTTAGTTTTGAATTTTAAACAACACATAAAGGATTTGAGTCTTTGTCAAAAACTCTGATTTTCTAATCTTTTGCAACCCGATTTCGTAGGCCTCAGATATTTTAAACTATGAATTCTGTTAGATAAAACAACTTTAGGTTAAAATATTTAATGGTTAAACCATCAAGTTGCAAAAATATAGGGTTTAGAAACTTAGAGTTTGTGACAAAGACTCAATTTCTTTATCTTTGCAATCAGATATTCTCCTGCCTGATTCTTTATCAAGACTATGTTGGAAAATGTTTACAAAGTAAATATAATCTTTGAATTCCTTTAACCGTTGACTCATTTTTTGAATTTATAATTTATTCATTTATGATTAATGATTTTTAATTTATGGAGGGAAACAATAAAAAGATAAAAAAGATGGAAGTAACCCTTCAATTTATCAGTTCTTTACGTGTACAACCATAAATATGTGTACATAATAGCTTGGTGTGCATAATTATGTGTACATAATAGCTTGGTGTACATAAAGTTTTTTCTTCTTTATTGAAGGGTTGAATCACAGGCAATATTTGCTCTCAACAGTTCATTTTCGTAATTCAAATATATCAAATAAATTCAGTATCATCGATAAAAAGTAAAAAAAAATATAACAATTTTCAGAATGAGTTTTCACATTTTCTATGTTATTTTGTTTGTTTCTGTTTACGTACATTCATCAAAGGGAGAACCCAAAAATGACCTGACCACCAAACTATCATACTTTCTTCAAGATCTTACAGGTTTAAAAAATATCTAATTTAAAAAAAAAATTAATACTTGTATCCTTGTGCGTTTTTTTCAGGATCAAATTCGTTGAAATCTGATCAAAGAGAGAGGTATTTGTAATTTTCATTAAAATGTATTTTTTGCATTTAAAAAAATGTTATTTTTAGGAATGACGACTTTTTGCAAATCAACATAGGGTAAGATCTAGGTGCAAACCTTGAAATAGAAATGAAACAAAAATGTTGAATATGTAGATAAATAAATATAATAATGTTGAATATGAAGATAAATAAATATAAAAATGTTGAATATGAAGATAAATAAATATAATAATGTTGAATATGAAGATAAATAAATATAAAAATGTTGAATATGAAGATAAATAAATATAAAAATGTTGAATATGAAGATAAATAAATATAGTTTTTGAATGTTTGAACTGCAGGGTTCCCTTTCCTTCAGTTTATTAAATTTACTTTTGTTTGTTTCATTCAGTTGTTAATCAATTCAACCTCCAAAATTTCACATTTTAACAATACTTTTACCTTCGAAAAATACAGAAACACACATTTTTATACAACTTTTTATCATTAAATAACTCTAAATTCGAATGCCGGAAATCCCCATCTTAACGTTTTCTGTCACAAAATTAGGCAGTTTGGTTCACAGAGCTCTTGAAGGAATTGTAAGCGCAATTTCAAGTAACACTCAACTTATATAGTGTCATGTCCGATCTATAACGATACCTTTTTAAATTTTATTGGATCAAGGATTGCGTAGATATTCCTATTTATATATAGCGGGAAATTAAATGCCTATAAGAAACTGCTCGAGTGTACACTAGCATGGAGCGTACAGTGTACATTAAGGTACACTAGCACGGAGCGTACAGTGTACACTAGCATGGAGCGTACAGTGTACAAATTGTAACCTGAAGTCTCCTCTTCTGGGACTCAATCTTTAGCTATACAAATGAGAGTATCTACCAAAGCATTGTCCGGAAAAGGTTTAAAAGGTACATTTGTTTAACAAAACATGCTTCTCTTTAAATTAGAAGTCACTTGAAACTACGCATACAGTCCCTTTAATTGATTGAAATATTTATTATTTCTTCCTCTTTCTAATTCTAAAGGAAAATTTGAGAAATTTTCCACAGACTAATCTGTTCTAGAGAATAGTCTATTTTTTAAACTAGATAATTTTCATAAGAAATATAAATGGATCCACATATATTTGCGGATCCGGAACCAGGACGCCAAAATATTGCGGATCCGACCCCCTTCCCTTTGTTACAAAAAAAAAAAAAATTGTGTTTTTCCCTAATGTGGTAAGCATGCAAATAGAAAAGTTCAAAGTTGCGCTTTTTAACTTTTATGCAAGTTAAGCTCGAAATGAGTGCCAATAATGTAAAACTTACTTATTTATAAACTAATTTAAAACAAACAATAATATTTTTTTTTACAAACGTTTGACCTGTCAAAATAAAAAAATAAAAAATTTAGAATTTATTTTTTAGGGTTCTTAATTATCCATGTTTTTGTTGTGTGGTGATATTTTTTGAAAAAAATTTGATTATGTCCTGTATATACATGCAATTTTGGTGAAATGTTATTGCGAAATTACGCAATGTATAACTAGTGATGGCTTGTAAAAAAAATCACATAAAATTGCTTAAAGGTATGCACAAGCTGCAAGCAAATATCTCTTATAAAGTGTAAGAGCCCAGAGATAGTAGAAGCGTTGTAATTAGAATATCAGCTGCTGAACCTAAAACAAGAAAAAGAAAACGAAAGCAAATTCAGTGTTACGCGAGCTACGCTGCGTTCATAAAGTCTATGTGATACCCCTGTGATTCTCTGAGTTCCCCCTGAGGATCTGTACAGAACTTATTGTGAAGAACTAGTTTTAGAAGCTGTTTACAGTCCGACTACGCATGCGCAAGTTCTCTGCGTAGGAGCGAGCAGATTCTACTTCAGTATATAGTTGTATTTCATGTAATGTTCGTCGATTATTAAAACCGTGTGAAAATTCTAGGACCACTGCGGTAATTATGATTATATTTATATGAATATTGTTTATTTATGTTCGGTTATGGTTGATATTGTATGATGTAATGGGTTCCTTGCCACAGTTTTTTAATGCCTGAGTGGATTTATTGCTGTATTTGTATGATTTATCACTCAATGCTTTTTCTGTTGGCTTATAAAAGATTATTTAGATTGAAGGCTTAGAGAAATAAACGTTCGGAACCTTATTATCATCCTTTTGTTATGGAGAGCGTTGAGAGAAGGAAGCCTTACAATCCTATCCAGAGAAATCCGCCTCGGTACTTATAGATTTCATTAGGTCTTTAGGGAATTCGCTAAGTAGCGAAACATTCAGTTCCATAAAAAATGCTAATTCAGGGGTTATTTTTTATTGCATAAAGTATAGACTGACTCATATCATCCAAAATAGGTTTTGTAATATCTGTTTTTTATCAAAACGTTTTCCATAACCAGATTTTATAAAATCTCATTGCAAAAACGACATTTTAAAAATGGAAGAAATCTGCGAATATAAAATAAAGAATTAATCGATTAATACAATTTCAGCTGTATTTTTTATGTTATTTTTCAACTTATTAAAGTCTTGGCTAGATCTCAACTAATAGATCTCAACTACTAGATCTCAACTACTAGATCTCAACTACTAGATCTCAACTACTAGATCTCAACTACTAGATCTCAACTACTAGATCTCAACTACAAGATCTCAACTACTAGATCTCAACTATTAGATCTCAACTACTAGATCTCAATTACTATATCTCAACTACTAGATCTCAACTACTAGTTATTTTTGGTATTTTTCTCCAAAGTATTCTTGATAAGTCACAGAATCTGCATTTTTATTTTTGTTGCAATAAAGAGAAAATTAATTCAAATCTTTAGAATTGAGGACTTTGACAGTGAGTACCAAAAACTCACTTTCGACAGTAAAGATGAGTTTAAATCAGTTTTAAAATATCTAGACATCAAGACAAAGAAGATTTTAATCATCACTTATCAGGTAAAAGTAATGGATTTATCAAAAATAAAAAGTAAGGAATTAATTGAACCTCCTTCCCTTAACAACCTGGTGTAAACTTTTGATATCTCAAACTTTGGAATTATTAGATATAGCAAAATAAATTGTATCTTTGCCATAAACTCTAATTTTCTAATTCCTATATCTTTGCAACCTAGGATAACCTAGGATAATTCAAAATACTAAGAAAAATATAATTTTCATCCAACATAATTTGTTGGAAGATCATTTGTCAAATTTTGTTGATTAATCAACATTTGAATTCAGTGTATGAATTTTGTTATACCAAACAATCTGAGTTTAAAATATCAAAGATGTTGCAAAGAAATAGGAATTAGAGACCTCAGTTTGTGGCAAAGACTCAATTTCGTTTTAGTTTCTAATATCAAAGACCTACAATGTAAGGTTTTAAAGATATCTGGATTAGAAAATTAAATTTTATGGCAATTGTTTAATTCTGGTTTTTACAAAGAAATCAATTTTTTAAATCTGGTTAATTCTTAGTTCAATTTTATTCATAAATTGAATAAAAATCGTTGATAAAAAAACACAAAGCAAGACTTATTTTCAAAAAATACAATAGTTCTGCATATTTCAGTGTAATACATTTAGCAAAAGAATCATTTTTAGGATTTAACAATTTGGGAGTTTTTTCAGAAGTGTATTTTGTTGGTAAAACACTTTAAGTGACTGGGGTTAAAGATCTAAGAGTTGGAGGATACAAACCTACCCTAGTGGTATAATTTAGGGGACTGGGGTTAAAGATCTAAGAGTTGGAGGATACAAACCTACCCTAGTGGTTTTTATCGACGTCAACCAAGAGATAAACCATGAAGGTAAAATAAAGTTAGTTTTTATCAGTTTTTTTACAAACACGATCTTATGTTTTCAGCTTTACTAGATTATACTTTTAACTTTTTTTATCTATTGAAAGATTTAAATAATAAAAAATTGATAAACAAATCTCTTTTTTTATAATCAATCTGATATAAATTGAAGATATCTAAAGAATTTAAAAAATCAAATGTTAAAGATGGTACTAAAATAATAAAAAAGCATTTAGATACATACAAAATAATAAATCACAATCATAATAATAGTTCTATTAGTGTTTTAACATAGTTTAACAAATAATATTCTCACAGAAAAATATAAAAATACTTTATTGATAGTTTTTTTCTAATTTTAAATAATTTATTCACACTCATAAAAAATATGTGGCCAAATAAGAAATTATTGGCATTCATTTTTATTTTTTTTTAATAAAAAGGAATTGAATTTTTGTCACAGGATTTTCTAATCTCAATGTTTCAAACAAATCAAACAGATCAAATAATCCAAGTTTGAAATATCAAAGGTTTAATTATCAAGTTGCATAGATATTGTGATAAAGAAAATTTGGTTTCTTTCAACTGGTAAACTTTATGAATTTTAGATGGATATTCATACTTGGAGATATACAAAAATTCTCAAGCCTTGAAATTTAGGTAAAATTTTTTGATCAATTCAATTCCTTAACAATTAATATTCACTTTTATTTAAATTTGTATACATTTTTTTAAGGAATATAAATGGTGATGTTTTCACTGGAGTTTGGTCAGTGTTTTATTCAAAGCCAAAATTTGAAAGTTCTTCCTTTGATGATATAAACTCATTAAATAATCAGAAAATACGGTGAGATAATTTGATAATATAAACTCATTAAATAATCAGAAAATACGGTGAGATAATTTGATAATATAAACTCATTAAATAATCAGAAATTACGGTGTAAGTAAGTATTTAATATAACAAAAACATACAAAATTAAGTGTTTAAAGAGAAAATATTTGAAAACCTCCAAAAATAGAGGTTGTTTGAATATTTCCCCCCAATTTTGAAAAAACTATAAAGAAAGAAATAAAAGTTACATTTTTATTGTTTACATTTTATTTAATGTAATCTAGTGGTAGATTGTTAGTTTTTTTTCGATGATGAACTAACAACTTTTAGAAATAAAAATGATAGATTTATTTGTAATGTTAAAAAACTCATTAAACAATCAGAAAATACGGTCAGAAAAGTACACATAGAATGTTCTCATAATTAAGTCAATTATGATTTTCAGTTGTAAACTAAAAATTTGAACCATATTAAAGGGGCGGAAAGAGTAATTTTAAGTGACCCTCCTTGAAAAAACGGAAAAACAGAGACAGAGAGCGCCGTAAGTTTATATCGCGAATAGTGTTTAAATTGCCGTAAAATCAGAGTGTACGGAGTTCCATACAGTGTGAACTCAACACTCTGCAAACGTAGGGTCACTTGTAATTATTACTATAATTAAAATATAAAATGAGTTTTTAGGATTTCTTACAACAACTATTTGCCCCGGTTTGAAATAATAGATGACAAAATTTCGATGAAAACATCTGAAGGACTTTGTATTGCCAGCTACATAGGTAATAAATAAATTATTTAGTGAAATACTAACATTGTCTTTAACTAATTTTTAGCAGATTTTAAATTAATTCACAAAATCTGTTTTCTTTTACAGCATCGTTATTAAAATAAGTTAAAAAATACTTTAATGGAATGAAACTGATTACCGGAGAAAAAAAAACTGAATTAATGGAAATTAATTATTTACTAGAGAAAAGAAATCTGACTTAATGAAATTGAATTAATTACTAGAAAAAATAAATCTGAGTTAATGGAATTGAATTAATTACTAGAGAAAAAGAATCTGGATTAATGGAATTGAATTAATTACTAGAGAAAAAGAATCTGAATTAATGGAATTAAATTAATTACTAGAGAAAAGGAATCCGAAATAATGGAATTGAATAAATTACTAGAGAAAATAAATCAGAATTAATGGAATTAAATTCAATGCATAGATCAAAGGCTACTAAAATCATGAAATAAGATTAATTACTAGCGAAAAGGAATCTGAAATAATGAATTTAGATTAATTACTAGCGAAAAGGAATCTGAAATAATGAAATCAGATTAATTACTAGCGAAAAGAAATCTGAATTTATGGAATTAAATTGATTACTAGAGAAAATGAATCTGAATTAATGGAATTAAATTGATTACTAGAGAAAAGGAATCTGAATTAATGGAATTAAATTGATTACTAGAAAAAATGAATCTGAATTGATGGAATTAAATTGATTACTAGAGAAAAGGAACCTGAATTAAAGGAATTAAACTGATTACATGAGAAAAGGAACCTGAATTAAAGGAATTAAACTGATTACATGAGAAAAGGAACCTGAATTAATGGAATTAGATTAATTACTAGAGAAAAGGAACCTGAATTAAAGGAATTAAATTAATTACTAGAGAAAAGGAACCTGAATTAAAAGAATTAAATTAATTACAAGAGAAAAGGAACCTGAATTAAAGGAATTAAATTAATTACTAGAGAAAAGGAACCTGAATGCCAGTTTTAAATATTCCAAGAATCAATGGGGAAGTAATGGTACAGGAATATGGACGGGAACTGTTGGAGAGGTGAAATTAAAAAATTGAATTTGTTTTTAAATAAAGAAAACTAATTTTTGAAACAATTTATCTATAATGTGTCGAAGACCCTTGATTTATCAAATTATTGAGTTAAGACAGTTTCAAATGATAATAAATATATAGGTTGAAAGAGATGAATCTGATCTTGGAATATCCTTTATGTCATACACTGTAGAAAGGTAGCCAACAAATGAGGTTTTTAAAAGAAAGGAATTGAGTCTTTGCCACAATCTTAAATGTTCTAATTAGGGCTGGGCAAAATTCTGTCACGAAACGGTTTCTGAAAATTAACTGAGGAGTCCGTTAACTAATTGCATAATTGCATAAACCGTACAGAGACCCAGGATTGCCTTGCCAAAGACCCAAAAGCCCGGTACGGCCCAAGATAATCAAACCTTTACCATGTGGACCTTTGGATTTTTAGGACAGCCCTAAAAGCTCTAAAGCCCGGGAAAGTGACAGGACTTTGGGACTGTCCCAAAAACCCAAAGTCCTGACACCATGGGGGGGTTTATTTTTTTTCTTCTTCTTAATCTCAGAGATCCAAATGCCTGGGACAGTCCCAGGATCGTTGAGTTTTTTAATTGTTTTGAAAATTGCTGATTTAAAACTAAAATAGTTAATTTTATCAATTCTACAGTATTAATGACGCTCAAAATGGTTTAAAATAAATATGTTTAGGGCAGCAGTTGTCAAATATTCACAAATTCTTGGTGATAACATCATTGTTTGGATTTCGAAGGTTTTTACAGAAAAATAATTTTAACAAGAAATATTTATAAATGATTTATTTTAGTTTCCGAAGAAAACCGCCTCTTTGTTTAATGTTGTCCAGGTTTTTAATGATTTTATTAAACCTGTAATTCCATTAATCAAACAATAAATAAAAAATATCCATTTAATTCAAACATTGTCTAGGTTTTTGATTTTTACAGCTGGTGTGCAATCCCAATTAGGTGAGAAGTAATGATTTAGAGTTGAATTATGAAATTACCATTTTATTTTTTTTGATTCAGTTTTTTGGGAGTTGGAATTGCTCTTCTGCTAATATATCATCCTATAGAAATCAATGGGATAAAAAAGGTAAAATTAAATATTTAATAAATATTCTCTATCATAACCTTAAAACCACTTCGTCAAAACTGAAGCTAAAAAAATAAAAGACTCTCTTTAAAGGCTCACTAATTGTGGATCACCGTATACTAATGGAGGTCGATTTTTTAAAATTCCACTTGCTTCACCCAGATTTACATGTCCATATTCGTTATCAAAACCCAGATTAACATGTACATATTCGTTATCCAGATTAACATGTACATATTCGTTATCAAAACCCAGATTAACATGTACATATTCATTATCAAAACCCAGATTAACATGTACATATTCGTTATCGAAACCCAGATTAACATGTACATATTCGTTATCAAAACCCAGATTAACATGTACATATTCGTTATCAAAACCCAGATTAACATGTACATATTCGTTATCAAAACCCAGATTAACATGTACATATTTATTATCAAAACGTCTTTGAGAAAGACAAAAAAAGACATTTTTCTCTCAAGGCCATATTACGCGGACGAAAACCGGTTTTATAAAGGATTAAATTTGATCTACTGACTAATTAAAGCAAACATTTGTTTGGTAAAAATATGACATTCTGGGTGAAAAAGGTAATTAGTATGAGTAAAATTATTTTTACAGAGCTGAACATTTTAGAATGGTGGATATCGAGATTAATGCTTGATCTCTTTTTTAAATAATGATTGTTATCCTCTTGTTATTAATCTCAAGATTAATTAACCGATCGGGATTACGGATATTTCATTCTAAAGTTTTCAGCTCATAAGATTTTTTACTTCTCAGTTTTTTAAATCTTTATGATCCATACAAATCTGGTTGAATTAATTAAGATTTCAAAAAGTATTTAAAAATCAACCTCCCTTACTGCATACATTGTGATAATGCAGCGAATGTTTAGGATAATTTAGCCAAAAAAATGTTGTTATTCAAAGTAAAACAATCGAAAAAATGTTTTCTAAAAAATTTGAGATAATAAAACAATTTATATGATTGTTGAACTGCAAAGAAATTAAATTTTGTCACAAACTCTTTTTTTCTTATCCCTATATTTTTTCAACCTAATGTCGTAGACCTTTGATACTAAAAATGATAAATTATGTCAGGTCAAATAGTCTAGTTTGAAATATCAACGGGTTTACACCATTAGGTTACAAAAATAGTGGGACTAGAAAACTTTAGTTTGTGGGAAATACAAAGTTCCTTTACTATATTTTAAACTATATTCATATCTCACTAGCCCGACACTGTACTAGTACTACTTCTACCCACTGATACTTGGTTTAAAGAGGAGCAAGCTAAAGGTGAATATTTACAAGATCAAGAAAATGTTAAGTATTTTTTTCAACAAAAATTGCTTGTTTAAATACAAGATTGTTAGCGTTAAAATTCAATTATTTACACTATAGCTATAGTCTGAAATCAGAAATGGGAAGAAGTTTAGAGACTGTAAAGGAAAATAAAAGGGGGTAGGATGAAACCTATGAACTTTAGGAGTTTATCGAGGCCTGTAAGAGTTCTATATGATGTTTCTGTCGCGAGAAATTCATATAAAACTGTGTCAATGTTAAACCAAAACTGGTATATAATATATATATATATATGAGATTTGGTACAAGATTCTAAGTTTTTAACAGATCATATTCAGCTAATACGCAAAAAATCTGAAAAAATACGATAACCCAGAGGAGCTTATTTACGCCAGTTATACTAAAGCTATAGTCAATAATATGGTCACCAATTATTTAACATCACACAAAGTACCTTATATTAAAAATTCCTCATTAGATAATAGGGATGAAAATTCATGTATACTGCTTGAATGACGCTAGATGCAGGGATGAAAATTCATGCATACTGCTTGAATGACACTAGATGCAGGGATGAAAATTCATGTATACTGCTTGAATGACACTAGATGCAGGGATGAAAATTCATGCATACTGATTGAATGACACTAGATGCAGGGATGAAAATTCATGTATACTGCTTGAATGACGCTAGATGCAGGGATGAAAATTCATGTATACTGCTTGAATGACACTAGATGCAGGGATGAAAATTCATGTATACTGCTTGAATGACACTAGATGCAGGGATGAAAATTCATGTATACTGCTTGAATGACACTAGCTACATGCAGGGATGAAAATTTATGTATACTGCTTGAATGACACTAGATGCAGGGATGAAAATTCATGTATACTGCTGGAATGACACTAGATGCAGGGATGAAAATTTATGCATACTGCTTGAATGAACAACTTGTCTTGTTTTCAAAATTTAATGAAAGTCATGTTAAATCCTAAAATTTTGCATTTTATAAATGTTAATTTAATTTAAAGGAATTGAGTTTTTGCCAGAAACTGAAATTCTCTCAGCCCGTATTTTTATGATTTTACAGAATTCATAGTTTGAAATATATACGACATTGTGTATAGATATAGGGATAGAAAATGTAAGTTTATGGCAATGACTCAATTTTTTTATGATAAGTTATCAGTGGAAGTATTGTTGTAATGGTCTGGGGTCTTAGTTCACTGTTTATAATGCTTGCTTTCTCCTGTAATCTAAGGTAGGCACTTACATTTTAATTAAAATAAAAAAACACAGTAAAATGTTTCTTGAAATTTTCTCCAATAACTTTCTTTAATTTAGGGCTATTTTACTGAGTCCCTCGTATGAATCTCCAATTGATACTTCTAAAGACATTGTTCAGAAGAATATGGTTGGTGCTCAAATTCTTTCCCTATTCTGCAAAAAAAGTTGCAAACGATCGTAGCCTATGGATTTGTAATTGAATCCCAAGGGGATTCAAATATAATTTTCTCAGAGTAAATGCTATTACTTTTTGTAAAACTGGTTTAATTGAAAACGGGGTTAATTGAAAATTGTGGCTTTTTAAAAGGGAATGAATGTTTGATTTGGTTAATATCTTTGGTTGATTTTTGTATTTAAAGATCACCTCCCCTTTTCTCAAATTTTTAATTATTATATAATACCTTTATAGTTAAGATAAAGGAATTTTACCTCACCAAGGGTTCCAAGGACCAATTTTCCCTACAAAACATCCAGAGCGCAGCAAGGGATGTTTTTGAGCCAAATTTGTCGAGGGAACCCTTGGTTAAGTAAAATTTTCGATTTTCCGAAAATGTAGTTAACCCAATTTATCGTCTGTGAGGGGTGAAAATACTCAACTTTTTTCCCCGAAAACTTCTCATAGGAGATGGTTATTTTCATAACTGCCCCAAGAACGTTAAGTAAATTAAGCTCCCTTCGTTAGGGGAATCATAGGTCATGGTAAGGTTGGTCAAAAGGCAGTAAAATATTAAATTAGACTTCATTGCTTGGGAACCCAGCTTTGCCTGGAGATAGATCTAAACAATTTTTAAAACCAAGCTTATAGAACATTCCTGTGGTCCCTACGAGTTACCAGTTCAAAATTTATTGACCAAAGGGTTCATGAGTTATGATCGGACATACGAACACCATAACAGAGATATAGATACAAACAGAGATATCGCCTACCACCGTAAAAAATTTGAGTTTGTGGCAAAGACTCAATGCCTCAAAAACAATGAGAAAGGCATCTTGGATGACAAGTTTTTGGATGAAATATTTGAACAATAAGATCGACCCTCTTTGTTTCAGATTTCAGTTCTGTCTGGATCAGCCTGGCATTATAATTATCTGTTCACATCACAAGATCCCTGGCAAAGAAGAATTCTTGATAACTATAAGTTTAAAGATACGGTAACAATAAGTTCTTACCCAGAGGGAGGGGGGATGTTATCCACCACCCTTTGCGGTTTTTTTCTAAATACCTTAAAAGCGGCTTTCATTAGAACGCATAAACTTCTTTACTTTTTCAACATTATAGTTGTGAACAAATTTTGCTATAATTTTTTTTTGATGCACAGGGTAGGGTAGAGGACAGTCAAACTGCGGGTCGGTGTTTCAAAAAAATTAGAAAAGCTTAATAACCTGTTATTGATTAAACTACAGGGCCAAAATTTATATATTTGAAAAGCACTTTCAAAATGGAGGTAATAATAACATGTGTTAAAAATAATTATTTTTGAACATTTTCCAACGTTTTTTTTGAACTATTTTAAAATCCTCCCTTGCACCCTAACAATAAAAGCTAGAGGTCTAATTTTTGTTTAATGAGAAGGCCTTGAACAGTTGGACTAGGGACATGTATCACATGATGTAAATTTTTGTTTTGTATACACAATAAATAACTTAGATATTTGACTCGACATTGATTTCAATGATTTAACTTGACTTGCTTTTCTGTCCTGTTATTGGTTGTCATATTTCCTTCTTCAATTTTAAGTTAACTAGGCTTTTAGGGCGCTTCGCGCCCATCTTCTATTTAAATTGTGAACATGTTCTTTTTGTTTACATTTTAAAACAAGGCAGAACAAAATTTTGCGGATTAAAAAAAAAAAAATCGCGGATTTTCAAGAATTTAAATTTGTTTAAAAAATTAAAAACCTTAAAAAAACACATTTTTTAAAAAATTTTGATCATTCATAAACCTTCCTTGTGGTCACGTGATGTCCCACAAAAAATTTGGGCCCGATCGGTTCAGCCGTTTTGACGTATATTGGATACAAACAGACAGACAAACAAACAAACAAACACCCATGACAAGCCAAATTTATATACAGATTCTATCGAGTTATAAACCTTGAATCTTCAGTTTTGGAAAAAAAATCAAAATCAAATTAATAAATTTTTAGACCCTTTCGTTTGACAGTTTACTCTGGAACGTGTACGCTAATGAGAATGAGGTCATACCAGCTGGAAAGGTTAAAATTTTGATATATAGAAATATTTTAGAGATTAAATCTGAACAGAGCTGAAAACTTTAGCATTGTGGATATCAAGATCAATACTTTATCTCAATGTGAGATAGCGCAAAAGAGAGGATTAAGAAGAAAATTAAAAGTGTTCACAGTGGATACAGAGATTTAGCAATCGGGATTAAGGGTATCCAATTCTATAGTTTTCAACTTTCTGGTTTTGTAACTGTAATTTAATATATCAAAGAAACAAAAAATCTAATTTTTCTTACTCTTCTATCCTTGCAATCTAATAATAAGGTTTAGGACAACATTTAATTAAGAGAACTAGAAGTACTCAGAATTCTTTATGATAAGGTCACAAAAGGTTATAAATCAAACATAAAGATTATATTTTAGGACCGAGTGTTGGTCAACATGCAGAACAATAAAACATTCTCAGACATGAATACTGCAGTCTTCTATTTTAGCAAGGAATTTCATGATGCGTACTTTTTAAAAATCATATACATAAATTTCACTAGATCGAAATGCTTTTACCTGAAATAGTCTAAATGTGTACAGTACAGCTTGCCTTAGCTGCTAAAAAGTTGAGTTATAGAAATTATGCTTAAAATGTGAAAATTGCCAAAGAATTTAATGCACTTTTTGATTGAAACCTGAAATATCAATCAAAATATATTAACACTAGGGTTTTAGGGCGCTTAGCGCCCATCTTATATTTAAATTTTTAACTGTGGCTTTATCTGTGAGCATCCTCTCTTTGTACTATAAAACAAACAAAACCAAAAAATTTTGCGGATTTCATAGTATTTTTTTGCGTAGTTTCAACATTTTGTAAAAATAAAAAACAAGATAATGGGTCTGTTGCACAAGATTCATTAGATTATTAAAATCATAACTTTACTCTAACGGTTGTCTCCTATACTACTGCAGCTTTATAGGTTCCACTGTATCTAGTCTGGCCAAATGGCTAGATAAAATTGGCCAAACATTTTCGAGGGAACCCATTGGTACTCCGGAGGTAACAAAGGTTAAATTTATTTGAAATTTCACAGGCAACGCCGGGCACTTCAGCTAAAATCAGGATTGAAAACCAAGCGAGGGAGTAAGACTATGAATAATATAAACCTGGGCAGCGCTGGACAATTCCAGTGAGTAGATATTAAATACATATATGCATGAGCTTCAGGAGGAATTAATGGCATATTTTGCTGGCTGGGTATTCCAAAAGGAAACTAAATGGGAAGACGATGTTAACGATCATATACTACTCTGTCATCAGGTGAGACAAGCACTCCACCCTCCACTTAAACATGTTATTTCTTTGGTCAGTGTCCTGCAAATTGCTGAAGTATACGAATCAAAAGCTTTGTTTAGGTTGTCAATGCAAAAATATGGTCATCTTTAAGTTTTATCAACACCTTTAGTGCCCTAGAGGCGTATTAAGGGGGGGCTATGGGGGGGGGGTAGCCTCCCCTTAGGCTGGTGTTTTTCAGGTTTTTTTTAGGCCTTAATGGGTGCTCAGCCCCCCTAGAGAGAAAAAAATTAAGCCCCCCTTGACATATCTCTTGATGCGCCCCTGAACTGATCACCTTTCTAGTTCTCTCAACCTTGGAAAGTAAAATTTTATAAACGATATTGTAAATTTTCCAGGCTGGATTTTCTGAGAAGATCGCCAACTTGTATTCTTCAATTAATGTATTGGATTCTTCAATACCACCAGAGGTTAATCTATGTCTAGATGTTCTTTCTTAGATATACATTTTTTAACAGAAGTTAAATATTTCATTTCATATTTTTATTCAACTACGAAGCACGAGATAATTCAAATAAAAAATTACAATTTACTATGTAGTTTTGAAGTCAATTTACTAAAAATACTGTTTCATCTATATATACCTCAATATATTAAGTTGTAATCTCTGCATGTTTGTCTGTCTGTGCGTTTGTCTGTATATAACTCAGGAACCCCTTTACCGATTTGCCTCAAATTTTGATGGAGGAGCTCGGGAAAACCACAGAAATGTTCTTAGTATCTTATTTTATCTAAATTCTTTATTATAGAAAAATCTTGCTATCTCAGATCTGGCAATTCCGTTTATCTTACTATGTGGTGGACTTGCTCTATCAGGAATAGGTATTGAAATATAAAAGGTTTACACCATCAGATTGCAAATATATATAGGAATTAGTATATTTGAGTTTGTGATAGAAAACATATTTTTACTGTGATCGTTAAGCAGTTGTAGAATGCTAAAATGTTTAAGTGGTTCCGGGATTTTCTTAAAACAATTTAAGATATTTCTAGAATATTTCGTTTCAATTAAAAAAAAAACTTGTTAACAATCAAAGATTGAACAGTTTTTATCTAAATTAGCTAAATGCAAAAGAAAATTAGTCTTAACAAATTTTTCTTTTTCTTTTATTTACGAAAAATTTATATCATTATCTTTATAATGTTTCAGTATTTATTTTGGAGTCCTGTTTGAAAAGAAAATAAAACCTCATATCCTTGTAGAAATCAAATAAACTATGATAAAACATAAATTGTTACTTTTGTTCAGAAGATGAGTGTTAGAATTAAACTAATTTAAAATTATAATTCATATCTTCGAATCCAAAAACTAGTTTAGAAATACTATTTCTTAGTTAATAATCGTGAATGTAAGATTTTTTATATATCTTAGAAGGAAAATCAGTTTTTAATTTTACATAGTGGGGTTTGATAAAATAGTTTAAGAGTTTTTATTGTTAGAGTGATAACAAAAAGATTTTTTACCATTCATAACTTACTAAAACTTTGGAATTAAAAAAAACATTAGAAAAAAAATTATAATTTTAAAAGAAAAAATTTCAATCTTTGTTTTTAGCCTTTTGTTTCCCTCAGGGTACCTATGGGTTTCCTTTACAAAAATCAAGCAAATTGGTGTAGCCGTTTGGCCAGCTATAGCTGACATATATTCTAATATATCTATGTATGGGTACCCTGCAGGGTAACATTGGCATTCGTTAAATTTCACGAGCAACGCCGGGCATTTTAATTTATTAAATTTTAAAATTTTTTTTCTCATTTTTTTAAAAATAAATTCTTTTTAAATCTTGGGCTACACCTCTTCAACCTCATGTCGGAAACTCTATAGTTTGACTTGAAAAAGTTATCTTTAAACAGATATTTCTACTTTTTATTTTATATATATATATATATATATATATATATATATATACATATATATAAGTAGCAATCTCTGTTTGTATGTTTCGATGTCTGATCATAACTTTTGATCCCCTTGAGTAATCTTCCCCTAATTTTGTTTGGGGGACTCTGTAGATTGGGTTTCATTCTGTAGATTGGGTTTCATTCTGTAGATTGGGTTTCATTCTGTAGATTGGGTTTCATTCTGTAGATTGGGTTTCATTTTTTAAGGAAATTCTAGAAAAATGTTCAAAGCTATTCAATTAAACTCTTCGCTCATACAAATATATTTTTAATTATATATATATGTTAGTTATAGTTGGCCAAAATGCTGGACCAATTGGCTGACATTTTTTCCTTCTAGTTTATCCGAACTTGAAAGGGCAACGCCGGGCACTTCAGCTTGTACATCATAAAGTTGTACAGATATTTAGACGTGAGGATTTAAAATAAGACTTTGCACAGAGTTGCCAGTTCGTTTACTACAGTGGTAGGCGATTATATAAATACAATGAAGACGAATTAAGAAGTTTAATTTTGATTTATATCAAGCTGTTAAACAGCATGGATACACAAAAACATAGAAGTCAAGAGACGCTGTCAATTAAAAAAGCTTCTCTTGGATTACTTGTATACTTAAAAATCGAAAAATCCTTGTTAACAATCAAAATTAAATAAAAAGTCGTCTTCATTGTATTGATATTGTTGCTTACCATTGTATTATAAAAATCAGTTAAAATTTTTTTTCTCACAAAATTCATATTGTTTCTCATCCTTTAATGCAAATCTTGAATCTGCTGAAAAGAAAATATTTAACTTTTATCTCAGACAATTAAATCCACTTGTTCTGACTAATCTGCAAACATGTTTCCTTTTCAGTGCAGTTTAAAAGTAAAGATGCAGATGTTAATATTTTTGCTAGTATCATCTCTTATATATTCTACTTCAGGTTAAGTATTGTATATACAGTACTTTAAAAGTTATTACAGGAAAACCGTGCATTTTAAGAGCTTAAAGGGACTGTAAGCGTAATTTTCAGTGAACCTCCATTCAAAGATGGCAATGCCGGATTTACAATTGTGATTATTTTTAAGGATGGTTTCTCTACCAAAGTGAAAAGCGCATTTACTTCAGAAAAATTGAAAGACATATAGTAATTATCAGAATTAATAATATCTTTGTAAAAGTATCAGTAGCATATAACCTAAGAATGGGGTCCAAACTAACATGATTTGAATTTTATTTTAATTATTTAATAATTTGAAACTTAGAAAAACGACAGTATCTTGCACATTAATGATCTAAAGGTTGTGAATCATCATTTCCATCTTGAAGGGTAGAAAATATTACACTTAGAGTCCCGCGGCACTGCTTATGTTCTAAACCTAACGCGGAGTTTCAGGTTTTTAAAAAATTGTGTCTATGTCAGTAACCAAAAAAGCTATTTCCAACATTTCTTTAACTGGGGTTTGTTTTAAATTTTTATTTTCATGCCTTGTAATGTTAAATGTTACACTAATATTGATGATATTTGTTTTTATACATTTCCCCTGTTTAAGTATATCATTGATATGGGTTCTTATCTATTTTTCCTACATCTGTCATGGATTAATAAGTGGGTGAAAATCATAATATGGCATTTTAGCGTTATTCAATAAAATGTATTTTTCAAATACATTTTTCATATTTAATCTCAAAAATCTAAAATTCCGTTTTTTAATGACATAAATAATAATTCTATGGTTTTCAGGGGAGATAAAGCCTAACCTTAAATTGAAAAATAAGCTGCCTCATGCTCAATATGTTATCAATGTAGAAAGATTGAAATATCTAGAAAAGACAAAACTATGGACAAAGTATACAAAACAGAAAAGGACCGGAAAGGAAATGAAAAATACCCACACAAGGAAAGAATGGAAAGCAAGAGAAAGTGTAAATTTTTCAACAGATTTTACGCTTAATTGTTCTTAATGTCACATAATATAATCTTTAGAATATATTCCTGTGATGAGGATCTAGTGTAACAATGTGTGATTTTGTTGATCTTTTACGATCAGCGATTCAAGGATTTTTTAGATCGCTGAGATCGTAGCTACCTAGGGGTATCATGCCCCCCCCCCTTTTACCCTTCGGTTGGACTTTTGAATCCTATTTTGAATCCTAACGGATTTATTTGAGTTTGCATGTGAATTCTATAAATAACCCAAGCCACGCCGAAAACCGAAGCCACGCCAATTGTTCCGTTATTCCAGAGGCCTGGGCGCTGGTGGGATGGCCGGCCAGCTCCCGGGGAACTAGGGTTAAGCTCTAGCCTAGGGTGGAGTGAAATCAGGGAAAAGCAGTTAGTTGAAGACCAGCTTCCTTGACTAGAGGTTCCCCTGGAGATCCCCCATCACTCTGAAACATTCTCAATTCATAATATTTGATTCGTATAGTATTTTCCTTTAGTTTTAGTATCGTTGTAAATAATAATAAATTGTAAGAATAACCGACTCGTCGAATATTTAATCAAATGAGTAGTTGCATTGATTCATTTTTCTTTCATATGTAATACTAGCTTAGAAATATCCTTACGGCCATTTTTGTTAAATTGATATTTTTGAAATTAGCTTCGTAATTTTTGCTGAAAATTTATCACCAATGAAAGCTTTTTTTACAATATTAGGTTGAAAGATAGAGGGATAAAAAAGTTTAAGCTTGTGGCATAGAATTCACTTTTTTAAAGTAGAAATAAATTTAGTTTTTTAGAGTCTGTAAAAAGATTCTTGAATTTTAATTCTTTAACATTTTACTTTGACACCAGAACTTGCTGTATTCTAGCCAAGAAAATAAAAAGAAAAAAATACGCAAGCTGAAACATCAAGAGACAAGGAGAAAAGTTAAAAGCAAAATCGGAAAGAAGAAAAATAAATCAAGTAAACTTGAAAATAAAATGAAGATGGAAGGAAGAGCTTGTAGTTTTGATTTACCAACTCTAAGTGGAATATTTAGAAGATATATCAAATATAAAAATACCTTCTTATCCCTGAACAGAATCACATCCTGGATCAGAATAGCGGGAAACAAGAAAATAAAGTCTGCCACACAATTCAATGATGCCCTAGATGCTATGGAAAAATCAACTGTTGGTGGGACTGTGTGCCCTGGAAATCCAGTTCTACTCGAGGAGGCTAAAAAAGCTTACACGACTCTCAGGTTATGTGCCAGCACAGCTAGTCAGAAATGTACCTGGGACGACTCTGAGACACTTGGGCTGGTCACTGATTGTCAAACTCAGATAAGGAATTACCTTAACAAATTTAAAGTAAGTTATTTTCTTAAAAACTTTGAAACAATCTTTTATTTTAGGATAGCTTAACGCCGTAAAGTATTCAATCAAAATCCTAAAGTCAGATGTGTTGCTTTTAAGTTGGTTGGGATCAATCATTTATATCCATCTTATGCAGACCTGTAGATTAATCCAATTCCTCTTCAATATCTCATGGTGTTTATACCCTGCATGCAGGGATACCTTTAGTAGAGGGATTAAAGATATATCCTCCAAAAGTAAACCCACTCAATATAGAATTTGTTATCCAAGCTTAAAAAATTTCAATGGTTCTAACGAGTTCTCCAATCAAAATTTGAGACAAATCGGTCAAGGGGTCCATTAGTTATGATCGAATATAAAAACAGAGAGAAAAAAGATATAGCTGCTTTATAATTAGATAGTCGATGTTTTTTAACAATCTGTAACTTAAAAATAATCAAGATTTTTGTAGGTCTGTGAAGAACCAGTTCCTAAAGTGGATTTAAAGTGTGATATAGACTTTCGACCGATAGAGGTTGAGGTGAAAGCTAAACTTAGAATTGGATGCATAGATGAAGATGATGTTTCTCCAGGGTCATTTGGAGACTGTAGCAGGCACGGATGAAACAGATGGGGTGGGGGGGGGGGGGGGGGGGGGGGGGGGGGGGGGGGGGGGGGGGGGGGGGGGGGGTTAAGCCCCTGTCAGAAGATAAATTCCTCCCGGAAATCAAAGTTGCTGTAATCTCCACTTATAAAGTTTTGTAATTGCATAAGAACAATATCTTACAGCAAAAAACCATCTTAAACTGAAAATCAAAACTTCGGCTGGTTCTTTCAGAAATATTGTGTTTTGAAATCTTTAATATTCACAATTAATCCCCAGAACACTACAACCTTTTAATCTAATATTGTAGACCTTTTTATATTCTAAACTAACAATTTTTAAGAAATTCAATTAGAAAATTTCAAAATTTGTTTATATTAAATCTTTTTAATCTGTTGAGCTAGGAATCAGAAAGCTGCTGCATATCTTGCAGTTCAATGTTTTTTATGCAACTCCTTACCAACAACACAGGTTTATTGTTTTGAAGTTAAAACTTGAATACAGTAGATGTCTTAGACTCTTAGTTCTCTCTGTTATTTGCAAAATTTTGGTAAAAATAATGATAATTGATACTTTTTTTTCTGACATCCAGAAGACGAAACTTTGAAATGCTCAATCTCAATATTCAATGTTGACACTTTTAAATTTGAGGATTATGCCCTAATTGAGGATATCCGGGTGGGGTATGCCCACAACAGAATATCTAAGGGGAATTAAAAGAATGGAGTCTTTGCCACAAACTCTGATTTTCTAATCCTGATATCTTTACAATCCAATGTAGTAGACCTAAGATATTTCAAACCATGAATTCTCTTTAAAGTGTGAATGATTGATTCAAAATGGTGCCTTTAAAATCTGTGTCTGGTGAAGAATTCAGGAGATATCTTTTATTTTCTAAGTTTGAAATATTAAAGGTTTAAACTATCCGGTTGCACAGATATAGGGATTAGTAAATTTGAGTTTGCGGAAAAAAATCAATTCCTTCATCGGTAGGTAATTATAAGTTGCAGAGATCAACATCTTTAGATTTGAATACAAAATTTTTGACTCCAGAGTTTGAAAGTTTTATGTGGAGCATTGTTAATCTTCTTGATCTTGATATCTAATTTTCAGATTTCTGGGCATAATTATTAAATTTAAAATTTAAAAATACCTGGTGAATTGTCACGACTAAATTAAAGCAAACAGACAAACAATTATTTTACTGATTTCTATCAATTTATTAATTTTTGCAGAAACAAACTGTCAATGCAATCAAAGAAAAGGATGCATTTCTCCATTTAAAATAAAAATATTCCTATGTCCATTTTGAAATACAAACACTTTTTGTTTTTGCATTAGTTTTTACTTTTCAAATTTTAATAACGTTTAAACAAAAGATAGTATTTAATTTATTATTTGAAAAGCCACCTGAAACAATATGGACAACTGCTTAAAAAAAAAATGAAATCAGGGTTATATATTTTCATCATCCTTATTATTAAAGTAATTTAAGTTACAATCTTTAAAGTGTGAATGATTGATTCACAATGGTGCCTTTAAAATCTGTGTCTGGTGAAGAATTCAGGAGATATCTTTTATTTTATCTTTTAAAATTGAATAATTTTTAATCCTGGTTTTTCCACAAAAAGAGGGAATTTTCAGAAATACACACTTTTCAAGCCAAAAAAAAAATATATATTAAAAACTATTAATCAGGAGTTCGGGCATGCCCCACTTTGATAGAAGGTCACTTGAAATTTGGAGAACAGTCCCATAAAAAATAATATTTAAAGATGATTGCTTGATACCAACAAATTAAATTTATTTTCAGGCTCCAGTTGGAAAACATAACCTGAAGAAAATAATCAATAAATCCTTTTCTAAGAAACCGTAAATTAATTATTGAATTCAAGAGATATGATAATCCTGCGAACTCATCGCAAACTAGACCAGGAGAGGTTCAAATTCATGCAACCTTATAATTTAAGCAAAATATTTTTTTTTCTCAGCTTTTTTACATTTATATTTTTTAAATTTAAAAATAGATAAATGTAAATTAACAATTTTGGAATTCATGATGACCCTTTCAATGGTTTCATTCTTTTATTGAATTTTCTTACTTTGTAGTCCATTTAGTAGCAATGATGCCCTCCCCCCACATGATTCTAAAGGTTCGCCTCGCAATTATGATAAATATTAACGGAATATCTAAATTCATTACAATAGGACTTATTTATAAGCAATTTCAAATAGATTATCAAGTACAATAGATGGCAACGTAGAATTTGTACACTCTCAGTACAGTTGTATTCTTACGTCATAAGTGTCAACAGTTTTATGTGTCACTTTGACACTTATGACGTCATGTATAATTTGTCTATTTCTCTGTTGCCACCTATTATACGTATAATCTAAAAAAGTAATTTTTAAAAACCGCGGTGGCTTTCTGGTTTAGGTGTGCACACCATTGTGATCCTAGACTGGAAATTCTGGACCAAGTTCTACCTACCGAAGGCTAATGCATCGTTTATCTTTGGGACAATCAAGGGATCTGTGATATTTAGCCAGACCTGTAGTGAATGTGCATTGGTATTCCAATGGATCAGCGATCACATGAGAACTGAACTTGGGATGACGGAATGCCGGAACAGTTTTTGCTTATAAATGGCCTCACACTCAAAACTTAAAAATCCAAATTAATCGGATGTAAAAGTTGGATGGCTGCACCGGATTGGGCGATGCAACATTTTTGAACATTGCTTATATTTAAGAAAAAAATCGGGTTTCTCTTGCAGCAGAAGTATATGTCTACCAAATGAGCAACAAAAAATCGCTTATTTTTAACCAAAAATTGATTATTTTGTAATAAAATTTAAATTCCTATTCATTCTTAAATTCCGCCCTCCCTCCCTTAGTAGTTTTAGAAATTTCTAATTCGTAATCCCTTAAACCTGATCTGTATGAAGAATTGAAATTTGAACAATTCTTTGAAAACAAATTATTTTGACGATTTTTCTTTTTCGCTTACATTAGTGATTTTTTTTCCAATTCCTATATCTTTGCAATCCTATATTGTAAATCCTAGACATTTTAAACTATAAATTCTGTTAGATCAAATCATTTAAGTTTAAGTTAGAAATATCAGAAGGTTACACTTACACCATCAGATGCAAATATACATGGAATAGAAAATTAGAGTTTGTGGAAAAGATTCAATTCCTTTAGACAACCACATAGCAATGTTTTAGATAATTTTGTGTTAAAAAAAAGAATATTTTAATCTGAACCATATATGTCCATAAAATATACAAACTCTAAAGTTTAATTCTTAAGTAAAATTTTTATTTTGGATATGGGTTCAAAACTAGTTTAGAAAATTACCCTTGAAAATATAAACACAAAGCTAAATATCTTTAATATTTTCACCTGTTAAAAATTATCCGTATTTAAGAGCTATTAGTAAAGTAACATAATTTAGAGTAATCTGCAGGTTAAAATTTTACATAGATTATAAAACAGGTTAAATAGAAATAAAAAAATGTTCATATATCCAATTTTTAAATGGTCGAAAAAAGTTTAGAAACCCTATTCAGAGTTTTAGAATAAAATGTAATAAATTTACTTGTCTAATTTGAAAATTTAGTTCAGTTTGATCTTTATTATGATAAAACAGGATTTAAATTCTAATATTTTATTTACTCAAGAGAGATTATGTTTTAAGAGTGATTATGTTTTAAGAGTGATTATGTTTTAAGAGTGATTATTAGTGACGAGAAGGTCAATTTTGACCGGGTGAGGTTTTTTTTTTAAGTGCCTTTTTTCTTAAACTAAATGTTGTCTTGTCTTTTCCTGCGCTTTCCTTAGGATTTCCTGTTTTCAAAACATATTTTATATTTGAAGTAACTTCAAAATTGGGTTTTTTATTTTATTTTCAATTTTAAAAAACCCAAAAAAACAAGATTTTGAATTCGGAAAAAACCCAAAAGAACACCCTGTAATTTAGTTTTGAATCTATAAAATTGTCAATTTTTTTGCTAGAAAAAATTTAAAGATATTTTTGGAATCTTCTTTTAAAGATCTAAATAACTAAAACATGAAAAGTAAAGTTTTGAAGATAATTAAATAATTATGAATTACCAAAGTTTTTTAGATTTTCATGTTTTACAGGTCACCCTGTACAGATCCTTCTAAAACAACTTCACTAATAGTTACTGGTCTCGTCACTAATGGGTTAAGAGTGATTATGTTTTAAGAGTAATTATGTTTTAAGAGTGATTATGCTTTAAAAGTTATTATTTAAAGTTTTGGTGTTCTGATCCATTTTATTATGCTGTAACATTAAGTTTAGATTTGATTTTTATTCATTTTTTGCTTTAATTTTGGTCAAAATAAAAACATCAACGTTATGTATCGCTTGCAGTTATGAGTTTTAAACATTTACGTTTTAACAACCTTATGTTTCCAAAAGTTTTGTTTTTTGTTAAATTTTAAAAATCTGCAAACTTTTTTGTTGTTATTTTGTACAAAGAGAAGATGTTTACAGATAGAGCCACAATTTAAAATTGAAGTACAAGATAGCCACGAAGCGCCTTAGAAGATTAAATTTACTGCATTCTTTTTGAAATGGTTAAATTATAATTTTTAAATTTACGTTAAACTAAGTAAAAAATGGAAATACTTATTTAATTTTAACAAATTCAGTTTCATTTTAAAGATTTGTAATTTCTTTAAGGTTTAGTTTTATAATTATATTTTCAGATCTGAAGACTAGAAATTAAAACCTTTTTCAAAGCGATCACCCTGACCGCGTTAATTTTCAATAGGTAAATCTCCCTACCAAGTTTGGCAGATCGTAACTCTCGACCATCTCTCTACCACTCATGTTGGACAGATCAGTAATGAAGAAAGAATTTATTTCCTAATTCAATCTGAGATCAAAAAGATTCAATTACAATAGAACAATAATGTATTTATATTTATGTACAATTTTAAGGTAAGTCCCATCTTTCATGAAATCAAAGAATAATCAAATGTGATGAGGGACACTTTATTAAATTTTTATTCAACTTTTATCCAATTTTTATCCAATTTTTATCCAATTTTTATCCAACTTTTTCCAACTTTTATCTAACTTTTATTCAATTTTTATCCAACTTTTATCCAACTTTTTCAATTTTTATCCAACTTTTATCCAATTTTTATTCAATTTTTATTCAATTTTTATCCAACTATTATCCAATTTTTATCCAACTTTTATCCAAGTTTTATTCAATTTTTATCCAACTTTTCTAATTTTTATTCAATTTTTATCCAACTTTTATCCAACTTTAATCCAACTTTTATCCAATTTTTTTTCATGATTATCTGATTCTAATATAACCCGGGATGCTCATGGCAGATATTGGTTTGTTAGCTATGCTATTTTACCTGCAAAAGACACTCCAGGTTATAATTTAATTACAAAATGTCATAAAATAATTATAGATATGATTTCTGAATACCCTTCATTTACGAATTTGGAAGCAATCGTCGTCCTTTCAGCTTGGAAAAAATGTTAAATTCTAATAATTTCTTCTGTTGTGTTTGAATCAGAAATCCGCAAGTCATGTTAAATAAAACTCCAAGTAAGAATGAGTTTAAAAAATAATGAGTACTCATGCATTCTTGATCAGTTTTAAAGTGTTTTAATGTCAAAGAATTTATCTTGTCTTAGAATTTTTCGCACTTTTTTATCATTATTGAATTTGAACTAAAAAAGGATCGTAAAATCCACAGCACAAATAAATTGTCCAAAATGATCGATAGATGAAAAAAAAAATTTGATTTAGAAATTAAATATATTTTTATAAAGCGATAATGTTTGGAGTTAAATCATCATTCTCTCGAAATTCAATCAAAACCTTAAAAAAGTTAAATCCTTACTGAATAAGCAAAAATTGGTCACTTTATAATCCCATATTTATATATATATATATATTTGCAATTTGTTCAGAAAAACTATTAATATTATGACCAAAAATCTGGCATAATTTAGTCATATCCATTCAACTAGCCTTCATTTTGTGCATAAAACCCTGGGTACATCGGACCCATCGTTATGGGTAAATGCATGAACGTGTCAATTACACTGGACAGATTAATGCTTGTATTGGATCATGAATAGAGGTTCGATACTAAAGGATTAGAAGATTATAGTTTGAGACATGTAATTGCAACTCAGTTGTTTTTACAAGCAATTATCTAAAATATTTTACAATTTTAAAATGATTCATAAAAAACTAGCTTTGGAAACCAGTTATTCCTTGGAAATAGATTTTATCTATTAATCTATCTCGGTTCAGAATCTTTAAACCAAATTCGGTGTAGGGGTTATCAACGGAGATACAGATCACCAGAGATTACTATTTTTATAATCAACGATGTCCACTTCTAATTATTTCATAAAAAAAATCATTATATTGACAATATATTATTGATTAGCTAACTGTACATTAGAATATTATTGATTAACTAGCTATACATTAGAATGTAATCGTTTAACAAGCTATACATAAGAATATTATTGCTTAAATAGCTATATATTAGAATAATTTCTGGAATAAAGCGAAAATTTTCGCATTTTTCGCGAGCAAACGAAATGCAAAAAATACGAAATTTTTGGCGAAAACTTTTTTGTCGCGAAACGATTTTCCTTTTTTGGTGGAAACCCTAGTGCCGTAGTGTACTGTATACTGTACAGTGTACACTGTACGTACATGCAGTAACAATGGTTTCGAATTTTTGTAATCAGGTCTAAAACTGATGATTTCCTAAACGATGTTTACATGAAGCAGGTTAATTAATAATTAATCTGTTCACAGCATTTTTCTAAGATTCACATGGTACATAGTAGAACATAGTAGAACATAGTAGAACATAGTAGTACATAGTAGTACATAGTAGTAAATAGTCTAGTAGTAAATAGTAGTACATAGTAGTACATAGTAGTACATAGTAGCACATTATAGCCCTAACACTAGCAGTAAGTCCAATCCTAAACAAAAGAATTACATTTAAAGATGAAATGTTTGAATTAATAATCTTTCGCTCCTTTCTTGAGATTTTGACTAGCTACGCGAAAAATGTAAAGGAATTGAGTTTTTGACACAAACTCCGAATTTAAAACCCCTATATCTTTGTGACCCGATGTCGTAGATCTTAGATATTTCAAACTATGAATTCTGTTATATCAAACAGTCGTAGTTTGAAAAATCAAAGTTTTACACCATCGGGTTGCAAAGATTTAGGAATTAGAACATTTAAATGTGTGGTTAAAACTCAATTCCTTTGTAATTTTTCTTTAAAGCTTTCAATCGTGATTTCGGGACTTATCAGAAAATTTAAAAGAATGATTTTAGAAAACTATTTGAGGCTAATATAAGATAATACTAGTATGCATTATGTGCTTTAAGATAATCTAATATGAAATAAGACGCTCTGTTTTTTAAACTTAAAGGAAGAAAATAAAAGCGAATTTTGCCAAACCAAACCAAAACGGATGTGAAAGAGCTTAAATTAACTATGTCCAAACTCAGACCTATGAGTGCTCACATATATCAAGAAATGGTAGCGCAAACTTTGAAAGAAATTCGTAATCTAAACTGAAAATACGAAATTTTCTTTTACCGATATTGCCAATGTTTGGGTTGGATTCGGGTAAGAAATTCGTCATTACATAGATCTTGGGAAATCGTTAATAATGAAAAAAAAATTCCACGCCACAAAACAATTACAAAGTTACAACATGCGTAATTTTCATTTTGTTCCCTAAAGTTTTTGGTTATAACTATAAATTAGGTTATGTCAAAAAAAAACTATTTATTTTTTTGGGTAACACCAAACAAATATGTGCATTTAAATATTTGTTATTTTTATCAGAATAAATAAATCATGATAAAAACATCGTTGAACTAGTACCATCTCACCTCGTGTTCTTGAGGTCTGCATGCAAGTGGACATTCCAGATTAGCTACTTTCTTCATATGCACATCCTAGATATTCCAGATTAGCTACTTTCTTAATATGCACATCCTAAATATTCCAGATTAGCTACTTTCTTCATATGCGCATCCTAAATATTCCTTATTAGCTACTTTCTTCATATGCGCATCCTAAATATTCCTGATTAGCTACTTTCTTCATTGGAGCATTTTAAATATTCCAGATTAGCATCTTTCTCCATTGGAGCGTCCTAAATATTACGGATTAGCTACTTTTTCCATTAGAGCATCTTAGATATTCCAGATTAGCTACTTTCTCTATAGGAGCATCCGAAATATTCCAGATTAGCTACTTTCTCCGGAGCATTTTAATTACTCTCGTCGAACTAAAATTCGGTGCATTGCAATTGTGATATTGTAAATCTTTGATATTTCAGATTATGAATTCAAATTGCTAAAATAATTATATTTGAAATATCCAATGTTTCATAATAACACTAAGTTGCAAAAATATAGGGCTTAGAAAATTTAAGTTTGAGGCGAGTGTTTATCCGCCAACTAAAAAGTAAAATTATGCATGCCATTTTTGCATGGAGGATCACTTGAAATTACACTTACAGTCCCTTTCAACAAGACAAAGTTTGAGATAAAGAAAACATTTTCAAACAATGATGAATCACCTTTGTTGGTCCGTATCCAACATATGCAAACCCTATTCGTCTAGCTGGCCAGGGATGCCAGCCTGGTCCCATATATCCTGAAATTGTAAAACTTTTAAATATAAATATATACATGATGTTTATAACCCATTTTCTAATCGAGTGGGGAGATTAGCTTAATTTTCATTGGTCAAACCTTGACAGGGCAGAGTAAGTTTAACTAAATATTTTATCAAATAATTATTCTCAAATTCTCAACAAATGTATACAAGTTTAATGTCTACTAACAATTGTAAGTAACTTTATCTCGTGGAAGTTGTATCTATAATTGAGGGTCTCCATTGACAATCTTTGAACAGACGCACATAGTTTAGACTTGGTATAATTATGTTATTTTTAATTTTAATAGAATTTATTGAACTTTTTGTTTAATAATTTATATTCTAACCTGACAAACAACCGTAGCTATCATGAATAACAGTGTTGTTACTAAAAAGAATTTTAGATTATTTGGTATTTTTAACAACAAATAAAAAAATTTTGATATAGAGGGTTACTTACAAAGGATGATAGTGTAAAGACGATCCAAAATTCTAAATATTTGACGATTTGAAACTTGATTTTTTTGTTTCTGCATTTAATTGAGCACTTTAATTGTTTAATGAATGATGTAGCACAGAAATTAACCAGTGTTGGCCAACAAGAAACCCGGAATATAAGGAAACGGACTGAACAAATCCCGTACAATCGTCTCTGAAGTCTCATCCTTTGTGGGTAACCCAGAATTAGTTTTTAATTGAATCCAAAAAATGGCAAGAAAAAATACATATTTTCAAATATATTTCCCAAGGAAAGGGAATGTGAAAAGGTAGTGTTTCTAATTTTGTAGAGTGAGTGATCGATTCACAACAGTACGCTTTAAACCATTGATTGATCAAGGATTCACAACAGTACGCTTTAAACCATTGATTTATCAAGGATTCAAAAGAGCACGCTTTAAACCATTGATTGATCAAGGATTCACAACAGTACGCTTTAAACCATTGATTGATCAAGGATTTACAACAGTACGCTTTAAACCATTGATTGATCAAGGATTCACAACAGTACGCTTTAAACCATTGATTTATCAAGGATTCAAAAGAGCACGCTTTAAACCATTGATTGATCAAGGATTTACAAGAGCACGCTTCAAACCATTGATTGAAACACTTATCCCCTTATTTATCTACATTGTGAAACTATTCACATTCACATTTAGAGATTTAAAAACTGCGTTGTACAGAATTTACTATATTTTCAAGGAATAAGTACATCGTCAGCGGTGTTGAGTATACACTTACGCTAGCATACACTGAACGCTAGCATACACTCTAGTTTACCGGTAATTTAAACACTATTTTAGATAAAAACATACCCTCGTTATCAGTCAAAGTGTTTAAGGGTACCGCTGTAAGTCGGGCACTCCCTCTTTGCATGGAAGGTCGCTTGAATCTATTACGCTTACTGTCCATTATACAAGAAAAAGTATTTTAGGAAGTGGCCGGCAATGTATGGTAGTTGAACTGAGAATAAAGTATTGTGGAGGAATTTTTTAGGATTAATTTGAGACATATAAAACGTTAAAAATCATCCAATCCATTTATTAGTAACGTTTTCAGAATCAACTTAAAAAAATATTAAATAACGACGACAAAAAATGTAAAAAAAATTGATTGTAAACTAATTAGATGCTTAGGGACATATTTCTCAATAGAAATTTGTCAGTAAAGCAATGCTAGAATTCCAGGAAATCTACAGAAAACTTTTTGTGAACAATGAAATATTGAAGAATTAAAAAAATAACTGAGTAAGATTATAAGATTACTTATTTTCGATGATAAGAGTCAATTTTTATTTTCTCAACCTGTTCCTAAACAACTAATTGGATTTACTGAAGAATTTTAGTTACATTTTTTGTTGTGGTTATTTAATAATTTTTTTAAAACTCGACGTAACATGGCAGTTGATGAATAGTTTAAAATGTCTTCTTCCATAATTTGTTAAGTTGTTTGATACAAAAAAGGATGACAAGAAATACTAAATGGCAGTAATATTATAGTAAAATTGATTTCTAACAATGTATATTTGAGTAAAAGATTTTTTTAACGAAATAAACTGCAAAAAGTCCTTATATATAACTAATACAGTATCATGGAAGAAGACATTGAAAACTATTCACCAACTGTCATGTTTCGTGGGGCACACTGTATGTGAACCACCCAAATGGATGATTTTGAACGTCGACTTTGCGATCAGACTCCGTAATTATTCATCATTAAAACGTTTCATATGTCTCGAATGAATTGGAAAAAAATTCTCTACAATACTATCATTCTCACTTCTCAGTTCAACTAAAATACATTGCCGGTCACTCTCTTTGAAAAACTATCTTAAATCAGAATTTTCCTCCTTTAAACCTTTTTACAAAATATACCTTATTAAGGGCCAAACATTATTTCGAAGAGAAACCTGAAAATTATATAATATTTTGTAATATATCTAGTCTTATACAGGATGTCCTTAGAAACATGACAATAGAAAAACGATTTTAAAGGTCGTTTTACACCTTTGACATTATTTGCGGCATTTTTTCGTAAACTTTTTAAGGAGTAAAATTATTGAATTAATAATCACAAAAAACTTCTTGTCGTGGCATTTCCAAATCGTGGTCTGCCTTTTTTCTGCCTTTCAATATCTCCGGAGATATGATGAATTTCCTACAGATTTCGACAATTTTGGTTTTATTTAATAGAAGTTAAATCTGAACGAAATTCTTCATATCTCCGGTATTATTGAAAGCACAAAAAAGACAGACCACATTTTGGAAATAGCAGGACTAGGCGAAATTTGTGGATATTGTTTCAGGAATCATGCGTGTGAAAGTAGGTTGCCGACTGAATGTCACAAATAAATTCAAAGTTGAAAGACGACTTTTAATTTGTCTTTCTAGTGTCATGTTTCGTGGGACACCCTGTATTATATTATTATATATCAACGGTATGTATAATATCATTACTTTTGGTAACTGAATATTATTCTGAAACGCAACGGATATCTTATTTGCAAAAATGTGACTTTTATAACTGTCGAATTCCTGACTGTCATTCAGATTTTGGTGTATTTTTTTCAGACATGAAAATCACAAATATGTATCTCAAAAAATCATAAAAAAACGTTTATCATTATTATAGTTTCATATATACATGCTTTAAATTAAAAATGATGAAATATTTGCACAAAAAGTGATTGTACGGTTGTAAGGGAGTATACAAATATAATGAAGACGAGTTTTGTTTTCAATTTTAATTGTATCAAGCTTTTAAACAGCATGGGTACACAAAAGCATGGAAACAAAGAGAAAATAATCTTTAATTATTTGTAAACTTGAACTTCGATAAAAGCTTGTTAACAATCAAACCTTAAATAAAAAGTCGTTTACTTTTTATAAAGGGATTTTTGGTTAAAAAAGAGCCATTTTTTATCCCTTATTTGGCAGCCATTCAACTTTATCTGAGCCTAAGCAGCATTTGCCAGCCATTTGATTTTATCTGAGTCTGAGCAGGGTTTGTTTACATTCATTTGAGAAACTGCACAGTACACTTTATTTGTAAACAAAGCTATATTGGTTCGCTTGGTATACTTGGTGACTATTAAATACATTTTATTTGTAAACAAAGCTTATATATTGGTTCACTTGGTATACTTGGTGACTATTAAATACACTTTATTTGTAAACAAAGCTATATTGGTTCACTTGGTATACTTGGTGACTATTAAATAAACTTTATTTGTAAACCAAGCAATGTTGGTTCACTTGGTATATTTGGTGACTATTAAATACACTTTATTTGTAAACAAAGCTATATTGGTTCACTTGGTATACTTGGTGACTATAAAAAGATTTAAATTTTGCTTAAAAATTGCTTTAACATTGGCTTCCTTGCTGCGGGACCCATAAAACTGTGGAAAAAGAAGACGACTGTTAGAATCATGTTAGAATTTTGAATTATCTAATAAACGTAAAACACATCAATTGTGATTTCGCATAATAGATTGATTCTTAAACTAATGGTAAATATATTTGCTTTATAACGTGAAATGTACATAATATTTCTGAAATATTGTTGTCCAAGTCCACAAATTTATGAATTTTACTACTGTACCTGATCTGCATCTTTTTTTAATGATGGAGCTACACTGAACAAAGCTCTTTTCACATTGATTGCCTGAGTCATGTTTAGATAGTTCTTACTTCCCCATAATCCTGCCAGAATTGCAGCTCTAAACAAATTGACGCAATTTCTTGATCATTGATTCTAGTTTTAAATTTATTTTCTCGTTTTGTATTAGATATAATATGTACTTGTACTTTATCAGACCTGTAGATAGGGGGGGGGGGGGGCACTATCTGAGAATAAAAGAAGAAAATGAAAAATGAAAAGAAGGAAACAATAAATAAAAGAAATAAGGAAGAAAAGGGGAGAAACTACTTTACGTAAAATATACTTTTTGGTACCATGATTATGTGTCAAGGATTTTTTTTCATCAAATAAAGAAGAATTGAGTGCTTTGTGAAATAAACTTTAATTAGGAAATTTTATGTCTATCCTGTCTTCTGAAATAAAGGATTTAAATGAACTTTTTGAATTTTGAGAAGTTTATCCTTTTCCTTCTTTTTTTAAAGATTAATGGTTCTAATGAACCTTCGTACAGGAAAAAGTAACGCAAGATGGATACAAATTGAAACCATATATATAAAATATGGCCAGGTTTAGGAGAAGCTGCTTGTACCCATCCTCAAGCTTGCAGAGGAGTTATTTTCAAATTTTAGTTTTGGGAAAACTGAAGATTTTCATTATTGAGCTTTTGTGGATCTTAATATATGGAATTTACATTCTATACTTTCCATGCATTAAAATTAAGTTTTGGCTATTCGTGGTTTAAAATTTTTCATTAATGCATTTATTTATAGTTTAACTCAGCCCTATATCTTGTTTTGTACCATCCATTTTTGTTTGTTTGGATGCAAATAGCTTCTCAAGAGCACTTTTGGGAAAAAATAATGCAAAACAGGCAAAATATCCATCTTAATAAACAAAAATGTCCGGTATTTTAAGGTAAAAAATCTATTTTTAGTCTTTATATTAAAATTTAACCCTTGTTGAATTTTTCAGGTTAAAAAAAATATTCGCCTGGGGGTTGCGACGCGCCCATAAATTACACATTTATCAAATTTCTAACATTTGTGCCCCCCCCCCCTTAATAAATTCTTGGCTAGGGGCCTGGACTGAGCTATACTGAATCTGGAACTCACTTAAAATTACGTAGTCATTCCCTTTAATTACAAATAAATTACTTGTGAAATGGAGCATCCCGCATTACATGAAATTGTTCTTTAGAGGTCAACCAGTCCTAAATATATATATTCTAGAGGTCAACCAGTCCTAAATATTTATATTCTAGAGGTCAACCAGTCCTAAATATATATTCTAGAGGTCAACCAGTCCTAAATATATATTCTAGAGGTCAACCAGTCCTAAATATATATATTCTAGAGGTCAACCAGTCCTAAATATATATATTCTTTAGAGGTCAGCCAGTCCTAAATATATATATTCTAGGGGTCAACCAGTCCTAAATAAATATATATTCTAGAGGTCAACCAGTCCTAAATATATATATTCTAGGGGTCAACCAGTCCTAAATATATATATATTCTAGAGGGCAACCAGCCCTAAATATATATGTTCTAGGGGTCAACCAGTCCTAAATATACATATTCTTTAGAGGTCAGCCAGTCCTAAATATATATATTCTTTAGAGGTCAGCCAGTCCTAAATATATATATTCTTTAGAGGTCAGCCAGTCCTAAATATATATATTCTTTAGAGGTCAGACAGTCCTAAATATATATATTCTAGAGGTCAACCAGTACTAAATATATATATTCTTTATAATGACAACCAGTCCTAAATATATATATTCTAGAGGTCAACCAGTCATAAATATATAAATTCTTTTGGTCAGCCACTCCTAAATATATATATTCTTTAGAGGTCAACCAGTCATAAATATATAATTATATATTCTAGGGGTCAGGCAGTTCTAAATATATATATTCAAGAGGTCAACCAGTTCTAAATATATATATTCTTCATAGAACAACCAATTCTAAATATATATATTCTAGAGGTCAACAACTGTTCTAAATATATATTTTCTAGGGGTCAACCAGTCCTAAATAAATATATACTAGGGGTAAACCACTCCTAAATATAAATATTCTAGGAGTCAACCAGTCCTAAATATATAGATTCTAGGGGTCAACCATTCCTAAATATATATATTCTAGGGGTCAACTAGTCCTAAATATTTATATTCTTTAGAGGTCAACCAATCCTAAATATATATATATTCTAGGGTTCAACCAGTCCTAAATATATATATATATATTCTTTAAAGGTCAATCAATCCTAAATATATATATTCTAGGGGTCAAATAGCACTAGATTTTTTCTTTATTTTTAAACATCTACAGGGTGTCTCAACAAACATGGGAATTCAGTGACGAATTCTATATCGTCTTTTTAAATAATTCTTTGATTTAGTTTAGTGATGCCTACTGAGAACGCTGAAATCTGTAAGAGTTTTGTCTGCTATGTTCACATTTTGTTTGTGTATGTTTTGACTGCATCCGGTTGTACTTAGTAAAACAAGATAATTACAGTATACAAACAGAGTAAACTTGTCCGTCTTCACTGTTCATCTTGCGGAAACATTATAGACACAGTTTTACAGTCTTTCACCCTTTTCATAAAATAAACTCTAGCAGACATAATAATATTATGGCTTTTGAAATTAGGTATTACAATGCTAATTCATAACAAAGACGATATCGAATTCGTCACTGAATTCCCATGTTTTTTGGGGACACTCTGTATACAGATATATGCAAAAATAGTCCAAACCATTAATTTTGAAAGAATGAAATTTAATGAAATTTAAGAAAGAAAAAGGCCCCATTTGATTTGCTGATATTTTACTTAGAATAGCTCAGAAACTGATTTAATCGTAAACAAACAATAACAAAGATTGTCTTGATAATATATCTCCATGATATCTAATACCTGTACAGCAAAAGCTTCTCTATCCTGTATATAGCTATCAATATCTCTGGATGCAAATATTTTGACTGTAGGGTCGCCGACAGCCTTAAAAATAAAAAAATATTCTTTGCATGCATAATATGCAAAATGTCATACACCAGGATAGCGAGAAGAGATTAAAAATGCATGGTTATTTCTCTTGTTTACTCACGCCTCTGTAAAAGTAGTCGAATAAATTATCCGTATCAAGACCAACTACTGAATTTAATCTCATATCAAGTTTTTAAAATGGTTTAGAGAGCCCGTGAATAAATGCATAATATAGTACAAACTTTTACTTGAAACACTTCAAGAACGGTAAATAATTAACCTGAAATCTCCAAAAGCGTCCGACAGGAAACAGAACATTTAAATTCCCCAAACTACAAAAATATCAATTTATAAATAATTTAATGCAAAAATAGAATAAGATAACACCTGTGCAAATTAGTGACATCACAAAGATCTAACTCCATATTTTGACAATAAAGATCACACAGTTCTTTTTTAACCTAAAATTAATATACAGTGAAACCCTAAATAACGAATACATCGAAAGCATTTATCAAATGTCGTCTTGACAATTTTCAATGAGTTTTATTTTATTTTACGTAAATTTCAGTATTTGCGAAAATAAATAGATAGCCATGAATATACGGGAACAGTTTTAAAGAGTTCCATATAATCATTTAATAAAAAAACTAAATGTCTGCAACATTCCATTAACAGAAAGTGAAGAATACGACATTTGATGAATTCTTTCGATATATTCATTATTAAGGGTTTCACTATATAGAATATATTTATATAGAAATTAGAAGTCAATTTTATAAAAAGCTGTGAAGAAAATAATTATTTAAAACGCATGAAACATACGTTGAGTTTTGAAAAGCAATTTTCCCATCAATTCAAAAAATTGAAAATGAGGAAAGGATTTAAATTTAAACGTTTTGTTTCATTCGATTTCTTGGATAAAGGTCAAGCCTGGATTAAGAAAGACATATGTCGAGTTCACAATGATACCCTTACATTAATTGATTAAGATGTACCTTTTGGCTTTGATAAACCTGATCTGCTATGGTAAGATCATTTTACTTTATAAACTTCAAATAAAAAATGCAACCTGCCTCCTTTTCTTGGTCCGTCACATTGTGATACAAACGAATTCTCCAGCGGGGATAGTACAGCTGAAAGAAAATTTATATATACAGGGTGTCCCACGAAACATGACAATAGCAAGACGACTTGAAAGTCGTCTTTGATATATGAATTTATTTGTGACATTTAGTCTTCTATCTACTTTAACATGTATGATTCTTGAAACAATTATCACATAATTCTCCTAGCCCTGGCATTTCCAAAAAGTGGTCTGCGTTTTTGTGCTTTCAATATTACCGGAGATATAAAGAGTTTGGTTCAGATTTCAATTTTGTTAAATAAAAGCAAAATTGTCGAAATCTGAACGAAATTCTTTATATGTCGGGCAATATTGAAAGCACAAAAAAGGCAGACCACATTTTGGAAATGGCAGGACTAGGGGAATTTTGTGATTTTTATCTCTAGAAATTTACTTCTAAAATTAAATTGACAAATAAACACAGCAAAGTATATCAAAAATCAAGACGACATTCAAGTCCTCTTGCATACTGTCATGTTTCGTGGGACACCCTGTATCTCCGTCAATCTTGAAGGTGAATAAAAGGTAGTCTAAATTTTTTAGTAGTGTTCGGTGTTAAACATTTTAACTGTGTTACTACAAAATCAAATGTACGAAATAATCCCGCTTTGAACAAAGACGAAATAGAAGTTGTCATTAAATTCCCATATTAATTAGGTCACTCTGTACATAAAAGCTGAATATGTAATAATGAAACATCACTTTTACGAATTTTATAAACATACAGAAACTGACTGAATTTATATCTTTGATTCTACAATTTTGTGTATTAACAACCCAGTCTCGCCATTTGTTTACATAACTTTTCAAAGTTGATAAGATATTTAATGATATTCAACGATATCTCACGATATTTCACGATATTAAAGGGAGTGTTCGCGAAAAAACGGAAGAGGGTATAAGCTTACGGCGAAAAAAATTCGATGGTGATTGCTGCTCTATCTGTGTTGCGTCTATCAGAAGAAAATTGTTGAAAACGGCTCTTACCGAAGAACGTTGCATCCCTACAAATTCAGAAAGTTGCAATATTCGACTCGGATCGTAAAAAAATCAAGTTTATTCCAAACAAACAAATCGTTCAGATATTACAACCTATATAAAGTTGATATTTCAAAATAGTATTTTTTTTAATTAATTGATCGCTTTTATCTTATTCTTATTTCACGGCTGGCGCTGGATTTTGGAACATCTATAGAAAATGTGATAATGTCGTTTTCATTATCAAAATCCTCGAAACAAGAATGAATGTTTTCAAAAGTAACTCTCGGATCATCAAATAAAAAAATATTATGAAATATCAACTATATAAGAGTGCCTCGAAATATCTGAATGATTCGTTTGGAATAAAATTTTTTACGCTTCGAGTCGAATATTGAAAGTTTCTGAATTTGTATGAACTCTACATTCTTCGGCAGGTATGCGTCGTTTTTAACATTTTTCTCCTTATAGACGCAACAGATAGAAGTAAGATTAGGAGCAATAATCGAAAATTTTTAAATACAAGCCTATACCCCTTTCATTTTTCGTGAACACTCCCTTTAAGCAGGTAATTTATTAATAAATTGCAATAGGAAATAGGTCAAATATTTCCAAAAGTATTTTGCTGCCTATAATTATAACTTTGAGGGAAGCACAAGCATGATGGTACAGTAAAGGTAACAGTAAAAAATCTTCATTACGAACTCAAAAAATTGCTTATTTGGCAGCCATCCAACTTTTTTTGGCAAATAAGTGATTTTTGTTAAATATAAGGGAACATTTTTTATTTTGTAATTGATAGTTCATAGAAAGAAAACACTTTTTTAGGTTTTTGTTGAATATAATAAACTATACCTTTGCATGTTGAATTATGTTAGACATGAATTGACTATAATAACTATACCTTTGCATGTTGAGTTATGTTAGACATGAGTTGACTATAATAAACTATACCTTTGCATGTTGAATTATGTTAGACATGAGTTGACTATAATAAACTATACCTTTGCATGTTGAATTATGTTAGACATAAGTTGACTATAACGTAATATTGAAGCCTCTGGTTCTCTGAAATATATACATCCTTGTATCTAAAGTTGTAATCTCTGTTTGGGTGTCTGTTTGTTTGTCCGATCATAATTCAGGAACCCCTTGACCGATTTGCCATAAATTATGATTTGAGAATTCGGGAGAACCACGTGAACGTTTTTAACTCGGTTTTGATGATCTAAATTGAGTGTGTTATTATAGATTTAAAAGCGAAAATTTAGTTTCCCCGGTAAAATCGACCAAATGCAGGTAAACGTCGGGAATAAATATGAGTATCCTGGGCAGCACCGATTTCCCAAGAACACATAGAAATAGAAAACAGTTGAATGATTGTCGTCTTCTATCTTTTAAACAAACAAAATCGAGCATTGTTTACAATCATTTTTAGTATTAAAAAAGAAAACTATAGTTCTCAGAAATTATTTTTGATCCATCAGACTAAAAGAAAACACACCCTATCCATACTCCGTTGAAGAGACTGTAATCGTAATTTTAAGTGACATTCCATGGAAAGTTAGCAAAACCGATTCACAACAGTACCAATATAAACTTTTACTTGTCTAGAATGAATTTTAAATTCCAACTGCAGTTTCTCAACAAAAGTGACTTGCGCATTTCTACTGAAGAAAAACATGTAGAAATGATCAAAATTAAGCACTTTGAAACCTAGATAAATTACATTATCTTTGGCATTATTGATTATATGAAGGTTTCTGGGGTATCGTTGTGAATCGAGCATTGCTATCTTTGTACGGATGTTCACTCTAAATTACGCTTACAGTCCCTTTAAAATGTTTTTATTCTCAGGCATATGTCAAAATCATTTAGGAATATAAGGGTGTAAAATACTTACAGAGGTTTACCCTGTTTAGATGTAGGTGGGGTGTAGAAGGAGTAAGATAACACTTGTTGACCAGCACCAAGAGCTAAAAGAAAATGATAAAAAATTCAATCAATAATTTTAAAAATTCATTGGTTTTTGAAAATAAACACTGTTGTCTTCCAATTTCACAGTCGTCTTCCTATTTCACAGTCGTCTTCCTATTTCACAGTCGTCTTCCTATTTCACAGTCGTCTTCCTATTTCACAGTCGTCTTCCTATTTCACTGTCGTCCTCCTATTTACACTTTAGCATGTCTCACTGAACCCAAACATTGCACTTTACCCATGCATTGCTGCACTGGATTCACCGACAAAGGGTCAAACGACAAAGGGTCAAACGACACAGGGTCAAACGACACAGGGTCAAACGACACTGGGTCAAACGATAAAGGGTCAAAAGTGCGAAAAAGGGTCAAACGGCAAAAGGTCAAAATGATAAAAATATTTTTTGATTTGAATCATAGGAAACTCGCAATTTTAATCACAAAAATCCGCCAAACTTTTTTGAAGATTTAAAACTTAAGTCTGATTCTGGCTTCCATAATGGTCGGGTTGGCAATATAATTGACCATGTTGCCGCAGCGCTCGGCCCCCTAGCCTGTCCTAGCCGCAGCGCTCGGCCCAGAAATTGTCTTGTCTAACCTAACCCGTGGCCGCAGCGCTCGGCCCCCTAGCCTGTCCTAGCCGCAGCGCTCGGCCCAGAAATTGTCTTAACTAACCTACCCCGTGGCCGCAGCGCTCGGCCCCCTAGCCTGTCCTAGCCGCAGCGCTCGTCCCAGAAAGTGTCTTAACCTAACCTAACCCAAATAATAATAAATAAATGGATATAATTGACCATGTGGCCATAGCGCTCGGCCCCCTAGCCTGTCCTAGCCGCTGCGCTCGGGCCAGAAAGTGTCTTAACTAACCTAACCCGTGGCCGCAGCGCTCGGCTCCCCAGCCTGTTCTAGGCGCAGCGCTCGGCCCAGAATGTACCTAACCTAACCTTAAATAATAATAAAAATACTAACCGTCAAAATTAAAAAAAATTTGCCCTTTTATCGCATTTTTTGACTCTTTGTCTTTTGACCCTGTGTCGTTTGACCCTTTGTCGCGTTTTTGACCCCTTGTCGTTTGACCCTGTGTCGTTTGACCCTGTGTCGTTTGACCCTTTGTCGTTTGACCATGGGTCGTTTGACCCTTTGTCGGTGAATCCTGCACTGTACCCATACATTGCACTGTGCCCATGCATTGCATTTGCAACAGTTACATAAAAGGAATTACCAGCGTAATGTCAAGTGTCCCTTCATGCAAAGCCAGGGCAATGCGACATACATAACGATACCCAATTGAAACCTTTATCAATAATATGGAAGACATTGTAGTTTTTTGGTACTAACCTGTTTCTTTATAATTATTTCTGAATCATTTATGGCTGAAGAAATGCACAAGTCACTTTAATAGAGAAATCACAGTTGAAAATAATCAGGTTTCAAAGATATAAACGTTGATATTTAATTAACATTTGATCAGACCAAGCTTTTATAGGTACCTTAGTGAATCTGAATCTTTGCATAAAGGGTCACTCGAAATTACACTTGCAATCCCTTTAACAAAACCAAAAGGTTTGAATTATCATATAATCCTATTATTTAAACCTGTAGTGTGCTGGTTTGAATTATCATATTATTATATTATTTAAACCTGTAGTGTACTGGTTACATGTAGATTTTCCAACGTATTCACCATCAGCTATCTACAACAGACATCTTGATATCATGAATGCCAAAAAAGAAACGAAAATTTGTATTGTTAAGGGCTTTAGTAGTAGCATTTAAAAAAAATGTTTCAAATCCAAAAAATAACTTCATGTCTAATATAAGTCTTAAATCTAATCTTGAATACTAAGCATAGGGTGCTTTCGTCCCGATCTCTAGCACCAATGAAAACTTTTAAATGTTTTTAAAGTTGCCGTTTTTAATCATTATCTGCATCAAACAAAAGTATTATTAGCGTGAATCATTTTTAGAAATAAGAAATATGGACATTTTTCTTGGGATTAGGTTTTCAAATTTGAAACCTAATCAATTCATGGGGTCATATGTGAATTGCCTATGTGGGTCCGATTTAGTCATTTTGGCGTGTTTATCGAATGCAAACACCCCGACACACACCTATTTAGAAAAACAAGCCAAATTTCAAAATTGATGCCCTTTTGAATTTTTGATAAAAAGATGCCCTGTTTCCTTTTCAAAATTAATATCTTCAGGTTTCAGTGACCCATTCAGATATTTCAAAGATCGCGCTATTCTGAAAATATATGTTTTCATTAGTTTTTGAGAAAATGGATTTATTTTAACCAATTACCTAGGTTTACAGGGACAAAATGAATCTACTTTATATTCATCCATCTGAGCAAGAAATCTTTCTAAACAAAAATATTTTAAAAACTTATTTTCCTTCCTTATCCCATCTAAACAACTTTGTATTGTCCTGGCTGGTTTCCAGTAGGAACAATAAAATTAATAGTTAATCTTGGACCACCTTTTTGTCCAGGCTCACTACGTTTTTTTTCTGGTTCAACCTAGCATTACCATTTAGATATAATTCTTGATTCTTGATAAATCGTCTTTAAGAGGGGAAAGTACCTAGAGTCTTGTAACCAACTCAAATTATCAAGTTTTTATAGTTTTGCAACCTAATATTGTAAGCCTTTAATATTTCAAACTCAGAACTCTGCCAGATCTAATAACGAAATTTTAAATGCCAAAGATTTCAACATCAGGTTGCAAAAATTAGAAAATTAGAGTTTGTTACAAATTTTTTTTTTATATCTAGAACATACAGATATGGGAACATTACATTCGATAATCTTTCAACTAGGGGTGATATGCTGTACTGGTCTTTTTTGTCTTCTTTAGTCTGTATGTTTTAACCCCTGGTTTAACCCTTGGTTTAACCCCTGGTTTAACCCCTGGTTTAACCCCTGGTTTAACCCCTGGTTTAACCCCTGGTTTAACCCCTAGTTTAACCCCAAATTAAGATTAATTAACCTGCAACATTGTAACTGAGACCGAAACTACTGTAGGACATTAAAACCAACACAATCTGAACATTAATTTAGAGTTTTTAATAAATAGTTGTCATTGAGCAACAAAAAACGTTTCCAAAAACTGCAAACATTTTCAAACAAAGGAAATAAGTTTTGCCACAAACGCAAATTTTATTGTCACTGTAACTTCGCAATCTGATGGCGTAAACCATTAATATTTCAAACTTAGACTTTTATATTTAACATAGTTCATAGTTTGAAATATCAAAGGTCTACGACACAGGATTGCAAAGATATAGGTATTACAAAACCTGAGTTTGCTGCAAAAATCTCCTTTTGATCAAATTATCAATTTGCTTACCAAAGCTGTCAGTGTAACAACCAATGCTCGTCTGGCTCTGTCTACCATTTTGAAAATCTTAAATGACGAAACACGAAGTGTAGCTTTATGCTATACATGGGCATCTCAAACGGAATTCATCACTCAATTCTCATGTTTATTGGGAAACACTGTATGTTATACACCACAATGTAATTAATTGTACATGACAATTAGTGATGGTAGTTACCACTTGTTTTTCTTCAGGTCACTGAAAACTACAAAGCCAGGGGAGGCTTATAATATTTTCCAGTGAGGTAAAATAATTGATTTTTTGCGCGTCGAAATTTATTGTCCCCCCTAGCTCTGGCAAAACATCCCCCCCCTGTGGTATTTTTACAGGAAATAAATTGAGTCTTTGCCACAAACTCTGATTTTCTAATCCCTATATCTTCACAACCCAACGTCGTAAACCTTAGATATTTCAAACTATGAATTCTGTTGGATCAAAGAATCTAAGTTTGAAATATCAAAGGTCTACACTATTAGGTTGCAACAGATATTGAGATTATTAAATTAGAGTTTGCGGCAAAGACTCAATTCCTTTGGTCATATTATGTCAAAACCTTGAGCAGCTGGGGAGTGTTAGTGTAAGGTTTAGATTTTTATAATCAATATTAATTTTGAGTGGAAAAGTGTCAGTGCAGGAAAAATTTTTTGACCGATTTGCCTCAATTTTTTACTTTAATTTAGTTTCCCGGTAAAATCGACCAAGGGCGGGTACACGGCGGGAGAGTAACTATGAGTAACCTGAGTACTTAATGTTTTACTTAACTTTTACATTTCAGGGCTTTTTCGCCATTGTGCGTAGTTTTAATATTAAAACAGGAGTAAATGCACGAAACTTTATATATTTTTGAATGAGACAATAAATATATTTCTCTGTGAATCAAGATGTGCAAGCTCTCACGCAAACATTGAAATGAATTTTGTCAATTTCTCCTTTAATCTTAAACTAAAGATAAGAGCGCGGTAGTTTTTAAATGACCAAAGTTACACATTTTTGAAGAGATTTGTGAGATCATACGGAAACCTATGCTATTAAAACGCTTCAAAGTAGAGGCTGTCTAACAATTTGATGGATAAGTTTACTAGTTGTTTAGATATTAGCTGGTGGTGGTTTACTGGGATATAAATATATTTAATATTTGTTGAGTTGAATGTACTTAGACAGACTGAAGCCGGTCACTCTTTTCTGAGACACAGCGGTTCTCACACGGGGGGGGGGGTTATTTTGGGCAGAGGAGACGTCAGTAGGAATAGGGTTAACCCCGTGCAGCCCCCCCCCCATAAATCCTTTTTACCTGGCGGACTGCATTGGGAACAGGGATAGATAGTTGCATTACAATTTTTAAAGTTTTTTAAAACAATTATTTATCATCAAAATTTTATTCTGAACTGCAATCGGTTTGCTGAACATTTTGAAATGAAACAATTTTTCTTAAACAGATTTTTAACATTGTCAGATTTTGACACTTTTTTTAAATTACGTCATTTTCGTTTTTGACATAAACATAAATATTGATTGATTACTTTAAGCTGCTTACATCTAACTCACCATGGTTTACTAAAGGTCCTGGTCAAAAGTGTAGTGAGTCTTAACTTTAGACACCATTTTAACCATTAAATGTAGATTTTTCGTATTTACTATTTCATATCTGTTTGCTGGGCTTTTTATTCTAAATATCTAAGGGCTTAAGGCTTTTATGCTATTTTTGACGGATTTTGAACGAGATATCAAGATATGATTAAAAATATTCCAATACAGACAGGATACACTCGTTGTATGTTAGTTTTATGTGTGACTCGATATGCCGAAGAACAGATAAATATCATTTAGATTTTATCAATTTTACAAACAATTGTTTTGCTGTAATTAAGGATAGAATTTGATTACATGACTGGCCTGGAAGTATCCTTGGAATAAATTCATTAAAACTTTAAATTTATTTATATATATTTGATTTTGTTCTTACTTGGAAATCCAGCTTTAAATGGAAAATAAAATATAATTTAATAATATTTCTAATGAGCCTTTATTCAAAGAATATCATTCACAACAGTACCCTGTTCACTTTTGTGTAAATATAGTGTAACATTATATCTTTTATCTATATATTTTAAAAATACTATATCTGTAAACCTGAACTACGTTGTACATCAAAGTTTGTAAATAGCACCGTAAAATCCATATCTTGATTAATATTAACTGCGCTTAGTTAACTACGTAACATGATTAGCTAAATTACGATGTAAATATAATGACGTAAAACTTGTAATTACGTGATTAACTTTAACTTGTAACATAGAACCCCAAATACGTTTAGTTGGAATTGACTTCACTACAGTGAGAAAGTAATTCTTCTTAGTTAGCAAACGAGAAGCGTCCTGAATCACTCTCTTCTTGAAAGATAAAACTAGATCGGAAATCGATACAGATAAAGTCGTGTCTGGATTGACTTTTGTCAAAACTTCTATTTTTCGTCATGATTTTTAAAATTTTTTTCTTGAAACACATCTTTGATTTTGCAAATCCTTTTAAAGACTGATAAATCACTACATCACGATTAAATAGTTAACACTTTGAACTGAATAGCTCTTATGCCTCGTCAACCAAAGGCCCAAGTAAACAAAACGCCTATTTTCAAAACGCCAATGTTACCAAACACCAATGTTACAAAAAGTCCAAATTTTTTTTGCAAAAAAAGGCAGTTGAATGGAATCTCACGGAACAAAGGCATGACAGAACAGTTTTCTGTTTTCGTTAAAATCCAATAAAAATGTTTCTTTCCTTGTTGATGCTAAATAATGTGTAAGTACAAACCTAAATCAAGTGTTCCAGATATGGCGGTATCTATTCCACAGTTTTATAGGTTTCACGGTAGGTTTTTAAATCTCAAAGTTTTGTCATTTTAATCGTTTTCAGTTTTGGACGGTTTTTAAAAATTTGGGCGTTATTTTTCGGATTTTTGTCGTTTTGTTGCACTGGACATTTTGTAATTGGGCGTTTTGTGATTAGGAGTTTAGTGATGAGCAGTTTTGTACACACTACCCTTGGAAAAATTACAGTACACACCCCTGCATAAGTCTAAAATATAACAATATATGCTTTTTGGAACACTAGCTTTAAGGATTTAACACCCAGTTGTTATAATACGTGAATTAAGCTTCAGTCAAAGATATTATAATTATAATTTATGAAAATTAAAATCATCTGTTAACGTTTTTTTTTCATTANGGGGGGGGGGGGGGGCTAAGCTTTCAGGGCTCTGCGCCTGCACAGCCCTCTTCTGCCAACAATGTATACCGTTTATTTGTTGCTTTTTATGTGACCATTTTTTTTTGGAATTGTAAAACTCAAGTTTGCGGATTTTTTTTGTGAAAATAGATAGATTTTTTAAATTAAAAAATCAACATTTTTTTGGCTAGATTGATACACACACACATGATAAGCCAAGCTTCAAGACTAGAAAGTGAGAGTTAAAACCGATTTTTTTTTGCCAAATACTTCATAAAATTGAACCTGAAAAATAGTAAATTTCTAAAATGTACATTTAAGTGTTTTAAAAAAGGGTGAATGTGGTCAAGGCGTCGTGACGACATAAAGTCTGCCTAGTCTTAATATTTTAAGTAATTTTTCCTAGCAGTTTGGGCCTTTGTGCTAGAACCAACCTCCAGTAATTTCTCAAACTCATATCCCTCTTGTAAAGAATTTTTTGATACACATGTATATGAATAAGATTTGGTTCAAACAAAAAATACTAGATTTACCTAATAAATCTAGAAAAAAGGTCATTGAAAATATTTTTCTTATGTTGTCATTTGCTTTCTGGTTTAAAATATTAGTCAATTTACATGAAAATTTGCGTTTTACATTCTTTTAGACTTATTTTTTATGTAATATATAAGATTGTTCTAACAAAAAAAGGCTTCCTATAATACTAACACCCCCCCCACGCCCCCTCCCTACACCCTCCGGACAAGTTTGTGTTGTTTACAATAATGATATTATAAATTCAAGATCGCCTGATAATAAATCTGTAGTCTCTGCAAGATACAATAAAATGATAATAAGATACCTACAGGGTGTCCCACGAAACATGACAATAGGAAGACGACTTGAAAGTCGTCTTTAGTATTTGAATTTATTTTTGACATTTAGTCGTCTATCTACTTTAACATGTATGATTCTTGAAACAATTATCACATAATTCTCATAGCCCTGGCATTTCCAAAAAGTGGTCTGCGTTTTTTGTGCTTTCAATATTACCGGAGATATAAAGAGTTTGGTTCAGATTTCAATTTTGTTAAATAAAAGCAAAATTGTCGAAATCTGAACGAAATTCTTCATATCTCGGGCAATATTGAAAGCACAAAAAAGGCAGACCACATTTTGGAAATGGCAGGACAAGGGAAATTTTGTGATTATTATCTCTATAAATTTACTTCTAAAATTAGGTTGACAAATAAACGCAGCAAATTATATCAAAAATCAAGACGACATTCAAGTCGTCCTGCATACTGTCATGTTTCGTGGGACACCCTGTATGTCACGTCTTATTCACATGTGAATCAATCAATATACATAGAATTAATATCCAGCAATATTGCTGGGTACGTTCCAGTGTTTTCAAGCCGTTTCGTAAGCGGTTATTTCAACAGTTTTAAAGACAAAATCTCAGTTAGTCGTTATTTTTAGAGGGTAAGAACAAAATTTAGTTTCTTTAACGATATTTTCCGTTTTTTAATGATACCGTTAGTTAACGAGCCCAATTTTATTAACGGCGTTAAAATTTCCAACAACCGATATCGGCTCCAGGCGTTAACGGTTGTTGTTAATACAGAATTAATGGCATTTAAAGTTCACTGCAATTTTTAGCAGAAAAAATATAATTGCCGTTTAAGAAAAATAATCTTTCTTTTTATTGTGTTCAACCGTTATTTTTTTCATAAGAGGTTACTTCGTGTTGTAAACAATTAAAAATTAACGGTTTTTGTTATTCGTTAACAGACTCTTCCGTTTTCTTTCAAAAACCTCCGTTTCGTTAACGGAACTTTGCCCAGCTCTATCCAAAAATTGATAAATCAGGAAGGACATGTTTCAAAAAAAGGTTTTTAGACAAAATGTGGTCATTTTGGCATTCCACGTTCACATTTTCGTTTTTCTCACAAAATTCCATGTAGTGCTTTTTTTCGCTGAATTAATTTTCGCGAAAAAAATGCTAAAGTTTTCGTTCACTGAAAACCCTTAATAGATTTATAATTTATTTGGGAAACCGTAGTTGGGATTTACCATTAATTAGGGCCGCTGCGAGATTTTAAATAATCGACTCCATTGGTTTTGAAAAGAGCTGATTTCGTAATCTATCATTCGTATGTAAACGCAAAGTGAATAAATACTAAAGTGGACCAAACTCATAGTTGGATGACGACATTTTATGTCCCAAGTATTTAGAAATATGTATATATTGAAATCTTTTCATGAAATTATTTCCAAACCAAATAAAACCTTATGGCCCAACCTGTCGTCGTTTCCTTAGTCTGTTCCACTTTAGTATTTATTCACTTTGATGTAAACGTACCCTAAATTTGTACTAAACAAACCCCACACTCAAGAAAGATATACCAGGAACCCCCCAATTATTTACTTATCTATACTGAAAAAAAGTGTACTGCAAATTTCTGTTAGGAATATCAACTAGCTGCAGTACAGTTTTGTTTGTAATCAGATATAAATTCCCTGTGTGTCTTCTTTGCCCAGTGTTCACTCCAGCTTCAAGATAATGTTTACTATAATCTAGTTAATCTGAAACCCTCGCACTGCGTATATGTATAGTTAAAGGGACTTTAAGCGTAAATTCAAGTGACCTTCCGTGCAAAAATGGTAAAACTCGCTTTACAACGGTACTTTTATTGCTTTTAATTCTTATAAGCAAGAAATGCACAAGTCATTTTCTCGAAGAAACCGCAAATGAAAATAAAAAGTTTACATAAATAAAAACATTGATATTTAATTTACAGCCAAAGCTCTAAAGGTTACCATTGTGAATCGGGCATTGCCATCTTTGTATGAAGGGTCACTTGAAATTACGCTCACAGTTCCTTTAAAAGTCTATTTGTATTTTCTATCCTAATATTCATGATCTTCTCTATAACCTCTGTTGTTTGCATAAGAATACGTAAATATATTTAATATTTTAATATTCGTTATATTGAATTTGAATCATTTTTCAGAAATCATTATAGAATGGCTAATTATCCAACGGTAGATAATTAAAATAATTTTTAAAGTAAAACATTATTGATTACTTTGGTTCTTTTTTCAGTTAATTGGGGACATAGCGGTGGAAAAAGTGAGAACTGGCGAGAAGGTAATAACTATTTTTGAACTCAACTTAAATTGCATTTTATTTCATGTCAAAACTCTTCAATTTCGACCTGCCATTAACCTTCTCGAGGGTCAGGTGAAAACCACAAAAAAATTTGTTCCGATCTATTTATCCGTTTCGTTGACGTTTCGTGAATACAAAAAGACACGCCAACAAGCCAAATGTACACACTATACAGGTGCAGTGAAATTCTTTTTTCAAAATTCAAAAATATTTTCCCCTAGAAACATAGAAAAACAATTCCGACAATTTTTTTTTAACAAAAAAGTCTAATATTGATTTTTGAAAATTATGCAACCAAAAATCTTCAATAAATTTTAAATCTTCAGAAATGAAAAGTTCTCCTTATAATGTAAATTACATTTTAAATGAAAAGATTGTTTGAATAGAAATTTTCATTTTGACATCTCAGTAAAATACTCATATTATTCATGTCCTTCTAGGTGAAGTTTTCAGATTTATGGAGGACCAGTCCTTGTGTTATTGTTTGGTTCAGGAGGTCAGTATTTTAAATAAAGAATATAAGTGGTTGGCATTTATATAAATTCAATGAAGACAAATTTTTTATTTTTAACAAGATCTTTTTTAAAAAAGAAGTTGTGCTCATTGAAAGATTTTTGGAGAAATCAAAATTAAACTGTAAGGTCATCTTCATTGTATTGATTCATACGACGAGAACTCTATTTTAATCAAGGGATTAACTAAACCCTAGTTCATTCGCCAGCTTTATTGTCTATTTTAATCAAAGGATTAACTCAACCCTAATTCATCCGCCAGCTTTATTGTCTATTTTAAACAAAGGATTATCTTAACTCTAGTTCATCAGCTAGCTTTATTGTCTATTTTAATCAAAGGATTAACTCAACCCTAATTCATCCGCCAGCTTTATTGTCTATTTTAAACAAAGGATTATCTTAACTCTAGTTCATCAGCTAGCTTTATTGTCTATTTTAATCAAAGGATTAACTTAACTCTAGTCCATCCGCTAGCTTTATTGTCTATTTTAATCAAAGGATTAACTTAATCCTAGTTCATCCGCCAGCTTTATTGTATATTTTAATTAAAGAATTAACTTAACTTTAGTTAATCCGCCAGCTTTATTGTCTATTTTAATCAAAGGATTCACTTAACCCTAGTTCATTCGCCAGCTTTATTGTCTATTTTAATCAAAGGATTCACTTAACCCTAGTTCATTCGCCAGCTTTATTGTCTATTTCAATCAAAGGATTAACTTAACTTTAGTTCATTCGCCAGCTTTATTGTCTATTTTAATCGAAGGATTAACTTAACTTTAGTTCATCCGTCAGCTTTATTATTTTTTTTTAATCAAAAGGAATTAACTTAACCCTAGTTCATCAGCTAGCTTTATTGTCTATTTTAATCAAAGGATTAACTTAACCCTAGTTCATCCGCTAGCTTTATTGTCTTTTCTAATCAAAGGATTAACTTAACCCTAGTTCATCCGCCAGCTTTATTGTCTATTTTAATCAAAGGATTAACTTGATCCTAGTTCATCAGCCAGCTTTATTGTCTATTTTAATCAAAGGATTAACTTAACTTTAGTACATCCGCCAGCTTTATTCTTTATTCAAATCAAAGGTTTAACTTCACCCTAGTTCATCTGCCAGCTTTATTGTATATTTTAATCAAAGGATAAACTTAACTTTAGTCATCCGCCAGCTTTATTTTACATTTTAATCAAAGAATTAACTTAACCCTAATTTATCATTACCATGTATCACAATACAGTTGGGCGAATAAAACTATGTAATTAAAAGACGACATTTAAAGAACTATATAGGAATTTCATGTTAAAAGGAAAACAGTTTTAACATGTAGCTTAAAAATCATATTAATTAGATAAATGCGTCTGTATTCTGTGTACACTTCACAATTGTGTCACGTTTTATGTTTATGGGAATATTTAAAACTATAACTTGAAGTTTAACAGTCGTCTTTTAATTTCATAGTTTTATGGGTTTTACTGCATTGAATGTTAGTTTAAGGTCGTCCTTGTTCTAGGTTTGGATGACCTTATTGTAGAGTAGCTGCCGCTGAAATCTCCAAGATACAAGCGCAGCTACACAACAACAACATTAAGTATACATTTCAAATTCTTCTTTATCATCCATAATTTATAATTTTATCCAATTTGAACTTATAATAGATATCATTTGCTTTTTTTCAGGCTTATCGGGGTGGGGGTAGAAAAATTAGGGCTTCAGGATTTTGTTGAGAAAGGATATTTTACAGGTGAGGTTAAGTTGCAGAAAAAGATTGTTCCCGTATTTTAAAATACAGATTATATCTAAATTTTTAAAATTAGAAAAACCCAACTATGTATAAGTATCAGCTAGGAAAATTTGAATCCATAGTTACTAACTGTATATTTATCGTGTTCCAAATTCCAAATATTTGGTTACTACATGATGAACAGAAAAGCAATAAAAGGTACATTTTTTATTTTTCAATTTTTTATTTTTCAGGGGAGCTTTTCATTGATGAATCAAAGGCTTCATACAGAGCAATGGGCTTTGCAAGGTATGAATTAATGATGAAGGGCTAAACCCAAAAATGAAAGTATGACAACCCATGGAGTTTTGAAAATACCATAATGAGAATGTTAAATTCGGGTTTTTAAATTAAATATATAATCTTAAAATTGTTAAGATATAACTAATACAAATTTTAGATATAGTATTTTTTTGACAAACATTAAATTAAAATTTAAATTATTGTTTACATTTACATTCAATTATGTTATTTATTTATTTAGTATGGAATACTCCGAACTACTGGGTCGATCTTTTTTCTCAACTCAAGCTGTCACATCAATTTACAAGAATATATCCGAGGTTGATTTATTCAAGTTTTATTTTTATTCATTTCTAGACGAAGTGCCCGCGGCGATGCGCGCGGAATTTTAAAAACACTTTTTTAAAATATCATGTTACCCCAAGGGTACCCATGGGGTTCCTTAAAAAAGGAAGCCAATTTGGTACAGCCGTATATATGGTTTAAAAAGATTTAGAGCTTAATTAAAATACTCGTGTATGGTTTTGGTCTTTACTATAAAAAAAAATGAAAAAGGGTTTTGAAAAAAACATTAAGCCTGTTTAGCAATAATGTATATAATTGATTTTTATTTAAAATTTTTTTTGTGTTAACCCCCCCCCCCCCCTCTGAAGATATAAGACTATTATTGTATTAGAACAAACTTAAGGACGTTAAGTTTATTTGCGCAAAAATAACACATTTTAGGAAGAAAAACTTTTGTATCTTATTTAACTACAGGGGTAGGCAATTATACCAATACAATGAAGACGACTTCAATTTTGATTTAAATTATACTGTTAAACAGCATGGATACACAAAAACATAGAAGTAAAGCGAATTTATTATTTAAAAAAGCTTCTCTTTGATTACGTGTAAACTTGTAATTCGTTAAAAATCTTGTTAGCAATCAAACTTACTTTAAAAGTCGTCTTCATTATAGTGATATAATCGCTTACCACCGTATTTGAGTTTGACATATTTTTGTCTACACTCTTATTTCTTATCAAGATCAATATAAATATTTATTATAAACATTTTAATTAAATAAGTTGTTAATTTTTCACTAAAAAAATATTAATTTTATAATTCATGCACTGAAAGAAGTATTTGTGTATTTTTTATTTTTCCAAAATTAGACCTTTTAATTTTGCATTTGAATAAAAAATGCTAAGAATGTTAGTGAAAAATATTAATTCTAATCAATGTGACAAAAATATGATTATCTAATTGTAATTGAGGAATTCGACGAGTTTCCCAATATGCAGCAATTTAATTGTATTTTATCTTTCGGAGATATTTTCTAAATCAAGAATTCAAAGAATTCAAATTACCCTATAAACTTACTGTAAACGTTAAATCAATTGACATATAAAGAGAGAGGGATTCATTTCTTTTAGATCGTTTCTTGGATTTTTTATAATTAATTCTCTTAAGAGCGACTTGCTGATTTTTTTCATTAAAAAAGTTGGAGGACTCGGTGAAAATTTTACAATTTTAAATTAGAAAAACAAGGATATCTTGGTAAGGGTTTAATTACGATACCCTTATCACTTGGGCCTGTTATCTACAATTTTATTAAAGGATCACTTGAAAGCAAGGGTGTACACAGTGGGTTAGGGGGGAAGGGGGCAGTGCCCCCCTAGAACTCAGAGCTATCACACTTCTAAATTTTAATCTGAAAAGTAAAGAACATAACAAAATTAGTTGGCTGTTTATTTTCTGCTAGTTTTGTTCGAAGGAGAGATACAGTAGTAACTGTATGGTAATTGGACTGTATGTTATGTAGAGTTTTCCGACAGATACATCTAATAGAACAATCTAATAGTTTAATATGAAAGAAGTAAAAATAAAAAAACACAATTAATGGAAAATACGAAAACTGTTTCTATGAAATGATTGCACATTTACTTATCTAGGGCCTTGGTGGTAACATGAGAGGAGATCTGTGGCAGAAGGGTGGTTGTCTAGTTGTAGGGGTTGGTGGTAACCCTGTATACATGCAGTACACTCAGGTAATATATACATATATTAATATACATGCTGTACTCAGGTACCCCTGTATACATGCAGTACACTCAGGTAATATATATATTAATATACATGCTGTACTCAGGTAACCCTGTATACATGCAGTACACTCAGGTACTATACATACATATATTAATATACATGCTGTACTCAGGTATAAATGCAGTACACTCAGGTAATATACATATATTAATATACATGCTGTACTCAGGTAACCCTGTATACATGCAGTACACTCAGGTACTATATACATATATATAATATACATGATGTACTCAGGTAACCCTGTATACATGCATTACACTCAGGAAATGTATACATAAATATAATATACATGCTGTACTCAGGTAATCCCATGTATACATGCAGTACACTCATGTACTATATACATATATATAATGTACATGCTGCACTCAGGTAACCCACTTAACCTAGAACTTTTGAAATCATGCAAAACACGAGATTCTGCCATCGAAATTTTGGCAAATTGGTCAAAAAGGTTTTAAGTTACGATATGATTTGAGAAACCAAACAAATAAACAGAGATCACTACATTTCTATATTTAAAAGTTCATTTAGACAATAAAATTTGACTGAACTAATGGGGAAATTTATTAAAATTTCTCTTCAATTTTTAATGTACAAAATATAGTATATACTTTAATATTTCAACTGTTTTAGCATAAACCAAAAATAGAATAATAGAATCTTTACTTAACTGCCATGGTCAATAGTCATTGGAACACCCTGAAGTTGTAAATTTTAATTTACAAATTTTTTTTAAAAGATCCATTCATTCGTCCTATCTAACTATCGAAACTTCAATTTCTAAATGAAAAAGGTTTTAAAATATCCTCTTAACATCAAATTTTCTTCTTTTTGCTTATCTTCGTAAAATTAAATTTTTCTATCGTAATTTTTTTTCAGGAGGAGGCCATTGATCATGTTAACAACGACGACATTTTAAAATGTTTTAACATTTAATTTTGTTTAAATTCTTCTTTTTTGAACAAAGCTTGGCTAAGGTTATAAAAAAGAAGTTTTTTAAGAAGTTATGGGATTTGACATTCTATACAAAGAAGGGTATGTATGATTCACAACCGTATCCTTTTTTTCGATCGATAAAGAGTAAGTAACATAGATAAATAAATAAACAAAGATAGCTTATGTACGCAAAATCACCAACAATTGTACAGTCTGCGAACTCATACTTCTAGGGGTCAAAGTGTACTTAAATGATAAGCGGGGTGGTTTGGTGTTTTAATGGATTTCATAATAGAGTGTAAAATAACTCTGGGAATGGAACTATTTAAACAATATTTCACTGAGCAATATATCGTACTGACGAAAACTGAAGAAGGACATGAGAAGGACTAAACTAACTTAAATTTCTCTCTATAGAACTAATGTACACCACAAGTACTCAATGACACAAGAACAGCCAATGTTCACAACCGACCTAGTTAATCTATATAATAGGAATATCTTTAACACATCTCTGTACATTTATATCTTTCAAGATAAAAAATGTCGTCTTATGAGCAATCTATCTTTATCTATGGTAAGATTTTGTCGATTTTCTTTGCTGAAAGGGACTGTAAAAGAAATTGTGACATTGTAACAAATAGTTCCATTGTTTCTCAAGTAACAATTGTTGTAGAAATCACAAGTGAAAATAATAAAATTTCAAAGATAATATTGTTGATATCTTATTTTCATATACTGTGAATCAGATAAACCACTCTTTTAATGGAGAGTCACATGAAATAACAAAAACTGTTCATTTAAGATCATGTCTTATATTTTAAATTTGATTTGTTTTTCATGTTAAAAAAATCTTAATTAGAGTAAAAAAATGTTTGATTGATATTTTTTCGCTTCATTTTTACATACAGGGTGTCCCACGAAACATGACAGCTGGTGAATATTTTAAAAAGCCTTCTTCCATAATTTGATAATCTGTTTGATACTAAAGAGACTATATAACATTTATTATATGACAGTAAAATATAAACGAGTTAAACAATTTTTTAAAAGAAATAAACTGCAAAAAGTCTTTAATTTCTAATACAGCATGTGGAAGAAAACATTCAAAACTATTCACCAACTGTCATATTTCGTGGGACACCCTGTATACAGGGATTATAAGTGGTGGTAAGCGATTATATCGTAATAATGAAGACGACTTTTTATTTTTATAATTTTCGTTTGTTAATAATCTTTTTTCTAATTACAAGTTTGCAAGTAATTAAAGTGAAGCTTATTTAATTTAATTGCCAGCTTCTCTTTGTTTCTATATGCTTGTAGTGTATCCATTCTGTTTAAAAGCTCGATATAAATCAAAATTGAAATCGAAAGTCGTCTTCATAATTTATATATTACTTGTTTGTCTTTAGAAAATGTGGTTAAATCGTTATAAAATGAAGGCAAATGGTTAAATGAATTCTATGTGCCGGATGTAAATATAGCAGATTAAACCTAATCAAATTGTATGACATGAAAAAATAAAAAAAATGTATCCTCTAGTTTTGGTTCATTATCATTCGTTACTGTGAATGTTCATATTATGTTATCATTATCCTGAATGACACTATGGTTCGTGGAAATATGGAAATAATACGAAAAAAAAGGAAAAAAGGAGAAAAAAATCTGGGGTCGTAAAATTGTTCTTTCTATCCCATTTTTTCTGGAAAGCATATTCATATAAAACGTTTTAAAAAGTGTCTTATCAATGTGTTAAAAGCCCGAACACAAATGATTATATTACACAAAATAAATCTGTCAAAGGGACTGTATAGGAAAAATGAAAGGGGGTATAGGCTGAAAGCTAATCACTTTAGCTTTTGATTGTCACCCATGAAAGTTACACCTGATGTTTCTTTCTCGAGAAATTTATGTAAATCTGTGTCAAATTTATACGAAAATTCATATATTTGTAATTTTGAATAGAACTAGTAGGTTTACATAAGGATCATATTCAGCAAATATGCAACCAACCTGAAAAAATATATCCCAGAGAAACCTAATGATAACCTAGGTTCTTATCAATTATTATTTTAAGATTTCTATTTTTTTATTTTTTAATAGATATAATTGATAATATTATTGTAACTTAGATTTTCTCCAATTGTTATTTTAGAATTTTTATTTTTGCTTTTAATAGATATAATTGATAATATTATTCATAAGTCCGTACTACGTCACAAGAACTCCCACCAGCAATTTGTGATACACGTGACCACTATACTGCACTACCATAAACAGGGTAAGCATATACTGGGTTCCCCACAAAAGATCAGACTGTAAAGCCCACCTGAAACTCGTTAATTTGAGTCGTCTGCCTTAATGATAGTGCTTTAAATTTCATTAAATGATTTCAGAAAGAGAGAAACAAGTTTAAAATTAAGAGAATCGAAAATATAAGAAAACTGAAGGTATAAAGGTAGTAAGTCTTTGCCACAAAATATAAGGAAAATGAAGGTATAAAGGTAGTAAGTCTTTGCCACAAAATATAAGGAAACTGAAGGTATAAAGGTAGTAAGTCTTTGCAACAAAATATAAGGAAACTGAAGGTATAAAGGTAGTAAGTCTTTGCCACAAAATATAAGGAAAATGAAGGTATAAAGGTAGTAAGTCTTTGCCACAAAATATAAGGAAACTGAAGGTATAAAGGTAGTAAGTCTTTGCCACAAAATATAAGGAAAATGAAGGTATAAAGGTAGTAAGTCTTTGCAACAAAATCAGATTTTCAAATCTCTATCTTTGCAAGTCAATGCCGTAGACCTTAGATATTTCAAACTATGAATTCAGTTAGACCAAATATTATAAGTTTGAAATATCAAAGATTTACCCCATCAGGTTGAAAAGATATAGGGATTCAAAACTTGAGTTTGTTACAAGGACTCAATTCCTTTCGTGCAGTCGGCTCTGAGCCTCTGAAATCGCAACCTTCGTGGGTAACCTTCATTTCATAATCAGGGTTTGTACGTGAAACTAAGTCAACGTCATTCTGACAGGTAATCTTGGTATTAAATATCTATTGGTTGCGCAATCTAACATTTAACATTGATTTCTTGATAAATTATTAATGATTACCTGAGACATCTATCTATCCATCTATCTATCTATCTATCTATAAACTTTTCCCTTGGTTTGAATCTTTTATCCTGCAGTTTATACAGATCTATTCATCATGGTATCACAGCTGGATTCAAACAGGAAATTATAATGGGATTGTTGAGATATTTCAGCTAAGATATTGATCTCATAAATCAGAACTTTTATGTTGTGAATCTTGAGATCAAGTATTAATCTCCTTCAACTGCAAATTTACGGATGAATATAATTCCTCTTTGATAATCCGTCCAGGCACAAGAGGGATAATGCATAAACCCTCAAATTCAAAAGTGCCCACATTGGATATCTGGATTAAGCATTACAAACTAACAATATTCTAACAAAAGTCCCGTTTTAAGTTTACCAAAGTTGAAAGTTTGTTCAATGATAGCAAACTTTTAAAGCATCCAGATGTGAAATGTTAGGACCATTGATAAATAACAATACAGATATAACACTGGATCTCGTCTTTTCATGAAATGTCCGCACCATAAATAAATGACTTTATAGATAGAAAACTAGATGTCGTCTTTTAAAGATTTAGCAAGAATTCAGCATATTTGTCAATTTTGAGACTTTTCACTTTTCTCTATTTCTTAATTTGTCATTAATCAAGCCATTGAAAGGCCAAGTTCAAAAGCAGAAGATTGAATTTAAACTTGTCACATTTGAAGTCGTCTTTACAGTCTCATCCTTTGTAGGTAACCCTGTAGTTTGCACCGTTTTTTTGGAAGACTTAATATCTCCTTTAAACAAAAGATTAAATTACTTTTAGAAAAGTGCCAATAAACCCAATCCAATTTTTTAATATGGAAAGAAGTAGTTTTGAATATAAATTACATTCAATATGTAAAATACTTTGCTTGCCTTGCTGTTGTCTGTTTGTATTTAATAAACTTTAAAACGGCTAGACCGATCGGGTTCAAATTTTATATAAGATTTTAGGGAAGAAATATTAACTTTCGTAAAATTCTAGAAAACCACTAAAAAAAAACCAAAATTGCATTTTTTTTGTTCTGTTTTTTAATGTACGAAAAGAAAATACTGACAGAGCAACACTTCAAAGTTAAAGTACAAGATAGGTGCAAAGCCCCCTGAAAGCCTAGCAATTTAAAAATACACAATTTAGTACGTTGATTCAAAAGCAAAACAGATATGAAATGTTTAGTAAAAACCAAATAGATTATCAAGTACAATAGGTGGCAACAGATAAATAAACCAATTATACATGACGTCACAAGTGTCAAATGTAACAAGGAAAAGGAAATTTTCTCAAATTAGTTGACTTGTTTTCCAAGATTAAATATTAAAAGATTAAACAGATATGAAATGTTTAGTAAAAACATGTGTTTATAAATTGTGAGGTTGCATGATAACATATAACAGTAAATATATCTTATACATAATATAATCATTACCCAACACACAAGAGCGCATCCAGAAATTCTTCCAAGAGGTTAAAGGTAGGCTCAGCCTCCTCATTGGGGCTCGCATCATTCTTATCCCCCCCACCCCTGTATACTCCACTACTGACTGAAGATTGAAGAATGGATAAAATAGAATAAAGAAATGTTTTTAATTAGTAATCTGTGAAAACTGTACAATCTTATTATTGTTTTGTTTTCCAGAGTTAAACTGTACAGTACTGTACATACATGCTGGTACAGGACTTTGTAATGAGTGTTCCTGACAAAATAGAGAACTATGTGAATTTATAACAGTACACTGTACAGTGTACAGTACAGTAGAGTTATGGCTGTAACTGGTTTGGTTAGTGACCAGGATAGTTTTAATAATAACCACACAGAGGCCTCTTCAAATACAGACTTCAGTATCTTTACTATTTCAGGAACTTAGCAAGGGGTTTCCATTTAATAAAAGGATAAATACCAATCTTAAAGGGGGTGATTGCGAAAAAGGAAAGGGTTATAGGCTAATGTCAAATCAAATTCGATGGTGATCTCTACCAATCTTACTTCTATGTTGTATCAGATAGGCGCAACATGTAGAAGTGAGATTAGCGATCACCATTGAATTCGCTTCAACGTTAGCCTTTACCCCTTTCATATTTCGCGAACACTCCCTTTAAAAATCAAAATCAAAATTTCAATAACGTGGGGTCGTCTTTGGATTTTTATGTTTTGAGGGATCCACTGTACCCTTCCTTCAGAGAAATACGTTTTAAACCTTTGCTCAGTTATTTCCAACCGCAGGAAGCACCAAGGATCGGCAAGAAACTAAGTTTATTGAGAAATCTAAAAATGCGGGAACAAAAAAGATAAATTTCGCAACATTAAAAGAACAACAATATTCAGCTAGCGAGGGGGAGGAGGATATTAATGCAGAGGAGAAGAAGGAGGAGGAGAGGGAACAGGATGATCTGCCAATTACAAATAATCCCCATCTTCCAATATTTATGCTAAATACACGAAACTCAAGAGAACCTAACAGGTATCTTTAGCAATATGGGGATATAGACATACAATTATATAAAGAGATACTAATATCATGTTGGAATGAAGACGACTTCAAGGCTCTAGTTTCGATTTTTAAATAATCCCACCTACATAAAACATGCAGTAATTGTGCGCATTTGAAATCCAAATTTGGCAGTAAAAGTTGGATGGCTGCCAAAGAAGCGCCAGCAAATCGCTTTTATTCAAAGAGAATAGAATATATTCTATTCTATTTGCTTTTATTTCATTAATAATTACTTATTAAACAGCAAACGTTGGATGACTGCCAAGTGACAAATAAGCAATTTTTGTTGAATATATAAAATATTTGTTACTTATTTTGCAGCCATCTAACTTTTGCTGCCAATTAAGCAATTTTAAGTTTTCTTAGTGTGGGAAGACTATTTGGTTTATAATAGCATCATGCCACCAAATAAACATAAGATTGATAAACTTCGCTGTAGATAGATCCACTAAGAAGGTACTAGTTACTGAACAGAAATATTTATATTTTTGTTTACAATCAGTGTACTGCAGTTGTGAGGAATATATAAACTCAGTGATGTTCATCAGACTATTTAAGTAAAACAAAATGTTGAGGTTGTTGTGTCCCATTTTTCTTGTAAGGGATTGAATCAATACAATGAAGTTTCTAAGTGTCTAAGTTTCCATGTCCATTGCTTTTTGAAAGCTTGGTAGAAATCACAAATTGAAATCGAAGTCGTCTTTATTGTATTAATATATACCTGCACGACTGTACAATCAGTAAACACAAACTTCACTTAACATTTGCAAAACCAGGATCCATCTCATGATTTAAATAGTTGCTTTTGTATTGCAAATGGCTTATTTTAGATTAATTAAAGAAACTGTCCTGAATTTTCAATGCTTTTAGAACAAGCACGAGACCAACAACTCCCTTCTCCTCATTGGACCAAGTATCTGAGCCCTCCCTCCCCCACTCACTTAACCATTCACTCCCACTCCCTGGGGAGGGTGGCAGGGGGAGTTGGGAGTGGGTTCTGTTTGCAGATACTATACTCCACAAGTCATGTCAGGTAGACAGGCAGCCAATAAACAAATCAAACATCGTCTTGGATTTCAATATTTGATAAATGACGAAGTATCCTATACATAGAGAATAGAATATATAGAGAGGAATTAAAAGAATCTCTCGGCATGAAATTTTTCAGTCCCTTTCAGCCTGAAAGGGAGTTCAAAGTGTACAAATTATGTAAATGTTCACAAATTATATGCAGTAGAGTGCATAAATACAGTATGTTTCCTAGACTATTCATTTCGATTTCGAATTTTTTAAACTGTTAAATAAACTTTATAATGAATTAGGTGAATAAAAACATCATTTGATTTATAGTTATAACGGAAAATCATCGTTTGTAAAGTGGAAGGCAAAGAGTCTATGTGAAATGATCATTGGTCAATTATGAAACCAGCCTATTTCATAATTTGGTTTTCTTTTAACAATAATTTTAGATTTTCTATAAAATGATATTCCAGGGCCCAACAGGTTATATAGCATAAATATGTGAAGTACAACTGCAGTATGGAAACAGTGCAACAAAATGGCCGTTTTACACTTTTTTCCAGTAAATTCCTCTCTATATATTCTATTCTCTATGATCCTATAAAAAGAGATTTTAGGTTTTAAGAGTCTTCATTCTCTCTTCCTTTCAATTGACTGAAATTCAGATGTTATAATCCTCAACATTTAGCAAATTAATTGATAATTAACAAACTTAAATCTGGACAAGTTTATTAATAAAATATCTAAAACATTTGAAGATGCAAGCTATACAGACATAATTTAAAAACACATTTTGGAAATTCCAACAATTATAGCTTTGGATTTAAATTTTATTTTACTGGAGATGCTACGGTTTAACCCAGAACTTAGGGGCATCGAACAAAATGTCGTCTTGACATTTTTAAGGGGTTTTACACTACATATTTTAGCTAAATCACGGTAATTGTAATAATGAATTGATAGCCATCAAATATCCGAGAACAGTTTTAAAGAGCTTCAATCAACATTTAATTCAAAAACTTAATATCTGCAGCATCTCATTATCAGTAGGGTTAGAAGACGACATTTTATAAATACTTTTGATGGCTCCGAAGTTCCTGGTTAAACTGTAGTAAAATTGTTTTAGAAGTCATCATAATTCCCGTGTATATTTGGAAATCCTTTACTGTATTAAACAAAATAAGATGTTTGGAATTTTTCAATGTTTTATTATAATATTTATATTGTATTTATGCCAAACAAAGTTTTAAATAAATACTTGTTGTTTTAATTTTAACATTACAATTAACATTAAATTGCCCCATAAAAAAACACCTGTTTTTGTAACTGAAAGGACTTATAACTTGTTTAAACTAAATGGGATTTTATCCATTCTCAGAGAGAACCCTTCCCCATGGGATCGTGAAATAACATGCACAATTTCTGCCCTATCAGTTTAGATGTTTGAACGTTTATTGGATAAAAAAGAAACAAAGAGACAAACAAACAAATAAAAAACCAAATATATATTTAGGAAATAGTATTTTTTTATGTTATAAATATTATATTTTCAGGTTATTCTTTCAGTGGTTACATGTCTTCTACTGCTGACTGGTATTCTTATAACAACCCTGACAATAACCAGTGGAACAGGGGATTTAGGGTTTGGTGGACCCTTACTTATAGGACTAGGTAGAACTTCGAAACAATATTATTTCATTAAAATTGTTTAGTTTTTAATTCCATAAAATCCTTTTGCTTGTAGGTTTATCCTTCCTAATACTCTCAGTAACTGTTTATCTTATTGTAAAGAAAACGAAGGAAGCAACAAATCTAGAAAATAGGAAAAGGTAACTTAATTATTTCAAGACAAGGCTTCAAGGAACTGCAAATCAAGAAAATCTAAAACCATTTTGCCAATTACTTCTTCAAACTTAATCTAGAGACACTCGCGTTACTGTTTTGGCTCTTGCTACAATTAATGTTTTTGAGACTTGATGAGGTCAAACCGAAGCCAAAGCCCTCTGATGCTTTAAAAATTAATAAATTAATACCTTTTTAAGTTGTCTAAATATCATGGTGAAGGGCGCCTCGTTTTTACTTTTAAATCTTGTTTATCTTTGATATTTTCTCTTCTTCAATTATCGACAATAAGAAAAAATGACGGATTTATCGATTTTTTTCCTGGATTTATAAAAATATTGCAAATTGCAAATTTTTCTTCCAATTATAACCGTCCATAAACATTCATGGGGTCATGAGGTTCCGCAACACATTTGGGCCTTATATTCAGCTGTTTTGATGTTTATTGGACTAACGGACAGACAGACAAGGAAAGAACAATTACATAAACAGATGTGACGAACTATTGGAACAAAATATTTATTACTGTTTCTATAGAACGAACTATTGAAAGTAAAGGAATTGAGTCTTTGTAACAAACTTTGGTTTTCTAATCCCCTATATCTTTTCAACCCAGTGCAGTAGACCTTTAATATTTCAAACTATGAAATTTGTTAGATTAAATAATCTAAGTTTGAAATATCAAAGGTTTACACCAACCGGTTGCGGAGATATTGGCTTTAGAACATTTGAATTTGTGGCAAAAACTCAGATCCTTTTAGGACTGCAGGTATGGGACGAGCTAATAAAGATATTTTAAGGACTGCAACTTTAAGATAAGCTAATGAAGCTATATCTTTAGAACTGCAGCTATAGGGCGAGATATTAAAACTATATATATAGGACTGCAGCTAATTAGCTAATGTAGCTATATATTTAGAATTGCAGCTATCTAGCTAATGAAACTGTATATTGAGGATTGCACCTATAGAACGAGCTAATGAAACTATATATTTAGAACTGCAACTTCAGGACGAGCTAATGAAAATATATATTTAGGACTGCAGCTATAGCATGAATTTTTAACACTATATAATTAGAACTGCACCTATCTATGTCAATGAAACTATATATTCAGGACTGCAGCTTTAGGACGAGCTATTAAAACTATATATATAGGACTGCAGCTAACTAGATAATGGAACTTTTTATTTAGGACTGCAGCTAGAGGACGGGCTAATGAAACTACATATTTAGGACTGCAGCTATAGGACGTGCTAATGAAACTACATATTTAGGACTGCAGCTATAGGACGTGCTAATGAAGCTATATATTTAAGACTGCAATTATCTAGCTAATGAAACTATACATATATAGGACTGCAGTAATAGGACGAGAAAATGAAGCTATATATTCAGGACTGCAGTAAAAGGACAATTTTAATGAAACTATATATTCAGGCTGCAGCTACAGGACAAGACAAATAAAACTATATATTCAGGACTGTAGTAAAAGGACAATTTTAATGAAACTATATATTTAGGACTGCAGCTATAGGACGGCATAATGAAGCATTTTTCTCTGATATTCTGGAAGCTAGAAGATTGTCTTCGCCAAGCCAATCTCAAAGATCTTCCATAAGGTAATTTCATTTCATAATTTTGCACACTTTTTAATTATATTAATATCCATTTTTTCATTAAGATTATGGGGGGATCGATTTTCCCGGCTCAAAAAGTTTTTCTTTTGTTTATCAAGATTAAATGGAATACAATAATTGCGTGGTTCTTAAAAGGTTGAAATAAAAGTTATTGTAGGATTATTGTTGGGAAAATGTTTGATATTGAAACTTATAACTTGTGTTTCTGTCTGATTGTAAACGTCTGCAGGGATGAGGATCAGTTACAAATTGTTCACAATTTTCAAGGGTGAAATTTTCCATGCAGCCTCAAATTGTGGAAAGTTGCAACATTCAACACAGATCGTAAAATAATCAATTTAATTCCAAACAAATCATTCAGATATTACAAACAATTGTCATCGATTATTTTTTCGACGCATTCATATTTAGTTAACATTTCATAATATTTTTGATTTTGTTTTTTAAAATAATATTTCGCTTGCGCTGGATTTTCGAACATTCCTGGAAAATATGAAAATGTCGTCTTCATTATCAAAAATCCTTGAAACAGGAAGAAATGTTTTCAAAAGTAACTATACTGATCATAGAAAATAAAAATAATTTACTTCGTAAGCCTATACCCCCTTTCATTTTTCGCAAACACTTCCCTTAAGAGGACATTTATCAACACCTTTGGTAGTGAGTACGTTTGATTGCATATGCATGTTTCTTCTAGCTAAGAGGTTAGAATATCCTTTTCTGGGAGCTTTTAATTTTATTTTTGAATTTATTAGGTTTTGATAAAAGTTTTTAAATATAGTTGAAGACGTTGAAATCTTGAGAGAAAGTGATCATTTCTAATGAATTTTGTAAACAGTTAATTGGATCTTATTCTTAATTGAATTTTGTCATTATGCGTAATAAATATGATAAGAAAACAAACTAACGAGCCATGTAAAAATGTGTTCCAGGAATTTCCAAAATTAGCCAGAACACATTCTTTTGTTCTTTTGTTAGTTTTAAGATAATTGCTGGCCTAGGGACTAAAAATGTAGTTTTTACTGTTTATACATGACAGTGAGATCCAAACAAATAAAGAATGAAAAAACGACTGTTAGTTATGGTTTTGAATAGTCGATTGAATCTATAAAAAACAAAGAAATTGTACAGTGTTCACTGATCTATTTTTTCAAAGCCTGAAATGTACACGAGACTGCCTTAATGTCGACTTCCTATTCCACAATTTAATGAGCCCTACTGTACTGATTCTGAAGATACATTTGTTATATTTAATATTTATATAAATTTCTTATTTTAACACTTTAAAGGCTGGGGGGTCTGAATCTGTGTAAAGCCGGGGGAGGGGGATCGACTCACGCCTGCCCCCCCTCCCCCATTAGAAAAAGGCCTTAAATTATAGGTATAGAGTTGAAATGCAAATTCATAGCAAAATTAGTCAAGGCCAGCTCATTAAAAAAATATTAGACCGATAACTTTAATAGTCTTTAATAACTTTAATAGTGCTAGGTAGGGTTGAAAAAAGGGTAAAAAAATTTAAAATTTAGTTTTTTATTTTGACAATTATCAAATGTGACACATGTTTTTACATCAATTTTTCAAGGACTTTTCAAAAGATCTGTAGCTTAATTCACAAAAAGTGATTGGCTATTTTAGATATTTGTTTTTACACAAACTGGACTTTTTAACGTCCTGTATCCTACCCTATTTATTAAAAAAAGATTTGCTAAAACGCTCCCCCCACGCCTGTTTAGATTCATGTTTTATTTAATATCTTGAGATCCCACGTCTTATTTGAATCAATCATATCTCAGAACTTAAATGTTCAAGAAGGGATTTATTTTTTAGAATCGAGTTCTGACAGTTCAAAATCAATATCAAGTTACCTTGAAAACCCAGCACTGCCAGTGCCTAGGTTCCCATAGTAATTCCCCCTGTTTACCCGCACTTGGTCGATTTTACCGGGATACTAAATTTTCTCTTAACCCTTTCCTTGCTGGGGTACTTGAAAACCAGGATATGCTGCAGGGGGGGGGTAAATTTTATCAAAATCTGACAAGTGAAAGTGGGTCAAAACAAAGATTTAGTTTGTTACAAGCAAAAGCAGTCATTCAGGCAGTGTGCCTGAGGACACAGGCAGTTAGTATTAAAGCCCGGTTTTAGGCCTAAAGGGAGGGCTTTGGGTATGTAAGAAAATTCAGAAAATTTCAACAGCCTCAGACCAACACTTTTTGAGTTATGTAAAAAAAACTACAGGGGGGGGTCAAATTGACCCCCCCCAGCAGGAATAGGGTTAAAAAGTCGATTCACATTACTTAGAATCTCAAAACATGCTATGAATATTCCTTCCTCGTTCTCCGAGTAACCCGATCAAAATTTGACGCAAATCGGTCATGGGGTTCCTGTGTTTTGATCCGACATAAACCCAAACAGATACTCAACTTAATAATAATAATAATAATAATAGTTATTTTTTAGTGGAGCCCCTCCGGAACCCTTGCCTAGGAATAATAGGTATTTTTTACGATTTTGTTTTAACAAAACTTAAGTTAATTTTACATCTTATTATTCAAAATATATATTTGAAATATTTTCATTAATTAGGGGTTTGTTCTAAATGTAAGATTATAATTGTGTTGACAAATTTAAAATATTTTCTCAAGAAACCTTTAATATTTTGTCTAAATAATCCTAAATACATAAATACGTAAATAGCAAAGTATAGAATGAATTTACTAAATGAAATAACCAAATTAGAAAATCTCAATACAATAGGAAATTCCGAAGTAAGGAAAAAATCAAATATATATTTTTGCCAAATTACTTCTCTTAGTTTTGATTTTACGTCTTTTTTGATCTTTTAAGCTGTGAAAGAGAACAAAAAATTCCAATGTTTAGCGTACTTACATATATCATTATCTAACATGTGTTAGGATCTTTTTGAACAGCTTATAACATTTAAACATTTTTTACTCGATGGTTAGAATCAGAGAAAAATACAGATTTTCTGTTTCAGGGACATTTTTCAACAGTGAAAGGGGTTTAGGGTTTCAATTTTTTCAGGATTATTTTGGATCCGTTAAGGTCGGAAGCTTTTCAGAACTCTAAACCATCATAGAACTTTTCTGAAAATTCAATTCCATTCCGTTCCATAAACTTTGTTCAAAAAGTCAATCTTAGCTCTGCGTATTATCTAAGGGGTGGATTTATTAAAAGTCAATTAATTCTTAATGGTAGTTTCCAAAACTTTTTAAGGGTTTATACTTTTTAACAACTTCACGAAAGGTTCCGTAAAAATGGAGACCCCAAAGGAGATCCATCGTACTTGTTATGATATTTATAATATTTGTAAATAAATGACTTTAAAGGCGGAAGAGTGTTCTACTTTTTCAAGCTAAAGATGAAATTAGGAAGAATATAGGAGAATCTGGTTTAAGGTATTAATCCATTGATATTTGAAATAAAAAATCAATAAAATTAGAGATATATTATCTGAGCTGAAAACTTTAGAATGGGATATCCTTAATCCCGATCGGTTAATTAATCTTGAGATTAATAACATGAGGAGAACAAGCCATATTTAATCTGAAGATTAGGGAAAAAAAGAGTGTATCAAGCATTAATCCTGATGTCCACCATTCGAAAGTTCCCAGCTCTGATCATAATTTTAATAATTGTTGTTGCTCTTTAACATGGTATATTCTGTAAAACTCTGATATTACATTAATCTAATATTAAGAGACCATATTAAAGGGACTGTAAGCGTGATTTTAAGGAATTCAAGTACCCACCCATGCAAACATAGCAATGTCCGATTCACAACGATAAACTTGAAACCTTTATCTGATAGAAAATGTGGAATTTCTTGTCGTTTTTCTGAGTTTAAAACTCTGATAATTCCAATATGTTTTTCTGCTATTAAAATAACAATTTTGTGGAGAACCCACAGTTGTAAATATCTTATGGTTTTTTTTTTAAATCATAAGATTTAAATTAAAATTCGGACTTACCGTAATTGCATTAATAGTCACTTGAAATTAAGCTTACAGTTCATACAAATCAAATATTTTCATAAACGTTTCATGACATGCCAATACAAACATGACAATTTTCTGACTCGGATTAAAAGGAAATTAAAATGAACAAGCAAGGTGTAGATTTAATTCTGGGTTTTATCCGTTATAAATGCAGAGTGCATCTATACTGCTGTCAATCGTAAATGACACTCTTTAATCAAGAAGAAATTTTTAATGAAAAAGTATATTGTTAGGATTTTCATGGTCTAATAAACTTTTTAACTATAACTATAGGCTTTAAGGATGCTTTACGCTAAGTTTCTGTGAGCATCTTCTTTTTGTTTAATGAAAAACAAAAACCAAAACAGTTCGCGGATTTAGAAATATTATTTTGAGCATTTTTTTAATTTTTCAAAAATAAAAAAACTTATATTCAGCTAGAAAAGTTTCAAAATTATTTAATTTTTGTTTAAATAAGACTAGAATTATTACAGTGGGAGGATACCAGATATATGTCTCATAGTTCCAACGCCAAAGTTAGATGGTAAGAAGTTTATATTAAATTATAGAATGCCATTAATGATTCACAAAGGCAAATTTAAATCTTTTACCATAGCTGAAAACTTGAGAATGGGATATCCTTAATCTTGCTCTCTTAGTTAATCTGAAGATTAAAAATGAGAGGAGAACAAGCCTTATTTAATCTGGATATTAAGAAAAAGAGTGGATTAAGCCTTAATCCCGATATCCACCATTCTAAAGTTTTCAGCTCTGATGTGATAAAGAGTAATTCCATAGGAGACGACTGTGCGGAATTTATTTTGTTCATTTTCTTAATTTCGTAGTACAAAGCAGCTCTAGATTCAGCCATTTTCTTTAAACTTTGCTCGTCTTGAGGTTTAGCACAATCCACATACAACAGAAACTCAATCATAAATACAATTAGAATATTGTTGTGTTGTTTTGAATCTGATGTAATGTATTGAATAAAACATTGTATAATTACCAAGTACAATGTTCTGAATCTGATGTAATGTAATGTATTGAATAAAACTTGTATGATTACCAAGTACAATGTTCTGAATCTGATGTAATGTATTGAATAAAACTTGTATGATTACCAAGTACAATGTTCTGAATCTGATGTAATGTATTGTATAAAACTTGTATGATTACCAAGTACAATGTAACTAAAATAACGCTGAATAACTTCACAGGACTCGGTACTTAAAAAAATGGGAGGTTACTTTAAGTTATATATTTAGTATATACCTGGTGTCCCACGAAACATGACAGTTAGTGAATAGTTTTAAATGTCTTCTTCAATTATTTGTTAAGTTGTTTGATACGAAAAAAATTAATATCATATGGCAGTCATATTATAGTAAAATTGATTTCAATTGTAAAATATTATTCAAGTAAGAGATTTTTGTGAAATAAACTGCAAACAGATTTTCTATCCAATACAGTATATGTAACTATTCACAAACTGTCATTTTTCGTGGGACAACCCCTGTAGATCCTAAATATTCCCTTTTATTAAATCTTAGATTAAAATTTACAAATTACTAAACGGGGGGTTTTCTTCTAAAAAGAAACTGATTACTCGCCAAAAACTCTAATTTCTTTATCCCTATATCTTTGCAACCCGAATGATATAATCTAAGACTATTTGATATCGCAGAATTTGGGTAGGATATCAATGGTACCGAAATCTATGATAAAATTAAGGATGATAAAATCAGAGTTTGTGGTATGTACTATGTAATTATTTTCTTTATAACTATTTTAATTAAATGCAAAATACTTTGAAAATACAAAAAATGAAAATTATCATAATCTTTTTTTTTATAATCTACTGTTATTTGTTATATGTAGACCACCGAAAACATCCCCTGCAGACCATAGATTCAGTTTCCGAAGACTATTTTAAAGACAACTTAGGTAAATAAAAAATGTTCTCGTTTTTTTAAGGATGTTTTATAGCTACCACGAAAAATGTAACAAATATTTTACACGAACAAAATTTGTTGTTTAGGAACAGGATGAGGAAAAAAAATTTACGCTTATCATCGAACCTTACTCAGTTATTTGTTCCTATAATTTCTTTTTGATCAAAATCGTTTTCTGTAGATTTCCTTGAATTTTTATTGAAAAGACGACATTTGACAAATTTGAAGAAATCTGCGAAGAAAGAATAAGTTCAATATAATGATGAAAAAGAAAATATTTGGTTCTAATATTGATTTATTGACAAATTTCTATTTAAAAAGATTTGTTCCTTAACAATTAGTTAAAATAGTTTACTGTAAAATTTTCGTTACATTTTCGTCGACGTTATTGAATAATTCTAAGAAACCGAATCTTAAAATCACTCCCGAAAAATAACAAACAATCTATGAGGATTTCAAAGATGAATTTGCGCTTTTGCTGAACAAATATATGGACCGTAAATTCTATTTTCTACAATACTGCATTCTCATCTCATTACCGTTGTAAATTAGGCATTGTCATCTTTGCATGAAGGGTCCCTTTAAATTAAACTTTCATTCCCTAACTGAAAACTACTGAATGAATCAGAATGCCGTCTATGATGTTTTGTTTACTCAAGAAATGTCTAGTAGTATTTTCGAATTTTTTTATATCTTTCAAATATTATTTTCATTTTTCAGGTTCGATCTCCGACCAGGATTCACCAATGAGGTAAATATTTATAATTTTCAGAAAAATTATCAAATTATTCAAAACCGTATTTTTAAATCCAATTTTAAAAATAATTTGTTCTCCAAAGAAGCAATCATCTACTAAAAATCTAATATTATCTTCAACTAAAAATCTATAATATTTTTCACCAAAAACATATATTTTTATAATTATATTTTATCATTTTAAGCAATTTTATGTTTGTGCATAAATCTAATTTACTTGGATTTTGTTCAGAATCATCTCGAAGACCCGACGTGCAAGCTACCATGGAGAAACTATAAACACAGACGACATTTATCAGCAGCCAACATCATTACCAGCCGTTTATATCATGGACAAATAAAAAAAATTTAATATGATCCAAGTTTTAAAAATTGTCTAGTTCAATTAAAATGTTCTGCAAGATGAGGATTAAAAAGAGACTGTCAACTGTATTTTGTTTGAAAAAAATGATCTTTTATTAAATCTGTTAAAAGGGAGTTTTTATTATTTAAATTAACGGGAGTGTTCACTTAAGCGAAAATACAGATAATGCTTGAATTTAGGGTTACAATTAATACTGGGCACATTCAACTTGCAAGCAGTCCGTTATTGCTAGGGTTTAATCGTTCAATAAGCAATTTTTCTGGTAGCCATTAGTTCTTAAGCTGGGAACTGAAGGGTCCGTTAGTTAACGGTATTTTCTGTTCTTTCTCAACATTTCCTTTGAATGTGAACGATCTTAACTTAATTAAAGGCGTTAACGGAAGATATCATTAACAGTGCCATTCGTTAACGATTATTTCATGTAAAAATCAAAAAATCAAAAACATCAAAAGAAGAACAACTATTTCCGTTCGTTAACGATTTTAAAAATCAACTGCTTTGCCTGTCGTTAACGGACTTGTCCGTTACTTTAAAAACTTGCCATTTGTTAATGGAACGTTGCCCAGCCCTAGTCACTCTAACCTTTCTCCACCTTTTTCTGAAAGCTAAAATATCAAAACTCTCAGTGCAAGTTAAGCAATGTTTTTATAAAAGTTTATTGTTTCATGTTCCTATAGTTACATTAAATCATTTTAAATGTTAAAAGTAGAATTAGTTTTTATCTCCTGAAACCGAACAACCCAATTCTGAAATAATAAGTACTTGTAAACAAAATATATAAGGAAGTAAATTGACAATAAAAAGTCAACAACAAAAAAAACTTTTATAGTTATCAAAAAACATTATCGCATATTTAATAATCTAAGCTACAAGAAAAAATTAAAAAAATCAATATATAGTTTCTATTTGAATAAAATATTTTTTTCTTGGTCGTTTTTATTTTTAATTTTAATTTTAAATTTTTGATTAAGCAGAGCAAACATTTTTAAAACCTGGCACAGATTGGATAAAGTTACGTAAGTTGCAAAATAATTATGTTATTAGTAGAATAAAATCTCATTTATAAAGCATGTGTACAGTTGGTTTTGTAACCTTTGTCTAGATGATAAAGTTCTTCGCTCATATATATATTTTATATATGTTAACTATAGCTGGTCAAACGGCTGGACCAAATTTGCTGGATTTTTGGGGGGGGGGGAACCAATTGGTACCCTAAAAAGACTAAAAAAGATAAAATTTTGTTTCTTTAAAATTCAATTTTTTTAAATTTCACGAGCAACGTAAGACGCTTCTGCTAGTTGTCTATATAAAAAGCTCTTTGCTATGAATGGTAAAAAGAAAAAAAAGTGTTTTAAAGGTTTTTAATTTTGTAAAAAAAAATTAAATTCTTGAAAATCCGCGAATTTTTTCTTCTTTAATTTAAAATGTAAACAAAAAGAACATGTTCACAATTTAAATAGAAGATGAGCGCGAAGCGCCCTAAAAGCCTATATATATTTGTTAGATTTAGCTGGTCAAACGGCTGAACCAAATTAGCTGATTTTTCTAGGGAAAACTCAGGGATAACACTTGGTGTTAGCATTGACTATAGATAATTTTTCTTCTTCAAAAATTTAATTATTTTTTGCAAAGTGTTTTCAAAATCTAACTGGCAACGCTTAAAACTTGAAAGGAACTAAATGTAAGCCATATACTAAAATTTTCAAATCCCCATATCTTTACAACTTGAAGGTGCAAACTTAGATTTTTTTATATATATGAGTGACATTGGGTTGGGTTGCACAGATGTAGGGGTTAGAAAATTAGAGTTTGAGGCTGCAATTACTCAATTTCTTTATGGCTCGTATATATCTTTCTTTTGCGTAATTGTGATAAATTCTGACCTCCAGTTGTACTGTTTATCCAATCCAAGTAGTGAATAACCCTTAACATTAAAAATATTAGATATTTGGCATTCCAATCATCATTGCAGTTGCGTAAAGAAAAGAATGAATGTATATTGTTTGAGTTTTTTAGAACATTTTTAAACAAGAGTCTCATATGGTGCTGGTAAAGGACCTAGAAGGATGTTTCTTGATGAAGGTGTGTTTACTATTCAGCGTCTCAATTCCGAGTACTGTTCTGTAATCCTTCTGTTGAATATGTGAGCTTTCTTGATCTATATTTAGGTATTTGACAAGTTTTATTATTAGGAATATTATATTTACAAAGCAAATTAAGAATAATATTCAAATATAAATATGTTAAATAACCACAGTTCATGATCAATAAACGAACATCTTAATACACATGATATATTATCATTGTTTTAACCCTGTGCAGTGTGTATTCTGTACCCCCTCCTCTGGCCCCTATTTACAGCAGGGTTAAAATATCTTACCTTCTCAACTCTGTCACATTCAGACAGTCGCACAAATGAGAAAACATGGGTCTTGTCCTATTATTTTTCTAATTCGTAAAAGAGGGAAATATTAAGGTTAAGTTTAGGATTGCGCGAAGCGCCAAGGATCAGATGTGTAAAAACTCATGGTTTACCTTTTCCACCTAGTTTAACCCTTCACTAAGAATCTTAGAGGGGCCAAGAGGATTCCTACCCCCCCCCCCCCCGCCTAAATACTCTTGCTCTCTTAGTTAATCTGAAGATTAAAAATGAGAGGAGAACAAGCCTTATTTAATCTGGATATTAAGAAAAAGAGTGGATTAAGCCTTAATCCCGATATCCACCATTCTAAAGTTTTCAGCTCTGATGTGATAAAGAGTAATTCCATAGGAGACGACTGTGCGGAATCCCCCCCCCGCCTAAATACGCTACTGTTTACCTCAGGTTTTCACTTTCTGGTAGACGTGTAACCCCTTAATAATTAATTTATTGTAGACTTGTAGTAAATGCAATACTCTTAAATGTTCGTCCACCAAACTGTATCGTTCCAGGCAGAACCCGTCCGCTATCTAGTCAACCAGGGCACAAGCCACCGGGCTCTAAATGCAACAAAGGGACACAAGCGTAGCTTATTAATCTAGCTATTATTCAGGCTATAAATGCCACACGTAGGACACAAGCGTATCAATCAAACTATTCCTATGCCTCTAAATGCCACACAGGGACACAAGCGTAGCTATCAATCAAGCTATTTCTAAGACTCTAAATGCCACACAGGGACAAAAGCATTGACTACTTATCAAGCCCTTAATCGATCTCTACCCTTTAACGAGGTATGATCTCAATCCGACTTATTTCAAAGGGGTAAAATTACTCTACATGTAATCATAGCAGAGTTCTGATTCTAACTGATCTTATTAACCAAATTCTATATTTTAAATGTTAAATTCCAATATGTTTTCACAATATTACGCAGGTATATAATATAATAACAATGTATAGATAGTTAAGTCGTTTACAATTTTTACGTATTTAAGGATTAGCACAGTTAGATCCTCAGACAATGTACAACGCAAAGACTTTGCTAATTATAAAGACGAGGCGTTGGAAATTTATCCGACTATTGTGTACGCCAGTACAGCTGTATTTTGACGTCATTGGTTATTTTGGTTGTTTGAGAGTCTAGCGATCGACATTAAAACCTTAGTTATTTAACTCAATTGTGAATGTTTTGTGCTAAAAATAGCTAAAATTAACGATATTTATTTGTATTTTAAAATTTATTTAATCATTTGTTGGATATACGGATCGTCTGGTGAATTATAGCTGAATTTGTGATAAAGTTACGCATCTCTTTTGTATTAAAAATAGCCAATAATTGTTAGTGAAAATTTTCAGATGTCGTCAAATATTGTTCCTGAGGTTCTATGGAATAGAATTTTAGGCGATTAAGAAGAGCAATTGATTTATGAGGATTTTGTTTCCAAAATATCCACCATTAAAGAAAAAAAATCACATTAAAAATCACATTAAAGAAAAAAGTTTCGTTAAAAATGCGAATTAATGGACGACCTTTTACTTAGAAGTCTTTTAAAGTTGATTACAATAGTTTTGAGACATGAATTATTGGAGGATTTTAAAAAGGTTGATTAAAGAAATACATTGGTGAAAATAAAACTGGGAAATAAAAAGACGACTTTTGGACTCAATTTTTGATTAAATAGTTCAATGAACATAAAATACTGCAATTGAGCAGTGAACATGGAGATTGTCTAAATTTCGTTTTCAAATTTCGGAGTATTATGTATACAAGTTCAATGAACAATTCTGATAAAATCAGGTTCGTCGGTGCCACTGCCAAGCAAAGTATTTACGATACCCAACTGCCAAGCCAACAAAGAATAGGAGAGTCTGCGTTTACAATGCCAGCAGATCCAAAAAGAAAAAAGTTTGGAGGAAGGCTCTTTAATTGGATCATAGGAATTCCTTACAGAGAAATATCCCGATTTTGTAAAAACTATTACATTGTTAAATAAATATTATGAAGTTATACTTTTCAATAATTCATTTAAATCAGGTAGAGAGAGAATTCAATCTTGAATGAAAAAGTAATGAAATAATTGATTACTGTTGAAAAGCAAAGGTTACATGCATACAAGATACGTGACATTAATTTTCTTTTAATTTACTTCAAACCAAAAGTAAATGTTCTAAGGGACTGATAGATTTAATTTCAAGTTACCAACCCATTACAGGTCCTATCAACAACGGTACCATTTAAACATTTATCTTGGTAACAATGAGGAAGATATCGTCGTTATTTCAACTTAAAAAGTGATGAATTCTGTAAATTATGCTAATTGTCTTTCCACTAGTCACTTTTATGGACTATGGACAAATTAAATATTTCAAGATAGAAAAACTAAAGTTGTTTCCTTGTTTGTTTTCTAAATAACTATTTAATTCCTTACAATTACAAAAGACGACATTATGAAATGACAGCATTTATGGAGAAGAACGACCTTTGTTACGATCTTTTAGTACCCCAGAAAATGCGTCAAATTTGCGTAGATTTTCTGATGCGCTATCTTTAATTAGCAAAGTCTTTGGTACAACGCAGTTTATATAGGCATGCTCAAACTGCATTTACTACAGTCTGTGGCGATAAATTGTTATATTTTTCTTGATTATCACGTAAAAAATATATATTTAATAATCATATAAAATAATTGCATCAATTAAAACTTAAAAGAGAATCCGCCAACGCCGTATTTTTCTGCAGAAATGACGGACACATATATCTCTTATTATCGAAATTTAAACAACTTTTCATATTCTTAAAACTAATAATGTGTAGTGGGTGATTGTATACAATTCTTAATAGACTGAAGTGTAGGTGTTTGTTTACAATTCCTACCAGACTGTATGTAATAAGTGTTTGTTTACAATTCCTAAGAGACTGAAGTTGGTGTTTGTTTACAATTCCTACTGGACTGTATTAGGTGTTTGTTTACAATTCTTACTAGACTGAAGTAGGTGTTTGTTTACAATTCCTACCAGACTGTAGTAGGTAATTGTTTACAATTCCTACTGGACTGTATTAGGTGTTTGTTTACAATTCTTGCTAGCCTGAAGTAGGTGTTTGTTTACAATTCCTACCAGACTGTAGTAGGTGTTTGTTTACAATTCCTACTGGACTGTATTAGGTGTTNTACCTGGAGTAGAGAACATACCTGGAGTAGAGAACATACCTGGAGTAGAGAACATACCTGGAGTAGAGAACATACCTGGAGTAGAGAACATACCTGGAGTAGAGAACATACCTGGAGTAGAGAACATACCTGGAGTAGAGAACATACCTGGAGTAGAGAACATACCTGGAGTAGAGAACATACCTGGAGTAGAGAACATACCTGGAGTAGAGAACATACCTGGAGTAGAGAACATACCTGGAGTAGAGAACATACCTGGAGTAGAGAACATACCTGGAGTAGAGAACATACCTGGAGTAGAGAACATACCTGGAGTAGAGAACATACCTGGAGTAGAGAACATACCTGGAGTAGAGAACATACCTGGAGTAGAGAACATACCTGGAGTAGAGAACATACCTGGAGTAGAGAACATACCTGGAGTAGAGAACATACCTGGAGTAGAGAACATACCTGGAGTAGAGAACATACCTGGAGTAGAGAACATACCTGGAGTAGAGAACATACCTGGAGTAGAGAACATACCTGGAGTAGAGAACATACCTGGAGTAGAGAACATACCTGGAGTAGAGAACATACCTGGAGTAGAGAACATACCTGGAGTAGAGAACATACCTGGAGTAGAGAACATACCTGGAGTAGAGAACATACCTGGAGTAGAGAACATACCTGGAGTAGAGAACATACCTGGAGTAGAGAACATACCTGGAGTAGAGAACATACCTGGAGTAGAGAACATACCTGGAGTAGAGAACATACCTGGAGTAGAGAACATACCTGGAGTAGAGAACATACCTGGAGTAGAGAACATACCTGGAGTAGAGAACATACCTGGAGTAGAGAACATTCACGTTCTTCAGAGAGCAGTTGGAAACTCTAGAAGCTATTCCAAGCAGGGTTGGTCTTAGTTCAGAGTCTAGTGTATATAAACTAGACCCAGAGTCAACCTTAAACACAATCAAACAAACAATAAGCTTTCAAGGACAAAATAAATGATTATGATAATTAATAAAAAAGTCGTCTTTGAAGTCGCATGCTTTATAGGTGACACTGATTTTCCATAGATATTAATTGTATAAAATCAAAAAATTTTCATGTAAAAATTTTAAATTTTAGAGCGAACACATTCTTTACGTTTTATATTTGTTATTTTTTTGATAAATCATTTATTTCTTTAGACGAATAATTATCTAACTTCCAATTTCACAAATATATATGTGGGTTCTTTATGTTTTCATTACAGGGCTAACCAGGACAAGATAAATTCATAGTCTCATATTGGTCAAATTGTGCAAAATAATTTCTTTGTTCAAAATTCAACATTTTTTAATATTAAAAAATGATGATCCGTTCCCCGCTGTTGCTGAGATAAAGATTCAATGGTACCTCTGCAAATTGTACAAGCGACTCTATAAAAGGAATGTCAAGTGAAAATACGTTGACAATCCTTTCGAGCTTTTTTTTGTCATTACTAAATACTTTTTGGAAAGAAAAAGCTAGATAGTTGTAAATGACATGTTTGTAATTAATGTTCATAAACAAAAAATTTTCAATTAAAAATATTTATTGATTAATTATCTTGTTTGAATTAATTATTAATTAACGAAACTAACCAACCTGACATGATGAGCTTCCTCCCCACGTAATCCTATTTTCCTCGTCAACCTTAGTAAAGAACTGAACTAAGTCATTAACTGATTTTCTAATCCCTTTATCTTTTCAACCAAGTTAACCTTAGATATTTCAAACTATACATTTTAATAGATTACATGTTTTAAGTTTGAAATATAAAAGATTTCTCCATCAGGTTGCAAAGATTTCGGAAGTAGACAGTTTGAGTTTGCATAGCAAAGAATCAATTTCTTTATTAATTTAATTAATTGAAATAAAGCTTGAGACTATCCGGGTTTTTATTTTTTGTCTGTTATTTTAAATCAAGTTTATTTTAACACATGTGTTAATTAAGCGACAGAAATAATTTGAAGTAACTCAACATTTACAAAATTACATAACTCAACATTTACAAAATTACATATCCCAGCATTTACAAAATTACAATTAATTTTTAATCTGATTTACAATGAGAAAAAATATCGTCGTATTTCAGGCTTGAAAATTGTTTAATTCTGTTAACATTCTTCATTGTTCCTCCAGTGTAAATCCACAAGTCACTATTAAATTGTTTAATTCTGTAAATATTCTTTATTGTTGTTCCAATGTAAATCCTCAAGTCATTATTAAACAATCCTTTTAATAAAATCTCTTTTAGTTTTAGGAAAGAAAAGCAATGCAAAAAATTTTGAAAAACTTGCTAAGCCCCGGAATATAGAAATGCTTCTCGATAAGGAGCAACGAAAATGAGTTTTTGCCACAAACCCAAATTATGATCCATATATCTCAGCAACCCGATGTCGTAGATCTTTAATATTTGTTTCAAGCAGTGAATTCCGTTGGACCAAAAAGCATAAATTTGAAATATTTAAGGTTTACACCATCAGGTTTAAAAGAAATAGGGATTAGACAGTTTTAGTTTGTGGTAAAAACTTGTAAAAACTGTATAACCCTGCAAATATGTGTTATAAATTCTCTTAAAAATGGCAGATTAAATAACGTGATTAAATTCTTTTTTATTAAAACAAACATTATTCAAATAGGAAAATCTGAAAAAAATGGCTCACCCTTTTATATTTGCCATCTTTTTCTTGTTCAAATATACTCACAGTTTCATTCTAGTTCAAAACATACTACTAAATCACTAATACAAGGTGTTCCATTTAGACATCATTATGAAATGTAAATAACGGCAGGGTGTCTTTTTTTTGCTTGATACATTGCGTTGTTTCATTAGACCTGTTATCGGTAGTAATATATTCAAATATATATATATTCAAATAAGAACACCCAGAGGCCGAAAAAAAAATTGAACCGCCTCGCTGAACCGCCAATAAGCAGTTTCAATTAAGCTACGGTACAAATCTCAAAACATTGATTATAATTTAAAGTGGAACCAACCTAATTTGAACCGCGTCTCATATTTAAACCGTGTCTAAACCTGCAGTTCAAATTCTTTGAATTCGGCCTCAGGACTATAAATCAGAGCTGGCCAGATACGTTTGGTTTCTTTATTTTAAATCCAATCGCTCTTTGGTCTGTAATTCAACAATCTTTAAACTTATGGAGTTCCCTTAGCAATAGCATACATCCTAATGAATCCGCTGGACAAAAAGTAAAAGAAGTGAATAAGAGAAAATTTATATCTAATAGATAATTTTGTAATCGAAAGTCAGCACTTGAATCATCGTCAAAAGTTTATAATTACACAGGGCACTTTAGCTAGTATTAATATTAGAATAAAAGAAAAGAGGACATCTTCATATTTCTAAAATTATCATGTTAATTGGGAACAACTAATAAAAATATGTTTTACCAAGCTAGAAATAGCACACAGCTCTCTGTCCACTCGAGCCTTCATAGCCAGGGAGTCCGCTCCTCGAGTTCGGTTTATACACTCTTGTTTAGTTAGTATATAGATACTAGACTACAAATTTACATTGTTTAGTTAGTATATTGATACTAGACTACAAATATACATTGTTTAGTTAGTATATAGACACTAGACTACAAATATATCTTGTTTAGCTAGTATATAGATATACTAGACTACAAATATACATTGTTTAGTTAGTATATTTATACTAGACTACAAATATACATTGTTTAGTTAGTATATTTATACTAAACTACAAATATATCTTGTTTAGTTAGTATATAGGTACTAGACTACAAATATATCTTGTTTAGTTAGTATATAGATACTAGACTACAAATATATCTTGTTAATGTTTAGTTAGTATATGAATACTAGACTACAAATATACCTTGTTTAGTCAGTATATAGATACTAGACTACAAATATATCTTGTTTAGTTAGTATATGAATACTAGACTACAAATATACCTTGTTTAGTTTGTATATAGATACTAAACTACAAATATATCTTGTTTAGTAAGTATATAGATTTTTGAGGAAATAATGCAATTTTCAATTTTTTTTATTTGGCATGCAGTTTACAGCAACTTAAATACAATTAAACATGAACTCTTTAAACTTTTAATCATATTTCTAATTTTAATATCGAAGATAATTTTCGTTTTTTTACGTGTGAACACTGCAAAAGAGGATTGGTTTTTTGTCTTAAACACTACAATAACAGTTAAAGAGCTTTTTTTCTGGATCTCTAAACTATTGGAAAAAAGTGTTATCTGTGTCTCATAATATTTTTACCTCTACAATATCAGTTGAGAGAGTTTTGTCTGTGTCCCGAACAGAGCACTTGCTGTCACACATACCCCAGGCAGAGTTATGTCCGACAGAACTTGTATTTTCAGTGCCAGCATCCTAAATTCTGGAATCATTCTATATTTAGAAAACGAAATTGTTTATTTGAGAAACTGACCAATGGTGTCGCTGCTGAGCAGTATCCAGGCTCATTTTCCGCGGCATCTTCGACACATGTTGCGCACCAACCGTCTTTTAATTAAAATAAAAAATTTGAACAAAAATAAAATTTTCAGAAACAAGATCGAATAGATAAAGTGTTCATAGCTGTGAATCTTTCAGGAATTCAGTTGTTGCAGAACAATTCATATATATTGGACAAACTTCATGGGTTAAACTTCTAAAACATACTCCTAAGTCGAGGAATACTAATAGCTTGTAGTAGATTCAATGCAAAAATATAAACTCTGATTTTCCTGTTCCTATATCTTTGCGCAGTCTTATGATATTTCAATTTTTGAACTCTGCTAGACCTGATGGTTACCGTTTGAAATATTAAATGTTTTTAAAGTTTCAAGACAGAGAAGAAGTCAAATCCCTTCCAAAAAATGTCTGCTTAAACAGTACAAAATTCTAATTATTTGATCAATATAACACTTACAGTTATCCGTTGAATTAATGCTGTCTGTAGGATAGCATGTTATCTTTCTGTGGTTTGTTTTTATAACTGACAGATTCTTGGCTGCGTCAGGAATCTCAGAATGCAGCTTCATGCATTCTTCACTGAACGTAAGGATAAAGTGAACATTTTTGTAATTAGTATTTTCAACAAGCATATCCTCAAGGTTAATTGAAAACTATTTAGGTTTAGAAATGTACATCCTTTTTGTGTACTAACAAAACTTTAACAATCCTTGATATACAAAAAAAAATTAAATCGTTCAAAGAAACTAAAAATATATCGATTTATTCCTGAAAAAACGAATTTTCTAAAAGTTTTTGATAAAAAAAAACAATTTTACTGAACGCTCGTTTGTTTGTGAGAAAACAAACAAAATAGAATGAAATCGACGATAATTTTGAGAACAAACAACTTATATTTTTTGAACAAATGAAAAAACTACTTAAATGGATTGTTAACAAAAAGGTAACAAACCAAATAAAAAAGCACACATCCCTACGTAGTGTCAGGAATTTTCAATGTTGTTGTTTATAACAAATTCAACAAATTACAGTAACAAACATTTTTATCCTCACTGTATTTCAATTTAACTGTGCTATATTTAAAGAAATCTGCCTACTAAGATTTTGAATAGTAAAATTATTGATATAAGTATAATTAAATTTTAATTTAAGTTGAAGTCTTACATGTTTTTAATCATAAGTTCTTTTACTAAAGGGTTACTGAGAAGAAAAAGAACCTTTTTTATGATGCAACAAATAATATTTTTCTCATGCTAAACTAACATTTGAGGAGCTACGGGTCAGCAATGTTGCATTACATTGACAATCTCCTTCTGTCCATAAATGGACTGTATACAATTGTTGAATCAGATCGGATTAAGTAAAAGTGCAACATTACATCAAGGTTTATAAAAAATGTAATTTTTTACTTGTAATTTCATAATTCAATTGGTGGTTGAATATCCCTTTTTTTGAAAAAAATATAACTAAAATACCTCAACCAAACTGGAGGAGCAGAGTTCAAACACTGTCCCATAATATCTCCTTCAAGAACAAACTCTTGTCGACACTTTTCAAACTTGGCCGGGCCCTCAACATTTGTGTGGCAACCAATCTTGTTCTATTAAAACAATAGTTTTACTGAGATAATGCACAATCTGGGTGCATTTTTAACTTTACAGATAAAAGTGATGTTTTGATGCAAATGTTCTTAAAATGCTAAATTTGTTTGTTTTTTATGTTGTTTTTTTCTTTAAATTTCATAAAATTACCAAAACAAAATAAAATTACAAAAATTACTTCAACTGCATATCTTTCATACAGAGTTCCCCATCCAGATATCTTGGCCTGTACACCATAATCTTTACTATCTACACCTTGAAATATAATCATTATTGGCCTGTACACCATAGTCTTTACTATCTACACCTTGAAATATAATCATTATTGGCCTGTACACCATAGTCTTTACTATCTACACCTTGAAATATAATCATTATTGGCCTACCATAGTCTTTACTATCTACACCTTGAAATATAATCATTATTGGCCTGTACACCATAGTCTTTACTATCTACACCTTGAAATATAATCATTATTAGGTTTTCCAATTTCTGCAGGATCAATTTGGATTTGTAAAGGCCTTACCACTTACAGAACCTTTCCTGTCGCTGTTAGAGGGACAGAGTTCACTTATTTGGGTAATTTCATGGTAAACTAAACAGGCATACATGTCAAAGATAACTTTGGTCGGAGAAAAAGCTTAATTATATTTCAGAATTCCAGCGTAAAGGTATAGTACACCTTTGCCTTAAACACTAAATTAGCTGTTTTTTAGTAAAAACAGCCATAGAAAATTTAAGATCATTATATTTCAATTCCATATACAGGGTGTCCCAAAAAACATGGGAATTCAGTGACGAATTCGATATCGTCTTTGTTATGAATTAGCATTGTAATACCTAATTTCAAAAGCCATTATTATTATGTCTGCTAGAGTTTATTTAATGAAAAGGGTAAAAGACTGCACAGATGTGTCTATAATGTCTCCCAAGATGAACAGTGAATTCGGACAAGTTTACTCTGTTTGTATACTGTAATTTTTATTGTTTTACTAAGTACAACCGGTTGCAGTCAAAACATAAACAAACAAAATGTAAACATAGCAGACGAAACTCTTATAGATTACAGCTTTCTCAGTAGGTATCACTTTACTAAATCAAAGAATTATCTGAAAAGACGATATCGAATTCGTCACTGAATTCCCATGTTTTTTGGGACACCCTGTATGTGTTAGCCATACATAGACGACGTTCCTTACGGCAATCAATTAACCATTACGCATTTTTGGTTCGTTTATGCAATGCCGCGTTCGGTATAGATAAAATATACAGGGTGTCCCAATTACCATGGGAATTCAGTGACGAATTCGATATCGTCTTTGTAATGAATTAGGATTGAAATACTTAATTTAAAAAGCCATAATATTATTATGTCTGCTAGAGTTTATTTTATGAAAAGGGTAATTGGCTGTAAAGATGTGTCTATAATGTCTCCGCATAATGAATAGTGAAGACATGACATAGACAAAGAACATGGATGAATTTAAAGGGAAGAACAATACCAATCAATAGCTATTAAGCTATTTACTGAAATTACTCTAATAAGTGAATGGTTCCTTTAAAAATTGTCAATCAAAAATGCATCACATAAAACACCTAGCTCTCTGTATAGGGGTAATGATTTCAGGAAAGGTTCCAAAAGGCTAATTTACTGATTTTAATTGATCCGGAAAAAATGTTAAAACCTTCACTAGGATTCAAACAGGGTTTCACCTTCTGCACGGAATGTATTTTCTTTTTCGCAATTTCGCTCATAAATTGCTTGAGCCTTGTGCAGACTAAAGCGCTGTATTTCACGCTAATGATTTTTTCCAATTTGTTAAAATGTATGGTAGGAAGCGCAAATTGTTGTGGACATAAAACCTTGTCCCGTCTAGTTGTCTTTAGTCAAGACTCAAAACTACATGGTTTATAATTGAAAAATTAACCTGGAAGGCAGATTGGAAAGATGTTTTCCGAATCAAATACTATTTCTTGTTGAAGTTCTATCAGAGCAATATCAGATTGATCTCTCTTCCCCTCCACATACTCAGGATGCAGGATAATTCTAGCAACCTGTACATTACTGCAGTTACACTGTAAACATGGAAACTTGTGCATTACACAGTTATATGCTGTACACGTGGTAATCTGTACATTACTCAGTTATACTGAAGTACATGTAGCAACCTGTACATTACACAGTTACACTCTTGACATAGCAACCTACTTTTGCAGCCTGTACAATACACCATTACAATGCACTCAAAGAAAACTGCACAATATAAAGTTACACTGTACACACAGCAACTTGTAAGTGTACAATGCAAGTTATGATGTACGCATAGCAAATTGTACATTACACAGTTACACTGTACACATAGGAACCTGTACATTACACAGTTACACTTTTGCAACCTGTACAATACACCATTACAATGCACTCATAGAAACCTGCACAATACAAAGTTACACTGTACACATAGCAACTTGTAAGTGTACAATACAAGTTATAATGAACGCATAACAAATTGTACATTACACAGTTACACTATACACATAGCAACCTGTACAAAACACAGTTACACTGTATACATAACAACCTGACAATACTGAATTACACTGTATGCATAGAAACCTGTACATCATACAGCTTTTCTGTACACACAGCCACTTGTACAACCAACAGTTACACTGTACATGTAGCAACCTGTAAATTATTGAGTTATACGGTAGATGTAGCAACCTGTACATTACACGGTTGCAGTATTAATAGTCCATTCTAGGTTTATATAGTCCTGTATTTCTCTCTGTGGTCCGTAATTGTCCTTTCTAGGTTTTTATAGTCCTGTATATTCTCTTTATAGCCCTCTGGCAGTCCCTTCTAGGTCTGTATAGTCCTGTGTTTCTCTGTATGGTCCCCTGGCAGTCCCTTCTAGGTCTGTATAGTTATTTATTACTCTGTATGGTCATGTAAAAGTTAAAAAATGCTAACCTTTTCTGTTCCAGAGGTGTTGGCAACAGACACTTCCAGTATATTCTTTAAACTTAAAAATATTTGAAATAAATAAAAATAAAGTAAAACAAAATAAAAAAGATTAAAATTGAATTTAAAAAAAAATAAAATAAAGAAAAATAAAACAAAATAAATAAAAATAAATTTAAATAAAATAAAAATAAGTCAAAATTAAATAAAAATAAAAGAAAGTTATCCATCTAAGTTTTTCAGGTATTTTTATTTTTGAAATTTTTTTATTTTTGAATTCCATAAAATATTATTAGTATGATTTTAAAAATTGCAACAGAAATATAAACTAGGCAAAGTCATGTGTAAAACAAGGTATCAAATGCAATTTTGGATTTTTAACTTAATTTTAATGATAAAGATTTAAGTTTTTGCGACAAACAGAAATTGTACAGTGAAACCCTTAATAACGAATACATCGAAAGAATTCATCAAATGTCGTATTCTTCACTTTCTGATAATGGAATGTTGCAGATATTTAGTTTTTTAATGAAATGATTATATGGAACTCTTTAAAACTGTTTCCGCATATTCATGGCTATTTATTTATTTTCGTAAATACTGATATTTACGTAATATAGTGTAAAACACATTGAACAATTGTCAAGACGACACTTGATAAATTCTTCCGATGTATTCGTTATTAAGGGTTTCACTGTATAATCACTATCTAATCTGTGCATCCTAATGAAGTAATCCTTTGATATTTCAAACTTAATTTATTTGATGTAAGAGAATGCAAAGCTTGAAATATCTACACCATTTGATTGCTAAGATTAGAATTAGCCAGAATTGGTGACAAAAATTCTATTATTTTCCGAAGGTTTTGAAAATTGTAGAATTGAAATCATAACTTTTTTCAGCCACAAAAAGGTTGTTTGAGCCACAAAAAGGTTATTTGAGTCACAAAAAGGTTATTTGAGTCACAAAAAGGTTATTTGAGCCACAAAAGGGTTATTTGAGCCACTAGAAGGTTATTTGAATCATAACACAAATTCTACTAATTTACTTTTTTTTAATTTTGAGGGGACTTTGCACCCCTATTTCTGTTTACAAATTCAGCGTGTAAATATCGTTTTTTTATTATTTTTTGAATTCTAAGAAAAATAAAGTTTTATTGATCAGAGGCAAACCAAATATAAAAGAAATTGTTAATATTAATCTGCAAGTTCAAAGCAAAAATGAGAAAACATACAATATATTTGTCTTCAAAGGAGCTGTTGCGTTTATTATTATCAATATTATGACTATAAAAAAAGTGTTACCTGAAGTCAAAGATCTTTCCAGATAGCATAACTTTTACAAAATTACCATGATCGTATGTAATCCTTCAAAAAATAAAAGATAATATCTTTTTTAAGGAATTTAGTCTTTGACAAAATCTCTGCTTTTCCAATTTCTATATGTTTGCAACTTAATCAACATCGGCGCGCAACCTTAGATATAATTCAAAATATTAATACTATCAGAGCTGAAAACTTTAGAATGTGATATCCTTAATCCCGATCGGATAATTAATCTGGAGATTAAAAATGAGAGGAGAACAAGCAATATTTAATCTTGAGATTAAGAAAAAGACTGGATTAAGCATTAATCCCGATATCCACCATTGAAAAGTTTCCAGCTCTGATCAAATAATCTAAGCTTGAAATACCAAAGGTTTACACCACCAAGTTGTAAAGATAAATTGTGGCAAAGACTCATTTTTTTTTTAAAAGATAAGTGGACATGTTCTTAAAGAAGCTGAATTTCTTGACGACTGAAAGACAACTCGGATGATTTTTTCTTTGACATAAAGTCGTAGAACTTAGATATTTTAAACTGTTAATTCTGTTAGATCAAATTATCTAAGTTTGAAATAGGAAATTAAGAATTTGAGTGAAGACACATGTGACATATGTTCTTCAAGGAAATGTTGTTCGGGTATTTCTTGAGAATTCGGTGCATGATACTAGAGGTTAACAATACTTTTTTTAAATTAAAACTAAAATGTTTTCTACCTTGATCCTTTGGTTCCTCCTGTGTAGGTAAAGTGTCCGGAAGGTAATTTTTTCCCTGGAACAGAATCGTTCCAGTCACACCCTAGCCCTGTACATAATTGTCTTCGTCATTTATTTTCTTTTTTTGTTGATATTTAAAATAAACATAGGTGAATGTGCGTTTTGTTTCCAAAATGTATCACTATCCACTAATCTCTACTATTTATCTAGTCAATGCACTGAAAATTACGATCAGGCCAGGTATTTGTGGTAACTCACTCACCTAATGAAAAGTTTATGGCCAGCCAAAATAAAAAAAATGCCCATGAAGTATTTATCTACATATTTTATTTTTTGAAGCACTCTATGAAAGCCGAAAGAAATGTAGATACAAAAATTCCGATTTTTAACTTATTTTCTGTATTTGATTAATAGTAAACAAATCCATTAAATTGCTTTTTTGCAATTTACAAAAAAATTCATTGGAAATGATACACAGCGGAGTTATGGACCCTATAAATCTCTGATTGAGCTGCCATAAAGAGAAGATTTTAACATATTCTTTCTATCCCCTCTTTTTAAACAATATTTTAAAGTTATCAATTCTCTGCTGGACAAATAAGGATATCTCATTCCTCCTTGATCGGTTTAATTAAACATGTAGCGACTGTAAAATTATGAACACTTGAAATTGCATGGACCATCCCTTTTCCTGTAAACTTAAGTCCATTTAAAGTACCGGGCCGAATTTTAAGCAGCTAGGTCAAGCTGTACACGACACGCACTGCAAAAGACAAAACGTGACAGTACGCCAAGTTTATTAGCCCCTTCAAGGGAAAAAACAAATCTATAAAATTTAACATGAAATTTAAGAATATTTCTGAAAAAATAATTTTCCGAATTTTTGTTTTCCTACCTTTTAATTTCTTATTACAGAAGCAGCTTGCAGTTGATAAAATATATTTCTAAATCAACATAATTTCATTAATTTCTTATTACAGCAGCTTGCAGTTGATAAAATATATTTCTAAATCAACATAATTTCATTAATTTCTTATTACAAAAGCAGCTTGCAGTGGATAAAATATATTTCTAAATCAACATAATTTCATTAATTTCTTATTACAGAAGCAGCTTGCAGTTGATAAAATATATTTCTAAATCAACATAATTTCATTAATTTCTTATTAAAGAAGCAGCTTGCAGTGGATAAAATATATTTCTAAATCAACATAATTTCATTAATTTACAATCCCATTTTTAATCAAGCTTAAACATTTAAAATTATAAAGTTATTTAGAAGATGTTTAATGAACGGCTTTTGTATAGAAAATTAAAATTAAGATGAATGTTAATTAGAATTTCCGTTCTTTATTTTGAATCTTTAATAAATATTTTAAAATGAATTTAACCTTGTTTATAATAGAACCTAGGCATACAGATTCCAGCCTGTCAGTTGTGATTTTGGGATTCTCAACACTTAAAATGAAATATATATATTAGTATTCCTTGATAGTCTGTCAGAATGTTTGTATACAATAATCAAAACGGCTGAACCGATCAGGCCCAAATTTTGTGTCATTGCCATCAACATTTTAACTACTTTGTTTAAGCAACTCAATATTTCGAATAGTGAATTCTGTTAGATAGAATAATCTAAGTTTGAAATGTTAAAGGTATACACTATCAGGTTGCAAAGATTTAGGCATTAGAATATTTGATTTTGTGGCAAAGACACAATTTCTTTTGGGCTCAGCTTTGTGTTATGCAATAAAACTGTATTTGAGTATGGTAATATGGTAATTAAGTCTATCAATCAATTAAACACTTGATTTTGATATCCAATGTGGGCATTTCTAAATTTGAGGATCAATATTTGATCCCTTGATTTATGTTATCCCTGCAGGGTATGACAGCTGTACGTGAGATAGAAAAGGAATAAAATTTATCCTGTCAAAAATGGAGATCAATGCTTGATCCCGAGATCAATGCTTGATCCCGAGATCAATGCTTGATCCCGAGATCAATGCTTGATCCCGAGATCAATGCTTGATCCCAAGATCAATTCTTGACACCGAGATCAATGCTTGACCCCAAGATCAATGCTTGATCCCGAGATCAAAGCTTGACCCCTAGATCAATGCTTGACCCCGAGATCAATGCTTGATCCTGAGATCAATGCTTGACTTCGAGATCAATGCTTGACCACAAGATCAATGCTTGATCCCGAGATCAATGCTTGATCCCGAAATCAATACTTGATCCTGAGATCAATGCTTGATCCCGAGATCATCCTGAGATCAATGCTTGATCCCGAGATCAATGCTTAATCCCGAGATCAATACTTGATCCCGAGATCAATGCTTGATCCCGAGATCAGTGCTTGATCCTGAGATCAATGCTTGATCCCGAGATCAGTGCTTGATCCTGAGATTCACATCTCCAAAGTTCTTCCATTAGATTACTCAACATATTTGAATAATAAGTAAAGATGGATCATTGAAAAACATTGAAATATACTAATTTGGTGAAAAGTCTCTTCTATTTTTGCACATAGTTCCTTTCAAATTTATAATCATTAAAAATTACACTATGACTGCTAGCCAGGGAACTTTCAGGCATTTTATTACGGTCTCCTTCAAATCCTCGGTGATATTGGTTGAACTAATAATATACTCTTCTTCGATAAAAGTATCTACATGTTTAAAATATACTATAAAATTGTTTAAAGTAATCCTCGCTTGGAAATTTTTGAAATGTTACTAGTTAAGTTCATATTATATAATTATGCATGAACGCATGAGAAGCACAAAATTAGAAGCACAAAAATGGAAGCACTTAAAATTATATTTACAAAATTAGATGCACAAAAATAGAAGCACAAAATTAGAAGTACTTAATTAGAAGCACAAAATTAGAAGCACAAAATTAGAAGCACAAATATAGAAGTACTTAATTAGAAGCACAAAATTAGAAGCACAAAAATGGAAGCACAAAATTATATTTACAAAATTAGATGCACAAAAATAGAAGCACAAAATTAGAAGTACTTAATTAGAAGGACAAAATTAGAAGCACAAAATTAGAAGCACAAATATAGAAGTGAAATTAGAAGTAATTAAAGAAACTTATAATAGGTTTTTATGCTGATACAAGTTTTCCTGATCGCTATGGGAAAACAAGTGACTATGTGTACTTCGAAATTATCTAGTATTTTAATACTTAATTTCAAAAGAAAAATGGCTGTGTTGCTATTCATAAAATTTGAAGGATTGTCTGGTAAAAATTCTGTAGACTTTAGACTTTGTCAGTATATATAAATTTTCTCATTTTATAGTAAACAATTATGGAATCAGAACAAAAGCAAAAAATGCAATACCAAGAAGTGTTAAAGTAATATCTCAGAGGAGATTTCTACCTGCCAGCGTATCTATATATATATTATCTTTGAATATAACGTACTGCCTCAAAGAAAAGTTCCTAAATGTAAAATTTTTACAGATTTCTTGATCAGGTCGTATTAAAGGTGAACACTGGCAGTCTCCCGCTGAACTTGTGCTAGAGTTTCCTGTAATATATAAATTAATATGGTCAAAACCAAGAAATCTGCCATTCCTTAAAGTGAGTGTTCGCGAAAAATGAAAGGGGGTATAGGCGTAATGCGATAAAAAGCGCTTTTGATCGCTACTAATCTTACTTCTATCTGTTGCGTCTATAAGGAGAAAATTGTTAAAAACTACTCACACCAAAGAACGCAGCGTCCATACAAATTCGGAAAGATGCAACATTCAACTACAGGGTGTCCCAAAAAACATGGGAATTCAGTGACGAATTCGATATCGCCTTTGTTATACATTAGCATTGTAATACCTAATTTCAAAAGCCATAATATTATTATGTCTGCTAGAGTTTATTTTATGAAAACGGTAAATGGCTGTAAAGATGTGTCTATAATGTCTCCGCAAGATGAACAGTGAAGACGGACAAGTTTACTCTGTTTGTATACTATAATTTTCTTGTTTTACTAAGAACAACCGTATGCAGTCAAAACATAAACAAACAAAATGTAAACATAGCAGACGAAACTCTTACAGATTACAGCTTTCTCAGTAGGTATCACTATACTAAATCAAAGAATTTTTAAAAAGACGATATCGAATTCGTCACTGAATTCCCATGTTTATTGGGACACCCTGTAGGATCGTAAACAAATCAATTTAATTCCAAACAAATCATTCAGATATTACAAACAGTAGTTATCGAACAAAATAAAAATACTTCTTTAAAAATTTTAAATTGCAGCATTAACTTTTTAAGAAAAATTTGCGCTAACGTTTAAAGTACTGATAATAATGTTTAAAAAATTAACAATATTTCCCAATTGAAATCCCTTGCTCCCCTCTTTACTTCGTTTAAAAATACAATTCATATCAAAATTTAATTTTTCCCTAACTTACCTTTTTTAGCAAAACATTGTGAAAATGTTGACAATATTAGCAGAAGATGAAGAAAACACGTTCTAAACAGAATTTGTTGTTGATGTTATATATATCTAAACTGCAGTAAAAATATAATTTCTTTTCTACTTCAACCCTTCAAGGTTTGTAAGAAAAGTATTGTATATTTAATGTGATTTCTGCTGACTTGTGTAATTGTAAGCATTTCGATCCAGTCTACCACCAATGGAAAAGCGTTTTGCTCGACACTGGTTGATGTTAACCCCGATTTATGACGAAAAGGACGAAAGCACGATTTTACGAAAATGATGGGTTTTTTTTTCGAAAAAATCTCGTTAAATAACGGATATATTTCATTTTCTAGTAAAAACCCTGTAAATATTTTTTAAGAAAAGGGTTAGATCCCGGCCTTTATATATTCTTTGATCAAAATACAAAACCACTTAAGACTGGCTTAAAACCTCTGTTTTTATAAGTAGTTTATTTAAAGGTGATTTTTAAGGATGGTTTAAGTCTCTTTGTAGGGTGAACTATGTAAATCCAATGATTACATGAGGCGTATCCACAGGGTGGCTATGGGAGCCTATCTCCCCCTGGATAAGTGAAACATATGTGGTTGAGGGGGGGGGTCCCTTAGACAAATCCTGTTTACACCCCTGAATGTGTACTCTTTTCTGCGTATATTTGTTTTGTTTATCTCATGATTAAGTGCAGCTCAAGGAGTATGCAGAGAAGAGAGATACAACTGACGCGGCCCGCCCTACCATATGATTATACTAGGGAGTAAGGAAGAGAAGGGAGATACAACTGACGAGGCCCGCCCTACCATATGATTATACCAGAGAGTAAGGAATAGAAGGGAGATACAACTGACACGGCCCGCCCAACCATATGATTATACCAGGGAGTAAGGAATAGAAGGGAGATACAACTGACGAGGCCCGCCCTACCATATGATTATACCAGGGAGTAAGAAATAGAAGAGAGATACAACTGACGCGGCCCGCCCTACTATATGATGCTTTGCAGACGGATACTTCATTTGAAATACGAATAACCTATTCTGAATATTTCTTATACAAATGGAGTACCGTCTGCAAAGCATGTATAATCATATTGTTGGGCAGGCCGCGTCAGTTGTATCTCCCTTCTATTCCATACTCCTTGGTGCAGCAACAGATATTGATTGTTGAAAAGATTGAGAGCTTCTTCTTTGAGGACACAGATTACAAAAATAGGACAAGAAAGGATGAATTGAACTATCTCAAAAATCGTCTTCATATTTTCTTTGTTAAACACAACTGAAAAAGTAGAACAAAATTTGGAATCTGCTTTTTATATATTTTTTTTTCTTTAATTACAAACATTTTCTTGAACCGACGACTGTATAGTTAATACGATATTAATTAAATCTGGGTTAAAGGGAATTTTTATTCATAGTAGATAATTAAATTAAAATTAGAAATTTAATTTAAAAAAACCTTTTGTTAAAAATAACTTTTCCAAAATGTATAAAATTTGAATCCGTTTTTTGATAGGATGTATACCTACAATAGGATTGGCTTCAAAATATCTAGTTATTATTTGAACATCCTACTCTTGGGATTTTTTAAAACTATCATCTTAAAAATTAATTTAACTTAAGTTCACTAAGAACTGCACAAACAGGGGTTACCCTCAAAGCAAATATTAAATTAAATGATAATCAAGGAAGTAACATTGTGACTAAAGTGACTACAGACGTATTTGACTCATGAATTGACTCCAAGAGCTTACCGTGTCGATTCACAACGGTACCCTTTACAAACAATCAGAATGATCATCGTCGATATGCTCTATTTTAAAAAATTATAAATTCTGAAACTGCTTCTGCTTTATAAATACTTTTATAGATGTTCCACAATAAGCAATTATCAATTTTCATAAAAAAAATCGGACATGATCTCTTTCACTGGAGGGTCACTTTAAACTACATAAACATTCCCTTAAATCAGATAATTAACATAGATTAATTTTCTAACCTTTTCATCACTATATAGTTTATACCTTGTTCATAGACTGTTGAAGATTCTAAACAATAAGATTAAACAATGGTGTTTTTCTTTCAAAATAATTAGTTACACGTATAAGGTTTCAATCGTATACAATAACTAGCTTGGGAACCCAGCGTGGACAAGGGGAGTCATAGTTAGTTCACCGTTTTCACGCCCCTTGTAAATTACGATGTTAGCTATTTTTCCCGATAAAATTCGACTGACTCATTTGAGAATTTCCGAACAAGCTAAGAACATTCCTGTGGCTCTTCCGAGTTTCCCAGTCAAAATTAGAGGCAAATCGGTCCAGGGGTACCTGAGTTATGATAGGAAAAACAAACACACGAAAACTGACAGAAAAATAGAGATTACAACATTTTATTCATAGAAGATTATGCTAAGGGAGAGGGAGACGGGCTTTATGTACATTTTATAAGGATTTAAATAAACAATAGTCCGGCCAACTATGTTTAGAATTATTCCTGCCTTTGTTTACAATCTTTGCTATTTTTGATAAAACTATAGTTTCTAGCAGTCCTCATGCTTACTTAAAGTGTACATAACACCCCCTCCCCCAAAACCTTCAATATAAGCACATTGAACATCAGTCAAATCATCAATAATGTTTGTTTTTATTCAACTAGATCTGGGCCGTACATCTACTTTATTTAGATAAATGAATGAAACATAATAATTTTGCCAAAAATAGAATAAAAATACTGTACACTGAACAGTAAAAAGAGTAAATTGTCCTCCTTGCTACTGTACACTTACAGTACGAAGGGATAATTGTCCGCCTTGATACTGTACACTGTACAGTACGAAGGGAAAATTGTCCGCCTTGATACTGTACGCTATACACTACGAATGGATAATTGTCCGCCTTGATACTGTACGCTGTGCAATACGGAGGGAAAATTGTCCGCCTTGATACTGTACACTGTACAGTGCTAAGGGATAATTTTTTGCCTTGATACTTGTCACTTTAAAGTACGTAGGGATAATTGTCCCTTGATACTGTACACTGTGCAGTACCAAGTAATAATTTTCTGCCTTGATAATGTACACTGAAAATTACCAAGGGGTAATTGTCCGCATAATTAATGTACAGTACCAAGTAGTAATTATCCGCCTTGATACTGTACACTGTAAACATCCTCCTTTTTAGTGTACAGTACCAAGAGTTTAATATCCGCCTTATTACTGTACAGTACTAAGAGTTTTATATCCGCCTTATTACTGTACAGTACCAAGAGTTTAATATCCGTCTTATTACTGTACAGTACCAAGAGTTTAATATCCGCCTTAATACTGTACATTACCAAGAGTGTAATATACGCCTTATTACTGTACATTACCAAGAGTTTAATATCCTCCTTATTACTGTACATTACCAAGAGGTAAATATCCGCCTTATTACTGTACAGTACCAAGAGGTAAATATCCGCCTTATTACTCTACAGTACCAAGAGTTTAATATCCTCCTTATTACTGTACATTACCAAGAGGTAAATATCCGTCTTATTACTCTACAGTACCAAGATTTTATTATCCGCCTTATTAATGTACATTACCAAGAGGTAAATGTTCACCACATTACTGTACAGTACCAGTAGCTATTTGGTTGGACTAAGTGCGGAGAAATTGTAAGAGAAGATAAAGAGAAGAGGAGGAGGAGGAGGAGGACTAAAGAGAAGTATATATTTACTGGTTCTTATCAGAATACCCGTCAGTTTATAATCAACAACTTGATACAGAGGCATCTTCCTGCAGTCTATACTCTTATACCAAGATGGAGACTATGGAGAACAGTTCCGAGTTCAACGTAACAATGGACTTGAACCTGACCAACACAAACTTCACGCTGCCTGAGGACATGGTGTTTGGCGAGGCCCACGTCTACTCGATGATTGCCTACTCGATTCTCTTCATAATTGGGTTCTACGCTAACAGCACTTCACTCAAGTAAATAATCATAATAATAATAATCATAATATCTGAAGTGAAAATTGACAAACTATTCATCGATTTAAGTTTAAATAAATTATTTTCGCTTATTTTACTTTTAAATATTTTTTTGAATCAGATTTTCTTTAATCCCCATGTCTTTGGAACCTGATGGTGTAAAATTTCATACCTCGATTATTTGATCTAACACAATTCTTAGTTTACAATATCTGATGTTTCCCAGTTTTATATTTGTAAAGTCTTATATTTTGTTGAATCAAGTATATTGTTATTGATCTGAAAAACTAGGGATGATTAGTTGGCTATATATCTCATATTCTCATGTTTTCCTATTTCGATGAAAACAGCTGAAAAAGATTTTATTTTTGCAATATCTCGGTAACAGAATCTGCAATAACTTTTGAAGTAAAAGTTTTACCTTAAAAGATAAAAATTCACTTGAATTTTCTGAATGCATTATTTTATTTTTATGAAAATCTTAAGAAATATCAAAAATCACCTTTCATCTTTAGTCTGTCGTAAAAATGAAAACAATTAACGCAACTTATTTATTTTGTTATATTATAAATTTGTATTTTAAAACTGACATTTTTTAAAAAAAGTTGAAAAGTAAATAGAAATACTTACTTTTACTGAAACTATAGTTTGGTAACTTATTTAATCACTTATTAAGTCTAAAAGGGGGGAGAAAGGGGAATATGTCTCATGTTCAATTTACTATTTAAAGTCATAACCGAAGTCTATTCCATAGTTTTTTTTGCTCTCACTGCATGTAAACTTAAAGGGAGTGTTCGCTAATAATGAAAGGTATAGGCTTACGTCGAAAAGTTATCGATGGTGATCACTATTAATCTTTCTTCTATCTGTTAAAACGACTTGTACCAAAGAACGTAGCTTCCATACAAATTCAGAAAGTTGCAACATTCGACTGGGATCGTATAATAATCTATTTAATACCAAAAAATCATTCAGATATTACACATTTTAATAATCGATAATTTTTCGAGGCATTTGTATAAAGTTTATATTACATAATATTTTAATTTTAGTTACTTTTTAAACATTTTTTTCTGTTTCGAGGATTTTTGATAATGAAGACGAAATGAAAACAAGTTGTAAGCTAAATATTATTTTTTTTTTTAAATCAAAAATATAATGAAATATCAATTATATACGAATGCGTCGAAAAATTATCGATGATGATAGGTTGCAATATCTAAACGATTTTTTTGGAATTAGATAAATTACGATCCGAGTCGAATGTTGCAATTTTCTGAATTTGTATGGGCGCTTAGGTTCTTCGGTATGAGTCGTTTTTAACAATTTTCTCCTTATTGACGCAACAGATAGAAGAAAGACTAAGCGATCACCATCGATAATTTTTCGACCTGAGCCAACATTCCATTTCATGTTTTCGCGAACATTTCCTTTCAGACGTGTTCCGCATCTCATTTGAATCAATATTTGTCAGGCATTTCTTGCATGTTCGGTACATCCAGCGGAAAGCAACTAGAATCAATCTTCTCTTCATCCATCTGTGTATCTCAGATCTGCTGGTCATCTGTCTGGAAATACCGGTAAGAAATTCATTTATCAACTGGGTTGTGAAGCCAGCTGGGTCAACATTGTTTTATCCCACTGTTTACCCGCTCTTAGTCGCAAATTACGATTTTATAAAAGTGGACTGGACCCACTCAACTTAAAACTTTAAATCAAGCTAAGAACATTTCTGTGGTCCTACTAACATTTCTGGTTCTGACTGTATTTATGAAATTAAGCAGTCTATTCTACGGTTTTCTGGTTCTGACTGTATTTATAAAATTAAGCAGTCTATTCTACGGTTTTCTTGTTCGGACTGTATTTATGAAATTAAGCAGTCTATTCTACGGTTTTCTGGTTCGGACTGTATTTATGAAATTAAGCAGTCTATTCTACGGATTTCTGGTTCGGACTGTATTCATGAAATTATGCAGTCATTTCTACTGTTTTCTGGTTCGGACTTTATCTATATATAAATTTGCCTTGTCTGTTTGTTTGTATCCAATAAACGTCAAAACGGCTGAACCGATCGGGCCCAAATTTTTTGTGGTACACCACGTGACCACAGGGAAGGTTTATGAATGATAAAAAAATGTGTTTTAAAGGTTTTTAATTTTGTATAAAAATTTAAATTCTTGAAAATCCGCGAATTTTTTTTTAAAAATCCGCAAATTTTTTTTTCTTTGTTTTAAAATGTAAACAAAAAGAACATGTGCACAATTTAAATAGAAGATGGGCGCGAAGCGCCCTAAAAGCCTAGTTTAAAAAATTTCATTTATAACTCTAACAGGTATGAAATGGACCCTACTTATGTTAACAAGGCTTAATTTTCATTGAATCTGGAATATTGACTCAAAGCTCATAATTTATGAATTCAGATCAGCTTTGGCTGGGCTGCTACGGTGTCCTGGTGGGCTGATGACGTCACATGCCGATTGGTCGTGTTTGCCCGCATCATTGGCTTCTACCTCTCATCCTTTATTCTCATCATAGTTTCATACGACAGGTAGGAATACACTTTTAGGACATTTTTTCATTTATAATTTACTTGAGTCTTTTTCACAAACTCTGAATTTTTAATCCCTATATCTTTCCAAACCAAAGTCGTAGACATTAGATATTTCAAAATAGGAATTCTGTTAGAACAAACATTATAAGTTTGAAATATCACAGGGTTAAACCATACGGTTCCAAAGATATAAGGATTAGCAGATTTGAATGTGTGGCCAAGACTAAAATCCTTCTTTTGAAATAAATATTTCATTATTCAACTATTTACAATTTCTAATTATAGTTTGAATTTCCTAGGTTCAATGCGATTGTCCGACCTATTTCTAACAGATTGAAGACAAAACTGATCAAAAACCTTCTTATTGCCTCCTACATCATGGCTCCTCTCTGCGCTCTGCCGCAAATATTTAGGTAAAATTTCTAAATTTGCAATTTTATGGAAAACAAAATTTAAATATTTTTTTCTGTTTAGATTTTCCAAAAAACCGCATCCATCATTGAACGATTATTATCAGTGCACCACAATCGGAAACTATGAAACAGAAGAAATGGTAAGTTTATCAAAAATAACTAATTTTTTTTTTAACAATACAAGGTGAATACTATAAATAATCATTTTATATTACATATTATCAGTATTATTCATGCTATACTTTTCATTTTGTAGTGTTTCTCATCCTGAGCAAACATTCTTGGACATTTTTTAATTCTTTCTCGACACCTCTAATTTTTTGCCTAAGGAGCTGAGTTCTTGTCAAAAACTAAAATTTTCTTAGCTCTATATCTTTGCAACCTGATATCGTTAACCTTTGATATTCAAAAATTAGATTATTTGATCTACCAGAATTAATAGCTTGACATAACAAAATAGGTATACGACATCAGGTTGCAAATATATAGGGATAACAAGATTAGAGTGTGTGGCAAGAATGCAGTTTTTTTATTTATTCAATTTTTTTTAATACACTGTATATACCCACGCTCACAGTTTACTTATAGAAGTAAACAACAAACCGATCTATGTTAATCTTGTTTATGTTAATTTTCCATTTTTAGGATCTTGCGTACTTCATGTACTTCTTCACCATGTCCTGGCTCCTGCCCCTCACCGTCATGGTCTATTGCTATATCAGGTATTTTAATTTGCCTCGTCAATTCATTCCTGTGCAGCTACGTAAAAGAGACGATTGCAGTTTTTCATTGGAAACCAAGCGTTATTTTATCCCATCTAAGATATGTTCATGAAATTGAGCCACAAACTTTGATTTTCTAATCCCTTTACCTTTGCAACCCAATGTTGTTGACCTTAGGTTCTTCAAGTTATAAATTCTGTTAGATTAAAAAATTTGAAATATCAGAGGCCGAATTTAAAGAATTTGAGCCATGGCTTAAATCCGCCAAAACCCGGTTTAAATTATGCGCCGGCTTAAATCTTGTAACATTTGATACAATTTTAAGTGAAACAAAACATATTTAAGCCGTGGCTTAAATTTAAGCCGCCGCTCAAATTCTTGAAATTCGGCTTCCGGTTGCATATATAGGAATTATAAAATTTGAATTTTTGGCAGACTCGATTTCTTTTGATTTAAAGTGTTTCTGCGGATTGTATAAATTAACTTGTCAAAAAACAATAGTTTAATCTTAAGATGAAAATATTTTTTTCAAAAATGTGCACAGTGGTACAGATAATGATTTTTAACATCAATAAATTGTCTAGAATCATTATGACTGTTTGGACTCGAGCTACCAACCCTACACTTCAAACATCAGGTAAATCAACTTTTACATGTCATACAACTCATGACATAAAGTTTTATTTTCTAAATTTAAAAGATATTTAATTTTGTTTTAGTGAACACTTCGATTGAGAAAGCAAAGGTGAAGACGATAAAGATGACCGGAACTCTAGTTCTTGGATTTATTCTCTGCTGGTCACCATACAACATCATGGCACTGTGGTTAGTGTACAATTAATGTTAAAAATATACATCAAACCTTCAATTATTGAAAATGTTTTGGATTTCCTTGATTGTCGAAACTTGTTAACAAATTATCAAGTTATAACTTCATCTTTACTCAAAATGGTTTACAGGAAACCTTTCAAGAATTTCTAATGGAATACAAATTTCGGTTTATTGACGAAACCAATTGACCATAGATTAATCTGATTAAACTAATATAATCCAAGTTGTATGATTAGGTTCCGGTTTGACCCCGAATCCGCCAACTCTGTAGATTTCCGAGTTCAGAAACTGCTCTGGGTTTTTGCGTCCGCCAACAACTGCTTTAATCCAATTCTCTACGGAATATTTGGATACGGCTCAACCAGGTATTGATGAGAACTGATTCAAATCTATATAATAAAGCTCTTCGCTCATCAAACATGTATATCTATATATAAAGTTGAAATCCCTGTTTGTCTGTCTGTCTGGGTGTCTTTTTTTTCTGATCATAACTCAAGAACCCTTTGGCCGATTTGCCTCAAGTTTTGATTGGGTAACTCGAGAGAAAAATGGGATTCTATGTTGACTGGATCGACTTTAATAACGGTAAAATTGTTAAAGTGCGGGTAAACGGCAGGTGTAACTTTTAGTAATCTTGGCAGCGCTGGGTTCACAAGCTAGGATGTTTTTAAAAATACATTCAAATCATGTGCTGAATATTTTTTCATTTATATAAATGGACATTTATGTTAGTTTTTGCCTGCCCAACAAAATTGTCAGAATCATTTTTGTGAAACCCCTTAGGTACCTGGGGATAACAAAGGCTAAAACAATCAAATTTTTTTTTAATCAGATTTTTTTCAGAATCCGAATTTAAAAAAATCCATGGACACTTGAGCTAGTATGATATATTTTCATAAAAATAAATAAGCTAATTATACATATTTCTATATTTTTCTAGAAAAAGTGGGAGACCCCGGGCAATAACTGAAACAGGAATAGTAAGAAGTCCTGTCACCCTAGCACGAAAAACCTTAAATGAAACGGAATTGACACCTCGGATTAAATCCTACTCCAAATCCGGATCTAGCTCTAAACCCGGCTCCAGCACTAAAACCGGCTCCAACCCTGAAACCGGCACTAGAAAGATTTCTCAAACTTCCGTCTCCTTCGGAACCTGTAACTCAACCTTCATCTCCCACCCTAGCAGGGCCGAGAGCAGTCCCCCCAGGGGGAACAGGTTCAAGTGTGTTAAAAAGCACTCTGTACGTGTTCAATACACTAACACGAAGTTCTACGTCCAGTCGGGGAAAGGGACATACGCTGAGACTGACAATCTCTAAATTCAATTCAAAACTGATATAAAATCTATTTTAAATATGTTGGGTTTATATCATATTATATATGTATTATGTATGTTGTGTTTTAATTCGTTTAAATTTGAATTTGTTTTCAATGAACTGTAAAATATTCAAAGAGCTTAGAATAAAAGAGTTTTAAGTTTCATTAAAACTTAAGACTCAAGTCTTAAGAAAATAGTCAACATTTTGTAAACTAAGAAATAAATATTCTAGTTTTTTATATAATTAAATAAATGTAAAATGTTCTGTTTTGTAAAAAGTTGTCAGTTAATTAATAAATATTTATGTTTATTATATAAAAATAAAAAAATATTTTTAATTTAGAAGAGAAAAGAAATGCTTTTATTCATGTTTATCATGGAATTTTCTTTAAATAAGTCTGAATTTGGAATAAAAATAAAAAAATTAAAAAAACATTCTCTATGCTTTTTCATTTCTCACAGTCGCTCATAATTTAGTTAGGAACACTCTATTCTCCGTTCTTTTAATGTTTCTATCTTTTTCATTTTCTTAGTCGCAGAAACTCGACGTTTTATTTTCTAACAGTCACTGAGTTTTTCATTATCTTAACCACTGTTAAACCCTGATTTCTAAAGCCTACAAGTAAATTTAGATTTTTTGTTTAAATGTTTTTTCTCAAATATATAAAGGTCTTAAAGAGATTAATTAAATTGTTCAATTAATGTGTTGGAGCGGAACAGAATTTGTCTGCTGAAATTAACTAATTATACTTGAGAACAAATCATAAATGCCTTAGTTATTGAATAAAAGATTTTTTAGGTTGTACCCAATTTGGGTGGAACCTACCATATTTGGGTGGAACCTACCCAATTTGGGTGGAACCTACCATATTTGGGTGGAACCTACCCAATTTGGGTGGAACCCACCATATTTGGGGGGAACCTACCATATTTGAGTGGAACCTACCAAATTTGGGTGTAACCTACCATTTTTGGGTGGAACCTACCATATTTGGGTGGAACCTACCATATTTGGGTGGAACCTACCATATTTGGGTGGAACCTACCAAATTTGGGTGGAACCTACCCAATTTAGGTGGAACCTACCATATTCGGGTGGAACCAACCAAATTTGGGTGGAACCTACCCAATTTGGGTGGAACCTACCATATTTGGGTGGAACCTACCATATTTGGGTGGAACCTACCATATTTGGGTGTAACCTACCCAATTTGGGAGGAACCTACCCAATTTGGGTGGAACCTACCCAATTTGGGTGGAACCTACCATATTTGGGTGGAACCTACCATATTTGGGTGGAACCTACCATATTTGGGTGTAACCTACCCAATTTGGGAGGAACCTACCCAATTTGGGTGGAACCTACCATATTTGGGTGGAACCTACCAAATTTGGGTGGAACGTACCATATTTGGGTGGAACCTACCAAATTTGGGTGGAACCTACCATATTTGGATGGAACCTACCAAATTTGGGTGGAACCTGCCATATTTGGGTGGAACCTCCTATGACTCAAAAAAAGGGATTTTTTTTATTTCGACACTTAAAAATCCACCAAAAAAAAGCTAAAAATTTGGAAATGTTTTAGTTTGATGATATAAAAAGATGAACTGTGGTAACATAGAATACCTCTATATTGGTGTTTCGCAACTGGCGTTACCCTAGTTTGTATAAAGATAATACCGTGTCGAACTCCTTTGAACCAAACCGTAAGCACCCCGTTGTTCTCTTTTCCTCATGTTGAATAAAACACAGGGATAGGCGTAAACTTTATTTACAGGTTCCCAGCTTCAGTCTGGTACAAATATGACATACGTTAATTTCATGGAAAAAGCTTTGAAAAGGCATATGAACAGACAATATACCCCTCAGCATTAAAAAAAACCATGAACTGCCCAATATTTATCATACATCTATTTAATACAAAAAACTATTCATAATTCGCAAAGACATTTTCTCATGTATATCCAATGTAAAAGATTTTCTTAATATTTTTAGAATAATTTCTCATGGAGATTGAATATAACGAAAAGAACATTTAAAAACATATTTACCACAGTCATTCGCAGGGTTTCAGCACAAAATACTAGCACATTTTTACTAATCGACGATACACTAGAAAAACGTTTTTGAATATGAAATCTGTCCAAGGCACAAAACTGCGCCTGCGCAGTAAAATCAAAATATACGAATAAAACCGGTCTCCGTATTCAACTCCTTCCAGAAACATCCGTACAGACCGCTCTCTCGTTGCAGGGGTGAACAAATTTTTCCCATTGAGCAGGGGCATTTCATAGACTCCTAGAGACGCAACATGGCTCGCGTAACAATTGGGTAATATATTGGTTAATGTCTTACTTTAAGAAAAATAGTTTTAATTCAAGACTCATACCTGTCATCCTTATAAAGAAGCTAGACAATTCAAAATTGATAAATCAGATAAATTTAGATAAATCAAAAAGTGTTTTGTAGTCTAGATATGTAGACATTTAACAAGCAATGTAGTTTTTTTTATCAAAGTTAAAACTATTTAAGATGATGCAATTAATATTAATGTAATAAATGTAATTATTAATGTAACGTAGATTCATTCTCTATAAGAAAAGAAATGGAAAAGGGGGTTGATTTCATGAGAGGCACTTCTATACTTAAAAAAAAACATACTTGACAGTTTTATTGCGTATTTAACATTTAGATAGAATACTTGCAAGTTGTGTCGTGATTCAATACACTTACATGACTTTGCAATAAATATTACAGTTTAAATTTAAATTGATAGTTAAAGAATAAAAAGGTGTATTAATGCCTGATATTTATTTTATCAAGCTTTCTCTAGCTAGGAGAGAGGAGCCTAGGTATTCATAGTTCAGTGAAATGTGAAACTCTAGTTATCATGAAACAATGTGTTCTGTGTATAGCTCAAGCAAGAATAGTGGTATAACCAAAGTATTTTCGAAGATTAACTGATTGTGTGTATATTCTTTAGGCCAAATTATAAGATGTTCAAATTAAAAAAAGAGAAAAATAGAAGAAAAACTAAAAAAGAGCACTTCGCAAAATTTATCAAATTTAAAAACTTGTTGCCACAAAATATTTGGGTCCGAATGGTTCAGCCGTTTTGACGTTTATTAGATACAACCAAACAAAATGACAATAAATATCTATATATATAATTTTCTTGTGGTGATGTTTGTATCCGATAACCCAATCAAGCTCAAAAGAGTTAAGGCAACTTACGTGACCCCAGTTCTGAGTTCTACACTATTAAATATTCCTAACACTAGTTCTGAGTTCTAAACTATTAAATGTTCCTAACACTAGTTCTGAGATCTACACTATTAAATATTCCTAACACTAGTTCTGAGTTCTAAACTATTAAATGTTCCTAACACTAGTTCTGAGATCTAAACTATTGAATATTCCTAACACTAGTTGTGAGCTCTAACCTTATTGAATACTCCTAACACTAGTGTTGAGTTCTAAACTATTTAATACTCCTAACACTAGTGTTGAGTTCTAACCTATTGAATACTCCTAACACTAGTTCTGAGCTGAAACCTATTGAATACTCCTAACACTAGTGTTGAGTTCTAAACTATTGAATATTCCTTACATCAGGCCTGAGTTCTAACCTATTAAATATTCCTAACACTAGTTCTGAGTTCTAAATTTTTGAATATTCTTACTTTAGTTTTGCATCTTTGGACTTGTTCTCCTAACTCATGAAACAGCATGTATTCTGAAAGGCAAGTATCTCAAAACTTTTTTTTATAATTTCATAACTATAAAGCTAAAACATTTTAAACAAATTGAATATTAATGGCTTGGTATGGTTATCAACTGGGCCGGATCAGCTCAGTGAATCTGTTTATCCACTAAGGATGAATCAGCATAGAGGATCTGTTTATCCGCTAAGATAGGTCAGCTTAGTGGACCTGTTTATCCACTAGGATTGGTCAGCTTAGTGGATCTGTTTATCCACTAGGATCGGTCAGCTTAGTGGATCTGTTTATACACTAGGATGGGTCAGCTTAGTGGATCTTATTGTTAAAAAGTTGGTTTCACTTTTCACATAAAATAAAGCTCGAGTATTATTTTAGAATCTTAAGAGCACTTTTCAGAGTTATTAGAACATCAAAAGCTAAAAAATCAAACGTCTTTACTATTCAGGTGCTCTCCCCATGACAGATCTTGTTAAAGAAGGAAATTTTGGAAAACTAAAATGGAAAGCAAACTTTCCAAGAACAGGTAATTGTTTAAGGGATCAATGGAATTTCATAAGTTTACATCAACGAGGTTATAGTTACCGACGATAACAAACAACATTCAATTTACACCAGGGGGCGGAAACGTCATGTGTGTATGAATCTCGGTATTTGTACAGTCTAGGAGAGTACATTTGTTAATTGTTTACTTAAAAATAAGTTTAATATACATGTAGTATGTTATTTATGTATTTAAGTCAACACTATAAGCCAAATTTTCATGCAAAGAATATAATTTGATTAAAGTTTACAATAAACTAGTCGTTCTTCAAGCTTAATTATAATTGACAACATTGTTCTGCAATTTCCTTGAATTTAGTCATGTTGTGTGTCTGTACCAAAAGAGTTTGTGTAAGGTTTACCGAACTTGTCTGTAAAGCAGTGGACTGGCTTTCTCATGCCAAACCAGCGCCATTTCCTTTCCCTTTATTCCTATTCCCTGATTTACACTAAGATTATTCTTGTAAATGCTAATTCTGAGCCGAATGCTGCGGCTACGAATGTAAAGTCGAATTCCTACAATCTATCTCATCAAATTCATTCAATAGTACACAACTGCAGTTACCAGTGAAAGGAACTGAGTTTTTACCACACAGTCAAACTTTCTAATGCCTATATCTTTGCAACCTGATGGTGTAAACATGTTATATTTCAAACTTAGACACTTTGATCTAACAGAATTCATAGTTTGAAATATCAAGGGTATACAACATCGGGTTGCACAGATATAGAGATTCGGAAATAAGAGTTTGTGACAAAACTCAGTTCCTTTATCATATTCTTTGTCATAAACTATTGGGAATTCATTGGGAATTGAATTTGTATTTGAAAACAAGGACATGAGTTTTTGTCACAAACTAAAATCTTTTATTTCCAATATCTTTGCAATCCGATGTCATCTACCTTTAATATTTCAACCTATAAATTCTATTTGATTAAAAAGTCTAATTTAGAGATATTAAAGGTATCTACCCTCAGACTGGACAGATAATTAGATAAGATAATTTAGAGATATTAAAGGTATCTACCATCAGACTGGACAGATAATTAGATAAGATAATTTAGAGATATTAAAGGTATCTACCATCAGACTGGACAGATAATTAGATAAGATAATTTAGAGATATTAAAGGTATCTACCATCAGACTGGACACATAATTAGATAAGATAATTCAACTTATTTAGAGATATTAAAGGTATCTACCATCAGACTGGACAGATAATTAGATAAGATAATTCAACTTATTTAGATATATTAAAGGTATCTACCATCAGACTGGATAGGTAATTAGATAAGATAATTTAGAGATATTAAAGGTATCTACCATCAGACTGGACAGATAATTAGATAAGATAATTTAGAGATATTAAGGCAATCTACAAATTGTTATATGTTAATTGTTTAATAGATGGACTGGGCGATGATGTTATTCATCAACTACAGCTTGATGAAGAAATGAGTAGGTAAAGATTTTCAAATTTTTAATCTGATTTTAGGTTGCTCAAAATTATTAGGCAATTGTGTTACACAGACGACATCTTCTTTTTCTCATAAACTTCATGTTAATTCAGTATTTAACAATTTGTGAAACTAACTAACGAAGAGGATAATTAATTTACTATTTGGTTTTAACTATAATTTCTTTTAATCGTTAAGTGGTCTTCTGTTCCCAACCCTTCTTATAATAAGAACTCATTAAAATGTGGAAAGGAATAGACGACTGATATGACTCAAGTTATTATTATAGTCTAATGAACATAAAATATGTGCAATGCAAATGCAATATATTGCATGGCAATGACCCATTTCACTTGACCCTAAACAGGCTGAGGAGGGGGGCGTTTGGCGCCCCCCCTTGTAGCTTTTTTGTCCTAGCATTCTCATTTTTCTCACTATCACCGTGAAATTTTATGACTTTTAATGAACAGTAATTTAAAGGACTTTTTGTTTTAAAAATATATTTTTTTAATTTTTAGGGCAGGGTACAGGGCAGAATCAAAAAGTTCGGTCTGTGAAAAAGAAAATCTAAAATAGCCCATAACTTTTTTGTGACTGATTTTACAGATCTAAAAACTATATTTTTGAAAAGCCATTGAAAAATACATTTAGAAACATGATTCACATTTTGATATTTGTTTAAAACAAAAAAATAAATTTCATTTTTTTACCCTTTTTAAGGCCTTTTTTCCAGCCTCCCTAGCACCCAAACTGGTAATGTTAGCGGTCTACATTTTTTTCTTTGAGCTGGCCATGAAAAATTGGGCTATGAACATGCATTTAAACCGTAAACCTATTCTTTAAGGCCTTTTTCTAGGGGGGGGGGGCGCCAAATGCCCTTCCCCCAGGCTATGCATATATTCAGACCCCTCAGCCATTATAGGGTTAATAGGTTCATTGATAAATTACTGGTAAAAGCATATAATCTTTAGATACGACATCAAGAAGAAAAAGATTGCTTAAATATTGTCTTTTTTCCCACGGTTTTGAGCGTTTATTGGATTTATTCTTAATTAAACGAAATATTTTAAAAATGTTGTATAAAGCAGACCACAAAGTAGTCAAAATATATCAGGACAATCTTCCTTTCTCTATGTTTATTGATAATTAACTCGGGCAACAAAGGTGCAAGCAAATTTCGGTATGGTTGTTTCATGCAGTTGGACCTGTACTGTACAACAGCACGGTACAGTACTACAATATGTTACAGTAAAACGGTATAGTACAGTGCAATAATACGGTATGGTACAACAGCACGGTACGGTTCAGCAGTATGGTACAGTACAACGGTATAGTACAGTACAATGCATGATACAATACTACTGTACGGTTCGGTATGGTGCAACATTACAGTAAGGTGCAACAGTACTGCATGGTTCAACAGTATGGTACAGTACAATGGTACGATGCGATTCAACGGTACGGTATGGTACAACAGTACAGTAAGTTACAACAGAACGGTACGTTACAACAATATTGTATGTTACAACAGTACGGTGAGGCTCAACAGTATGGTACAGTACAACGGTATGGTTCATCACAATGGTACAATATGGTATAGAAATACGGTACAATACAACAGTAAGGCACGGTCAAACTTTTAAAACGGTTTAAAATTGATATTGTTTTTAGTGCCCTATATGAGTCTGCTCTGCTAGATGTTGCCAAGGATTTAGTAGAATCAGATTCTCTTAATACTGAAGATAAACAATACATGTAAGATAACCTTAAATTCATAAAATAAGTCCAGAGCTGAAAGAAATCAATTTAAATTGATTAAAATGAGTCTAAAATAAAACCTTATTTAGTAAATTAAAGATATTTCAGTCATCTTTGATCAGACAAAGGATCAATATGGTACCGTTGTGAATGACACTCTACACATGGAGAGTCATTCACAGTACATTTTAACGCATTCAAATGGTTTAGTTCGCTAAAGGGTTAAACGGGATTTTTTAGATAATAATATCATAATTTTTAAAGTTAGGACAATAATTTCTCAAAGATGTTATTAAGGGTCAACATTAGTGATGTATTATGTCAGGGTAACTGTAAAGTCGACATATACTTTGCTTGGCTCTCTGTTTGTTTGTTTATACGCAATAAACGTCAAAACGGCTAAACCGATCAGGCCCAACAGGTTCTCACATGACCCCAGGGAAGGTTTATGTTTGATCAAAATTTCAAATTAGCCTCAAACAAAATTAGATTTTCATTAAATTTTAAATTCCATGAAATTTTTTGATAAATCTGTGAACTTGTTGTTTGTTTTTGTTTTACAATGCATTCAAATAGAAAATGTTTAACATTGAAACAGAAGATGGGTGAGCTCTAAAAGCTTATAGTTGTATTTGTAAATAAAAGTAAATTTGCAAAAAAATTGTAAAAATGCAAAATTGACTATGCCGATACAAAACGATAATCTTGAGGATTATTTTCTAGGTTTAAAAGTATTTAATTTCCATAATTATATATGTTTTCTTGCATTAGAAATGTGTAATTTGCAATTCACTACCGGAGAGAAACCGCCGAATAAATAAGCTTTTAAAGTTAAAAACGTCAAATCTCATATCAAAGTTTCTATAAGTGATAATTTCAGGATAAAGTGCTTATTTTATAGTAAAACAAGTGCAATTTTATGTGCTCTTTATTTTTTGTTTTTACATTTTTTATTTAATCTTGGAAAACATGTCAACTAATGTGAGAAAATTTAGTTTTCATGTTATATTTGACACTTGCAAAGTTGTGAATAATTGATCCATTTCTCTGTTGCCACCTATTGTACTTGATAATCTATTTGGTTTTGATGGACTGCACTTGGAGTCCCATTAAGATCAAAATATCATTATATGGGTCCTTTTCAAAAGTTCTCTCATGTTTATATCAGAAATTGTTATATAACAAAGTATTAAATTTCAAATGTATCTACACAATTTATTCAAAAGTCTCACTAAATTAAACAATTTAGTTGTGATTAAAAATATGATGAATTATTATGAAAATGTTAATAAAAAATTCTTTGTAAAATTGGAAAAAAAAACTAGCCATTTTGTTGGAACCAAATCTCAAATCTTTAAAAATATTTGGAAATTGCGAACTTTTTGTTAGAATTAGCAAACAGAATGCCAGAGAATAAGATATCTCACATATTTCTAGCTTTTCATTATACCAAGTGTCCAAAAACATTCATAAAATCATGAACACAATGTTCTTATACATAATTGCTTATAATATTGTGACGTAAGAATACAGTACTGAGATTGTACAAATTTTACGTTGCCATTTATTAACAGCACTAGAAGCTATTTGATCTAAACTAAGATGGCAAATGTCTGATTAACAACGGTACCTTTAAAATCTTTGTCTAATCATGTATTAAATAGATATTAGTTTGTATTATTTTAAAAACTGATTATTTTCAATTGTGGTTTCACTGAGCAGTGAGCATGTCTTCAGCAGGAAAACATATAGGAATTTAACACTAATAAAAACTAGAATATCTTCCACATTATTGATCAGACTAAGGTTTAAAGGATACCGAAGTAAGTCGGGCATTGTCAGAACTTTAAATTGTGTTTACAGTACCTTTAAGAATGATATATTTAGGCTGGAGCAGATATTTAACAAGCTAATGATCGACAGTGAAGAAGGAAAAGTAATTGATAAATTTAGTTTGTAAAAACATATTTTTCAATTTTTTCCAGTGTCTTGTTTTTTCAACAATTATACAGGGTATGTCAAAGAGTGTGATTTGCGGCGACTGCAGGTGCAAAAACTGCGATGGCCCAAAAGAAAATCCGCGAACCTTTTTTTCTCTCAAAATCAAAAGTTCAGAAAATTCTCCGGTTACTTTCTTCTAATTATATTCTAAATTATTAAATATAAGCTGTTCAGTTGAACCTTTGAACCATTGAAAAACAATTTTTCCGCAAAAATTATTCCAGAACTGAAAATTGCGAATTTTCTAATAACAAATTTGCAAATTTTCTGAGATTCTGTAATTCAATCTTTTTAAAATTTTAGATTTTGATAGAAACAATTTATTCATACTTTTTTGTTTTTCTGAACTTTTGATTTTGAGAGAAAAAAGGTTCGCGGATTTTTTTGGGGGCCATTAAATTATCAAATAATACAAACTTTCCAAAATATTGAAAAAACACCATACAGGAAATTTGCACCAGGCGACGCAAATCATATTTTTTTTACTCACCCTGTAGAAGGGAAAGCATATATATAGGTGAATTCCAAACGATTACCGCCTGCCCCCCCCCCTCTTTTTTATATGTACAAGGTTGTGTGATCACTTGCCTTATGATCGTCCTTACGTCGATCCTGTGTTTCACATTTATTCAATCTTTTCATCGCCAAGATTTATTAAAAGAAAAACTTTAGTATTTAATAAACTTTGATAAAAACTATGCAAGCTAACAATATTTTATGGAAATAAAAGAAATAAAAAAGGGAATATTTGAAAATTTGCAAATTTGCTATTTTTTGCAAATTATTAAAGTAGAGCCCAAGGGCTTTCCAAAATTGAATCAAATGTTAAAGCTTTGTATCACAATAAGGAAACTTTTTTGGGTAAACCAGACACCTTCAGCTTGAACAGGGTTAACTGCAAAAAGTTTTAAATGTGAAGCAATATTATTTAATAATTCTTAAAACATACTTATGATGATAATTATTTACAGTTTCTATTTAAAGGAAAAATGAAGAAAAAAATAGTTAATATATATACAAACTTCTCAGATCAATTATTTTAAAAATAAATGACAAAGAAAGAGAATTAAAGCTTCCCCTCGAATCTGTCATGAAATTATAGGTTTGAAATCAAAATAACTCTTTGAAATTATGTCTTACTATTATATTACTTTCAAAAGAAATGTATTCAATTGCTGAAAAAAAATTAATCTTTTCAGACAAAAACTCATTTTCTATGAAATGATTGTATCCTTTTCCTAATAAAATTGTTGTGTGCCAAAATATATAATAATTTTTAATCAAGATATATAAATGCAACAATTCCACCACACTTCTTTTACGTAAAATAGTATCAATTAGACAGAAAGAAACAGTTTTTTGAAAGACAAGATCAAGGAAACTTTTAAGATTTCAAGATCAGGTAATCTATTTTTTATATAAAAGTTTTTAAAAATTAAAAAATTTTAAAATCTGAAAAATTTAAATACCTTTCACAGAAAGTCGACTCAGTCGATTGCTGAATTGCTTAAAGAAACTAAACTTTTTTACTGTACTATTAATTTTTGGAAAAGGAAAATAATAGGTTTCGAACTTACGTCGCATAAAAAGAAGCAACATAATCTCTATTTCTTTGCATGTAATACCTATAGCTAGAGTCTCTCTAGACTTTTGTTGTACACTTTAAAGATATTTAAATGATGAAAAAATAAAATAACAAAGAAATTTTTATATTACAGTAAGGACTGTATTGGAAAAATGAAATGAGGTTTAGAATAAAACCTGAGAATCTAAGGCATTGAACGATACATATATATTTATCTGATGTTTCTGTGACTGTCTGGTGAAATTGATATAAAACCGTGTCAAAATTATACGAAAATCTGTATATATAAAATTTTGTATAAAAGTAGTGGTTTTAAACAGATCATATTTAGAAAATACGCAAACATTATATCACACAGAAACCTGAGAATCTCAGGTTTGCTCCTGTTATAATTTTTTAATTTTTATTTTGCATTTTAATAGATATAATTGATAATATTATTTATAAGTCAATAATACGTCACAAGAACTCCCGCCAATGAGAGTGCAGTACACTGGTCACGTGATACAAACGGAAATTACGTGACCATTATACTGCACTGCCATTGGCTGAAGTTCTGGTGACGTAATACGGACTATACGGACTTTATGTGATAATATTATCAATTATATCTATTAAAAATGCAAAATAAAATCAAATAATTATAACAGGAGCAAACCTTAGATTCTCAGGTTTCTATGGGATATCATCGTTTTCAGATTGGTTTCGTATATGTGGAATATAACTTGTTTATACAAAATTGCATAAATATGAATTTTCGTATATATCTGACACAGTTTTATATTAATTTCTCGAGACAGAAACATCAGATATATGTCCTACATGTATCGTTCAATGCCTATACCCCCTTTCATTTTTCCTTTACAGACCCATGAACTTGTAGAACAGAGAGACGGAATTTAAGTAATATAGTTATAAAGCAAACATGTTTAACAGTAACTTGAAAAAAAAACTTTTAAAGAGAAAATACTGTGTACACTGCTTAATGGCTGTTTTTTTGTTCATTGGACTTCTTAAAGGGACAGTAAAGGAAGAATGAAAGGGGGTATAGGCTGAAAGCTAATCCCTTTAGCTCTTGATCGCGACCCATGAAAGTTATATCTAATGTTCATGTCTCGAGAAACTGATATAAAACTGTGTTAAAATTATACGAAAATTCATATATGTAAAATTTTGAAAATCTGAAACTTAAATCACGTGACCAGAACTATCACCAATGGCAGAGCAGTATACTGGTCACATGTCTCTGCCTGTATCACGTGACCACTTTACTGCACTGCCATTGGTGGAATTTCTGGTCAAGTAATACGGACGTAAAAATTATATTATGAATGAAATCTATTGAAAATAGAAACTACAAATATAAAAGTAAACCTAAATTACAATTAGCTTTCTCTGGGATATCATCGTTTTCAGATTGGTTGCTTATTTGCTGAATATGATCTGTTTAAACCTACTACTTTTATACAAAATTGTATATATATTAATTTTCGTATAGATTTGAAACAGTTTTATATCAATTTCTCGAGACAGGAACATCAGATATGACTTTCATGGGTCGAGATCAAGAGCTAAAGTGATTAGCTTTCAGCCTATACCCCCTTTCATTTTTCCTTTACTGTCCCTTTAAGATAAAACTTAATTTTCAAATTCCATCAGATTTCGGGTCTAAAAAGAGATTATTTGAGAAAATGTTAGGGGTGTAGGAAGAACCATTATAACCGATAGTGAACCAAGAAATTGATAATATTTGCATTATACCCAGTGTTTCTTTAAAATAATTTGATAAAAACTATTATTTACGGACTCTATAGTAATTACAACTTGATTATTTTTGGCCGCTTAGCCCTGTAAGGGAGCAGCTCGGACAGTTAATTACCTAATACTGTCCTTCTTTTAGAGTGAAATCCTGTCCTTCCTTTAGAACACTGCGAACTACTTGATCTTGTCCTTCCATTAGAGCTGCCCAGACAGTTTCAACTATATCCTGTCCTTCCTTTAGAACAGCATATTTTCCATTAGGACGGAAAGTTAATTATTTGATCATGTCCTTTCTTTAGAGCAGCATTGGCAGTTAAATGCCTAATATTGTCCTCCTTTTAGAGTAGGACAGACAGTTGATTATTTAATCATGTCCTTCCTTTAGAGAAAGACGGACAATTAATTATTTGATCATGTCCTTCCTTTAGAGCAGGACGGACAGTTAATTATTTAATCATGTCTTTCCTTTATACCAGCATGGATGGTTTATTACTTGATCTTGTCTTTCCTTTATTAGAACAGCACGGACAGTTAATTATCTAATGTTGTATTTCCTTTGGAACAGCAAATGGCAGTTAAATTCCCTAACATTGTCCTTCCTAAGAACAGGACGGACACATAAGTGTAATGCACAAATAGCGAGTTCATTCACCCTTTTATGTTTTAAAAACACTCTTTAATTTTAGCAATTGTGGATGGTTCCTATAGAAGGAAAGTAAGGCTTCAGGTTGGTAAAAGTAATCCATTTAAGGAATATTTTTAAAGGAATCAGAACGTCAGGTCCATAATCAAATAATCTTTATCCTTGTTTTTCCTTACATTTGTTTCATCCTTTCAAAAGCAAGACACGCTATATTCAGTTTTTTCCTTTACATTTATAAGGTTGTCAACTTCTCATTCATTCCTATATTGGATTATCTATCTATCTATCTATATATATATATATATAGATATCTTTATAAATTGATTGTAATCTCTGTTTTTTTGTCTGTTTGTGCAATTTTCTGAATTCTGATATTAACTTAAAAGAATCCCTGGGCTGGGCCGATTTGAATTAAACATTTACTGTGGAACTTGATAGAACACCATGAATGCTTTTAGTTTGGTTTAAACATTAATATTTATTTCAGTTGGGTAACTTTCAGTTTTCAGGCACAGCTGAATTACAAATTTAATACTTAATAAAATATTAGTTGAGTTTACTCGATTCTGTTGATATATTTTTAACACTATGCTTTCAGGGCGCTTCGCACCCATCTTCTTTTTCGATTGTGAACAATTTATCTTTGTATACATTGTAAAACAATAACAAAGAAAGATATTGCGAATTTTATAAAATTAGTTGATGGATTTTCAAAGTTTAATGAAAATCAAATTTTGTCGTAGTCTAATTTTTGAAATTTTAATCATTCATAAGCCTTCCCAGGGGTCATGTCAGGTCCCACACAATAATTTAGGCCCGATCGGTTCAGTTGTTATAACGTTTATTGGATAAAAACAGACAGACACCCAGACAAGCAAAGTTTATTTAAAGAATGATTCAGATAGTTAACAGCCTCTAAACTTGAATCAAAACTTGCCATTAAAAATTTCAACAATGTTTAAGAATTTTAAGGTAAATAGATCCAACCGGGCCGGGGGTTAAATATTTAAAAACAATGTATATAGGTACGAGAATTATTGCCAAGAGCAATGAATTTTCGGCAACATTTTTCACTATCCTCCCTGTCAAGATATGTTTTTCCCACACAAATTGTCCATTTCTAATTGAGTTTTCATCCGATATATTATTCCATTTCTAAATCACATATTCATTCAATTAATTTAAAGATTGTTTACCACCGCTTTGACATGAAACTAAATGTTTCCTGAGAAACTCAACCTTCTCATTTTAAAACTTCTCAATCAAGTTAAGAACATTCCCGTGGTTCTACCGAGTTAACCATTCAAAATTTAAGGCGGTATACCAGTCAATGTGTTCATGAGTTATGATCAGTCAAACAAACAAAAAGAAATACAAAGATTACACCCATGATATTTTGCAAAATTGCTTTTTGATCTTTTAGCCCCTGAAATTCGTTTAGACCAAAACAAGCTTTAATATAAATGATTCAAATATAGCTGATATAAAACTCTTTATTCCGGCCGATGTTACTATGAAGATTCACGGTTACAAAATCAATTTAAAAATTATCCAAATTCTAACGAAAATAAATCTTGTTATGTATCGACCATAAATGATTAAACACCCCCCTTGCAATCTCTAAAAACAAATCTGTATTTCAAAACTTTGATGAAATTTCTAAAACATTTAGGCTGATGAAGTAAAAGCAGAAAAGCGCAAAAAGAAGAAAAAAGCAAAAGGCAAAACAAAAAAGAAAAGAAACAAAAAGAACAAAACTAAGAAAAAAACCAAGGATGGAATGAAGAGCTCTAAAAAGAAAAGCAGTGATACTAAAAAGAAAGATGCAAAAAGAAAAGATAAAGATGATGAAAACAAAAAACAAGCAGACAATGAAGAAAAAAAGGAAAAAACTGATAATGAAAAGGACGATGATAATGATAATAAATATCATTTCGAGGGCGAGCAAGAGTATGAAGATGATGATGAGTATGAAGATGAAGATGATGATGATGATGATGATGATGAGTATGATGACGATGATGTAGATGAAGAGGATTCAGATTACGAAGATGATGATGAATATTCCGTAAGAAGAATCTTATCAACAATTATTTCATATGATCCTTTTTTATCCTAAACAAATCCCGAAAATTTCTTAATTTTTTATCAGATAAAATAAGAGCAAATAAAACTTTATTGTAAAAGCAGTTTGGTGCAATATTTTTTACTGGTGGAGATAAATCTTTAATTTTTTCAAACCTTATTGATATGTTCGGGTATCAAACGATCCATCTCAAACCACTGAAAACCGTATTAGTCAGTTTTCGCTTTTTCAAAAATTGATTTGATTTTATGCAAAAAATTTTGTGTGACAAATTTTTTCCAAAAACCTACTTTTTTATTTATAATTAGATTACTTTTCAAGGGTATTTTACAATGTGAATAATTCTAAACTCAGTAACTAAAGACGGATTCGTTAAAACTCTCCTATACATTTGTTTTTAATCAAAAAAAAGCAAAAATATGAGATAAAAACAATACAAGAAAACTTTAGAACTGGTGCACAATGGATTTTATTTTTTTCAAAAAAGTTCTTAAAAGTTTCACCCTTAGATCACTAAATAAAATTTAAACAGTAAATATCTACAAAAAAAGTTTTGATCATTCAAAATATCTTCCAGACAGGGTTCCGAAATGACTATTCTGGAAACTCTGGGACGATTGAGGTAAGATTGATATCGTTTTTGTCTTTAATATGTTTTGTTTGAAACCACTAGTAATTATTTTTGACAGTTTTTTGTGGTTTCACGTCCCCTAAAAGTATACTTTACATTTTCCAAGTCCACTAGTAAATAAAAGCCCACTACTTCGTTTACTTAAAATTTAAAAGCTTTTTTATTTGTAAGTGTTAATTACCGACATAGGGTCAAATAACCTATAGGGTCAAATGCCATGGGATCAAAAACGCGACCAATGATTAAACGACATAGGGTCAAAAAGTGCGACTAACGGTTCAGCACATTATTTAATATTAAAGAAACCGCAGCGCTCGGCTCCCTAATCCATTCTAGCTGCAGCGCTCGGCCTGGAAATCTAACCTAAACAATAATAAGATGAGAGACAGCATATTATTTAAAATTTAATGGACTGTCCAATAGCCAATCCTAGCCTAAGCCCTTGGCCAGAAATTGCCCTAACCCAAAATAAGAGACGAAATATTATTCAACATATGAAAAGAAAAAAAAAATAAGACATATTTTTGTCGTTTTAAACTCTTTGCCATGTTTGGTTTGTCGTATGATCCAATCTTGTTTATACCCTTTGTCTTTTTATTTCTTGTTTGACCCTGGGTCGTTTGACGTAGCTTTCTTTTTTAAGCCGAAAAGTTAATATTTACCAAAGAAAAATAAGATCCCAAATTATTAATAAATTTTATAAAATATTAATTTGTTTTAGTCAGACTACTTTCTACCTGGCTTCAATAGAACACAGGTTTGCTAATATCATTAAAAATAAATTCGAATAATCTTAAAATATTCTTTTGGGTGAGTTATCTAAATCTTATAATCTCTTTGGTAATGGATTCGATTAGAAGGGACTGTTTTTAACCCTGGGGGCTTTCACTAGTAATCTTTTTTTACACCCTCACCTAAATGATTCTTTTCTTTTTGGTTGAAAGTTTTCGACCATTTCTTTTGCTGTTGGAGGTCTATCATTTCGATGAGCTGGCATCGAAAATCTGGATGATTAATAGTTATAAAATACAAAATATTTCTGAAAAAGAACGTTTATCGATGCAAATTACTTTTGAAAAATACATTTTTTACAGCTTGAAAAAAAGTAATAATCAAATAACAAAGTCCAGACCATTATCATTAAAAATGTGTTTATTTGTTTATTTATTTGTTTATTTGATATCCCCTTAAAAATACGATGTTCTTTTGTTAAATAAAAGACAAATCAAAATATTATAAAAAAGAATTATAATTTTTTAGAAAGAACAAATAGAAGAAGTTTATAAAGCTGTATATGGACCTTTTGTATTTCATTGCAACTGGACTTTTAGTAATCTTCCTCCTTTCAGTGCAGGTAGGAACACTCATCTTAACAAAAAGTTTATATTTTTTTATATATCAGATGTTTTTGTCACAAAAATATTTACTGCCTTTTAACAAACATTCCTACACATGATTTCCCCAAAACAAACAAATGTGAAATAAAAATAAATGTGAAATAAAAGGTTTTGCTTAACCATCTGTTACCAAGCCCTGTAACTATATTTATACTATTATATGTTACTCCCCCGCCGTTTACCCGAGCTTAGCTCTTTTTGCCAATAGTCTCATCTTAGTCTCATTGCCAAAGCATTGCGGACTTTCACAATCAAAATTATGGGCAATTCGGTCAAAGGTTCATGAGTTATGATCGGACATACAAACAATCAGAGATTACAACTGTATAAATAACTATTTTTAGGATGTTTCATTGACTTTAATTCATTTTAATTCAATTGAAGAAAAAAATTTTCTGCAGCATTCCACCATTTGTTGGTTTCTATTACAGTGAAACCCTTAAAAACGAATACATCGGAAGAATTTATCAAATGTCGTCTTGACAATTTTTCAATGAGTTTATAAATTCTTTTGATGTCTCCAAAGTTCTGGGGTAAAACTTAAATTGTGTACAAATTCCTGAAAAATTTATTATTTCGATATTTCAGAGGAGATTTCAGAGATAAACAAGAACTTTCCAATTCAAAATATTTCCTCCATAGTTTTCCCTTCGATGGATTTTTTGGCGAGTTCTCCCAACAACAACAACAACAACAACACTGAATCAGGTATATATTGGATTTATGTAAATTTGCTTGCACCGCTGAACCGGAATTTAAAAGTATCATTGAAAGAAAGTCCTAAGTTTCATTTAGAGGGTCTATACATTTGCGTAGATTTTAGTTTAAGAAATCTGAAAAAAGAACGTAAAGAAACCACAATAAATGATATTTCTTAACAAAAATATTGGTATCCTACAAACCGGCCTGAACCCATTCATTTCCGATACTTTGTTTTAAGTTTTGAGATTTAAACTAAAATAAAAAAATGTATAAACCTATATAAACATAATATTCTATCAAATATCCATGTGAATATTACAGGAAGTGTAGTGACTTTTGACCCTAACCCTAACCCTAACACTAAAAAAGCTGGAAGGGGGCAATGGACGCCCCCTATATTTTTTTTGCTCTAGCACTCTCATTTTCGACACAAATTAAAACTTGTTAATCAGAAAACCTGCACAAAATTTCCTTTTTTCCAAAAAAAAATTGCATGTTTTCATGTCAATTTATGATTTTAGATGATAACGAAGTAGCTGTTGAAATTAACGATTCAGCCCTGGACCCCAACTTGGCTTTACAGCTAAAAGATTCTGCAATGTCCAAGAAAAGTTTGAAGAACAAAAATGTAACTGGTTCCATAAATTTGAAAACGGGCAATCAAACAATTAATGGAAATAATTCAGAATCTTCATCAACCAGTACATCAAAGATTTCTCCAACCTCTTTGACCATGAAGGGCAATACCTCTCTGGACCAAAAGAGCAATATCTCTCTGGACCACAAGGGCAATAACTCTCTGGACCATAAGGGCAATAACTCTCTGGACCACAAGGGCAATAACTCTCTGGACCATAAGGGCAATAACTCTCTCGACCACAAGGGCAATAACTCTCTGGACCATAAGGGCAATAACTCTCTCGACCACAAGGGCAATAACTCTCTGAACCATAAGGGCAATAACTCTCTGAACCATAAGGGCAATAACTTTCTAAACCAAAAGGGCAATAGTTCTCTGGGACATAAGGGCAATATAACATCTAAAGAAGACTACATCATTAACAATATTCTAAAAGTTTCCAAAAATAATACCTCTACCAATACAACAAGTACTCCAACGACTAGTACTAAACCTTCAGGAGATACCAATCCCGAGAATATAATCAAAGATGCTCTTGCATCTACTGAGAATGAAACTAGAAATGAATCAGTGAATGAGCAAGAAAATACTACACAAAGTTCAAAATTAAACCATTCAAAGTTCAACAAAACAACACATAAATCTACTGAGAAGAAAACAGAAAACCAGACGGAAAAATATACCAATCATAGCTCAAAACATCCTAATAATGTCAACAAACAAAATACAAAGGAAGACAAAAAAGAAAATCACAACCAACACAATTCAAAATATAATGCTACAGAAAGGAAAGATTCACAAATCATATAATGTTAATTAGAAACGGTCAGAATATTCATGTAAGTTGAAAATATGTAAAAAAAAAACTAATTTTCTAAAGATCTAAGAAAACAATGCTACATTTTTTTCTTTATATAAATTATGAGTGAAATGTGGTGGGTTTTGATATTTCTCTGAAAATTAAAATAATATCTTTAAACTTATTTGAACTGGACAAGGTTATGAAAATCTTTATGTCAGTTTACCAAATACTGATGGAAGAAGAAGAATAAAGGTAATCATTTTTCTTCCAAATCATTAAAGGGACAGTAAACGTAATTTTAAATGATCTTTTATTTGCACAGTGGTATGTCCTAATCACAACGGTATCGATTAAACCTTTGTCTTTATCAATGAGGACGGAGATCTATTTTTCTAAAATAAGTAATTGTGAAGTTGTTTACACGGAGCTTCCAGTCACTCAATTTTCAGCCAGAAAAATAACGATATCTTAGTCGTCGCTGAACAGAAAAGATGTTACTGATACTGTTGTGAATCCGTAAAGGTCACTATGTATACGGTCACTTGTAACTAGGTCTACATTCAATTGCATTACCAATCAAGACATGCAAAATAAAAACAAAGTAAAAAGAAAAAAGTTACAAGTTTTATACATTTTTTAAAATAGCCCATTACACATTCAAATGGTATTCAAATTCATATGGAATTTACAATTAAAAGACAGGAAATAAATTTTAAAAAACAGTGGGTTTTGTGGATCCGGGTTTTGACCTTTCACGATTAAATCAGAGTGCTGAAAAATTGTGGTAATCAGTTTATTTGATCTAGTTTANCCCCCCCGGCCCTTGGTCGTATAGAAACCATCTTCAATTATATTTCTAGCGAGATACAGAGAGTTCCAAATCTAACAATGAACCATCTGACAAAAACGCTGGTAAATAATACTTTTTCATGTTTTAAAACCCAAAATTAACATTTTTATTTGAGCTGACAAGTCCCAACTTGAACCTGATGGAAATCAGACAAAAGCTTCAGGTACTGTATTATTATCTTTTAGTTTAAGTAATAAAAAGTACAGTTAGCGTGATTTCAATTGAAGTGTTGCATTTATTACTATTTAAATATCTGGGCAAAAGGGCAAAAAAATTTTTTTCTTCTAAAAAATCAGATCATTTTCAACATAGACCTCTGGATTTATGCAGCAGAGACATAGACAAAATTTGACAACTTTCAACACATTGTAAATAAAACAAAAAACTCTTTAAAACTTTAAGTTACTTTTAACAACATCTCAAAACAAATAAGATAAGACAAATGTCAAGCACAATTTTTCATGAAATATTTCAGAAACGGATGTGAAGAAAAAGAAGAAATCTAAGGACAAAAAGAAAAAAAAGAAATCCAAGAAGAAAAGTAAAAAGTCCAAGAAGAGGAAAGACAAGAAAAGTAAATCCAAGAAACCTAAGACTGGGTATAAATTTATCAAACTTTTAGAATTTTTCCGATTTATTATTATGTTTTACTCTGAAGTAAAATTGCCTCTAAGGAGAGTTAGAGGTGGATAAAGAAGGGGCTATGGGGCTATTAGTGAAATGACCCCCCATCTGGGAAAAAATAATATAAGCCCCCATGGAAAAAGTCTTGTATTCACCCCTGGAGGGAGTAGCCATTAATTTTAAAAAGCTAAAATAAAAATATTGCATTGTGGGAAAAATAAAACTGTGAACTAGGAAGACAATTCTAAAACACAAGTTACGGTCTCAAATAGTCTAATGAACGTAAACACAGAAATTATAGAGCGTTGGTATTTACCTTGCTTTGCTGATTTTCTATATCTATTAGTATTGATTGATTGATTTTAGTCTTCCTATTCCACAGTTTTATGGATCTCACTGTATCTCGATCCTAATTTTTCAGATTTTATTGGCAGAAAAATTATATTGCAAAAATAATAGTTTTAAGTACAAACATTTAGTGTTTAACATTTAAAATTTTAAATAATTTCCCTATATTGTTCCACGGGAACACTCACTTACATATAAATCATAAATAATTTATTTCCCTATATTGTTCCACGGGAACACTCACTTACATATAAATCATCAATAATTTCCCTATATTGTTCCACGGGAACACTCACTTATATATAAATCATCAATAATTTCCCTATATTGTTCCACCGGAACACTCACTTTAATATAAATCATAAATAATTTATTTCCCTATATTGTTCCACCGGAACACTCACTTATATATAAATCATAAATAATTTATTTCCCTATATTGTTCCAAGGAAACACTCACTTTAATATAGATCATAAATAACTTCCCTATATTGTTCCAACCGAACTTCCCTTATATACAAATTTTAATTATTTTTCTTATATTGTTCTATGGGAACACTCACTTAGATATAAATCTTAAATAATTGTCCTATATTGTTCCAAGGAAACATTCACTTAAATAATTGTCCTATATTGTTCCAAGGAAACATTCACTTAAATAATTGTCCTATATTATTCCAAGGGAATATTCACTTAAATATAAATTTTACAATAATTGTCCTATATTGTTCCAAGGGAACATTCACTTAAATATAAATTTTACAATAATTGTCCTGTATTGTTCTAAGGGAGCATTCACTTAAATATGAATTTTACAATAATTGTCCTATATTGTTCCAAGGGAACATTCACTTAAAATAAATACATTTTCTCATTTGTTCCAAGGGAATCTGGTGTTGAGGTGAATATTGATGTTTGGACAGAGGAAAATGAAGAACAAAAAATCTTGAATTGCATAAAATCAAAATGTCGTGGAATTGATGAAGATGACAAAGGGTCCCAACCAAGTGATAAAGCAAATGATTTAGAATATAATATTCAACATTAATGAAATAAAGATTCAAAATTAAAAAGTGTTACAGCTGTTTTTAGGCCTACGATTTACATTCATAAAACTGTTGAATATGAAGACGACCATAAGACAATATTCCAATGGAAAGCAGCAATGTGTAGTGTAAACAGACCCCTTTTACTAAATAAGTTGATTTGCTGGCTTGATACTGGTAAAAATATTTGCTTTTTGTGATTCAAATTGTATTTTTGATTTTGTGACCAAAAAGACTCTTTACCAAAAATAATATTTTTTAATTCCACAACGTAGGGGGTATTCAAATCTATAAAAACTTCCGTGATGTATGGGCATTTGACGTACAGGGTTTCTCACAAAGAATGAGACTGTTAAGACGACCTGAAAATATTTTAATCTGATGATTCCAAATAAAATTGAGTTTTCTGCCTTATATATGTTTTTAGGCTTATTTAATGGTAAGGGAATCAAAGGAACAAGCTTAAAGTTACAGGCAATCATTAATATAAAAAAGCAGAAAGTATAATTTTGTACAGCCGTCTTTGATGTCTCATCCTTTATGGGTAACCCTGTATGCTAACAGTGTGTCAAAATTAATTATAAAACGCTGCATGAATTTTACAGTACAACACATGATAACCAAGAAGCTGATGAAAGTGGGATAAAAAAGGACTACGCTGGCGGCTGGACGTTACGTAGAATTCCTTTATTTCTAGTATTTAGAGCTTTCATATCAGTTTTTTGTTATGAAGACTATTTATATAGATTATTTGTTGAGTTTCTTTAATCAAATTACTGTGGTAAAGCAATGGTTGAATTCTTACAAAAAAAAGGGGGGGGGGGTAATAATTTACTCAGTAAAAGAAGCATGGATGTTCATTTGCCAATACCTCAATTTTGTTTACATTTTTTTTTTAAATAAATGGCTCAGTAACAGTATAAGCATTTTTTTAATGAATGGCTGAGTAACAGTATGAACATTTTTTTAACAAATGGCTAAGTAACAGTATGAGCATTTTTTTAATATATGGCTGTGTAACAGTATGAGCATTTTTTAATAAATGGCTGAGTAACAGTATGAGCATTTTTTAATAAATGGCTGAGTAACAGTATGTATTTTTTAGTAAATTGCTGAGTAACAGTATGATTATTTTTTAATAAATGGCTGAGTAACAGTATGAGTATTTTTTTAATAAATGGCTCAGTAACAGTATAAGCATTTTTTAAATAAATGGCTGAGTAACAGTATGAGTATTTTTTAATATATGGCTGAGTAACAGTATGAGCATCTTTTTAATAAATGGCTGAGTAACAGTATGAGTATTTTTTAATAAATGGCTGAGTAACAGTATTCACATTTTTTAACAAATGGCTGAGTAACAGTATGAACATTTTTTAATATATGGCTGAGTAACAGTATGAGCATTTTTTAAATATATGGCTGAGTAACAGTATGATTATTTTTAAATAAATGGCTGAGTAACAGTATGAGCATTTTTTAATAAATGGCTGAGTAACAGTATGAGTATTTTTTTAATAAATGGCTGAGTAACAGTATGAACATATTTTTAATATATGGCTGAGTAACAGTATGAGTATTTTTTAACAAATGGCTGAGTAACAGTATGAGCATTTTTTTTATATACGGCTGAGTAACAGTATGAGCATTTTTTTTTGTAAATGGCTCAGTAACAGTTTGAGCATTTTTTTAATAAACGGCTGAGTAACAGTATGAGCATTTTTTTAATAAATGGCTCAGTAACAGTATGAGCATTTTTTTAATAGATGGCTGAGTAACAGTATGAACACTTTTTTAATAAATGGCTGAATAACAGTATAAGCACTTTTTAATAAATGGCTCAGTAACAGTATAAGCAGATCATTCATTAAAATAATTGAATTCCCATGAGTGCAGATTAAAGGTTATAAGCTGTTAAACAGCCCATTTACTTCTTTATAAATAGAGCTAAAAACAAATGGTTTAACTATTAAAATCTTTATTTGGAATTTTCAAAGGTTTACAACATCAGGTTGCAAAGTTATTAGTATTAGAAAAAAATAAATTGTGTGGAAAGCGTGAGCTTCCTAAAAATATCCATGCAATTATAAAAATGTAATCTGCCAGCCAAATAAAATATTAGATCAATGATTTAAATAATGATTAAGATTTAAGATAAGATAAATCTATGAAATCACCAACTTGTTTTTCATAAGCCTTAACCCCAGTTCTAATTCACACATACATATGATCAGTATTATTAACTTTATATAAACACATATCTGAACTAGTTATTTATTCAAATAATTCAATATTTATAAATGGCAATATCATAATTATTTATGTAATACAAACAGAATATCCTCCGACCCCTTTTCTTTTTGGTGCTATAATATTGTACGCTTGTATCTTTATTTAATTCTATAAAAATAAATTGAGTCTTTGTTACACACTCTGATTTTCTAATCTAATCTAATCTAATATCTTTGTAACCAAATGTCGTAGATTTTAAATATTTCAAGCTTTGATTTCTGTCAGATCAAATAATCTAATCAAATAATCTGCAAAGATATAGGAATTATAAAATTTGGGTTTGTGGCAAAGACTCAATTCCTTCAACTTTTACCTTAAGTTTGTTTTGAATCTTCAAGACAGAAACAAATCTCAAGAACTGAATTGAGGGTCAACCGGGAACCTTGACCGAAATATATTTTAAAAATTTAAAACTAACACCTATTTTTTTACTATGTGAGGTTTGGAGCATCTTTAACACCAAATGTTAAAACTTTTACCTACTGTAGATAAGTAATTAGTAATTGTCTGATTTGAGTTGAGAAAAAAAAATAAAAAATAAAAATAATTTTGAAAAAAAATATTTTTTTAAAAATTATAATTATTTTAGCCTTTGTTACCCCCAGGCTACCCATGAGTTGCTACAAAAAAGTCAGCCCATTCGATTCAGCTGTTTGGCCGACTATAGGGAATATATATATGTCTTGTTTCATTATATAAATTACACCCAGAGAGTATGTTAGATATGACACTACAAAAGATGATGATAACGATGGTGCTACTGCTAGTGGAACAATGTTTTGGACAAGCTGGAGTTATAAAACCAAATATTATTCTGATGAACATGGATGATCTAGGATGGGGAGACCTTGGGGTTACAGGACATCCTAGCAGGTAGATCCTTATTTGCTCATTGGCCTCAATGAGGGAGGGCCAAGGGGAGGGTGCTCCCCGGGTTTCGAAATTGCTCTCAGGGTTTTGGAGTTGCTTAAAACCGTAAAATGAAAAAGGCTTTGCTAGCCCTTTTTTATTGTCTTTGTTCAGATATTTGCAGGGAAAAAATTTTAAATTTCAGTCCAAAGTAGCCTGTGGGGATCAAATAGTTTTGAGTAGCCAAACTGACGACATTTGTTTTAGCTTGGATATTAAACATTTTTGGTTAATGAAAAAAAAAGTTCAGCTAGATGAATAAAGGTTTCATTTGAGGTGGTCATCTTACTTCAAAGTTTTTTTTCAGAAAAATCCCGTTTTTCACCTAAAAATTCTTTAATAGTTTGTTCTTGCGACTTTCAATACTTTATTACTCCTTAAATAATAAATAGCCTGAAAATCAAGTGTTCAACAATTACAAGCATTTTTGTAATTCAAAGGAAAAGTCCGATATCCTTGAGCAGTCAAAGGATTAAAGGGTACTGTTGTGAATCGGAAACACAAATCTACAATTGGAGGGTCACTCGATAATACCCCTAGAGTCCCTTTAACTAAACTATTTACTGTATAATTCACGTTTAACCAAACATTTTTAAATTTTAATGCACAAAGCATTTAGAGAAACTCCAAACATTGATAAAATGGCTTCGACCGGACTTCTACACACAGAATTTTACGCGGCAGCCGCGATATGTTCACCCTCTAGGGCCTCTTTGCTCACTGGTCGTCTTCCAATCAGGTAACAGTAAAACCTTCAGATACTATTGGTCTATTCCTTTTCCTTTAGTATAAATAAATAGATTTTCTCAAAAATCGACAAATTTACAAAATATAATTCAATGATTGGGGATTAACTGATTTTAAGTATAATTATGGTTTAAGTTACAGTAATGATTTTCTCTTTAAATAATAAATAAATGAATTTGATATGAGCAATGAACTTAAGTGCTCGAGGATTTCACTTTAATAATTTGGAGTTAATGTTAATTTTCTACGTAATATTTGTTTAGAAATGGATTTTATCAGAATACTTTTACAGGCCGGAATGCCTATACTCCGCAAGTAAGTACATAAGTAAGTACAGTGTGCACTGTGCAGTATATTACCTACTAAAACTTGTAAATTTTAAATAAAAATCTTATGCAATTATTCAGAGGTCAAAACTTTTATATCGCCAATCCTTGGATCACGCAGAAAAGCTGGATATTTTTCTTTCCGGAAGATATGCCCTTAAATCAAATTTGATATCATGATCAAGCACATTATAAATAAGTGCTGCCTTGCGCACAATTGTATAATGTATGAATAAAGAGCTTCTTTAAATAATAAAAATTTAAAAAGAATTACCCACTTCCCCTGACATTGTTACAGAGGTGTTAAATATTTTGCCAATTTGAAAAAACCCAAATCTAAAAACTTAAGTGCTATATTAGCTTCAAAGGATTTATTTCTTCTAGTCCCAGTATAGGGCTAAAATTAAATTTAGTTAGCGAAGTAAATTCAAAGGTCAAATATTTTCAACATTTATCTATATTCCCTATTATCAGGATATAGTTGGTGGGATACAGAATTCTGAACTCTTGATCCCAGAGCTGTTACAGGGAGTTGGATACAGGACAAAACTTGTAGGAAAATGGCATCTTGGTCATCAGGTGATATATTAATGTGATCCATTAGGAGATCAATATAGGTGATATATTAATATGATCAGTCAGGAGATCAAATAGGTGATTTATTAATGTGATCAGTCAGAGGATCAAATAGGTGAATTATTAATGTGATCAATCAGGAGATCAAATAGGTGATATATTAATGTGATCAATTAGGAGATCAAATAGGTGATTTATTAATGTGATCAATCAGGAGATCAAATAGGTGATATATTAATGTGATCAATTAAGAGATCAAATAGGTAATTTATTAATGTGATCAATTAGGAGATCAAATAGGTGATTTATTAATGTGATCAGTCAGAGGATCAATTAGGTGATTTATTAATGTGATCAGTCAGAGGATCAATTAGGTGATTTATTAATGTGATCAGTCAGAGGATCAATTAGGTGATTTATTAATGTGATCAGTCAGAGGATCAATTAGGTGATTTATTAATGTGATCAGTCAGAGGATCAATATTATCGTTAATTTATTGGTCTATAAGGGACGAAAATCATGTATTAGAATAATACATACAAATATTAATTTTGACAATATTTTGAAGTTCAGCGTTTTAGAATTCCTCTGATGCAAAATCGCATTTTTTCATGGGATTTTTAAAATTAGAATTTTCTTTTAAAACATTCACAATAAAATTTGTCATATACTGTCATAATTAAAGTGAGTGTTCGCGAAAAATAATCGCTTTTGATCGCTACTAATCTTACTTCTATTTGTTGTGTACATTAAGAGAAAGTTTTTCAAAACTACTTATACTGAAGAACGTAGTGTCCATACAAATTCAGAAAGTTGCAAAATACGACTTGTATCGTAAAATAATCTATTTAATTTCAAACAATCGAGTACATCTGGCGGCCAACTATTTCGGCGTTTTAAGTGCATTGTATACAACGAAATATGAAATATTATTTATTTACGAATGCGTCGAAAAACTATCGATGACTATAGGTTGTAATATCTGAATGATTTGTTTAAAATTAAATTGATTTTTTTACGATCTGAGTCTAATATTGCAACTTTCTGAATTTGCATGGAAGCTACGTTCTTCAGCATAAGTAGTTTAAAACAAATTTCTCCTTACAGACGCAACAGTAGAAATAAGATTAGTGGCGATCAAAAGCGATTATTTTTCGCCGTGAGCCTATACCCCCTTTCATTTTTCATAAACACTCCTTTTAAGATCTGTATTATGAAAAATAATATATTATTGGTCCAAAATTGAGGATCTTTACTTATCACTATGGTTTTATGTGACACCCTGTATGTAAAGTCATTATAACACTATATTTTTTACGCATTTTGAATAAGAGATCCAAATACAAATTCTTATCATTTGTTTTAGTTAGTTTTACGTGATGTACACTCTCGATTTTCCTGATTTTATTTAAGGATATTTTCAGGAAAAATATTTACCCCTTGAGCATGGGTTTCAAGAATGGTTTGGAGCTCCTAACTGCCATTTTAAGGTGGGAAAATTAAACAAGATTTTAACAATCCCAGTCTTTTTTGGGTAAACCAGACATCGGAGTAGAGTTAATCATAAATCCAACCTAAAATGCAAACTCATCCAAGGATTTAATGCAAGGAAAGTTATTTCAGAGGTGTACACAGCTTTTCTGCAGTGTGCTGTCACTGGGCGGTAATGTAAACACAAGACAGATGTCAAAGCCTGACAGGGGATCCATCTTTTACATAAATAATCAATGAAATATGCTGGTCATAGGAAACTATTAAGTGAATTATCAAAATTATCAGAATTCAATGCTTTTAACCTCCTCGGATACTAAACGAACACTGATGCTTCTTTTCTTGTTTACAAATTTCGCCCAGAGAGAACTGGTTTCAATATATACGCAGAGTATACGCGACAGCAATTAACGTTCCTTGCATTACATCTTGAACTCATCAAAGTCTTTAAAGACCATGTTTAAGATGTGATTAAAATTTAATATTTCAACCACGTACCACGTGCAGAAAGCAACAAATATTATATACTATATATTTTTTGTGTCATTAAATTTTTCTAATAAAGTTATGACATTTTCCGAGGCGAATAAACAGTTTCCTCAATTCTAGCTCCTAGACAATACATTTTACAAGAACATAGAGTCAAAGTTTGAATTTACACTTACTTCAAAATCAAATTTTCTAATATTCCTTTTATCTTTGCAACCTGTTGCCAAAAAATATGATACATTTTACTAGATTTATTAGTCAAAATTAGATATGATTAAGGCTTACATCATCATACTGCAAAGATCAAGTGATAAGCAAATCAAAAATTGAGGCAAATTTTTTTACTTGAACAAAATGCAAGCCCAAGATTGTTGTGATCAAAAGAAACCCATTCTGAAGCTCTTACAAGAGATGCATGCAGATTGTGAATGTATTCATAAGCATTTCAATTATTAGCTTAAAAAAATACTTCATTTGTAATTTCTTAAAGTCTTTAGAAATTTTACTAATTTACTGACCAGGACCAAGTTTAATGTTTGAGAAGGCCCTGGGTAGTTCAGCGACATAGCTTTATTTCATTAAATTTAGCACCCGATGAAGTAACTTGAGCTAGGTCTGTAAACAGTTCAAGCACATGCCTTGAACCGATGTAAACTTCAGTACTACGGATAACTAAGTAGTTCAATCGACTGTAGGTGGTTTAGCTACCTAGCTCAAATTCACTGAATTCAGTACTTGATCTTCATTGTTGGGGTTAAACAACGTCTGTGCGATTCAGCGACTTCTTTAAATATATTCCCCTTGTAATGTGATATCTGTTTTGTAGTATAATGTTATCTGGAGTCTGAGGCTCAATATTAATCTGTGTATGTATTGAAGCATAATGTTATCTGGAGTCAGGGCCAAATATTAATCTGTATATGTATTGAAGTATAATGTTATCTGGAGTCAGGGCCAAATATTAATCTGTACATGTATTGAAGTATAATGTTATATGGAGTCTAAGGCCCAATATTAATCTGTATATGTATTGAAGTGTAATGTTATATGGAGTCTGAGGCTCAATATTAATCTGTATATTTATTGAAGTATAATGTTATCTGGAGTCTAAGGCTCAATATTAATCTGTTTATGTATTGAAGTATAATGTTATATGAAGTCTAAGGCTAATCAGATATTTGTATTGTTGTATACCTGGAGTCTAGGGCCCAAAATTAATCTGATATATGCAATTGAAGTATAATGTTAACTGAAGTCTAGGGCCCAATATTAATCTGATATCTGTATTGTAGTATAATGTTCCCTGGAGACCAGGGCCCAATATTTATCTGATATCTGTATTGTAGTATAATGTTACCTGGAGTCTATGGCCCAATTTTAATCTGATTTCTGTATTGTAGTATAATGTTCCCTGGAGACCAGGGCCCAATATTAATCTGATATCTGTATTGTAGTATAATGTTACCTGGAGTCTAGGGCCCATTATTAATCTGATTTCTGTATTGTAGTATAATGTTACCTGGAGTCTAGGGCCCAATATTAATCTGATTTCTGTATTGTAGTATAATGTTACCTGGAGACCAGGGCCCAATATTCCTGTTTATAAAAACAGAAATATGATTGGCAGGTAAAATATTTAAACAAAAACTAAAAATTTCTATGTCCATCTTATATTAAATATTTTACATTTTCAATTTAGAGAAAATTCATGCGTCAAACAATTACTGACAATTATTTCTCCACCAAACATTATTTTTGATAATGTTTGGTGGAGAAAGATTGTGGACTTTTTTGGAAGGGGTGGGGGAAAGCAGGAGTTCTTTAAAGGTGATATGATAAAATATTCGGATTATTTAAAAAAATTTTAAGACTTGGTCCTCGTAGTTATGTGATTTTTCTTTAAAATTTACAAAACAGCAAATAACAATTCAACTCGTCATAGCCATAGCACTTCATACCGTCGGTTAAAGTCCATGATCTTTCACAAGAACAACTAATATATTGGATAACTACTAATTTATTAGATGACAACCAATATATATTAGATACATATTAATATATTAGATAACTACAAATATATACAAATATAATGCCAGGCTTGTGTCCTTGTGTGACATTTAGAGCGGATCTTCCCCATCATTTTGGATTGATATATTGCTTTTTTGAAAGCTAGGTTAAGTCCCTGTGTGGTATGTAGAGTGGATTTTTCCCATCATTTGGGATCTCTATATAGTTGTTGAAAAGCTATGCTTGTGTCCCTCTGTGGCATTTATCAAATCAAATCAAATCAAATCAAATCATTTATTTGGCCACAAGTTAACAATATTCATATTAATAAAAATGACTATACAATTACATATATATATTTTGTGGCCGGGGAGCTACAAGATAGCTCAGGCTGTTTTCACACGAGCTCCCCTGGTTCAGAAAAATAATGATTAGATTCAAACATTGTGCAATGTGCCTTTATGGAGCACAAAAATGGCGAAGAGTAGCGGCGGTGGCGTTCAATAATGTAGAAGATTGTTCTTGATCAAGAAATATTATTACTACATGTTATTCTAATCAAGATAAGAGATCAAGAATAAGCTGAATATTTCTTCAGACAAGGATACATATATATGATATTCATTATATGTATCAAGTATTAAAAAATATGAACAGATCATATTTAGAGTCTGGTGGGTTGTGTCCTGGTTGACTTTGATGTCGGACGGGTTCATGGGTAATGGAATAGGTACTGCAACGAGGCTCGCGCACGAATGAAAGGTCGATACGGTACAGGGAGGATCTGTACATGTCTGATGTCACTGATTAAAACTAATGGTGGAGAATTCTCAGACCGCCAAAGAAATTGCAATCACAATCATGCGTATACTCACCTACAACATATCTTATCCCAAGACAGTTCTATCCTCTGTGTCCTGTACCGGGTTATGACGCAGGCAAGGTACAGAAGCTAGAATCACTAGAATTGTATGTCTAAATACAAGACCCCCTTCCGCAGGGGGCAATGACCTAGCCCTAGGACAAATGATAAGACTTGAATTTGTAAAAGTTAAAGTTGATTTTTTAAATTGAATTTTTTGATTTCCAGAATTTTGCAGTCGTTTTGTAATCGTTTTCATTACAATTGAAGTTCTATAACTTGTATTGTATCACAGCATTTTAAAACAAGTTGTTATTAATGCTAAAAGACCTGATAGTTTTTTTTATTTCATGGATTTTAAGATTCAGCTATAAAGTTATTCATTTCAAAAATGTCTTTTATTATCTCTAGAGTTTGCAACTTTACGCACTTTTTATTCTATATATTTACTAATTTTTCTTCCCATTGGTTTTTTTATTCCAGTTTTCCTTCTTTTTTTTTCTTTTGTTAATTCATAAAGTTCTTAGAATTCTGTATTTAAAAGGGTTTGAAGGTTTTAAAAAGGGATTAGTAATTACCGAATATACATTTCTTAAGGGAAAGATAACATATAAATCCTGACTATGTGTTGTATAGCCTTTATGAAGTATTAATTAAAGAAAAAGAAAAATCTTCGTTCTACAGAACTAAATTACCATGTGAAACAAAATAATTAGATTGCTTATCTATCTCGGGAAAATATAATTATTTCTTTTTTTTTCTTGGTTTCTTCTTCATTTTTTAGTATTTGCAGATTGGAGAGTATAGACGCCTTATTTGTTTTAGTAAATTTTAATTATATCATTACACAATCTTATTGCGCACATACAGGGTTACACACAAAGGTTGAGACTTTAGATACGATTGTACGGAATTTATACTGTTTCCTTATTTCTCGTAAATTATCACCTTGCTTCGTTCTTTGCCAAATCATTAAATACAGCTTAGACTTAATTTAACCTTGTTATAATCATGAGTAAAGAATTGGAGGTCGTCTTTATTGTCTTATTCTTTGTGGGTAACCCTGTAGGCTCAGACCTATAAATATGATTAATGCATATTTAGGTTTTACAAATTTTTCAATTTTGTTTGGCAATATTTTAATTCGCAGGGTAATGGGCCACGTGGATTTAACGGTTCTGGCAATATTCCAGAAAGCTGTGACTTTCGATCCCAACTTGACCCATTAAACATAATTTGTAAGCCTTTTTTCTTAAATACATTTTTGTCTGCATATGCATTTTGAATGAAAAAGTTTAAATAAACAAATCCGTAAAGTAAATGATGTTGAATTATAGTAAATAGAATAAACCAAATGCTGCTCACTCTGGTTAGTCCGGGCTGGGGCCTTTCAAAACAGTATAATTTGCTAACTTTTGCGCAGATTTATTTCATGTAAATAACTAGATTTTCTTGGTTGACAATTATTTTCTTTAGATTTTGACGTCGGTAGCGCGTCAGTAGGAATATATAAATACACTATCTAAAAATTTAAATTGCTAACCTCCCTGTAAAGTGAAAGTTTGATATTCGTAGCTTAATCTGTTTTATGTTTAGCTGTTAACCTGTTTGGTTCGTTTCTTCATATAGTTTCTCTCAGAGTCAAATTTGGCTTAGTGTAAATAAAAAAATTGTTTAGAATAAAATTTTTTAACATTTTTAATTTTAAAATTCAGATTTTCTTGGAACCCTCTCAAAGTCTGAAAAAAACTGTTAAATGTACGTCATCTCCTTTATTGTATATATTGTATTTATTGTTTAGGTACTATCAAGAATTTCCCATTGATATTCCTGCAGGATTATCAAACTATACTCAGCTACTCCTGGAGGAAGCTGTAGAGTATATATCCAGGTATATAATATTATATATTCCCGCAGGATTATCAAACTATACTCAGCTACTCCTGGAGGAAGCTGTAGAGTATATATCCAGGTATATATTATTATATATTCCTGCAGGAGTATCAAACTATACTCAGCTACTCCTGGAGGAAGCTGTAGAGTATATATCCAGGTATATAATATTATATATTCCTGCAGGAGTATCAAACTATACTCAGCTACTCCTGGAGGAAGCTGTAGAGTATATATCCAGGTATATATTATTAGATATTCCTGCAGGAGTATCAAACTATACTCAACTACTCCTGGAGGAAGCTGTAGAGTATATTTCCAGGTATATAATATTATATATTCCTGCAGGATTATCAAACTATACTCAACTACTCCTGGAGGAAGCTGTAGAGTATATTTCCAGGTATATAATATTAATATATACCTATTGGAGTATATATCCAGGGATATAATATTATATATTCCTACTGGAGTATATTTCCATGTATATAATATTAATATATACCTATTGGAGTATATATCCAGGGATATAATATCATATATTCCTACTGGAGTATATAAACAGGTATATAATATTATATATTCCTACTGGAGTATATATCAAGGTTTATAATATTATATATTCCTACTGGAGTATATATAAAAGGCTTATAATATTAAATATTCCTGCAGGAGTATATATCCAGGTATATAATATTAAACATTCCTACTGGAGTATAGATCCAGGGATATAATATTATATATTCCTGTTAGAGTAGATATCCCGGTATATAATATTATATAGTCCGACTGGAGTATATATCCAGGTATATAATATTGTATATTCCTGTTGGAGTATATACACAGGTATATAATATTAATTTATATACATACTAGCTTGGGCACCCAGCGTGGCCCAGGGGTGTCAAAGTTATTCACACCGTTAAATGTCGTTAAAAATTCGTAAATTACGATTTTAGTTTTTTTCCGTCAAAAGTTAACCCATTCAACTTAAAATCTCAAGCTATGATCATTCCCATGGGTCTTTCGTGTTACCAATCAAAATTCTAGGCAAATCGGTCCAGGGGTTTTTGAGTTATGATTAGACAAACAAACAGACAAACAGAGATTACAACTATATATAAATATATATATTTTTCAACTAAAACAAAGTAAAAAGTAAAAGAAAATATCCGTTTGCACAATTTTATCTTCAATGTTAGGTTACATGTGCATTATGACAACGTATAATTGTTATTTTTAGATCTACATGTCTAAAATTGGGCTCATTGAATCGGAAATTGTACGTCGATATCAAAAATTGTCTCAATCTTGAAAACTCGATTACAAACAAGTCTGCATAAACCCTTATGTGCAAACAGAGATTATCTTTATTTTTACCAAATTTACTCAGTCCAGTTGGAAACTTTAGTAGCCTTGAAATGGTTTGTTGTTAATTCTATTTAGTCTGACGTTTTATTTACTGACTGGTTGCCTGTGGGGGGGGGGGGATATTGACCCCTCTCTATTTCTTATTGTGATACAACCATTTGATTTATTTTTGGAAATATTATTCTCTACCTCAATAATCTGCAAAAAGATGGCAAATTTTCAAAAATCCAAATATTTATTGCGAAATCTTGTTATTTAGCAAAAATAGTGCAAAAAAATTGCGCAAATTGCAACAATTAATACATTTTTTTACCCAGCAAATTCAAATATGCCAAAAATTAGCAAACATTTAAAAACCTAAATGTGTTTAAACAAAAAACTGAAAATGTGCTAGCTCCCTTTTAAGGCGACTTTGCAAAAATCTGTGCAAAATTTCTTTGCAATAATTGTTTAATCTGCTTGATTTTGATATAAGCTTTCTAAAGAACTTCAAAATGCTGAAATCCAATAACTGAAAGTAGGTCTAAATATAGACTTAGTCTGGTGTTGATAAAATAAGGCATTCAGGCAGTATGTCTGAGGACTCAGGAACTAAGTATAAATGCACAGCGTATATCCTTTAGTGAAGGGAATGCATTATTTGGAAAAGCCAGTAAATCTTAGCTTCCTCCCTCTAATACTTTTTGAGTGATCGCAAAATAACGATAGGGGGTGGGTCTAATTGCCCCCCCCCCCCCAGTCCAAATAGGGTTAAATAAACGTAATAATGTAAATGTTCTCTTTTTTATTTCATTCTAAATAGTTTAACCCCTACCCCTTTTACATTTTTCAACATCTTGAGTCGATACTAATATATTTTATAAAAAATATTTTATTACAGAATACATTTTTGGAAATAAAGCATGAAATCTTTTCATGCTACACGGTAAGTTCTAATAAACAATAAAGTACACCCCTACATACACAAAACAATGCGTAAAAAGTAATAGGAAACAATATACTCTTAACGAGCTTCAGATCATATGAAAAGAAAATTAGCTTTTCCTTAATTATTTACTGGGTGACGCTATACATAAACCAAGGATACAAAGGCAATCAGTAAGGCTGGACGTGTTCCTTTTTTTATTCAATGGTTCCTCGTTATAGAATGCGGGTTTTAAGCAATATCGTTCGTTACTCGCTAGTTCTTTTTCCAATTGTTCTATCCCTGTTCCTGATTTTTAACATGAACAATTCCAGACCATTCTTTTCAACCAATTACCGTTCGTTCAACGTTTGTTCCATTATAGATCGTTCCAATATTAAAAAAAAACGTGTTCTATAATATTTAAATCGGGTTTCAGTAAAAGAACGATCATTCCCCGAGAACAACGCCCAGCCCTAGACGTGAGTATGACTGAACGATCCTTGCTACGGGTATTTTGATTTTAAAACTCCATTTATTTATGAAGTAAATTTTAGAAACTCGAGTTCTCCTTTCTTCCTGTACTGGGCTCCAGACTCCACTCATGCTCCATCTTACTCTTCAATTCATTTNGAACTAGTAGAACGTAAACCTATTACAAGGAAACTAGTAGAAGGTAAACCTATTTCAAGGGAACTAGGAGAAGGTAAACCTATTAAAAGGGAACTATTAGAAGGTTAACCTATTTGATAAATCCATTCAAATAACAAAATTGTAGGAAGAATATCCCCCTATTTTCCATTTGAAAAAAATGTACTGAACACAATTGCCTCAAATTATAATCATCTTATTCTTTGCTATAACCTGATGGTGTAGAGTAGACCTTTGATATTTTAAAATATGAATTCATGTCCAAATAACACTTAAGAAGTGAACAAGTAGTCAATAGCCTTCCTACTCAGGCTCAATGGTTTTGACCAACATCTTGTATAACAGCCTGTACAAAAGCATTTGGGCTGTTATGGCATGAATTAAATTGTATCTTGAAGTTAAATATATATCTAGCTGTGAGATCAAATAAACTAAGTTTGAAAAAAAGTTAAATAGTTTTGCTTTAAAGTCAATAATGTTAAATTTGCTCTAGTTTTGCTTTAAAGTCAATAATGTTCAAATTGCTCTAGTTTTGCTTTAAAGTCAATAATGTTAAATTTGCTCTAGTTCTGCTTTAAAGTCAATAATGTTCAAATTGCTCTAGTTTTGCTTTAAAGTCAATAATGTTCAATTTGCTCTAGTTTTGCTTAAAAGTCAAATAATGTACAATTTGCTCTTGTTCTGATTAAAAGTCAAATAATGTTCGATTTCCTTAAGTACTGATTAAAAGTCAAATAATGTTCAATTTTCTTTAGTACTGATTAAAAGTCAAACCCTTAGCTATTTGCTCTAATTCTGATTAAAAGTCAACCCTTAGCTATTTGCTCTAATTCTGATAAAAAGTTAAATAATGTACAATTTGCTCTAGTTCTGATTAAAAGTCAAAAACTATTCAATTTGCTTCAGACCTGATTAAAAGTCAATCCCTTTACAATTTGCTTAAATTCTGATTAAAAGTCAAATAATGTCCAATTAGCTTTGGTACTGATTTAAAAGTCAAATAATGTACCATTTTCTGTGGGAGCTTTGGTCATGCTTAAAAATCTGTCTGAGTTTTCACTATTATAGTGTTCACTCCTACTGCTGTTTAACTATTTTGTTCAAAATTAATATTGTTTAATATTGTGTCTGATTCCATTAATTATGTTAAACTATAGTTCCGGGTATATTTAATCAATAATTTATCAATTAGGTTATTCATCAACATTTTATGTATTTAAAACAATACCTCTTCAATGCACAATGTACAAAGTATTAGAATCAAGGGGGAACAAACTCTTCAAATATAAACAAAAGGATGAGATTTATGTATTTAAAACAATACAATGCACAATGTACAAAGTATAAGAATCAAGGAGGAACAAACTCTGTGAATATAAACAAAAGGATGAGATTTATGTATTTAAAACAATACCTACAATGAACAATGTACAAAGTATAAGAATCTAGGGGGAACAAACTCTGTGAATATAAACTAAAGGATGAGATTTATGTATTTAAAACAATACCTCTTCAAGGCACAATGTACAAAGTATAAGAATCAAGGAGGAACAAACTCTGCAAATATAAACAAAAGGATAAGATTTAATTGTTCAAAATATTTGTACAAATGGGACATTTCCTAGAATATTGTATTTCTCCATGATTTAAACAATTTCTTGACATTGATTAATTCTTCTAACAATTCAAAACATTAAGGGCCGGGATCTTATTAGAAATAAAAGCGATCTATTTAGGGTTGAAAAACACAAAATAATTTGGAGGTATGAGTCCTTATCAAAATACTTTATAAGTTCATGTGTAAGTTCATCTACATTTTACAATTATTGCACATAAAGGGAATTGGAGACTTAATTTCAATTGACTCAGATTCGTCAGATTTACCATGATCAAGAATGTTTTCTATGTGTTCTTTTAGAAAATTTATTATTGACTCAGATTTGTCAGATTTACCATGATCAAGAATAATTTCCATGTTTCTTTTAGAAAATTTATTATTTTAAATTATGGTTTCGCTGTAAAAGTGACTTGCTGAAAACACAAATAGATCCACACAGTGTGAAATATTATTTTAAAAAGACAGGGTCCATTTTAAGGTGTCGCAATACCTTGGACTTTGATTTTAAATCACTAACTTTCATTATTTTTTGTACCCTTTGACACGTACATGTAAATCATTTGTTATTAATTTTTTAAGGAGTCGACATTGTCAAAACTCTTTTTTCAACCTCACTGCATTGAAAATTGGACAAAATTATTAGAATTAAACACTCTCAAAATGTCAAAACGATGATATCTTCCACAGTTTTATTGATTAGATAAAGGTTTAAAGGGGTGCCCGTGGGAATCGGCCATGCCCCTCGTTAAATGGAGGTCAATTGAAATTACAACAATTAGGTCTATTAATGTTAGATAATCTGAATGTGCTCCAATGTACCGGGAATGTCGTCTTCATAGCATTGGAAACTCAAAATCCTCATATGACGTAACTGATAATTGGTGGAAGCAAAGTGACACCAACATTCTTGGTGAGAGGGTGGGAAGGGTTTTCTCTGCTGACAACAATGAAGACGACATTTTCCGTATATTGGAGCGCATCCACAAACCGTATTAAACCACCTTGTTATAAAGGGATTCCTATTACGGAGATGCTATTAAGGAGCTGGATCATCATATTGGAATTATTGTAAGGTAAAAAGTACACAAATATGTGCAATGTTTCAGTATTAAAGTACACAACTATGTGCGATATTTCAGTATCAAAGTACGCCACTATGTGTGATATTTCAGTATTAAAATACATAAATATGTGCAATGTTTCAGTATTAAAGTATACAACTATGTTCAATATTTCAGTTTTAAAGTACACAATATGTGCGATATTTCAGAATTAAAGTACACAAATATGTGCGATATTTCAGTATTAAAGTATGGCACTATGTGCGATATTTCAGTATTAAAATACACAAATATGTGCGATATTTCAGTATTAAAGTACACACATATGTGTGATATTTCAGTATCAATGTACACAAATATGTGCGATATTTCAGTCTTAAAGTACACAAATATGTGCGATATTTCAGTTTTAAAGTACATAAATATTTGCGATATTTCAGTATCAAAGTACACAACTATGTGCGATATTTCAGTATTAAAGTACACACATATGTGCGATATTTCAGATGAAAGTAAATAAATATGTTTAATTTCAGTATTAAAGTAAATTAACCCTATCCCTGCTAGGGTACTTGAAATCCAGGATACGCTGGGGTGGGGGGTCGATTTGACCCCGATTTGGAATGCTCTTTTGTTTGCAAACATTGGTTTTTTTGCAAAATCCAGTTATACAGTAAAAATGTTTGCAAAAAAAATGTCTAAAAATGATAAATTATACTGTTTTAAAAAGCCCTTGACCATGCCATTTCAAATATTCAAACACTTTTGCAAATTCTAAATAACCTGATTTGTAATTCAAAAAAACTAAAAATGTGCAAATTTCTTTTGACGGGTTGTACGAAAGTAATTTGCAAACATTTCCTTGCAAAACTTGTGCAATTCGTTTCTTTATGTCATAGGCTTTCCAAAAAGCTAAAAATCATCAAAATGAAAATGGGTCAAAACAAAGATTTAGTTTGTTACAGGATAAATTAGTCATTCAGGCAATGTGCCGGAGGACTTAGTTAGTATAAAATCCCGGGTTTAGACATAAAGAGAGGGCTATGGGTATTTCGGAAAATTTCAACAGCCTCAGACAAAACCTTTTTGATTTAAGTAGAAAAACTACAGGAGGGTGTCAAATTTCCCCCTCCCCCAGCAGGAATAGGGTTAAAACGTAAACAAATTTGTTCAATTTCAGTATAAAAGNACATGGGAATTATTAGAATATAAAATATATATATATGTGTGCCATACTTCAGCATTAAAGTGTGCATAAATATGTACAATATTTCCGTATTAAACTATTTAGATTTGTTAAATATTTCAGCACAATACATACATTCGTACAATGTTAAGTACGGTACAAAGATTCCTACATTATTTTAGTACATACAGTACATAGATCCATGCAATATTTCAGTACAGTATATAGATGCTTGCACTATTTCATTACGGTACATATAATCGTACAATATATAAGTACAGTACATACATTTGTACACTATTTCCATACGGTACATAGATTCGTACAATATTTCAGTATAGTACATTTTTTTATGAAATATTTCTGTATAGAAAATAAATGCTTTGTACATTAATTCAGTTCAGTACATACAACTTGTACAAGGTGTCTCTGAAAAAGGGAGTTTAGACTTTTTAACAAACTTAACATAGTTATTCTATTGGGTTGTATAAAATTTAAAAATAAAATTATTATTTAATTTGTTTTGAAAATCTTTGGAAAAGAGACTGGGCACATTCTCGAAATATTATGCCTACTTTTTTGGATTGAACTGGTATTTTAGAGAATAATTTTTTTCAACTTTTCCACCACTTTTTAAACTCAATACAACGATGTGTAGTTGGCTAAAAAGCTTAAACATACTTTTTTCAGAGACACCCTCTTCATTTGTAAACTATTTCAGTACATTGCGGAGAAGCAAAAGGCCTACTTTAGTTATTTTTACATCAGACAATGGTGCTGCACTTGTCTCAAGGGTAATGTTCTACACTATATCGATCAAATCTCAGTTTTTAAACGAAATATTTTTATTACAGCATGAATTGATAACTCCCCTGAATGTTTTCTTTCAAATCGTTATAACTTTGCAACCTGACTGCTTGCGTAAAAATGTTTGGCACTTAAAATTGATTCTGCAACAATGACATTTTGAGTATCAGTTTTAAAGGTTCAGTTTGCCAAGTAATAAACATAAAAATAAACTTTTTGAACTTACATTTTATCCAAATGATTATTAAAATATTAATACATTTAAAGGGAGTGACCCTTTATAGTAGGCAACACCTGATTCACAACGGCACCCACAAAAGCTTTATTTGATCAAATATGAATACGTTATTATGGAATAAGGTTTTCGGTAAGAAAGGTAAAAAAGGTAAAAAATCATTATTTTCAACTGTGAGTTCTCTTCAAATGTGATTTTGTTAATTACCCACCTTCAGCCGTGGTACATTTGAATTTCCAAGCCGGTCCCAGTTTGTACTGTATCGCCCGGACATTTGGTAAACAAAGCAGACACTCAATAGGACTAGCCGGTGCAACAAGGTTGACGCGCTCAGATTTTAGGTTGAATTTACTGTTACTGAAAGTTCAGAGGTGCGTGTACCAATTTTTTAACATAGAAAAAAGACAATTTTTTTCACAATATTGATTAGGTAAATGTCTTAATGGTAAAGTTGTGAATTGGTAATATTGGCAACCTTGCATGATGAGCCACTTAAAGTTACGCTTATACAGTCCCTTTAAATTAAACATTGTTAAGGAAATTGCTGGCTCTAATGGTCCTCTATTATGTGGGAAACAAACTACTTTTGAAGGAGGGTTTAGGGTTCCAACCATATCTTGGTGGTCACATGGGGGACCAAGGTAGAATTCTTAAAGGGAAATTGATGGAGATATCCTTGGTTTTCTTTCTAAAAATTGATAGTTTATTAAAATGTCGACTTGCAGGTATATTTATGCATTGTGCCTTAGGACTTGACAGTTTTTTTGTGAATCACAGCACGTAATTCTTTAATTGAACTATATCACAATAAATTGCATTAAAAGTCGTATTTGATTTCCAAGAAATCCTTATTGAGTTTGAAAAAAAATAGTTTTTCGTTTCGTTAACAGAGGTCTATACAATATACATTTGGTCATTGGAATATGAAGAGATTGAGATAACTTAAAAATATTGCAATTCTATATAGATTCACAACGGTACAGGTCGTTTCTATGTAAAGGAACTTGCGCATTTCTGTTTTAGAACCAATGGAGATTTTTGTCAGAATTAGACAATTTTTTCAAAAGCTAGACAAAGAAAGATATCTTCCACAATATTGATCATTGAAATGTTTAAAAGGTACCGTTGTGAATCTGGACTTTTTCTTTTTCAGTTTTCATTTTGTTTAGAGGTGTGTCTCATCACGTGGGATCTCATATGGATTTTCTTCCAACTTTAGCTGAGTTAGGGATTAAAATATTACGCGGCAAAATCTATAATTTGTATTTCAGTTATATAGATAATTGTCAATATTTTTTATTTATAAAGGCTGTTGCACAATGCACATGTTTGCAAAAAAAATACCAAAATGTGATAAAATATAAATTTTTGAAAAGTCCTTGACCATGCCATTTAAAATATGCAAAATATTTTGCTAAATTTTGAATAACCTGATGTGTAATTAAGAAAAACCAAAAGTGTGGAAATTTCTTTTGACGGGTTGTATGCTAATAATTTGCAAAAATTTCTTTGCGAAACTTGTGCAATCCGTTTCTTTATCATGGGCTTTTTCAAAAAACTCAAAATTATCAAATTTTGACAACTGAAAGTGGGTCAAAGCAAAGATTAAGTTTGTTACTGGAAACAGTAGTCATTCAGGCAGTGTGCCTGAGGTCTCAGGGAGTTAGTATAAAAGCGCGTGTAAGACCCAAAGGGAGGGCTATATGTATTTAGGAAAAGTCAGCCTCAGAACAATATCACTACATAATTTGTATTGAAAAATATTTGTTTTGATCTGTAAACAGTTGGGGCTAAAATACCAGATTACGTTGTACTGGACGGAAAATCTATTCTCGGTGTAATACAGGTATAATTATATTATTTTTAGATTGAGAAAATAATTACAAATATTCTTACAAATATATTTTTATAACCTGATAGCGTGAACCTTTGATTTTAGCAGTAAATTGTTTTAAACCTTATCTAGAAGCAGTAAATTGTTTTAAACTTATCTAGAAGCAAGGGCGTTGTAGTTTTAAATTATATAACATATCTAGGGCTAAAAAATATTATTAAAGGGAAGCATAATTTCAAGTGTCCCTGCACTATGCAAAGATTTCAACGCCCGATTTATCACGGTATGTCTGATGAAGTTTAATTTAGATATAATTTTTTATAATTTTAAAAACTGTTTAATTCCAATTGTGATTTCGCTTTAAAAAGTGTCTTGCTCATTTCTACTCCTGGAAAACACATGGGAATTATTAGAATATAAAATTGTTAAACCTTGAAAAAATATATGGGAATTATATTATTATTATTATATATTTCTATCTATGTAATTATTGAACACATCATGGTTTCTAATTTACCCTTGTTAATACGGCAATACGTTCACAATCCCAAGCCCAACAAGTCGACGAGGTCTAGAAAATTGTTGCATAATTGTTATGTCTGTCTGGGTTCACTGTACATGCATGAAACAATTAGTTTATGTAAATGAACTATTTAACAGAAAATTAATTGTGTTGAATGATATGATTTAAGGGAACTAAGATTGTAGAAAACTCACCAATATTCATGTATCGAGGAAACCTACTCTACGCAGTTCGTCTTAATTCCTTTAAGGTAGGAGATGCGAGGACAATTGGCTGGGCGTTAATGAAAGGCACGTTTTTGAAAATTAACTTTTGTTAATTTGCAACATAAAATGGCATAAACCTTGTAGAAAATGTAATTTTTTAGATTTTTTCACTTGTTACGATGTTTTTAAATGGTTACTTCAAAGGAATTGAGTTTTTGCCTCAAACAAATATTTTAATATTCCTAAATCTTTACAATTTGATTGTGTATTTCATACTTTCAAACTTACACTACTAAATCTACCAGCATCTTTTCATGAAATATCTTTTGTTAACTCCTTCAATTAAATTGAAATAGATAAAAACGAAATAAATTACAGACTTGTCTGAGTAACAATGATGAATATATCCAGTAATTTTTCCGGTTGCAAAAGTGTATAATTTGACAATTTTCTTCCTTTAAGTGAAAAAAAATATTTTGTTTTATAGAGGCAGCGAGGACGATCTCTAGTAAAATGCAAGGATAACTATTCCAGTATTTTCATAACTTAACAGGTTTATGTGAACCGGGCCTAGCTTAACAGGAGAACTATAAAATGTTCACATATAACACGTGATTCTGAATGCTCCGTCACGCTCACTCTTCTTCAGCGAACCTTTGTGAAATTTCGTATAGAGGCCGAGTATCGTCTTCCACAGCTTCATAATATTTATATTTTTTATATTTTTTAAACTGAGTTTGGAAAGTTATCTAGACACGTCAGTTTGTTGAAAGGGAACAAAAAAAGATAAAAACCTTTAATCAGATCACAAAAAAATGTGAATTTAACACTTGAAATTTATCAAATGATTTAAGTTTACAAAATATTGCTCGCATAACGGTTTACGATTTTTAGAGGATTTTTTGACGTGAACAAAATTGTTCATCCTTTCTGCAATCTTTTTTTTCGCGGACACTCCCTTTATTTGCCTGTAATATTTTTATGTTTAGGCCCATTTTTACACATGGACAACTCCAGAAGAAGAGCTTGCTAAGGTAAATAAGTATAAACTAGTTTAAATAGGATTCATGAAATTGTATTATTTTAATAAAACCATAACGCGCTTCTAATATATTATTTTTTAACGATATACTTGAATCAAGACATATTCAAGTCTATAACTAAAAATAATTTAATTAATTATGTGTTCAATACTTAATTTTTTTTAAATAATCAAAAAATTCTAGGGTTAAAGACCTAAATAGTATGAAGGATGAAAGAAGAGAAAGCAATAATATTCTTATAAAGAAATTGATTTTTAAATACATAGACAAACCCTTTATAAGGTTAAAAAGTAAATCAGAATGATTGAACCCGGAGTAGATGGGACAATTAGCGCATAGATCTTCAACTTCAAAAGTCCCCAAATTGTATACCGAGATCCAAGATTAATAATACTTCAAGCAGCACAAAAGTTTTCACTTAAAAATAATTTAGGGAATTGATCACTGTCCTGGCATTTCAATAATAAATGTAACAACAACATCAATAACAAAACAGGTTAGAGACTGGTGCATATGATATGATAATCTATAGTTTTGTTTCTAAAACTTGATTTATTCCACATCATAAAATCGTTTGAATATAGTCATTTATTTTTCTGTTTTTGAAAAGCACTCTAAATGCAATATTTATTTTTAAAATACTATTTTGCTTCTAGTTGTATGACGCACTCAACAATGCGTTGTCATTAAAAAAATATATTAAAAATACCTCGGGGAACCCAGGGTACAACATCGAAATTATTTTTAACTAGACAAAAAAAAGAGATTGAAAAAATGTTTTGAATTTATCTTGACAGAAATTGTTCACCGATTTGTTTATTTAAATTAAACGATTTTGGAGCAGTTAGATATAACAACATTATCGCCCAACCTTATTTTTATATCATATTGGTTGAAACAATGAGTTTATATTAGGAACCTCCTGTAATATATAACCCTATCCTACCACCTTAGTTCTACACTTATTGGTTGAAACAATGAGTTTATCCTAGGAACCTCCTGTAATATTTAACCCTATCCCACCACCTTAGTTCTACACTTATTGGTTGAAACAATGAGTTTATCCTAGGAACCTCCTGTAATATTTAACCCTATCCTACCACCTTAGTTCTACACTTATTGGTTTAAACAATGAGTTTATCCTAGGAACCTCCTGTAATATTTAACCTGGGCCGAGATCCAGGAGAGCGCTTTCCAATCAATATTCAATCAATGGTAATTATATCTTTTTAAATAAAGCTCTTTCGCTAATATATATCTATATATCATATATATAATACAATAAAATAAAATCATGTGGCATGTTGAATACTTCTTTTATTATATATATGTATATATGAAGCTGTAGCTGGCCAAACGGCTGGACCGAATGGGCTGACATTTTTTAAGGAAACCCATAGGGGTAACATAGGCTAAAAAAAGTCAATTTTTTATGTTTCTAAAATTCCACGGTCAATGCCTGGCACTTCAATAGTTTTTATAAAATTAGAAATAACGCGCACTTCACATAAATTTGTCAATTTCAAAGTCTAGTTTCAGACATATAACTATTTATCTTTTTATTCATCTTTAACCCAAAAAAGGCTCCCCCCCAGCCTGTGACCAGATTTACAAGTGGTTAAACTACCAAACGTCAGTTCAAATCCTGAATTCCCAATACACTCTCCAATTTATTATCTACTCATGAATCTTCACCTCGATGATTCAAGATTTGAACCGGTGGCGGAGGTATGTAATTCAGCGACCTCTTGCAATTCAATGAATTAGATAGATGCAAACATCTTTATCTATATTGAGCAATTCTCGGTAATCTCTCTATATTAGTCGGCTATATTTATTCTTACAACCTGGTATCAATTAGATCAGATTAAGATTATTTGGAGAAATGATATAAATATAATAACCGTTATCTAATTAAAGGGAGTGACCGGCTATGTGAGGTAGTTGAACTGAGTATGCAGTGTTGCGGAAAACTTCTTTCAGATTCGTTTGAGACATATTTAACTTTTTAAAGATCTGTAAACCCTAAGTTTGGGAGCAAATTCAACGTTCAAATTTCCTACTTTGGGGGTGGATACGTTTTCATAATTAGTTTTTTTAATTATTAAATAACGACGACATCAACTGTAAAAATGTCCTACAATAAACTACAGACGTCATGTATAGGAACATGTTGAGGAAATAAAAATTAATCCTATCATCGAAAATAAGTAATCTTATTCAATTATTAGTTTCTATTATCTCATTATTCACTAAGATTTTCGCAGATTTTCTAGAATTATTATTGAAAAGACGACATTTGAAGAATTTGAAGAAATCTGCGAATAAATTCAAAGAAGATAAGAAATTCAATATAATAATGAAAACGAAATAATCGATTTTAGCATTGATTTATTGACAAATTTCTTTTGAGAAACCATCTAATTAAATTGCTGTATAATTTTTACTTTATTTTTCGTTGTCGTTATTTAATAATTAAAAAAAAAGTAGGAGTTTTGAACGTCGAATTTGCGCTCTAACTCCTGATTTACGGGTCTTTAAAAAGTTTAATATGTCTCAAATAAATCCGAAAGAAGTTTTCCACAACACTACATTCAAAGTTCAACTACCTAACATAGCCGGTCACTCCCTTTAAAGAGGTATCCTTGTATTCAAGTTGTAGTTACCATACCAATCCTTAAGATTGTCAATTGTTAGTTTTCATGTTTTGAATTTGAAAGAGATAATTTTCAATAATCATAAACTTTTAAGAAGAAAAAACCATTCGCATTCTTTAAAGTAAATATGTTTAGGAATATAAAGATGCTTTCATTGCTATTACTGATGTTGTTAAAACTCACAAGTAAGTAATTAAAACATATTTTCTTCATTCATAAATAAAACTAATTTTTCAAAAATTATTTAAGTTGTACTTTTCGTAATTTCAAAACCTTCCTAGCACACCTTTTCAAAATTTTAATTGTAAAGTTTTCAGAAGTGATCCCCCCCCCCCGCCGACTCTTTTATGGTTAAATGTATTATATTTCTGATAGATGCATTGAAGAAACGTGATTTTAATGAAAGTGGAAATATGAAAATATGTTTACTCGAAAGTTTAGCTTTTTAATCTAAATTACAATAGTTTAACCATTTAAATGTTTTATCGGAACTGATTAACCCTTCATGATTCCGCAGAATATATTTAAGCAAAATATAAGCAACGTGATCAACGAATTATAAACGCAAACATCTTATAATTGAGCTGAAGATGTCTATTTATTAAAACGTAATAAAAAAGATAATTAATGTTTTTTTTACAATTTTTTTTAATTGTACTTGTTAATTTGAAACATGTCTGGCCTTTGGTGTCCCATACTCCCTTTATTCAGATCAGGTCTGGTCCTTGGTGTCCCATACATCCTTTATTCAGATCAGATCTGGTCCTTGGTGTCCCATACATCCTTTATTTAGATCAGATCTGGTCCCTGGTGTCCCATACTTCCTTTATTTAGTTCAGATCTGGTCCCTGGTGTCCCATAGTCCCCTTTATTTAGATAAGATCTGGTCCCTGATGTTCCAAACTCCATTTATTTAGATCAGGTCACGTCCAAAGTGTCCCATACTCAGAATATATGTACTATAGAATAACAGAGCTCGTTTTCTCCATAGAAAGTGGTTGTGTATTTCACTTACTTTGGGGGACGATATGTTGGCCGCTAGATGTCTCATGCTTAATTCTTATCTGATAGATAGATATTTCTCTGTACATTTGACGACCAATATAGGAAACGTCAAGTTGTCAACCAATGTAGTTTATGGAAGGAACGGCCTCAGGTGGCAGCATTTGGTTTGGGAAGTCTCATAAAATACCCTGTACTGGTATGATATTGCGAACATGTATTGGTATGTTATTGTGTACATGTAGTACACCGTGATCTGGGCGGATTTGTTTTGATTTAATTACACAGTATAATAAACATCGAGATATAAGTAATAGAGGGGGCATCTGAGTGCAAAACTTAAGAAAATTATAAAACTCGCTACGATACCCGGTTTCCTGAAACCTGGGTTTGGCTGAGTTCGGGTTTCATGTTCTTAAAACGTATTTTGAAACTCTAGGAAACTGGGTTAAAATATGCTGTCGTTGGAGTCTCCAGCTGTGGTGTTTTATGAATAAAGCTGCTACGCACTTGAAAGTGATCAAATTGGTATCCGTTTTTTGGCGTAATAGTCGGCCCATCCAAGGAAAGANGAAAAAGGGTATAGATAAAAAGGGAGGGGAGGCCTAGTCTGTAGGGACAATTAGGGTCTTCCCAAAAAAAAGGGGGGGGGGAAGGAAAGGCTTGGCTTACAATTCAAGCAAGTAATTAGGGTAATCAACGTTATTAAATCAGGCATGATTACAGCAAAATTATAGATAGGAACACTGAAATTAGTTTAAATAGTATGATTATGACATGATTTTGACAAATAAGGTATTGATTGGGCTCGGCTTGTGCTTCTAATAGTATGATTATGACATGTTTTTGACAAATAAGGTATTGATTGGGCTCGGCTTGTGCTTCTATTCATCGAATACAAGGTTCACGCTGGCCTCACTACTGCTATCGCTCACATCCTCATCCTCAGAGTCCAGAGAGAGAGGCTGGAATAAATAAGGCATATTAGATAAAATTAGAAATATATGTCTATCTATATAGATATATAGGCATAGACATATACAATAATATTTCACAACAAAAATATTGATATCCACAAAACTGCCTAACCCCATTCTTGAAACCCGGGTTTCAAAACTGGTTTTCATAACGATACCCTGTCTTAAGTTTTGGGCTCTGAGCCCAAAACTTAAGACAGGGTATTGTAGATATCAATATTTTTGTTCTGAAATATTATATTATATAGTTTCTTTATATTCTCCTTTTCTTCGAATCTCTTAAATTAAAATCTACTTAAATGTTTATAGACCTTAAATGGAAACTCGGGAGTTTCATTCGACGATACTCTTTTAAATTTCGGGCTCTGGAATTTTAGACTTCTTATTGTACAGCCACTGTACACAATGACCCGATCAGAAATTCTACCTGGGGGGATCATAATTCGTAGATCAGTGTTTTAAGACATTATTGTTTGAAAGTGAATCCTACAATATTCAAGCAAAGAAAACAAGAACTCTGTTTCATCAGGGATGCTGAACTTTTCTTTTAAATTTGTAATGGTTTCCTCAAGCCTCTCAACCGTTTCTTCCAATTTCCTTTTCTTTTTTTCAGATAAATGCAACTTTTGCTGAAATTCTTTAGCCTTTAATGTTGATTGTTACAATCTCTCGAAAAGCTGTTCTTTGCTTAGATTCTCTCTTTGGTATGAGTGGTCATGCCTTGCGACCTGTAATGAGTTGTTCACACAACCCAATCTTTGTTTCTATAACAAGTTTTGTCAAAATGTTCACTGCATATAAAAATTGGGTATTTTGTCTTCCGGATAACTTGTTCTATCCACTTTTTTCGTATGTTATGAAAAATTTCTGAACCCGAAACATCGTTGTTTACACATATTTTGACACTTCAATATCTCATTGTTGAAAAATATTAAAATTAACAGTCCACACAATACCGTACAAACAGATGTACTTAGGATTAAACCTGCACTCTATGATACCAACTCAGTCATAAGGAAACATTTTTCGACAAAAATCACTGAACAGTATAAACCTAGCCAGGCAAAATTAGGAGAGTTATGCCCGCCCCCTGATATTAAATCATGAAGTACTTTGCAGTGTTCAGTGTTAAATTGTGGAGCGAATCAAACATTTAATACAAGATTTCATTCTGAAATAAAATATTGAAGGAAAACAAGTGAACTGAATTTACGGCAGGACTACAGTTTTCTGGACCCCAGGAACATTAAATGTTATTTGTGGGAAACATTTGAAACCAAAATACTTTTACCGATGAAAGTTTAATCATAAGACTGTTTCATAGTCTCCATCCTTTCCACCATCAATATGAATGTCAGGCAGCTGAGGTTCAACAACTAGATAATGCATATGGTGAGTCTTGACTGTGTTAGTTTATATAGTTATAAATATGATGGATAATTTGATATAAATATAATTTCATCTAGCCCTGTAAAGGCTATCAGGGGTTCTGAATCTTTTCGAGGACTTTTCAAAATTAAGGTTTTTAAATGTAGCTTAAGCAAAAAAAGTTGTAGGGGNTGCAATAAAAACTTTTTGTCGACAAATGATATTTTTTGACTAATTTTTTTATTTTTATTTTAATTTAAAGAGTGGTGCATTCCTGATTCACAATAGTACCTTTTAAACCTTTATCTGAGTAAACATTTTAAAAATATCGTCGTATTTCTAGCTTAACCGTTGAATTCTTGCAATTTCCTTCAATGTCAGTGTTGTATAAATCCGTAAGGCACTTTTAAAGAGAAAACAGCATTGTTTTTCTTTCTTTACATTACAACGAGAGGTTTAATACTTCTATGACATGGGGAGGTTTAGAACTGGAAAAATGTAGTTAAATATTTCATTTATGTTTTATTTAGACATTCTTCAAAGTCATCAATAGCTGTCCTTCGCTCACCATCAGAGTACTTCTGCGATCCCGTGTAAACCCCAAGTCACCCTCTTTCGACTTTAAGTTGACTTTTATCATGCAGAATTAGTAGACTAAAAGTACATGAATCTTAAGTAGTGTTTCTGACTTTTTGGGCCTCGATCACCAACAATCTAGCTATACCTCAAAACGGAAAGGGTCGGGTTTCATACCCACCTCTGTGCATTACCCCCCATCATAAATCATCATGTTGCCATGTGTTTATTTTTAGTAGCTGCAGCTGCTAGCTGACAGCTTGGACAGTTTGCTAACTTATTTAGTCTTTTTCAGGTTGATTAAAGGCTAGCTTTTTTTTAATTTAAAAAGCTAGTGTTAATACACGTCAATTTGAATTATCAGCGTTTAGATGTCACTCAGATAAAAGCATGTCATTGATATGTGCCTCCAAAGGTTGCCCATAACCAGTTCTTATCGGAAATGTTTCAGTGTAAACATTTCACCAATGATATAATTGTCAAAGAGTCTTAAAAGATACATAAAACATCCTGAGAGAAAATTCAGTGCATTTTCTTAATGAAATTATTATATTTAGAAAAAATTAAAATTTTTTTAAACCCAAATCTTCACTTCTAAATTATAAACTTTTATTAAGAAAATTGAATCTTAAAATTTCTTACTTTTTTAGTTTTATGGAAAACTTTTAGAGACACCTAGTGGTGAAAATAAAAACTAAAAAGATTCAAGTTTTGAGTCAACAGCTTGTATATTTTACAAACACACAAAATTAGACATGCACAAACATATGCATATGTTAACAGAGTGCTGGGGTAAGGGGGGGGGGTAGAGGAGGGGAAATTTTCTCACAACTGGAAACATATCTGAAATTTGATCCGGATGTATCATGAGGGGTAACTTTTTTCTAACTAAATTAGACATCTAGCCAATAATGGGGAAAAGGGAAGCAGCATATTGGAGGGGTAACACATGTGTTAATTATAAAGGATATATTGAGGTATAACTTTCTTGGTCGGGTTGTCAGCTAAATTATACATCCAGGCTAAAAATGGAAATAGGGAAGTAGGGGGGGTAGTGGGGGAAAATATATTTACAAAATTGTATCAAGTTACAGAGATTCCATGCTTCATCTTGATTTTGTCGACCAGTAAGTCAGGAAAGTCGCAGTAGTCTATGAATTAGACCTCTTGGGTTTACACGGGATTATACCTGTTCTACCTCCGAATTTACCTGTTCTACCACTGAGTATACCTGTTCTACCTCTGAGTATACCTTTTCCGTTTTACGGAATGGAAACCGTAAAATTTCCAGTTTCCATTTCGTAAACCGGAAATAAACCGGAAATTTTTACGGTTTATGTAACGTAAACCGGAAAATTTCCATTCCGTAAACCGGAACTTAAAGAATTATTTCTTATTTTAATTAAGTTAACATATTTACAAAATTTAAAAATTTGAAAAAAAATCATAAACCTTCCCTGGGGTCCTTAGATGTCCCACAAAAAAATTTGGCCCGATCGGTTCAGCCGTTTCGACGTTTATTGGATACAAACAGACAGACAGACAAACAAACAAACACCCAGACAGACAAGCCAAATTTATATATAGATTGATTATTGAGTATAACTTTTTCTACCGTCCGGCATCCATCCATATATTGTTAGTGTTACTAACTGGTGTTTTATTTACATATGTAAGACTTTAATGTAACTAGCCTTAGAGGGCGCTTCGCGCCCATCTTCTAAATTAATTGTGAACATGTTCTCTGTGTGTACATCGTAAAACAAAACAAAAATAATTCGCGGATTTTTACAAAAAATTTCGCGGATTTTCAAAATTTTCAAAAATGTAATGACGATCGAATTTTGATGGAGACAAATATTTGAAATTTTGATCCTTCATAAACCTTCACTGGGGTCCCTAGATGTCCCACAAAAAATATGGGCCCGATCGGTTCAGCCGTTTTAACGTTTATTGGATACAAACAGACAGACAGACAGACAGACAGACAGACAAGCCAAATTTATATATAGATTATGAACAACGTTCCGGAAATTTCCGTTTTACGGAAAAAATCGTTCCGGAAATCGTTCCAGAATTCCGGAACTTTTTCCATAATGGAAAAGGAAAAAATTTCCGGATCATTTCCGTACGTAAACCGTAACGCGGAATTCCGGTGGAAACCCTAGTTCTATTTCCACCACAGTCCTCAATTTTTGAAAATATACAAATACTTGAATCAGACACAAAGAACCTGTCAAATCATTCGTTGGGATGTTTAGAAAGATGAAAATTTCCCTTTGCGTTTTTAGATGGAGGAACGTGAAAGTTTAAAGGAATTACGAGTGAATAGAGTCAAAAATTTTGGAAAGTAGGTTTTGAAATTTGAAATCGTACAGTAAGAAACGAGTAATTATTGTTGCTCGGTAATTTGGGCTGAGAAGTTACTTCAATTATTTTCATTTGTTTTGGTTTTCTGTTTCGTATTTTGTAAGGAAGAAAACTATTTGAAAAAGTTTTAAAAATACATGTTTTATAAATTAAAGAAAAGATAACAAGATTACAAGCATTTGCTTTTGTGTTTCATTAAAAACTATTTGGGGGAAAGTTTGGAAAGCGAATCTTCAAAATCCCCCTCATGATTACTGAACATCTGAGGCCGTTCCTTCCATAAACTACATTGGTCGAGAACTTGACTTCTTGTATATTGGTCGTCAAATGTACGGAGACATATCTATCGATCAGATAATAATTTAGCATGAGACATCTAGTGGCCAACAAATCGTTCCCCAAGGTATGTGAACTACACGTCCACTTTCTATGGAGAGAACGGGCTCTAGACATTTATGTATTGTACTTGTTTCGCTACTTAGCGATTTCCCTAAAGACCTAATATATGTACCGTGTGGTATTTCTCAAGACCAGATCGTAAGACTTCCTTCTCTCAACGCTCTTCATAACAAAAGGATGATAATAAGGTTCCGAACGTTTATTTCTCTGAGTCTTCAATCTAAATAAGTTTAATAAACCCACAGAAAAAGCTTTGAGTGATAAATCATACGAATACAACAAATAATCCACTCAGGCATTAAAAAACTGTGGCGAGGAACCAGCAAACACATATATAAATATCAATCATAATATAATCAATCGATAAGCATACGTATATATATAAGAAATAATTACCACAGTGATCCTAGAATTCTGGACTCGGTTAATACTTGCAAGACAAATAAACATATACTGATATAAAACTGTTCACTCCCGTGCGAGAAATCTTGCGCCTGCGTAGTCAGTCTGTAAACAGCTTCCAAAACTAGTTTTTCACAATACGTTCTGTACAGATCCGCAGGGAGAACTCAGAAACTCACAGGGGCATCAACTAGACTTTATACACGGAGCATGGCTCGCGTAACAGTACTGCATTACCTTCACACTTCCAAAACCAAATGCTGCCGCCTGTTATTCTATAGTATAAACATTCTGAGGTCCCATACTTCCTTTATTTAGATCAGATCTGGTCCCTGATGTTCCATACTCCCTTTATTTAGATCAGGTCACGTCCTAAGTGTCCCATATTCCCTTAATTTAGATCAGATCTCGTGCCTGGTTTCCCATAGTCCTCTTTATTTAAATTAGATCTGGTGCCTGGTGTCCCATAGTTCCCTTTATTTAAATTAGATCTGGCGCCGGTGTTTAATACTCCATTTTATTTAGATCAGATCTGGTGACTGGTGTCCCATACTTCCTTGTATTTAGATCAGATTTGGTCTTGGTGTCCCATACTCCCTTTATTTAGATCAGATCTGGTCCCTGGTTTCCCATACTCCTTTTATTTAGATCAGATCTGGTGTCTGGTGTCCCATACTTCCTTTATTTTGATCAAATTTCATGCCTGATGTCCCATACTCCCTTTATTTAGATCAGGTCAGGTCCCAAGTGTCCCATACTCCTTTTATTTAGATCAGATCTCGTCTCCGATGTCCCATGCTTCCTTTATTTAAATCAGGTCTGGTCCCAGGTGTCCCATACTCCCTTTATTTAGATCAGGTCTGGTCCCAGGTGTCCCACAGCTGGAGGATTGTGACGAAGCGATTATGAATTGGTCTCCTCCAGGTAAATTAATTATTTTTAAGATTTCCCATTTCAATACATAATCTTTATCAGCATTTAAATACATAATCTTTATCAGCATATCAATACATATTCTTTACCAGCATTTCAATACATAATCGTTATCAGCATTTCAATACATAATCTTTATCAGCATTTTGTTATCAACCATGAAAAATTGCTTTGTGATACATTTTATTTTACAGTACAAATTTTATTATATTTTTTTCATGGAGAAAATTAATTTCATTGTAAAATGAAGTTGCAGAATATAAGATATTAAAAACGACAACAGACAAAAAGTATGATTATTTTAATGTTTTGGATGAAAATCAATTATTTAGCAGTTTCCATTCAGAAAACAGCTGAACATTCAAGCTGGTTTTGATGTTATTGAATATCATTAAAAAGACATAGAAGAAAGAAATTGAGTCTTTTCAAATTTTTTTTTCAAATTTTCTCTTCCCTATACATTGCAACCAGTTGGACCTTTATATTTCAAAATTAGATTGTTCGATTCAAAAAAGTTAGTTTGGATAATATCTAAGATCTACGACATTGGGCTATACAAAAATATAGGGATTAGAAAATTATTGTTTGTGGCAAAAACTCAATTTATTTTGTAGAGTTGCAATTTCATTTCTGATTCATTTTGGTCAACACCCTGTAAATCGTTGTCTGGGCCAAAAATATGGGCTTATTCTTTTTTTTCTAACTTAAAATTGATTATTCTTATTCGGGGTTAACTTAATAATGACCTTACGATTTATGCAACAGAAGTACAAGAAGAACGCTTTTTTTAGGAAGAAATTTGCCAATAAAAAAATGTTTGAATCAATTATTTCGTTTTCACCATTATATTGAATTTCTTATTTTGCATACATTTAAAAGACCGGTCGAGTTTAAGGTGTTCAAACAAGACTTGGCCTTTCGTTCTCACTAAATAACCAAGTTTTTTTTTATTAAGCTTTATAGCCATTTACATTTAAGAACTGCGAATGCAGTTGCTTGCTCCTAATAAGAAAACTTTTAATAAATCTTTGCAAGAAAATATTTTTAATTTAGTTTACCATAATAATTCTGATTTGTTTAGGTTGTGAAGGGTTGAATGACTGCTTAAAGGCTCCACCCTCAAACCCTTTTAAATGTGTTTGGCCTCACTAACCAAAATAAATTCAGAGAATTCCATTTGTTTTATTTCACTTTTATAACCTATCATGATTGTTTTTTAACTTTGGAAAAAAAGAGAAGAAAACAACTACACCACACACTTGCACTATACATGGAAAAACATGTGAATAATTAATCAAACCTGTTTATGCATATCATGAGATTATGCAAACTTTGTTTTTGTGTAGAGCATTACAAAAAGAAGTACCATATTTGATATTTTTACATACTGTTGAAATTTTTTCAAATATTAAAAGTTAATAAACAAAGAAATTGTGGGGAGGGAAGATAATTGAAATCAAAGGAGTTGAGTTTTTGCCACGAACTCCAATTTTCACTTTATCTTTGCAACCGGAAGCTGTAAACCTTATTTCAAACTTAGAATATTTGATCTGTCAGAATTCTTAGTTGGAAATGTCAAAGGTCTACAAGAAAGGGTTGCAGAGATACAGGGATTAAAAAATCTGAGTTTGTGGCAAAAACTTAACTCCTTATTAGAATTTTAGAAGGATATTTTGGTAATTTTCCAAACGGGCTGAGAAGGAAGTTTATTTGTCGTAGAACCATGCAGATTCCTATACAGGAGATAAATTTGAGTTTGTTACATTTTTGAATGAATGAATGATAGATTAGAATAGATGGATCAGTGGTCTGAAGAAAATGGATTCCATAGTTTTTTTTTAACTGACTCATTGACTATGAAATAAAGTAAAAACATAAATTCGAATTCTCTAATCCAATCTTTTGTTGTAAACCTTTGTTATCTCGACTGTTAAATCAAATGTTTTTCAGAAATAATCAACAAAATGTTTTAATTATTAGATTGCAAAGATAAAACATATGAAATGTTGAACTTTTTTGGAAATAATCAACAAAGTGTTTTCACTATTAGATTGTATAGATAAAATAAATAAAATGTTGACCTTTTTCAGAAATAATCAACCAAGTGTTTTCACTATTAGATTGCAAAGATAAAATAAATAAAATGTTGACCTTTTTCAGAAATAATCAACCAAGTGTTTTAACTATCAGATTGCAAAGATAAAATATATAAAATGTTGAACTTTTTCAGAAAAAATTAACGAAATGTTTTTACTATTAGATTGTATAGATAAAATATATAAAATGTTAAAGTTTTTTAGAAATAATCAACCAAGTGTTTTTACTATTAGATTGTATAGATAAAATTTATAAAATGTTGAACTTTGTCAGAAATAATCAACCAAGTGTTTTTACTATTAGATTGTAGAGATAAAAAATATAAAATGTTAAACTTTTTCAGAAATAATTAACGACAAGTGTTTTTACTATTAGATTGTATAGATAAAATTTATAAAATGTTGAACTTTGTCAGAAATAATCAACCAAGTGTTTTTACTATTAGATTGTAGAGATAAAAAATATAAAATGTTAAACTTTTTCAGAAATAATTAACGAAATGTTTTTACTATTAGATTGTAGAGATAAAATATATAAAATTTTAAACTTTTTTAGAAATAATCAACTAAGTGTTTTTACTATTAGATTGTAGAGATGAAATATATAAAATGTTGAACTTTTTTAGAAATAATAAACCAAGTGAGATGAAATATATAAAATGTTGAACTTTTTTAGAAATAATAAACCAAGTGTTTTTACTATTAGATTGTAGAGATGAAATATATAAAATGTTGAACTTTTTTAGAAATAATAAACCAAGTGTTTTTACTATTAGATTGTAGAGATAAAATATATAAAATGTTGAACTTTTTTAGAAATAATAAACCAAGTGTTTTTACTATTAGATTGTAGAGATAAAATATATAAAATGTTGAACTTTGTCAGAAATAATCAACCAAGTGTTTTAACTATTATAGATAAAGTATATAAAATTAGATTGTTCTCTGCCTTCATTTGTAATAGTTGCTATTTTAGAAGAGAAACAAAGCATGCGGAAACAAAATCCAAGATTTGAGTGAAATTATCTAATTTAACTCTTTACTTTTATTATGGGAAGTGTGTGTGGGGGGGGTGTATTCTGCATTTACTAAAATCTCCGGTTCATTTAAAGTGTCGGATTGAATAGGCCAACATAGTTGACATACTATATCTATACAATATAGTATTATATGTAATACCCATTCAGGGAGTTAGTTTTACAATTTTTAAAGAAATTCTTTTTTTCATATTCAGAAGATCCTTAAAGTAGAGATTGTTCAAAATAATCATTCTTTCAATAAAATCGGTCGACTCTTAAAAATTTTGTTTGAACAAATCGATTGTTCAGTAAAAAATATCGTTTTTTAAAAGTTTGTTCCAAAAAGGCGTTCATTTGTTAAAAAACACAAATTTTTTTCTTAGGTTTTTTAAAACGCTAATTTCTTTATTTCTCTGAACGATCCATTTAAATTTTGTTCGTCCATCTTTGATTTTTTTCTGAACGTCACCCTTTTCACGAAAAAGGTCGTTCTTTCTCAAATTTGTTTAGTTAAAAAAAATGGCCAGCTCAATTTGTAAGGCTGCAGCTGTATAGTTCAGATTAAACTTTTTTCCAAAAAGTTAAGATTTATCTGAGAAATGCATTATTACCATCATTAAGGATAAATAAATCAAAAAAATATTTAAATTCATTAACTATACATTAATTTCTTCGTTCATATATATTAGGGTGCAAGTATGTTAGCTACGGCTGGTCAAATATTCTTAAAAAATTCAAACAGAAATGGGAAACGCAGGGCACTTCAGTTAGTAAATAATATACAACAATAATAATTTAATATAATAAAATAAAAATAAGAAATATGACAATGTGCAAAACTAAGAAAAATGTTAATAAAACATCAATGTTAGCTCGTGTTACAGACAAATAAATCAAATATGTAATTGACCTCAAATTAAAAGATACAAATCATAAAAAGATAAAAATTTAATATTTAATATTTAATACGCAACATTATTTAAAAAATACTTTTCTTGTCTCACCTTCCTTGACGTAAATCTCACATGAAACACAGATAAGGAAACGAGTTTACAAAAATCCTTAATAAAAAAACATGTTTATTACATGTTTTTTCCTTGCTTTAGTAAAACTCATTTTTTCGCGGATTTTTCAACGGAAATTGGTATATTTTTAAAAATAATAAATTTGAACATTTTTTCAAACAAGTTTTTTTTTATCAATTTCAATTTAACTGTGTCAAAAAATATATTTCGAAAAGGTCAAGGGCAAGGGAGGTGCTGCTCATCCGCACTTGAGCCCTGCAAAAGAAAGTTCGAGTCCCAGAATTATTCAAATGAGCTTGTAAAACAAAGATTTTTGGGCTAATTCAAATTTTTCTAAGATTCTTGCAAAATTACAATTTGTAATTTTGTCATATACAGTGATAACAAGAAAACTCTGGAATAGTGGGACGACTTAAAGAATCAAGTTTTATCTTTAAAAAGTGCAATAGACTTGAAACACAGCAATTGTGCAGTGTGAACAGACCCATTTCACAAAATAAGTTATTTTTTAAGTGTCTAGTAAAACTATTTGCCTTGTAACACCATCAAATACACTTAAATATTGCTATAATGTCGTCTAAATACAAATTTTGTTGGAAAAGAAGCATTCAGGCATACTGGCTGTAGACATGGTAGAATTCAGGCATACTGGCTTTAGACCTGGTAGAATTCAGGCATACTGGCTGTAGACCTGGTAGAATTCAGGCATACTGGCTTTAGACCTGGTAGAATTCAGGCATACTGGCTTTAGACCTGGTAGAATTTAGGCATACTGGCTTTAGACCTGGTAGAGTTCAGGCATACTGGCTTTAGACCTGGTAGAAATATTATGATTTCAACTCCTCCACAATTTATTACATAAAAGATGACATGTCATTTTAAAAGACAAAAACCATTTTTTTCATTTTTTTTCATTTTTATTTCTTAACAAAAATTTAAATGTTAAATGTTAATCAAACTTCAGCGATAATAAAATTAAAAAGACGTATGAGGTCAATGTGAAAGATAAGATTTGATATTTAACCAACTTGTAGAATAAGAAAACATTATTAAACGCAGATACATCATGAAGGTAACATGTTTTATAATAATATTATTTCCTTGAACTAGGGAATAAAAAGAGATATGACATGGTTTTACTTGGCGTTTCGATATTTCCTGGTTCTAAGATGTGTTCTTTTAAATAAATATAATCCTTTTATAAAATGAAAAAGATTTTTAAACGTGGATTTTATTTTGATTAATTTTTTATTTAATCATCAAAAATATATTGCTTTTTTCTGACAATTCAGAAAATTAATTGATTTTAGGTCAAATAAAAAATCATAGAAATTTAAAAATAAATTTCTATTCTTTGAAAAGGATTCTTTGTTTGATAATTATTCTAAAAAATTAGAAAAAGAAATAATTTAGCTTTTATTGACTAAGTTGTTAAAGGTGGATTGATTTTGAGATTTATTTCACTCAATCATCAAAATTATGTTTTGAATGTTTTCTATCCTTTTTAACGTTTTCAACATGAATCCAAGATTTTTTCACAATTTTACAGTTTTCAATTCCAAAGATAGCAATGATAATTATTCTTAAAATTACAATTATATAATTCAGCTTTTTAATTAATCTTGAATTTTTTTTAATATTTTTAAGTTTTATTTTTTATTTTTCTATTTGATGTAGGTCCTGTTTGTCCTCGCCTGCCTAGTCGCTGTAAGCCTAGCCGCTCCAAGGAATGAGTTGACCTGTGACATCTGTATTGATGTTATAACAGACTTTGATGAATGGTTAACCAGTGATAAAACAGAACAAGAGATTGTTGACTTTATTTCAGAGGTAAAATTATACAGTGAAACCCTTAATAACGAATACATCGAAAGAATTCATCAAATGTCGTATTCTTCACTTTCTGATAATGGAATGTTGCAGATATTTAGTTTTTTAATTAAATGATTATATGGAACTCTTCAAAACTGTTCCCGCATATTCATGGCTATTTATTTATTTTCGCAAACACTGAGATTTACGTAATATAGTATAAAACTCATTGAAAAATTGTCAAGAGGACATTTGATAAATTCTTCCGATGTATTCGTTATTAAGGGTTTCACAGTAGAAAAGGGACTGGGCACTAACAATACATTTCTGATCATCCGTATATCTTTGCAGCATCGTTAAAACCTTTAATATGTCAAACTTAAACCTAAAGATCTATTAGAATGCATTAAAGTTTGAAATGTAAGGTTTCAAAGAAATTGAGAGTTGAGACTAGAAAATTTATTGTGTGAAATGGAGACTACAAATTTGACTATTAAGATAATTGTCAATAAATGAATTTTCCCAAAATTTTTTACTTTTTTTTCTTTAGATTTGTGCCGCTATCGGTTCCATTTTACCCGACCTCGAGGCCGCCTGCAACTTCCTGATTCAGTCTCAGCTTCCAGCCATCATTGATGGCATTGTCCAGGACAACCTGAACCCTACTGAAGTAAGTAAACTATTGTGAACTTTATCATTCATGCTCACTGCATGATTAATTTCATTACAGTAGTTCTATAAGGTTCTTATCCTGCTATAATACATATTGCTTAAGCTCTGGACAAAACATAAACTAAAAAAACTTGAATCTTCTCGAGACAGAAAATATTTGTACGAATATTTTTATTAACTGAAAACCAAAATAATAATGTTATAAATAATAATAATGTTATAATTAATAATATTTTTATATATAATAACTTAATTTAATTTATTTTTTAGGTGTGCACAAACATCCTTGGTGCCTGCCCTTGAATAATCCGGAATATATTTATGTACAAATAACTTAATAAGTGACAAAATTCAAATAAATTTTCTAATTAAATGATTAGCACTTTTTCTGTGATATAACTGCACTTTTTCAGAAACTTATTTGCAGTATCATAGGAAAACTTTGTTAATAGGATGTTTAAAAATAAAATTGATTTCCAGTCTTAAAACTTTTATAACTTTAACCCTACATAAGCTGGGCTTGAATATATGTATAGCCTGGGGTATTAAAAATACATAGAGTAAATGTACAGGGTTCCAATGCATACATCACGGGCAGCCGTAGTACATTTGAATTTCCGAGCCGGGTCAACCTTTTCAGTCCCAGATTGTACTGTACATATAGCTCTATGGAAAGGACTAGCCGGTGCAACTCGGTTGACGCGGTCAGACTTTATGCTTCATAAAGGTTGAATTTACTTATACTAAAGTGGCAGAGGTGCGTGACATAGTCCAAGGTCAGATCGTTGATTAGACCGCTGATTGCTGAAGGTCTGAAAATGTAAAGAATAATTGTTTAGCTTTTGAAAAATATTCAGACGTGACGCATTTTTTACATTAAATTTTCAAAGGTTTTTCATACATGTAGTTTTTTATCTAAAGCTTACTGTGATTTAAAGATTTCAAGCTCTCAAGCAAAAATAGATAAGCATTTTGCCAATCAAAGCAAAAAAACAAGTGCTTTATAGTGCTGAGATGTAAAGGGCTACAGAAAAGCAAAAATGAGTTAGCACGGTAAATTCAATGCCCATGGCGTTGCGACACTTCAAAGTCTTAAAAATAGACGAGACTCTTTATAAGCAGGCTGAATCTATGTGAGCTAAAATAACAAAAGTTATGGGCTTTTCTAGATTTTTAAAAACAATAATTGGCCTTTTTACCAACCTGTGCCCTACCCTATGCATTAACCCCCCCCCCCCGTCCCCAGCCTGTGAAGTGTTAAAAAAACTCGTTGAATTACGTGTTTCATTTTTGCGTGAAATTCAATTCAAAAATGTTAGATAAATACCATGAATTGGGAAAGAAAAATAAAGACGCATTTTGTTATGGAAAACATTTGGTTTAACACAACTTAAATATCAAAACAATAATGTTTGTCCTCTTTCCTTTTATTTAATCTTTTCAAACAAACCTTTAATGTGTTTGACAGCGCTTGCAATATTCATACAAATATCTCATCTAGAAAAGATAATAACAGATAGAACTACTTGTTAACATGAAAAATACCTGTCAATGCCCGTGCCCATCAGGCCCCCAGTGGAAACACTTATTTTACCTTTTTTGTTACATCTATTGTAATGTTTTGGTTCCATATATAATATGCAATATTTACCAGGGGGGGGGGGGGAATTTGCCGCCCCCCCCCCAATCGTTTTAGCGAAATCTCAAAAAAGTATTTGAGCAAGAAAGCTAAAATTTTCAGACTTTTCTAACTAACACATGCACATCACTTAAGTCTAAAAGTTGAGCTTTTATCTACTGCCTAAGTCCTCAAACATACTGACTTATTTTACCTATATCAGACAAAATCTATTTTTAGACCTATTTCCGTTCATTGGATTTTAAAATTGTACAGCTCTTTCTAATCTAATCTAATAGTTTATTATTCCGTTGAAAATATGACAGGTTGTGCATAAAAATTACATATTTATATGATTAATATTTATTATCAACGGAAGGAGAGCAGCCATAGCAGAGCTGTTTTCAGGTTGGTCTCCTGGCAGTTTACCGTGGTATTGATTAGAACTGAGTTGAAACGTCGTGGGACTGGGTTTGGAGAAGACAGAGGAACAGGGTCAGATTTGCTCTATTAACATGTTATAATTTTGGTTCTTGATTTGAGACAATAGGCAGAAAACAGAACAGAGGCGCCAGGAACTATTGCATTACTAATTTTTTTTGCGCTGCAAAAAAAATTAGCAACAGTTTAAGGTCCACCCATCAACAATACCTTTTTCAAAAAAAGCAATGCCAGAGCACCGATTTTTATAAGGATTTAAAAAATGCAAATTGCTTGACTTAAAAATCCATCTTCATAGAAAGAAAAATCAAGTGTATGCAGTTAAAAAATGACGATCAACTAGAGCAAAATAGTTTGTTGCAAATAAAATTGTCACTCTTTAACAGCAAATGATTTTTAATCGTAGATTTAAAAGAAAGTTTATTAGTAAAACTTGAAATTTCAGGATTATTTAGAGCTAAACTGTTCCAACATTTGGAAAGCCTATAACAAAAGAAACCAGATTGCACAATTTTTGCAAAGAAATGTTGCACAGATTTTGCACAGACGCCTTCAAAGGGAATTTGTACATTCTCAATTTTTCTTTAAAACACATTTAGGTTTTAGAAATTTAAAAATGTTTTTGCTGATTTGAATTCGCTGGCTCAAGGATTTTTCAAAAATGTATAATTTGTTGCAATTTACACAATTTTTGCTCAAAACCTAGATTTCGCACAAAATATTTGGATTTTTGTAATTTGCCATATTTTTGCAGAGATTATTGAAGTAGATTCCAAGGGCTGTCCAAAAACGTATCAAATGGTATAGATTTGGACCACCCACCCCAAGGAAACCAGTGGTAAATAGGATTAAGAGGACTCAGCTGGAAAAGGTCTCGACCTTCAAAAGATTTTATCTAAGAGATTCATACAGACCCTTTCCTTTCCATTCCAAAAGAGACGAATCTATCATTGTTTTTGAGTTTGTTTGAGTTTGCAGGAGTTTGAGGCGAGGTAAAATTTACTTTAGAAATGTATTTAGTTCCTAAATTTAATCATTTTATATAGCAATTAGAAATATATTGTTTCTAATATTAAAATTGTTGGTAAAAAAATAATTTTTTTTTTCATTATCAATTTATTTTTTCCATAATTTAATCTATGTTTAGAAATTTACCAAGTTGGAACCGATCTTGATTTCCACGTTTTTTAACACATTTAATGAATTGTTGAAATATGATATGAACCAGACTATTTACCTTAATGTCTTGTCGGCAAATTATTTAAACTACAGTCAGGGCTGCTTTTTTAATACAACATAATTTCTTCAATATTAGTGTTGACACGAACTGAACACTGCAGTAATGAACAACCGTCCCATACTAATGATTTTACAAAATGCTAATTATCTATTTTATCCAATTGTGAAGGCAATTTAACACACCTAATATTTCCCGTTTTAGGGTGGTTAAGTAACCCTATTGCCCTACAGCAGGGCGAACAAGTAACTTTATCACTCTGATATTAAAATTTCAAATTGTATGACTAATAATTCCGTTGTAAGGTGATACAGTTACTTTATCACTTAATAATACCCATTGCAATAACATAAATAGATATTTTTCATAAGATAGTCTGTATATTGCATCCATCAAAAGAATTTACAATTTCTTGTCAATTAAGCTGGACATTAAAATATCAAATATTAATTATCAATAATATAATAAAATTAAATGGTTCCCATTAAAAAGTCGACTTTTAAATTAAATGTAGTCTTTATAATGCAAAAATTAAAAAATGAATACAAGGATGACTTTTTGTGTAAATGTCGTTTGCTGGAAACAAAACTATATGCATTTCTTCGATGAAAATTATTGAAAACTGGACATGTCAATGTGTCAAATTCTTGTTTACATTAACCACTGCAGGGTACATGTGTACAGTACAATTTTACACATACATTTGGCCCAAGGAGGTGTAAATTGATTTTTCGTGGAAATCTTTAGGTATTTTTTTAAATATGCAAGTTTCGGCAAACCCTATCTCAACATGAAATATGTTAGTTTTAGCAAGATACCAGCACTGTAAAATCAAGCATTTGCCGCTAAAGACAATAAGGTGAAACGTAAGACTATTTTAAAATAAAGCCAATCATGGTTCATTAGGTTTGTTCTACATTCGTTCTCCTCAAAATCGTTTCGTTCCAAAAATGTTCATTCCGTTTTGAATTATCAATTTGTCTCATATTTTTCATTTTAATTTGCATTTATAAACTGTTTTACATTTCTACATCAAAAGAGAAAACAATTTTCTTAAACACATTTGAACTTCTTTCAAGTCTGTGTTCTTTACAAAAACTTTTTATCTTCATCATGTTCTAGAAATATTATTTAGAAGTGCATTTTAGGATTACTTCAAATGTACCTTTTTCAAGTTATCCACCATTTGAAAACCTCATGTCTGTCTATTTATACAAAGTAAACATGGACCAACACAAGAATCCCAAAACTGGGACCAACACAACGGCTTGTTATTATTGGAAGGGATACGTAATCTCCTGGTTGCTCCTGATAATATAAATATTGTCTATTTTGAATATTTTCAGATGATAAGGCCTTGAATTGGAGTCGGAAAATAAATATTTAGTTTAAAGAACGATGCTGGCCTTTGCAGGTGATTATGTTTACTTAATATATATAATCCAATATAATTGACATAAACGACAGTACCCTTTTTTAAGATAGATATAACTAGGGTTTAACTGTTTCTCAGAAAATCGATCGTTCTAAAATAAATGTTTACGAATATTTCTGTTAAAATTGGCGCATTTTCAAAAATGAAAAATTAGGACATTTTTTTTAAAGTAAGATTGTTTATCTTTGATTGACCATTAACCTTCTTTGAGATCATTTCAGTTGCCAAAAAATGGTTTAGTTTCAAAACACAAGATAAATCTTTTATAAAAAAGATAAACTAGGCGATTTAAACAAATTTGAAACAGTGAATAATTTAATTAATCATTTTTTACTACAACTTAAATTTTGGATTATGGATCAAGGATTAGGGATTAAGACTTGTTAAGGAGCTAAAAGCAAATTCTCAAATGTATACAGGATTTGAGATTTAATGTTGAAAATTAGGACTTTAGGGTTTAGGATTAAGAATTAAATAAGAATTGTTACATAAGTTTCTAGGATTTAGAATTTTTCGAAAATATTCTTGTTTAGTTATTTGTTTGTTACCTTTGCTTGATGCAGCTGCAGTTGCAACTGTGGATCAATCAAGCGATCATTCACCCAAGGGTTGGACAGATGAGTATATTGATCTGGTAATTAG